ATAAGCTTTCATACACACATCACTGGTTGAGATAATGTTTCAACTGCTTTTAGAAAGTTTTAAGAGTGATTTTAGAATGCTTTTAAGAATGATGTGTTCTCTGCCCTGGGCTCCTTCGGGAGGAAGGGTGGAATAGAAGTTGAATAAGCAATAGTAACAATAACTAATATGCATATACAGTGCTATTTTTCTAGAAAAAGAGGTGCTGGGACTCATCATGAACGCCTCCCTTGTCAATGGCACCCACCTGAGGTTGTGGTGAGTTTGGGCTGAAAAAAAAGCCCAGTGCTCCATGGTTTGGAGGGACTGTAAATAGCAAAGGTGGTTGTGATTATTCTTCTGCCTGGCCTTCAGAAAACCTAGGGTCCCATTGTTGCAGGGAAACCCCCCCCCCATCATTCAGTTTGTACAAACACGACACACACACACTCACACAAATCAGCCATACATCGGATCTGTACCGTTCCACTTTTATTTTACACCATGAAGGAAGGACTATCAAAAGGGGGAAACTTGACACAAGGCAGCCATAATCCCCCAAGCTTACCAACACGTCCGCAGCGAGCCCTACCCGGTTGGCATGCCAACCTTGAAGGTCAGAAGATCATCACACTCACAAAGGACCTGCATAGGGAAGTGGATTCAGTATGGACTGAAACAGAGGACAGTGACCAACCCTTCCCTCTGGGGGCAGGAAACAGTGAACTCCTCTTTGTCCTCAGGAATGTAATTATGGATGAGGGGGAAAGGAGGAACGGGACAGGTGACAAGACACTCAGGGTTACCACCACAACTCCTCCTTGAACCCCTCCTCTTTGTGATGTGTCAATGCTGTAGTCATGATGTAGTCTTAGGGGTGTAGCATGGGGGATTAGTAGCTAATAAAAGTTGGGGTCTTCTTTTGTTCGGGGCTTCCATCTTGTTCCACCTTGTGGCAGGTGGGAGTCCTGTCATGACAGTCTTCAATAAAGACCAAGCCTACTGGCTGCTGTTTTGCTCTGGTATTCCTGGCTGGTGTCCTAGTTTTTTTTGTCCAAGGGAGCCCTCAGATTTCTCCGTTAACACCATGCATGGCTGTACTTTGGCAGTGTTAGAAACTGGGATAGGAATCTAGGAGCCATGTGGCTCCTGGGGCCTAGGTTGTGGGCACCAAAACAAAATGTCTAGGCACCCTTTTTTTTTGCTGCCGTGCTACCAGACCGGGCACCCTGGGAGCAAAACAACAATAACAACAGTTATTGTTGTTGTCATTGTTCCTATTTTGCTGTCAGACGAATCAGGTGGTCTGCAGGGTTGAATGGCAGCAAAAGGTGCGAGTCTTTTGCTACCGCAGTGCCTGGCAAACCAGCTGACAGCAGCCCAGACATCTCCCAGTGCCAAAAGGCTGGTTGCTTGTCAAAAAGTGCTACTAGCACCCGGCTAATTTCAAACACTGGTACTTCCTACCCCCACGCATTATCCTCATAACCTGAGAGGCAAGCAAGACTTCCTGATTCCGCAAGTCTCCCCAAACCTAACCCAACTATTTGCTATACATTCACCTGCCCCTCCATCCTCTTTCTTTTCCCACCCGTCCAGGCTGGGTAAATGCACGCCCACTATCAAGATCTATCAGACTTCCTGGCATCAGAGACAGAGCCTTGGCATCAGAGGCACCAGATCTTTGGGGGCCCCCCCTCAAAAAAAGAAAGAAAGTACATATGGCCCTATCTTTGTTGAAATACTCCCTTTTTTTATAAAAAAAACCCTGACCTTTTAAAACATACAGTGGTACCTCAGGTTACATACGCTTCAGGTTACATACGCTTCAGGTTACAGCCTCCGCTAACCCAGAAATAGTACCTCGGGTTAAGAACTTTGCTTCAGGATGAGAACAGAAATAGTGCGACGGCAGCGCGGCAGCAGTGGGAGGCCCCATTAGCTAAAGTGGTGCTTCAGGTTAAGAACAGTTTCAGGTTAAGAACGGACCTCTGGAACGAATTAAGTACATAACCAGAGGTACCACTGTATTTGTTTCAAACTGCACTCTACTGAAAGTACCGTGAACCAGGTTTTAAACTGCTCTTTTTCACTTTCTAAAAAATGGATTGCCTTATTGATTTTTTTCATTATAGCACAAACTAATTGTTCTGCCATCATCTATCCATACTTGTACATTTATAAATAAATCATTATGAATTTGAATGCATAATTCATATGCTGCCATAGCAATTCCTGTTCAAGAATGAGAAATCTTCATATGCATGAGGGGCGATACTGAATTTCTGCTTTCCCCTTTCTTCCCGCAAACACATTATGCTTAGGCATTGCGGCTGCATGCTGTACTTTAATGAGCCACTCTTTTTTCTGTAGGCATATTGTGCTAATGCCATTTAGCAGCTATTATATTAAAATTGCCACTGTTATTAAGGTTCCCACTATATTCTGGTGCTCAGGTGACAGGCATCATTGTTTGAAAAACCTAACAGAATTCGTAGAGGATTCAAAGTACTGTACATCCTTCTGTTTATGTAATGACATTTCCCCCTAAACTGCTGGTTGTTTACACATAAAGTCAGCTTCAGATTTCCCGTACCTCAAGGATACAAAGCACCTGCTGTGTAAATAGAAAGCCCAACGTTACAACATTCAGCATCTCCAAATTATGGGCAGGAAAGAAACCCTAAAACCCTGAACTGCTGCCAGGTAGTATAGGCAATACTCAGGTAGATGGACTCAGGCTACAATTATAAGGCAGTTCATATAGTCCCACAACATTAAGATATACCGTATTTTTCCATGTATAAGACGCCTCCATGTATAAGACGCCCTCTACTTTTGGGGACCCCAAATTTAGAAAATGGGCATATGCACTATCTGTGTATAAGACGCCCCCAACCTTAAAGTAAAAAAAAAACACCTAGCCTTATACACAGAAAAGTACGGTAATTTTGCCAGGCATTGTGGATAGCTTCATTTGTACTTTTAAAATACTGTTTTATTTGGTGGGGGGAGGTTAAAAAAGAAGTTATCTTCTTAAATGCTCTTGGAGGGCTCCTGCCAGCAGCTGAAGACTGTTTTATTCCAACAAGCTTTTGGGAGCTGTTTTTAAGCAAAGGGCATTTAATAGTGCTATGCTGTTTTTGCTATCTGTAAGTTAATAGATTTGTGTTTATATTGTTTTAATTCTACTACTAGAGTTTAATTACTTTTTATTTGAATGACTTTCTACTGGGTTTTATAAATGAAGATCATAGGAATAAGAAATGATAATAAACAGGCCAAGTCTCACATCATTCATTTGTTACAGAAAATTTGCAGTACTGTAATATCTACAACTTTTGGTTCATTATCAGTGGTCAATGTATATGTTCTTAGTTTGCGAATTGGTTTAAAGAGAAACAGGATATAACAGAGTTGACAGATAACAGTCAACACTGCATAGCTAAATGGCTAATCAGAAGCCCTTATGGTTGCGCTTAGATTAAGTATGAGTAATACTCATTTTTCCTCATATGTCACCAATGAGACAATATAAAATGTTGGTATATTGATGAACATGGGAATGGGGTTCAAAGTGAAGATAATAATTTATGTTAAAATTTAAATATAGATCAGCCAAATGCTGATGTGGGGGATTGTTCCTATTCTGGAATACTGGCATAAATTCGAAGTTAATTATGAAATTAATTGGCATCAGGACAAAGCCATTTTTCTTGATCTGTCCACATGTCAACTGTAGTTTATTTGTTAATCTCTCGGAATCCTGCTGTTTTATACTGATTGTTTTATTGTTGTGCCAGAAATCTTTCCAGTGTTTGGTTGCGTCTTGTCGCTTGTAATAAATGGCTTATTGATTATCATGTAAATCCAGATTGTTGTCTTGAAATATATTTAATAAAGCTAATTCTGGTTTGAGACTTCCCATTGTTCTGTTATTTTATTAATTTCTTGGAATATCAAATTTCAGAAAAGCTGGATTTTTGGAAATTCCCATATCAGTTCCCATTGATGTCTAAGTTTAAATACTTGTTAACTATTATCATTTATATATATATTAGCTTTTTGTATTTTAATCTGTATTGTTTTAATTTTTTTGTAAGCCGCACTTTCGGAAAAAGGTGGGATAGAAATGAATAAATATTATTTTTATTAATGGTGATGGTTGTGATGATTATATATTCATCTATACCTCTCATTTTTCCCTGACGCAGATTCAAGGTGTCTTACAGATAAAATAAAAACACTGGGTGTGTTTTTTTGTTTTGTTTAAAAACACAATGAAAATCAACTGAACATTATTGGAATTAAAACCATATAAACAAAACAACCACAACAAAATAATGCATGCTAAAAGTAAAGAAACAGGGTTGCGACACCTTTCAGTTTTGTGGCACAGACAGAAATCAGACTGGTGTAGCTGGTGAAGATTTAAGGATGTTAATGTTTAAGTTAAATTTTATAAGACTTGTGACTTGGGAAACCGTTAAAAGGATATGCAATGAAATTCAACCAAGGGGAAGCGGGGAAGTCACTTAACAAAGTTAATAAGTGTAATTTTCAATAAGGCTATGATTTATGTTTGTTTGTATTATGTTTTTGTTTATAATATAGTGAAAACCATTAAAAAATTTTTGAAAAAACAACAAAATAATGCATGCTAAAAGTAAAGAAACAGGGTTGCCGCACCTTTCAGTTTCGTGGCTCAGACAGAAATCAGATTGGTGTAGCTGTTCTTCCCGCATCACTTTACCTCAGAAGCCTCACCAGTTGGATTTCTGCCTGAGTCAACAGGTTGCTGGGAGGGGGGCGCCTCTCCCGCCTGCCCTCCACCAACCGCCTCCCACATTTTTTCCCGCCTTTTTCCCCCTTCGAAAGAGGACTGGGGAGGCGTGGCCTTTCGCCGCGCGCCGCCCCTCTAGCTCCGCATTGGCTGAAAAGAGCAAAAAGGGGCGTGTACCCAAGCGACCGGGCACGCTCTCCTCGTGTCTATATATAGAGGCAGCCGGCGAGAGGCGCCCTTCAGTTGGCTCGCGCGCCTCGCGGGCTACGGGTAAGCGCGCAAGGGGCCGTTGAAAGTCAAGGCAGAGGAGGCTATGGCCGTGGACGAGCGCGAAGAGGGCGGCGCCTCCGAGGACCTGGAGTGCGGCATCTGCTGCATGCCTTACGACCGCTGCGGCCGCGCGCCGCGCCGCCTGGGGGGCGCGCACGGCTCGTGGAAGCCCTCCCGCTGCCGCCACGTGATCTGCAGCGCCTGCGTGTGCCAGCTGGCGCGCGAGGGCTGGTGGGAGGAGGTCACGTGCCCTTACTGCCGCACCGTCACCTCGCTGCGCGAGCGCGGCAACTTCCTCGTGGCCGGCGTCAGGCGCGGGAGCGCGGGGCTGACGGGCAACCGCCGACGCCTCGTCCTGCCGCCCATCGACGCCGAGCTCTGGCAGCGCGTCGTCCGCCTCGAGAAGCAAGGGGCCGGCGGCGGGAGCAAGGCCGAGGAGCGCCTGGGGGAGAAGGAGGGCGGCGACGGCGGCGAGGAGGACGACGGCGAGGCCGGCCAGTGGCGCCTGTGGAGGGCGCTGAAGAGACTCCTGAAGGGAGGGAGTGGGGACGGCGATGCGCCTGCGCGGAGCAGGAGAGGGCGTGGCCGGAGCAGGTCCGTGCCCCCCAGGCGGAGACCACCAATCAACCGTGAGTGCCTCTTCTCATGCAGTAGGGGGCGTGGTCTAATAATAATAATATATTTATATCCCGCCCATCTCGCTGAGTTTCCCCAGCCACTCTGTGTTAAAAACAGTACAGCATTAAATATTAAAAACTTCCCTAAACAGGGCTGCCTTCAGATGACTTTTAAAAGTAAAATAGTTGTTTATTGCTTTGACTTCTGCTGGGAGGGCGTTCCACAGGGCAGGCGCCACTACCGAGAAGGCCCTCAGCCTGGTTCCCTGTAACTTCACTTCTCTCAATGAGGGAACCGCCAGAAGGCCCTCAGAGCTGGATCTCAGTGTCCAGGCTGAACGATGGGGGTGGAGACGCTCCTTCAGGTATACAGGACCGAGGCCGTTTAGGGCTTTAAAGGTCAGCACCAACACTTTGAATTGTGCTCGGAAACGTACTGGGAGCCAATGCAGATCTCTCAGGCCCGTTGTTAATGTGGTCCTGGTGGCTGCTCCCAGACACCAGTCTAGCTGCCGCATTCTGGATTAGTTGTAGTTTCTGGGTCACCTTCAAAGGTAGCCCCACGTAGAGCGCATGGCAGTAGTCTAAGCGGGAGCTAACCAGAGCATGCACCACTCTGGCGAAGACAGTCTGCAGGCAGGTAGCGTCTTAGCCTGCGTACCAGGTGGAGCTGGTAGACAGCTGCCCTGGACACAGAATTAACCTGCACCTCCATGGACAGCTGTGAGTCCAGAATGACTCCCAGGCTGCGCACCTGGTCCTTCAGGGGCACAATTACCCTATTCAGGACCAGGGAATCCCCCACACCTGCCTGTCCCCCAAAAACAGTACTTCTCTCTTGTCAGGATTCAACCTCATGTTATCGCGATTAATTTTTTTAAATAGTTATAAGTAAAACATTTGTTTTCAATAAGCTTTTTAAAACAGAATAATGGAAAGCCACAGGGAATGAGGCTCATCATAAGGGTGGGAGGAACAAGTAGCCCAGGAGGCTCAAGGGGCTTAGCAGGCCTTGCTTGTTGGCAGGAGTCTGCCTTGCCAGGTGCATGAAGTGCTGCTCACCTTGGGAGATGTGTACGCATGTTTGGGGTAGTGGGTGTAACACTTTGCTGCGACGTGGCCTCTCCACAAAAGCTTTTAGTCGCTATAAATGCTTGCCTTTTAAGCCATCTTCGCTTTTGCTTTGACAGACTTAACACGCCTGGCCTTCTGAGGTGCTGCCTGCTGCCTCCTGCATCTGACTTGTGGGTCTTCTTTCTTCTTTTTTAAAAAGGAAACTTTCTTGCTTTGAAACTTTATGTAGATTTCATTGATTGACTAAAATGGGATTAGTTGGCCAAGGTTTCCTTTAATTGAGTGGCAGCACGGTTATAAGATGTGTCAGTTTGGAGCAAGCGAGCAATCCTGCTGGCCGTGTCCTTAATCTCCATTTTATTGACATCACGGGGTTTATGTATGTTAAACGTCAATGCTTTTTTCAAAATCCAGGTGTTGGTCAGCTTTTCTGCGTGTGGGTGCTGAGCAGTGTATGGAGGTCAGGATTGGGGCCAGCAGGCAATGTTAAATTACCCCCTTCTGTGCAACAGTTCATCACCACATTGAGTTGTCTTCTGTAGGGGGATGATGGTAGAGAGAATCCCCAGGTTTCATATTCAGATGTCAAGATTGGAAATTGAGCAAGTGAGCTAGAGCAGGGATGTATTGGTAGACAAAACTATTGTAAATGAGTCCCATCTCCCTTTGGGGCTGGAGTGTACTCCAACTTCTTACAACTATATACTTAAAAGTGTGCCAGTCCCTTGACTGAGCACTTCCTTTCCCTTGCCTCCATGATGCAAAGTTGGGTCAGAGGATGGTGGTTCAGGTGAAACACTTTCTTGCTTTAATATGAGGCTCCTGAATTAGGCTTGTGCTGACGGACAGAAGCTTTGGCATTAGCGGTTTTAAATATTTATGGGTCCCCAATTATAGCTTACACCAGTGGCTTTCTTTTTCTCTCCCGTGCAGCCTATGGCCCTGAAATAAAGGACTTGGCACTCATGACTTGCTACATCATCTGAAAAGTGGCTGGCTTGGAATCAACAAGCTTTTATGAGCCTGCTACATCAGAAGAGTAGCCAGCTTGCACCTTCAAGGCTTTGAAGAAGCATCCTTTGTCCACCCATGGGGTGTCCTTTCCCTGCAGCACGTGCAGGATGAATGAGGTGATGCACTGTTCTTCTGGTTACCATGCGACAGATTTTCACCATGCTGCTCAGGGAGGTGCTATTCCTTATGACCCCACGGAGGCCATTGCAGACAGATGACTCAAGAAGAGCTACAGAAACTCTTTCATCCCTTCTCCCCTCACAGCTTCTGTCTCCTGAAATGGAGCAGAATGTGGAAGATAGCAGCAGAAAGTGGAGGATGACCTGTCATATGTGATACAAGATTACATCTCTTCTGGACTAAGTCTGTGTCTTGAAGGCTGACTTGCGGTCAATTTATCTTGCGCATAGGTTGTTTAACATGGTTCTGAACCATGGAAAGTTTTCCATTGTCTATGTGCCTCTCAAAAAACTGAGGGGGCATACATGAGATTACTTTCTGAAGGTACCCTCCTACGTGCGCTCTGGCAAAAATGGGATAGATGCAGCCAAGATTGGATTGTTTACAATTTGAACATATATTTTGGCACTCGTAGTATTTTGTTTTCCTACTGCAAAGAAGCCATTTTAACAAAATTTAGCATGTGCCATTGTACGAGGAGATCAAAGATGGAAATACTGTGCCTTGCAATCCCTGTGTGTATGTATATTCTGTTTTCAGTCTTGCAAGCTACATCTTTCATATTTGGCTTTTTTTTCGCCCTCAGACAGCATACCTGAAGGCGAAACAAATTTGGTTAAATGGCTTCGTGGGAATACTATCCAGTTCTTACTAAGGTTTTCCCCCCCTCTGTTGCAACATGTTTTTTGACACAAAGTTGAGGTTGTTTCCTAGTTTTTCAGATGAGTAACTGAAGTAAAAGTTTATTTGACCAAAGATCCTTTGAGAAGACCATCCAGGCTACAAGCAGGCCTCATAATCCTTGTGACTGTTGGTTTGGCTTGTGCTTCCTCCAACCAATACCGTTTTCTTTTGCTGCATTCATTACGAACTACAGAACAGATTCTGCAGGCTCTCCCATTTTGGAAATCTCAGATGTGAAAAGTATCAGAAGAGGCAGTTGGCCTCTCCTAGCTATATACTGCGTTCTTCCTGACAAGGAAATTATTTAAGTGTTGGTTTGTTTGTTTTTAAAGAAGCATTTCTGTGAAATGTGTTTGGCATACTTGATAATTTCATATTTATAATTCTTCCCCATTTTGCCAATTGTAACTTATTTAATTTTAATAAAAACCCGAGTGGAACTATTATTTTGGTGGTTATCTTTTTGGTTTTGTAAAAAGCCCTAGTCCCAAACACATCAGTTAAAGAACCTCACCAATTGAGGAATTCTCGATTCCAAACCTTAGCAGCCAAGCAAAATCCCTCAGTCCACAGACTACCAGCCTTTCCACAGCACACTGTTTGGGAATCCTTTTACCAACCTAAAAGATTTCTGGGCCTTGGTTGATGTAGGGGGCCTGGCCCTGCCTTGAGACAAGCCTTTGTCTTGTGTCAGCAGAATGCAGTGGCCCACCTCCTAGCTTTGACATGGCAGCAAAAACCTTGTAAATAGACAGGGCTGATACAGGTCATAAACCAAAATATCTGAAAGGCTGCTCAGGGTCCAGGTGGTTTGTGAGCTCTTGAAGCAGGGTAGTGCCCTTCATCCTAAAGCTCTCAAGGTGAGGAAAAGGTCTAAATTTGGGGGAAGATGGATGTAAAAGACTTAATTGGTTCTTAAAGTAGGAATGGGGCAAATAGTTTACAGTTTTTTATTAATTACACTTATATCCCACCTATTCACTTAGGAGTTCAGGATGGCAGACATAGTTTTCCCTCTCAGTTTCATCTTCACAACCCTGTGAGGTAGGTTTGGCTGAGAGGCAATGACTGGCCCAAGGTCACCAGGTGAGGTTCATGGCCATGTGTGGATTTGAATCCTGGTTTGTCCAAGGTCCTAGTCTGACACTTACTGCCTCACTGCATTCAAGAGAGCTTGACAATATTGCAGGTTTGGCTAGCCAGGTGGGATCTGCCATTTCCCAACACCTTGAGTAGATGAGACCTATGTGTGTGCATTCCCTGCAGCCTGCAAATTCTCCACCTGGGTGACTCAAGCTGCTGCGTTCCTTGCTTTAGCACACCTGTCCCTGGCTCCTTCCGATTCTGGTTTCCCCATCCAGAGGATTGCAGCAATTTCCAAGCCATCATATCCTGTTTAATCATCGCTCTGGACTCTGCAACCAGCCTCTCTCCCATGACTAGGGACAAGGGCTGCTTTTAATGGGCCTGTGTGGGTGGCATCTGCGTGACTCACTCTGGTTAGTCCACCCTAGCCCACAGCCAGACACAAACAGATGCAGCAAATGTGGAGGGATGTGACTCAAACCTTTGGCGGCCAAGGAGCCTCATTTTGGAAACGAAGCTGGAAATCGCCTCGAGGCAGTGGCGTGTGATCGGGAGAGCAACCTGTTAACAAGCCAAGCCCAGCATGTGAACGGTGAGTCTACAACTCCAAAGGAGAATTTGGGGCAGGATTTGGGTCAGCTTGATGGCTAAAATGGGTTACACTGATATACCTGAAGTGCCACAGCAGCTGGTCTTTTCTTCAAAAGACACACCTGGACGTAGCTGATTCCCATTGTAAGCATAATGTTATCGGGGACTGTATCCCTACGTTTGTGTTATGCGAGCCCACCATTTGTGACTGGTGCCCCCATTGGTCCAAAAAGGTTGGCAACTCGTGATTTATGGCACTAGTCCTCAAACATTTTCAGTCCTAGGACACACTTTCAACCCAAAGTTCCTACAAGGGCCCTACTTTTGATTTTTTTACACCATACAGTGGTACCTCGGGTTAAGTACTTAATTCGTTCCGGAGGTCCATACTTAACCTGAAACATCACTTTAGCTAATGAGGCCTCCTGGTGCCGCCGGAGCACAAAAGTTCTTAACCTGAAGCACTATTTCTGGGTTAGCGGAGTCTGTAACCTGAAGCGTATGTAACCTGAGGTACCACTGTATATATTGTTACTGTGGGAATGTTGCTGCTGTGACCCAGGAGTTGAAGAATGAAGAATTCATCTAGCAAGTGGAGCTTTTTGCTGCAAGTTAAGGGTTAATATTGATACATGAAGCAATGTGTCTTGCTCAGTTTTCCTTCCTGTACTTGTTAAAAAGTAGGAAAGAAACATAAAAATATGAATAAATCTATTGAATTTTCATAGAGTATGGGAGGTACATAATGTGTTGCTATAACTGAATCCATGTGTGAGATTGGCTTAATTTCAGCAATAACTCGGGTGAAAGGAGTCATGCAACCTGTTGGTGTGGACCCCACTGGTATAGGTAATTCTCTAGTTGCCTGACAGACTGTGTGAATGGGGAAAACATTAACCGCTAATATGTCTCAACCTTAGTGTCCCTCTGGAGCTAACTCATGGTGTTTCCTGTTGAATAGATAGAGAACTGTAGAAATTGTAACACTGTTACTCTTGGGGGAAGGAAAATGGAGGTAATTTTTATCTTGAATGGTTTGGGGTTTTTTTTTTTGATAGACCATGAATAATTTTCTTCAAAACGGTGCAAGTAAGTTCACAATCTAATTGGCAGAAGAGTATTCTGCCTCAGTTTGTTGGGTATGTTTTAGCTCTGAATTGCTTGACTCTTTTTGCTCTACAGTGGTACCTTGGTTTACAACCATAATCCGTTCCGGATGTCCGTTTGTAAACCAAAACAGGTTGTAACCCAAGACACGCTTTCGCTAATGGGGCCTCCAAAAAAATTTGTTCGTAATCCAAAAAAAATGGGTTGTAATCCAAAAAAAGGTTGCAAATTGGGACACGCACTTCCGGGTTTGACATGTTTGTAATCCAAAACGCATGCAAACCAAGACGTATGCAAAGCAAAGTACCACTGTACTTAAATCAGGTGTTACATTTGTGCTTCTAAAATTTTACTTTTTGTCTTTCTGGTTTTCCAAACGCTGCCTCCCCTCAAAGGTGAGCTTGGGTCAGCTCTAGGTAAAATCTCCCATGCAAGTTCATTCATTTTAAGAAGCTGGTGATTAGTTGAAGTTTCAAAAGGGGAGTGGGGCGAGCAGTTGGGAGAGGGGGGTTGACAGCCTGGAGTCAGGCAACTGAGTGACTGTGTGTGTGTGTGTTAGGGGTAGAGATCAAACTAGTGGAGGGGAATAAAGACACGGCAGTAAAAAATAATATATCAGGCATCCACTACCAATCACAATCAATTTTGAATGGATTGGGTTGGGAATGAGTGAGTAGACTAGGAAATCATACAAGTGTCACCTGCAGTGTAGGAGGAATGGCCAATAGTTTTGCATGCAGAAGGCCCCAAGTGCAACGCTCACGTCTCTAGGCAGGGCTGGGCAAGACTTTGTCAAACTATTGCTAGTCACATGTCAATGGAACTGAGCTTGGTGGCCCAATGGTCTGACTAAACACCATGACACTTCCTAGTTTCCTCTATTGCACCAATAGGAATTCAGCCAAGCAGCCTTCCCCCAACCTGGTGTCCTCCAGATGTGACCCTTTTTTTTAAAAAAAAGAGCAGTATGTGCCAGAAAAGCTGTGTATTCAACAGTTTGGCGGAATAAAACCCTTGTAAATTTCTTTTTGGCAGTGCTCTTACAATCTGTGATGGGTCAGGACAGCTGGGTGGGTGAAGACATCAAAGAGGCTACCCTGATGAGAGGTGCTCCAGATAGCTGAACAGAAAGAGTCTGGTTGCCTGTGATTCTCGTTCAGTCCCTTCACAGAAGCTGTACCTTGCCATGGCTTTCTCAGAACTTCAGTGGCTGGAACGAAAGGTTAGATTTTCCTGCAGAGCTTTTCGCAGAGGGTTAGGCTGACCTCTGCTGGTGGGAAGGGTTCCTAGCTTGTGCCATAAACTTCACCACTTGCTTTTTTTCCTTTAGTCGTCTTGTTTTCTTTCATAGAATTTTAGACCACGAGGCTCATCTAGTCCAACCCCCCGCAATGCAGGAATCTTTTGCTCAATGTGGGGCTTGAACCCACAACTCTGAGATTAAGAGTCTCATGCTCTACCAACTGAACTATCAAGAGCTTTCAAGCGTGGAGTCTCTAAACGGCCTATATGGCTGCATTGAAGCGCAAAGCCAGACCATCTTCATTTTTGGCCCCCTCCTGCTTTGCACCTGCACCACACAAAGAACCTCACTCGGCTCCTGCAGCTTCCTCCTGATGTCCCAGAAATGGGACTTGCTGGTGGATGGCCAGAGGCTGAATTTGGACATCATCTCCTTTTCTTCCCCATTGCCCAATCTTTAGTGTAAATGGTTGAGAGCATATAAAACAGCAACCTTCTCCTTCCATGCCTAGTCCTGAGCAATCTCAAGCCTTGGTGACCTTTTTGGCATCTGTATTGCACTCCTTGACTTCAGGCTCTGAAATGCCCTTCCCAGGGAGTCCCGCCAGGCCCTCACCCTCCTCCTGCCAACAGGTAAAGAGCACTGGATTTACATGGGTCTTTGCCTGCATTTTAGTCATTACTCATTTTTCTTAATTGGCGGCTGGCTTCATTTATGGGCTTTGCCTGCTCTGCTTTTGGCTTGTAGATTGCCACTTGCCTTAACGTATGTGTTTTATTGTGGGTGTGAGCTGCCATTTACACCAAGAGGAGAGGTGGGAGGAAACCTGAATAAATAAATAAAAATAATCTTGAGCTGTTCCTACATACCCATTTCCCCCTCTTCAATAACAAGGGCTGAACATTTCCAAAATCCTCTGCGCGAGAAAGGCAAATGCTATTTACCCCATTTCTTCAAGCCTCGTTTCATCTGTTAACAGTCTTGCACGGAAAAGTGCTTACATTAAATCCATGTGTAAGTCACTGCATGTTCATATTTTGCAAAGGTGCAGATGGCGGAGAGCACTGTAAGCTCAGCACACACAACTGCTAACAAATTTCATCTTCAATGCTTATGTGTACCTTTTTTAAATGTGCAAAGCAACCTTTTAGATTCTGTGAAAATGACACAGAAACTGCAGTGGAAACAAATGACGCAACAGCAAACCTAGCCTCCCCTTTCAAGCACTGCCAGAGCCCCATTTCTTCTAAGCCACCCACACAAAGGAGGCACAACGCACCCAGGTGATGTAGCCAAGGAAACAGTGCCTTTATTCTGTAAGATTTAAACAAGAAGTGACTTGAGATCCGGCAACAAAATCCAGGAGCGCAGAGCTGGCCCTCCTGTTGCCCCTTCTCCCTGCCCCCCTCCTCCTCCAACAACTTGCTTCTAAGGAAGAGGCTGGCAGGAAGGAGGGGGAAAGAGGCAGCCCCCTTGCCCGCCCGCTCAAAGCAGGGGACACTCCTGGAAGGAGCGCACCTTCGGGATCTGGCTTCCCCAGAGTTCCAGATGCAGGGAGATGGTGGTGGAGTTTGCTCCCCACACTATGCGTTCTCAGAACAGAACATGGCTAGGGAGTGTGTCCCCCTCCCCAGACTGCCCCATTATCGCCCCTGCAAGGGGTCCAAGCACAAGTGGGAAGGGGGTTAAACATACAGGATGAGTGTGTATACATTATATATATATTCATATTTATAGAGTCACTTTGCAGTGCTTCTCAAAGGTTCAGCACTGCCTGGAGCTAATGCCTCAAGGCAGGCAGCCCCCTCCCCTGTCACAAGCAGGAGACTCCAAAGGTGGAGCCCTGGGAGCCTAATTCCAATTCCTGCTTTTCCTGCCCACTTAAAAGCCTCTGGCCAGGAACAGAACCCAGATGGGCCCTGGCTCCCAAACATTTCTCCCTGGCTGGTTTTGAGACCTGCCTCCCCACACCCAAGAAGGGAGAGAGGAGGTGCTTGGGAGACAGCATCTAAATCTAACACAGGAGGTTGAGGTGGGCATTATTCACCCACCCTCCCCACCGCCCAGGCAAAACCACCAACGTGATCAGAAAATAAAAGAGGAGAGGCTCGAGGGGAACCACGTGCCCCTCCCTTCTGCCAGAGGCAGGACCTGTCCAGAAGCGACCAGGTAGGCAAGTTAGCCCAGGTGCCCCATCAGTCGTCTATGCAAATCACCTCCCCACTTTTCGCCTCTTTCTTCTCCAGGCTCTCTCCTTCTTTTTCCTTCTTCACAATCACAGGGGGACCGTTGGCTGCAGTTGCACAAGCAGAGAGAGAAAAAGGCAGGGTTAGCTGGAGGAACGACTCAGACATGCAGCTCCCAACTCTTGCTTGGTGCTCCCTCCTGCCCACTGAGAAGGAACAAGAGGAGGAGGGCATACTGGTGGTGAGAGCCATCCCCCGCTATAAGTCACCACCATTACATAGCCCACTTCTGACCACAGAAGCTGCTGTTTTGGCTAGCAACCACAAAACATACTTCTTTCCCCGCCCACATGTTCTAATCTTTTTAGAAAGCCATCATCAGCATCAGAAAGGAGAAAAAGAGGCAAAGCCTCAAAATGGTATTGTGCAGGGTGGTGGTGAAATTTAATAAAATCATAAAATGCCAAACATATTTTGCTGAATTTTTAGGGGCACTGAAAAAAACAACCAACCATGAAAATCCCTCATCAACTTCCACGTTCTGACATCCTTGACCCAAGGAGAGAAGCTACAATTGCTGGACTTCCTTCAACACCCATTTAATGACCTTTCTTCCCCCAGACTACCCAGGAATCTTCATTCCTCGATGGGTTTCATTGTTAAGTAGGTATGAGTCTGGTTAGTGACTGGATCAGAGAATGCTATCTAGGGTCCCATGTCAAAGACAGGAATGCCAGAATATCAAAAATGCTCATTCTGATTTGTTGCTCTAAGGATGTATTTTGGTCCAGGAAGGAGACAAAATCCCGCCCCCCCGCTGGCCCCACAACAGTGGGGGTGGGTGAACTGTGGTCAGAGATCCCACATGCAGTTTCAATTTGCCCTTGCCTGCTCTTTCCCCAGTCACCCACAACCAACCTGTGATGAAGGAGCCAGTTGGCATTTGGCTGTAGTTGGCACCCATAGTGGGCAGCGTTCCGCCAGGGGTGGCACCAAAGGAGCCCCCAAAGCTTGGAGGAGTGGCATAGGGCCCAGGGGGGAAGGCCTGTAAGAAGAGAAGAAGAAAAAAAGAAGAGGGAGAGGGCAACTGAACTCCAGCCACAATGCAGAGAAATGCCACAAGAGAACAGGTGGTAATAATATGTCTGTCTGGAAGGACCATCCCTCCAAGTCTTAAAAGTTTCACAACCTGTTTTATCAGTTGTGTTCCAGGCTGCCTTCACACCAATAGAAGCAAAACCATGCTAGGCCCTGTTGTGAGCTGCCCTCCACCCCACTTCACTGGCCAGTCAGGGAAACGAGAGTGGAGCAAGGAGCGGACGGTTACCGGGGCAGTCTGCGTCTCGTTCCCCTTGCTTGCCAAGCGGCTGAGGATGCTGCGTTCGGACATCTGGAGGCGGGCGGCAATTGGAGGGATGCGAGAGAGCGTGGCTGGCAGGCGCGTCACGTCCGCTTTCATGTCACTGAGAAGCTCCTCAAGCTGGTTCAGCACTGGTAGGAGAGAGAAAGGAGGAGACAGAAGGAGAAAGAGACCGAAATCTGTCAGGGGGGACAGAGCCCAGGTTAACAGTCGACCTCTCCTGGAACCCAAGAACCCCTTGCCAAACCTATCCTGCATTTCACCAAGTTCATGGGGGCTGGGGAAGCGGCGTGAGATTTGCTCCTGAGCCAAACTCACTCCATGGACCCTCCTAAAATGAGCTAGAAGATCCATCCATTCTTTCTGCCCACCCGTCGTAGAGAAGGGATTTGGCCCACTTGCCAGATTGTTCATCACCAAGCACAGAGGAAATACTCTCCCAAAGGATAGCTACCAGGCACTGGAGACTCTCGGATGAGCCCAAGCAGATGGAGGGAAATGAATGCACCAAGATGGGAGACTAAATGCAAAGGATGCTCACACAGTATTTGGGAGGGTGGGGGACACACCAGAGAAACTCACAGGAAAACAAACCAGATATACTTGAGAAATGCACCAGAGACAGCAAAATATTTAAGAGACACGTGGATGGGGACAAATGTGAACCAGTGCTACTCACAGAATACTTGGTGGAGAAATACACAAGTGATACTTAAAAGCGCATGGAGCCAGGTATCTCAGAAGTGCTCCATGTGAAACTCAAGAGAATTTTATGGGGACTTTAAAAAAAGAAAAGATACATCAAAAGCACTGAATATGATTGTGTAAGAGGATAGTCTGGAGGGCATAATTCCACTGCTACACCGAAAGATACTCAGTGGACTACTCAGCAATCATGCTTGGGACAGAGAGGAGAGGGGAAATGTTCAGAAGATAAAAAGATGTTTTGCAGATGTCCAGCAAGCACACAAAGGATTGTTGGCAGATACTCAGAAGATATTTGTGGATACTCCATGGATAGACCAAAGCAGATACACCAGAGATACACAGAGCAGGATCAAGGAGACAACTGTACACAGCGGCTTTTCTGATCACAACCGCACTTTAATGGATTCAGAATGTGGTACAGAAGGAGGACGCTGCACAGAGGCGCGGGGGGCGGGGTGTAGGGGGTTCACATGGACTGTCCTCTCCGGGCCCTCCTACCCGCCCGCCTCTTACCCTTGTGCAGGACGGCGTTGGCAGGCTTGTTGCCAGCCAGAGATTCCTTGGACAAGTGCTGGTGGCTCTCGGCCAAACACTCCACCTCGGCAAAGCGGGTGTTGAGGGCCATGGCCGGGTGGCTGGGGTCCTGAGTCATGTTCAGGTAGGCGGCTCTCCGCAGCTGCTCTTCAATCACCAGGGCTTGCTCCAGAAGCTGAAGGAAGGAAATGGAGAGATGGAAAATGAGGTGCTTTGAAAAACTGCCATTTGGCCCAACGTGGCTTTCCTCTCAAGGTAACCAAAACCAGGACTGGGCAATAATTTGCAGATTCTTCAGTACTGATTAGTTTAAACAAATACAGTTAATTCTGGCTCTTGTAGGCCACAAAGAGGGAAATTAAACTATGCAGAATACTGAAGTACCCCTGAAAGGCTTACACCTCCACTGCCCCACTTTAAGGATTTCAGGTTCTCCCCAGGCATTAGATTCAAACTTATTTTCATAACCATAAGGACTAGAAACCTGTTTATAAAAGCTGAGATTATTTTGCACCCCAAAATACATTTGTGATTGTGGAAATATGTAATTGTCTGGATATACGCCTGGTTTATTTCAGAAGCCGCTGACATCGTCGTCGTCCTCAGATTGGCAACCTCTGGTTACACTGCCAACGTTAACACAGCTTCAACTTTAGCTTCAAAATGCTGAAAGCAAGCTTTTGAATTACACAGACTGCTGTGCCTGAAGTAGCCGTGCTCTGTGACTGCCAACTGGCCCCAAGCCCTTCATTCTATTGTCTGGTCCCATCAATTCATCCACACCTTGAATCTTCTGGCAAGGAACTTGTTCTTCATCTCCAAAAAGTTTCCCTTGTTGGCTTCGGTCTTAAAGGGCTCATTGATGATGGCGAACTGGTTGTCATTCTGGATATCCTGCCAGCGAGCGTAGCCGTGACTGTAGAGAGGTGCAGGGGCATTAAGGAATCTTGACAGGCCACAGGGAACCCACTGCCACTTCCCAGCAAGGCAGGGGAACAAGGAACTGCCTGGCATGAAGTCACAGTCTACAGCTTATGGTTCTGCATGGTTATCTACCCTGAACCAAGAGGCCATAAAATGCCTTTCCCAGCCTTGAAGCTATGAGAGAAAGTCTGGATCTGCTGTTCCCTGTCAACACACACAGCTCCATAAACATAAAAAAGCATACAACAGCAAGAAAAAGCGTTTGAACCTTTGTTTCCCTCAGAAATAAAGGAATGGAGGAGGTGGCAGACTTGGTATGAAATATTAAAAGACACCTGGGGAAGAAGTCCCATTGAGCCCTGCTGGGCAAAGATGCTTGGGATCACAGGACATGATTAGGAGAAAACCTTTTGGGCAGATGACTGCCTATGGAACGTTTCCTTTCAAGGCTAGAAGGAGAAGATGCTGGGTCCTAGTCCCTGCCAGGCAATGGTTGGATAATCCTCCAGGAGCAGCAGGGCAGCCCCTGAGCAGCTGCTGGGCTCTTCTCCCATGCTAGGACGCTTTTTCTCCACGGTCAGCAGCATTCAAGAGGGGGAAACACTGAAGTCATGTTTGCTATACAGAACGCCAGCAGCGGACATGCCTAGCACAGAGAACAGTCGCTGGGTCTTTTCCCTGCTCTAGACAGCTGTTCAGAAGGTGCCAAATCTCCCTTTGAATCAGCCAGTGACCGATATTGGAGGAGAGTGCCATAACCAAGCCCACTCCCAGGTTAGGCACTAATCCTATATTTCTGTTACTCGCCTCTCTGTAGTGTCACATCTCTCGCCAAGGGCTACACCTTTCGCTGAGGAAGAGCTCAAGTAGGGGTTTCCAGGAGGTGAGCTTGGCTCTCCTTGCTTGCCATGAATCAGCACACACACACACACACACACACACACACACATACTGCTCTCCTGGGTCAAAGGATACAGAACAATGCCCGCCAGTAGCCAGTAGTCATGTCGGCGGTGCCAGATCTCATTAAGCTTACTGGAGGAGATGGCGGCTCGCTCCTCGTTCTGCCACAGGGTGTGGAGCTCTGAAGAAAGAGGGGGGGGGGGGGGAGAGATGTCCACAGTCAGTGCTACTCTCGATGAACTCCTGGCAAAATTAAATGCACTGTTTCTCTTCACAAGGTGACCCAGCTGGCACCCAAACAGTACAAGTTACTTCCACACTAAGTGACCTAGTTCACACATTATCCACTTAAGGGAGAGAGCGTCTTTCCCTAGTTGGCCCAAACAAGGGAGAGGGCCACTCTCTACACACCTACACACACACACACTTGCCAGGTCACTCTCTATCCCAGCACAGGCTCCTCACATTGTGGGTCTGCACCCGAAGCCACAACATACCCGTGAAGCCACCGTCGGCTATGTTGAACATGAATCGGGGCTTCTCAGTCTTCTCCTCCTTCTTGCCATTGTTCCGGTTTTCATCTTTGATGCTGCTAGCTTTGGGCTCTTTTCCAGGCTCCCTCTCGGCTTTTGCCTCTTCTTGTAAGAGGGAGGGTAAGAACAGGGAGATGAAAGAGGCCACCAAGCCCTGAATTCTCCATCTCCCTCCTGTAGCTTCTGTGTCCCTCCCCACAGGCTTCCCCGCTGGAGGGGGTTGGCAAAATTCTACATAAGCCACACCCTCAAATCTAAGGCTTGCCTCCCTCCCTCAAGGCCATGTGGAGTCACCCTGCACATGTCAGCCAATTTCTGGAGTGGGAAGGGGGATCAGAGACTGGTGGTCTTTGTCCTTTCCCAGACTGGACCTTCAAATCCTGCCATCGGGCCATTCCCAGCAACCAGGGCAAGGCAAAATGTGGGGAGGGGGCGTTAAAAACTGGAAAGTATCACATGACCCCTTCCCAGTGAGAGTCCTAAACTGCTCATTTCCCCCCAACTTGCCTAACCCCCGAATGGTGACACAGATTCAGCTCTAGGTTGCAAAGGGCTTTAGTTCAAGCCCTGCGACCACATATGGGTTAATCCCTCTACAATTCTGCCTCATAAAGCCCATGTTACCTTTTTTCACTTCCTGTGCCTCTCCCTCAGCCTTTTCCTTACTCTCATCACTCTCTGTGGGTTTCTCATCTGCCATGAGTTTTTCGGGATCAGCATCTGGAACTTTGGAAAGTGCAGGGGAAATGTGAGGTATGGGGGTGTCACTTGGAGTATCTGATGTCATACAGTGCTGTGTAGGATCTTCACTATAATCTGTTACCATTTCCCCCCAAAAGGAACAGCCAAAGCTTCCTGCCCTCTTTGAAAATGGAACATTGGTTGCTTATCATGACACGGGGGGGGGGGGGGCGTCCCATAGAACCATGGGCACTACCTCCACAACACCACCACACACCATCCAGAGAAGATACAAGCAAGGTGGAAGTTTGGCTAGAACTCCCACTGATGACAAGCTCTTCTCAGGTCCACATTCCTTGACAGTAAAGAGCAGGTGAGGATTCTTGAGGCACATTTGCACCTTCCTTTTATTACTCAAATGCATTTTCCCCACGTTCCCAAAGAAGGACAGTCTTCAGTGCTCAGATCTAGAACCATTCCCCCTCCATCCCCATCCTTATAAATCTTTACCCAATTTCTCTTTCTCTTCCTTGACTGCGGGCTCGGCTTCTGTCTCCTTCTCCCCAAGTGCTACCAATCCCTCCTGATCAGGCTTCTTGGACGACTCCATTTCCGCTTTTTCCCCTGAGAAGGTGGCAGAAGTGGGCTGCTCGGGGGCTGAAGGCTGAGAAATGCAAAATAACAACCATTTTCCACCACCCTTTGAGCAAGTGATACATTGCTAGGAATTCCACACAGCAGGGAAGTGAATTAGAGATGATGTAGCGCTACTAAAGGGGATTTTGTGGTTGAAGTTTCACTGTCTGCAACTGGAGCTACTGCTTAACAGTGGAATCCTCAAGCTGTTGTTTCTAAAGGCCGGAAGCTTTTAATTTCAAAATTAGTGGGAAGAAGAGAACAGGGCACATCCACAGAACGTTGGTTGTTGCCTTCAGCGCCAATAATCCTGGTAATTTCCCCAGGAGCTCTGCTTTTGAAAGCATTCCCAAAATATCTCCCCCCACAAGGTACACCAAACCAGGCAGCTCTATTGCTTGGAGGACCACCTGAAAGAACCCCTCCCTTGCACAAACACAAACCTCAACCTCCATTTTCTCGCCACCCTTGGCTTCTTTCTCCGGCTTCTCATCTTTGGCTTCTGGGTCCTCCTTCTCTGCCAGGGTTGCCCCATCTCCTTTGTCACTGGGAGCCGGGGTAGCTGGTGGGATGGACACCAAGGTAACAGTCATCCTCTCCTTCAAAAACACTTTTGCACTATAATCCTGTAGACCTTAGGACCAATCCAAAGCCAAGATAAACTGCAGCCATTCAAATCTACATGATGCTTATCATTTTAACAAACCAAGTTTTTATCTAATGTATGCTAGCATTAATACAGCCACCTCCTTAAACTGAATCTGGTTTCATTAACACCGGTATCAATGTAAAGCGACTTTGTCTTAGACCCTGGGGCAAAATTCTAAGCTCTTTTGAGAGTGATATCTATTTGGAATGAATAGTAAATGTAGCCAGCCCCAATGCTCAGAGATATGGCAGGATAGAAATCCTAAGAGACTAGCAACATGAAGGAAAATACCTTCACCTATTGGCCAGATTCTGAACCCATTAGGAGGGTCTCTGGCCTTTTGGTTGGAAGTGATTTGGCATTCCTCCCACCAAGAGATGCTCAGTGTTTCCCATTGCTCCAGGGGGCATACCTGGCTTGGAGGTGCAGGGGGTATTGGTGCAGCTGGGGTCTGGGGTGGTGGTGGAGGTTTTGATTGTGGGAGATGAAGCTCGGGATGACTTTTTGGAGTCAGCGCTGGGGTCAGGCATCAATTCAGGCATGCTCCAGCGACCATTAATGTGTTCAAACTCTTGCACCTGCCATACAAAAAGATATGCAGCCCACTGTGAGCAAACACATTTTCGCTGTGTTAGATAAGGGCCGCAAGAACAAGCCCAACAGTAGAAATATTGAGGAAGGGGGGAGGATCCCATGGACTCAGTCAGGCTCTCATAGAAGAGATTCTGCAGTCAAGCTGTTCTGAAACAGAAAAATCCCACAACAAAATACTGGCATTCCCATTCATTCCCTTTAAAAAATCATGCTAATAGCCTCAAAGCAGACAAAAGTTGTGGTTCGGTCTCATGGCATTTAAGTATCTCACTTTTGTATGATGAGAATTTTAAAATTCAAAGAGATGCTGAATTCCAGGAATACTTTGAAAATAATAAGGGCACTACTTCTTCCCAGGCTATTGAATGGGAAGTCTATATTTGAGTAATAATAGCATATGCTTCTTACAGGAGACAGACTAGAATTTCCCAAGAAGAGAATTTGGAGAAAATAGTGAATTGTCTTTTAAGCATCCTGTTCTTCAAACTGAAGGTTGCAATGCACATAATATTAACTATATTATGCTAGAGCTGAATTTGCACTGGCTTATTTGCACCAGAGCTATGGGGATTGTGGAGAGAGGATGGGTAAAATATTGGCTTGTTATTTAAAGCAAGAAGAAGAAGAGGGAGTTGGAATTTACCTGGTTAATGGTGAACAAGAAAACCAAGATACTCAAGAACACTTCCTTTTCCTTTAGAGGAAAGAAGCCATGCTCAAACCCACGCATAATAATTTCTTAAGGGAACTGGATGATTTCCCTTTACCCACCCACTGCCTTTCCTACCCTGATGGTCAGATTCCCTACCTTTTTCTTCACCAGAGACATGACACCTATCCGTGTCAGGACCTGCTGCCTCGAGAGACCTTCCCTGGGCACCCCATCGGCAAAAGTCTCAGAACCGTCAGCCCCAGGCTCGCAGAGGTGTCTCATGAATAGTGAGACGTATGCCCTGAAGAAATATAAAATCCAACAGGCTGAATGAGAATTTATGCAAGGGGGGGGGGGAGCACCAAAGTTAAGATCCTGATACATTTCCCCATGGATGCTCAGGGGACAGAGCAACTCCCCTATGAAGAAAGGTTACAACAGATAAAACAAATATCTGAAGTGGTGTCACATGGAAGATGGAGCAAACTTGCCTTCTGCTGCTGCGGAGGGTAGGACCCAAACCATGGATTTAAATGAGAAAGGATATCCTGACTGAATATTAAGAAGAACTTTCTGACAGTAGGAGCTGTTTGGCAGTGGACTGGAATACCAGGGAAGGTGCTGGAGTCTCCTTATTGGAAATTTTAAAATGGAGGTTAGAAGGCCATCTGAAATAGATTTTTTTAGCTGTGATAGGCAGGGTGTTGGACGATGACACTTGTGCTCCCATTCTATGGTTCTACAAACATCTGGGGCTTTTTAGTTTAGGAAAAAAGCAAGTAGAGGGTGATAAATTTGTATGAAATTATGCAATGTATGGAGAAGCATTTTTGCTTCACTCCCATAATCAGTGGGATTATCCAGTGAAAATGAATGGAAGGCGAGTCCTTCACACAGTGCCTATAGAAACAAAATGTGCCAATGGCTGCCAATTTGGACAACTTTAAAGGCAGTTATCAATAGCTGTATGCTTCTTCCTGGATCAGAGTCAGCCTGCCTCTCAATACTCATTGCTGGCGATCCTGGGCAGGAGAGAGTGACTGCACTCATGTCCTGCTTGTAGACTTCCCCCGCTTGGGGCAACTGGCTGGCAACTGTGGGGGGGGGGTGCTGGACTATATGGACCTTTGATCCGATTGAGCTGGTTTCCTCTTATCCTCTGCATTTGGTGAGCTGCTGTGAACAGAATTATTTGGGTTTAAAGCAGGAGGAGCCTGCTTTGCGGCAGTGGATGGCACCTTAACATCTTTTGAAATAGGCTGCTGTCCATCTGCAAAAGCCAGCTCCTAACCAGTGGCTAGATTGCAGTGATGTCACAGTGCCTTTGTTTCCAGAAGCAATAGCACCCAAACCATGAGATGGGAGGAAAAGGAGGAAACGGAAAGGAATAGAAATACTGAACGTGGACCTGAACCCAAACACCCCACCTATGACAAAGACCCACACATTTGCCGTCAGATTTTCTTCCCTTGTCTTCACTCTGTGCGCACATAGCTCTGTAACTGTGGGCCAGCTTGGTAGATGCCAGAGCTTGGGTTCCCCAGTGCACCCGGGCACAGCCCCCCTTTGCTGAGGGACTGCTCTGGGTCTGCATGAGGGAGGGGAGGGTCACCTCTACACCTCACACTCCAGGAAACACAGACCCAAAAAATGTTTGGAGGGTTTGTCAGATGAGTAAGAACCATCATCACTTGGCAAATAGAGTCCTAGGGCTAATCTTTCCACCCTGTTCCAAGGGTACAGGGTCAGTACAGGCTATATGTCATGCTACACCTGAAAATGCCAAATCTGGCACTTGAACAAATTAGACTGAAAACTGCTTTCCTTGCATTTGCTTATTTTGTATGATATGTTCCAGTTGTTCATACTAGCAGGGGGAGTGCTGAAGATGAGCCTCCCTCGAGCGCTGGAGGTTTTAGCAGACATTGCTGGTATGCAGCCAAGCTTATCTTTGGGGCCAGAATGTCTAGAAAGAGTCTGTTTTCTTTCTTTTTCTTTTAATGAAAATAAGTTTCTTGAGATGCTGTGTGTTTGTGCTTGTATAGTAGGACTGTGACGTTTAGACAACCCTGGTTATAGCTGCTTTGCAGGAGGATCCTCAAAACTTGTTAATCAGGAGGCAGGATGAACCCTTCTTCCCCCTGGGAAGTGGAATGTCGCAGGACGCAAATCTCACACAAGACACCTACTTAAATTCTTTCTCCGTCTTGCCCCGCAGGTCCCGGACCAGCCACTGGGAGGTGAAGGCATCTTGTGGAGGCATGCCCCAGCGCATGACGGCATTCAGGAAGGCCTTTCGCTGGCGGGTGTTGAACCCGAGCACCTGAAGGAAGGTGGCACAAAAGCCAGGGTCATCCCCAAAGCGTCACTAATATGGCTACTGCTAGGGTCCCCCTAACTTCTAGGAAACCTAGGAAACTAGCCACTTGCCCACAGAGCGTAACTGTTGCCAAATTGCCCACCACTCAAGCTGTACCACAACACATAGATTTTGTAAACCGCTTTGATGTTTGCTTGCTTTTTTTACAATCAAGCAGTGAATAAATTTAATGAAATAAAAAATAAATAATGCCAAAGCACTGCTCCTTTTCCAGTCCCCCTTTCCCACAGACAAACTTCCTCTTCCCTGACATCTGCCTACAGAAACAAGATCGTCCAGTAGTCCAACCCATACTTTTTTCCTACTCCACAGTTCAAATGGTTGTTGGGGAAGTGGACCTGTCCCATCCATGTTTCCCCGCCCACCACTCAAAAGCCGTCCTCTCACCTCAATGTTCCCACCAACTCGTGCCAGAAGCGGGGGGAGAGGCTTGTCCTTCTCGTTCCGGAGCTGCCGTCTGGACTGTCGGCGACCTTGGCACGCAGAGCGAGAGACAGAGGCTTACGATCACATCCCTCCACTGCTCTAGTATTGCCGAGGCATGGCCGGGTGCCCAGAAAGCCTCGCCTGGCTTGGCAGGCAGGACATGGAGCAGGTCCCACCAAAGTCCCTTGTGCTGGCCTGCCCAAGGCCACACACTCATTTGGCCCGGGAAAGCCAGGAAGAGAACGCAGCCCTCCTCCTGGCATGCCAATAGGGAGGGAGGGCTGGCTGGCTGAGATCCCAGAAAGACATGTGCAGCAGGCTGCCGTGATAGAAAGCAACCTCCCATCACACAGAGGAAGGCAGGCCACCAGGAAAGAGCAAGTCCCACGGGGTTTGTTAGGTGCAATACAAGGCAGCGTAGGTCAAGAATCAGTAACACAAAAACGCGCGTGTACACACAGTTCACAGCCCTGATGGAATGCTGCACAAGAGCAAACCTCTGTTCCCAACCAGCCATATAGATTTGTTCCCTCTCTTTGCTTGGCAGGAGCTCACAAGCTGTGGATTGAGCATGGAAAGAGGGAGGATCCCTCCCCTGGGCCGAGAGTTGGACTATTACACAATCTTCAGGCTCCTTTCAGGGCACACCACATGCAGGAGAGGAAGGAAAAACAAGCCCTCACCTTCTGGCCTTTCGTCAAAGTCTTCGTCCTCCTCTTCAGAGCCCACTGAGTACTCGGACTGATTGTCTGAAACAGCATCAGGCCAGTTTGCAAGCAGTACAAGGCTCTTGCTTTTTCAGTGCTTCTTGCCCCCTCCCATAAACCCCACATCACCAGACGATCACTTCCATGCAAAGTGCTGGAGAGGTTGCTGGAACACAACCACCAACCCCCTTTTTTGAAAGCTGAAAATTGCTTAAGACACCAGTGACCAAATATATGACCAGGTTGGTTTTCAGGGGGGCATGTTAGTCTAGATTTCCTTCCACTGCATGATGGGAGAAGCAGTCCTACCTCCATGTCTTGCCCAAAAAAAACCACAGTCCTCACGCACTTTCAGCAGATGGAATCTGGTAAAACCTTACACAACGCAAAGAAGATGCAGTTCTGGCTCTGTTCCCCCCACAACCTCCATCAGGAATACTTCCTGAGGTCTAGCCACTCCAAGCATGCATAAAATCACTCCCCCCCCCCGCCGCATTTGCAGGTTTCAAATTACAAGAGAATGTTGGGGGGGGAGGTCAGGATAGGGTCCCTAAAATCTGGGGCCATTTTGTTCGGAGATAGGTTCAGTAGCCCTGAGAGTGCCAGGTGGCCACTCCTATCCTCTCAAGGGGACCCCGAAATGCTGACCTTGGTCCTCTTGGGCTGCATCATTGTAGTTGACCTGTTTGCGCACACGCTTCCCTTTTCCTAGGTTGCGAGCCAAGTCCTCCTGCTGCTGCTCGTAATGGTGCCGCAACAGCTTCTCCCAGTAGTCAGGGTCCACATTCTCCTCTTGTTTGATGATCTCCCGCTCAATCTCCTCAATCTGAGGCAGTAAAGAGAAGGTCGGAGTCACTGGGATGCACACGCTAGCACAAAAACAGTCACCCTTTGCAAGCGACCTGGTGGAGCCGCACACTCTGCACCCATTGCTCCATGGCTTCAGGCTCTCATCTGAAGCCCTGGAGCACAGCCTTGCTGCCTATTGAATCATCAGCCATGATCTCACAGCTGCCTTGTCCGACTGACCTTGTCCTCCTCCCGAACCACGTACTGAGCCACTTTGAAGGAGCTGAGGTACTCGTTCATGTTTTGGACGTCCGCATCATCGGTGGCATCCTGGTTACGGTCCAACAGCCGTGCAATGGCTTCGTTGTCATAGTGGATGACACTGCTGTCCTCCTCTTTGTTCTCTCCTGTAGCGAGGCGAGGAGAAGAAAAGGGGGCAAGGGGTAGGAGACTGAGGCTGAGACCTGGGAGACTGCTGCCAGTTTCACCGCAAAGGATGCTGCAATTTATGATCGATGGATTTCACCTTCAGCCCAAACCCTGATTCTGCACAGTACACTTTACACTGTAATGGCTGCAGCAAGAGATACCTGCATCATTCAACATAGCAACATGCTATGGTGCACCTGGCAGCCCAGGTGGCAGAAGAGGCCAAGCATACTGCTCAGCAGCTCTGTCTGATTAAAAGAATATAGCTTCCTTTGTTCAGCTTCCCAATGTGCAACAGTTATTCCTCTCCTAATATATATGAGGCTAGACTACTGCAATTAACTCTACTTGGGACAACCCTTGGACACTGCAAACAACTGCCTGCCTCTTGATGCATCACCCACAGCAGCGATCCTCTCACCCTCGTTTTCGTCCTTGAAGAGCTCCTCAGTGCCAAACTTGAGGATGTCATCCAGCTCCTGCTTGGACATGCTGCCCGACTTGGAGCCCAGGCCTGGGCGGACAACCAGGTGAGTCAGCATCATCTTCCGCTTGGCCACCTGCGTAATACGCTCCTCCACAGAGGCCCGTGTCACAAAGCGATAGATCATCACCTTGTTGGCCTGGCCAATGCGATGAGCTCTGCTGAAGGCCTGCAAAATGGGGGGTGAAAAACAACCCGAGAAAGTCAGGTAATGATGAAATGGCTTGGGGAGGATTATGGCCCTTAAGTCCTGATTTGGGTTTCTCACCTTAGGAACCAATAGGAACCATAGGGAGGGAGGGAAAGAACGGGACCTGCTTTGCAGCAATGGTAACATCTGAAGATATTTTAGGATAAAGCAGGCTGCTGCCCATCTGTATACTTGTCCCTAGCCATTGGCTGATCTGCAATGATGTCAGAGAACTCTAGTGACTTTGGTTCTAGAAGCAGCCTGCAATAGCACCCAAACCATGAGAAGGCAGGGAAGGGAGGAAACGCAGAGAAAGGGGAATAGAGAGAATTAACCCAAACACCCTGTACATGAAAGAGGCCTGTTGGAAAACTCATTGCTCCACATTTGCCATCAGATTTTCTTCCCTTGTCTTCACTCTGTGAGCACATAGGTCTGTAACTGTGGGCCAGCTTGGTAGAAGCCATAGCTTGGGCTCCCCAATGCACCCGGCCACAGCCCCCCTTTGCTGAGGGATTGCTCTGTGTCTGCATGAGGGAGGGGAGGGTCACCTCTACATCTCACACTCCAGGAAACACAGACCCAAAACCAAAAAATGTTTGGCGGGTTTGTCAGATGAGTAAGAACCATCATCACTTGGCAAATACCATGCTAAGGTTTAATTATCCACTCTGTTCCAAGGGCTCAGGGTCAACTGCAATACAGGCCTCTCTCATGCTGTTATCTCAAAATGCCTAATTTGGTACCTGAATAAAGTAGATGAAAACTACTTTCCTTGCATTTGCTGATTTTGCATTATTCATTCCATTTGTCCATGCCTTGGGTGGGAGTGCTGAAATTAGCCTCACTCTAGCCTAGAAATTTTAGCAGGCGTTGCTGGTACATGACCAAGCTTATCTTTGTGGCCAGAAAATAGCTTTGACTAAAAATTATCTCTGTGTTAATGAAAAGTAAGCTTCTTGGGATGCTGAGGATTTTGCTTGTATAGTTGGATTGTGGGAATGTCTATAACCCGTTGACCGCTGGTTGGCTAATGGGTGAAAAAGGGATGATAGATAAAATCAGCCTTTGGTCTGATCCAGAAAGGTTTTTTTTATTTTATTATTTACTTCATAAAATTAATATATTGATTGTAAAAAACAACAACCACACCCTCAAAGTGGTTCTTATGTGCAACCTCCGGTGGATCTACAGAATTATTATTATTTTTATATCCCACCTTTCCCCCTGATGTTTTAGATGCTTAGAAACATCTAGAAACATAGAAAAAAGCAATTATAAAAATAAACATAATATATACACATACACAGTGTATATATAGTTTATTAAAACATGCAGAGCATTACAATAAAAACATCACAGCACCAGCCACCTCCTTAAAAGCAGAAGTCCATAAGGAGGAGGGGGGCCCGCGTGATCAGGGGAGCAGAAGGGCCTACCTGAATATCATTGTGAGGGTTCCAGTCTGAATCAAAGATGATCACCGTGTCTGCTGTGGCCAAGTTGATGCCCAAACCACCTGCCCGCGTGGAGAGCAGGAAGCAGAACTGCTGAGCTCCCGGGGCTGAAAAAGAATGAAGACCTCAGTGAGTGAATCAGGAGGTAAGACATATGAACTGGACTCAAAATTCAGAACACAAAGTTGAACTCAGAAGTCAGGCTTAGGTATTTCATGCTTGGGAGCAGATTCCCAAGTATATCATGTCACTACTCCAGAGTAAAAATTATGGCTGCCTGCTCCAAGCTATGCAAAAACACCATGCTTAACCTTCAAGTTACAAGAGATTCCAACGAAACATCAAGAATAACTTTCTGACAGTTAGAGCTGTTTGACAGTGGAATGTACTCCCTCAGGAGGTTGTGGACCCTCCATCCTTGGAGGTTTTTAAGCAGAGGTTGGATAGCCATCTGCCATGGATGCTTTAGTTTGGATTCCTTCATTGCAGGGGGTTGGACCAGATGACCTTTGGGGGTCCCTTCCAATTCTATGATTCACCATGAATGTCCTTTCTGGTGTGGGGTAAACAAGGCATCTATTACTGAGGAGCTGGATCCTTCAGCTGCCCAGGAAAGGCAGAAAACATACAGCCAACTTTTGCAATCTAGTCTGGATTAGCAGACTACATCCCTGTTCTGTCTCGTGACGAAGCAAGAGACAGCTGAAGAGGAGTCGCTGTTTCAGGATTTTTTGTTCCTTCTACTGGACATTCCCTATAGTGTTGCTCTGGCCTACTGGCACACCTGCAACTCCTATCCTCTGTCAGCTGACAAAGGCTGAAGTTTTGGATGCCGATTCTGGCACTGACTTCTCAACCATGACAAGACCGTTGCAACTGACCCTCATGCCCAGCTTGTAGGTTCCCCATCAGCAGCTGGCTGACCACTATGGGAGACAGGATCCTCAAATAGATATACCTTTGGTCTGATCTAGTGGGGTTCTTCTTGTGGCATGTAGATGGATTCTTACAACCCATTCTAGTCCCAATCCAGAGAGAGCCTCAACCTGAAGGAGATCCTTGGCAGGCTCCTTTCTATAGACAATTGAGGTCACGGTACTGTAATGATATATAAAGGCCAAGCCCCACCTTCTACCCTCACACATCAGGCTCACAACCTTCACAGGTAAAGGTAAAGTGACCCCTGACCATTAGGTCCAGTCATGGCTGACTCTGGGGTTGCGGCACTCATCTCGCTTTATTGGCCAAGGGAGCCGGCGTACAGCTTCCGGGTCATGTGGCCAGCATGACTAAGCCGCTTCTGGCGAACCAGAGCAGCACACGGAAATGCCATTTACCTTCCCACCAGAGTGGTACCTATTTATCTACTTGCACTTTGATGTGCGTTTGAACTGCTAGGTTGACAGGAGCAGGGACCAGGCAACGGGAGCTCACCCCGTCGTGGGGATTCGCACTGCCGACCATTCGGTCGGCAAGCCCTGGGCTCCGTGGTTTAGACCACAGCACCACATGCGTCCCTTTCATACTTCAACTTTCATACTTGCCGTTAAATCTATCAATTGCCTCTTGCCGCAGGGCCCCTGTAATGCCCCCATCAATCCGTTCATACTTGTACCCTTCATAGTCAAGGAAATCCTCAAGTAGGTCCAGCATTTTTGTCATCTGGAAAAGATACCCATAAATGAGACGAGAGATCTAGTACTTCTGGAAATTCTCAGTTGGGGAAACAGGGGGGGGGGGGGGATGCAGAAACCACTAACACTGTGGAAAGCAAAATTGTTTGGGCTTACAAACATTCTCCACAATAAACAAGATCAAGAAAAAAGAAGAAATAATGCTAAAAATTCTCCTCCATAGCCCAAGAAACAACAGTAAACTTCTTCTTATTTCTATGCCTTTCTTTAGCCTAACAGAATTGAAATTGAGTTGTTCATAGCTACTGTATACACAGAGACTGCAATTTCCTAATGCTGTATATTACTGTACAAAGTTACTGGAAACAATTTTGAGAGAGTACTGTACAGCTAAAATAATATTTTAAAACCCTGACTTAAAGAGCAATATCCTAAAAGAGATAATAGTTCATTGGAGGGTTTTCTTTTTCTTTCCAATTTCCACTGTAAAAAAAAATAAGAGGGGGAAGGGAGGAAGACCTTGGAAAAATGAGGAAAACCCATTTTTACCTCTGGGCATTCATATTCCTAAATGAGATTGATAGTGCCTTCGCATTCATCAATAGCATTCTTGCTGTACACTGCATGCCTGCACTTGAGACTAATTTGTTCTTACTGAACAGATGATGCCACAGAAAACAGCATCCCAACACTTTCATAACGTTTAGGAAAAATTTATGTCATGAAATTACATTATTTGCATGCTGTAACCATAGAAAACACACAACAAGTTGTTCACATCTTTTTCTTCTTCATCCCGTCCTCCTCAACACTGTACACAGCCAGCATCCAGGTGCTCAAGGCCCCATATATCCCCCCAACCACTCTCACCTGGGAGAAGATGAGCACCCGGTGGCCCTGCTCTTTTAGCTTCCGCAACATCTTCTGCAACAGCATCAGTTTCCCAGAGGCCTTGATGAGAGCACCCCCTTCATAGGCACCACTTGGCAACTTGGGGGATTCCTGCCAAGACAAAGCATAGCCGTCGCCATTCAAGCAGGTGGTTTCATCTGGCTGGGTCTATTCTTTACTGTCAGGGGATTGGGCAAAGGCCAGAGGCAAACTGAGGAGGTGGGCCAGTTTGCCTGCCAAAGGCAACCTATCCCTGCTCCACAACATGAGCCCACTCCTTCCAGCTGGAGAGAGCTGCCCTGGCCCTGCACAGGCCCCTGCCAGCCGGCTGGGCAATGCAAGACATACCATCGCAGCAACAGGGAAGAGGTAGGGGTGGTTGCAGCATTTCTTCAGGTCCATCATTATGTTGAGCAAGGACACCTGGTTACCGCCACCACGGGAGTTCAAAGCTTCAAAGTTGCGGGTCAAGATATATTTATAGTATTTCCTGATTGGGCGGGGGGGGGGGCGAGAGAAGAATGGGAACAGCAGGAGGAGAAAAAGAGTAGCATGAGAGAGACTCTCTGACCCCTCCACGTACAGAAGTATCTGCCAGATTTTTACCAAAAAGGGAGGGAGAGAAATACAGTACATTTAACGTTCAATGAGTTGTCTTTTCCCATTCGCCCTCCCAACAATCTGCAGGAAAGGAGACCAGAGTCTTGGGCTCTGGCATGCTTTGGTCTACTGCAAACCCCCGCCCCCCCCGGATGTAACTATTCTTGCAGAGAACCTAAGGACCTTGACTCTCCTCCATCCTGACCAGACCAGCTCCCGCTCCCCCAAATTCTGTTTCACTGGGTCTCTCCTCCCTGATCCAAGAGCCATCACTGCCACTTGTAAATCCATACCACGGTGCCCCCACCCCACTAGAGTCCAGGTCATATATCTGCCACCACCCTGGCACTCTGCATGGAAAGGAGAGTCCCCCATACTGCCTCTCCTCCCCCAATCCTGCCCATACTTCTGCATGGGGCTGAGCTCCACCCGGACAATGAGTTCTGTCTTGGCCGGCATGTTCTTGAAGACGTCAGCCTTGAGGCGGCGCAACATATGGGGTCCCAGGAGGTCATGGAGTTTTTTTATTTGGTCCTCCTTGGAGATGTCAGCAAACTCCTCCAGGAAGCCTTCCAGGTTGCTGTGGGAAAGAGACAGAAGCTGTTACGTGTACACCTCTGGGGATATTTTAGGCCAACAAAATGCTGCACACAAGCAAGGGAAAGGAAGGGATTTGGGGCTGGGGGAAGTATCTGAAGGAGGATCTGTCACAAAGATCCCCCAAGCCTAGTGCTCAAATTAGGGCAGGTGAACAAAGGGAGGGCACCCTTAATGCAACGAAAGCCCCATCCTTCAACTTCCCCCAGTTCTAACCAAGTCATGCCCCTCCAGCTTCCTTAAAACAATGGCTTGCAGAGTGGGGGTAGGATCATAAAAAGTAAATTGGTTTTAAATTGCATTTTCTTTATTCATTTAAATTTTGTGACCCACCCTAAAATATTTTGTGATTACAGACAGAATATAGAAGCATAAAAAATACAGGGGGCTGCCATATACAGTACTGCAGGGGTAGGCAACCTAAGGCCATGGGCCACAAGCAGCCACCGAAGGTCGTTTAACTGGCCCCCGAGCAGCCCCCGAACTGAGCCGCCCGCTCAGCGAGTATCCGCGTGCTGCGCTAAACTCGCTTCCGCAGTGTCGAAAATTGCGTCTGCGCAGACACAGATGCTGGCCCATGGAGGGATCTCTGCTGGAATGAACCGGCCCAGGTGTGATAAATCTTGCCGACCCCTGCAGTACTGTCTACACTGGCTGGCAGCAGTGGCTCTCCAGGGTTTCAGACAGGGACGGCTTGCCCACATTTCCTGTGCCTAGAAAGCATGGGTCCAAGCAATTTTCTGCTTGTCCTGTGCTTTCCAGGCAAGGATCCAAGTGGTTTTGCCTTTACCTCACCACATTCCCCAGAAAAACCCATTCTTTAGCACTAAATCAAGACAAACAGCAACACAAAGTGGATTTTCTAGCAAGAAATTGGCTGGGCAAACAGAATTGAGGAACCAGGGAGATTTGGCTGACGCCTTCATTATACACCTTTAGGCACCAAGTTCTTCTGCAACAAGGCCTTGGGTCGATTTAACATCCTATACTCCTTTTAAATGTGTTTGTGGAAGGGGAGGGGGGTTATTGGTTGGGGTTTTCTGTTCTTGTTTTTGTCATGTATTTTGTGCTTTTATATTGCATTTTTAGCTTGTGAACCACCCTGAGATGTGCAGATGAAGGGTGGTATACAACTGCTCTCTAAGGCACGATAATAATTACCTGGGTGATAACTGAGTTAGACTGAGTTATTCATTGAGTTATATTCATAACTGAGTTATTCATTTTGGGTAGCAGGTGGAAACCTGTCAAGGGTGCTGACTTGTAGCACAGTGGTACCTTGGTTTACGAACTTAATCCATTCCGGAAGTCTGTTCTTAAACCGAAACCGTTCTTAAACCGAGGCACGCTTTCCTTAATGAGGCTTCCTGCCGCCAGTGCCCTTCCACCCTTCAAGTTCCATTCTTAGACCAAGTAAAGGTCGCAAACTGGGACGCTACTTCCAGTTTTGCGGAGTTTGTAAACCAAATCATTCATAAACAGGGCTGTTTCACAGGTACCACTGTATTAGGTTTTTTAAAATTATTTAAAGTTTTAAACTGTGCACTAATTTTTAAGGTTTTAATTCTGATGATAAGGCTCTTGTCCAGAAAAGTGATTAAACGTATTTTAAATTAATTAAATAAATAAAAGTGGATAATTTATGTGGTGTTAATGTGGTGTCAAATTTGAAGGCTGGGAAGGCAGGCTCTTTAGTTGGTAGGTGGAAAGAAATAACAAATCCACAGACGTGCAGGGGAGGGAGCACTTAATGCTTTGTAGTTCCTTTGCAAGTCTCGGAGTAAAAGACACCACCAAACCAAATAAAAATCTTTCCAGCCCTAAAGTCAATGAAAGAGGTAAGAAAGAAGCCGTCTCTTTTAGTTTCGCTAAGCCTTGGAGAGGCAAGAGCAGCTGAGGTTCCTCAGTTAACAAAGGGCAAAAATGTGAAAATGTAACCTGGCCCTCTCCACCCGCCCTAGAAAGAGCTTGAAGCCTCTACAAGTCCAGCTTCCAGTGCTGATGGGAGGAGCCCGCCCCCCATCACTAGACATCTGTTTCAGACAAACGGAAATCCCTTGTGGCCACCAGAAGTCACATTAAGTGTCACTTGGGAGTGACCAAGATGCCAGATTGCCAGCAGTGTGCATGTCTGGTCAGCAGAGGGAGCCATCCCTCCAGATATACATTTTCAGATGCCCAAATGCTCCTCTTTTATAGGTTTTCCAAACAGCTTTCTGTATAACATTCACACTAGAGCTGTGCTGTGAGGCAGATGGCCCACCACATTTTGGGATCAGCTGTTAGGCACTAGGTCTTACAATGCTGGCATGAAGGACAACTAAGAAGTGGTTATCTAGAGATCTGCTATTCGCTTGTCCTTTCACATTCAGCCAAGTCTTTTTATGTCAACTGGCTCACCAGGCCCTCCTCATGCTTATGAAGGCTGAACTTATCCAAAGGCCTTCTGTGATTAGAGTGGAAGGACTCAGCCCCTCTGTTCTACCAAGTTCCAGTTGGGTGGAAGATTAGGTAGAAACTCCACCCTATGTTCAGGCTAGCTATGCACTGGATGAAAAGGTTACTGGTGGATGCAAACTTGGAAAGGAGAGGGGAAACTGTGGACAGGGACCGCAGTCTGAAGGTAGATGACAAACAGGCCAGTGTGTCAATGACAGATAGGAGAGGAGTTAAGATTAAGCCCCTCCAGCTCTCTGATTAACAGGTCTCCACAGCAAAGGGGAAGGAAGCACAAAATTAGCCATACTTGAATCTCTCGGGAGTGAGGAAATTCAGCAGGTGGAACAGCTCCTCCAAGTTGTTTTGCAAAGGAGTCCCAGTGAGCAGCAGTTTGTGGTCGATCTTATAACCGTTTAACACCCTGAAGAACTGAAAGCAAGAGCAGTACAGGCATCAGAGAACCCTTCTTCCCTCCCTCCACCTTCCTACACCCTCACCCACCACAGATGAGTCCCAAATCCTGGCATTTATCCAGGACAAGCCAGCTCAGGCTTCCCCACCACACAGCTCTCCTCACCTTGGACTGGTTGTTTTTGAGTCGGTGAGCTTCATCCACAACAAGACAGGCCCACCGGATGGAAGCCAAGGCAGCCTGGTCAATGGTGACAAGCTCATAGGAGGTAAGGAGGACGTGAAATTTCACCTGAGCTTCTCTCTGAGAACAAAAAGGAGAAATACAGAAGGTGGGAAAACGTATAGCCACCATCTGCTCCATGGCACCACTGAATGCGGTTCTCCTTGATGGGGGAAGAGTTCGGAGCTCTTGTGCATTTGAAAGGCAAGCTGGCAAGGCAGCATTGTGGGGCTTGGAAGCAAAGGGGTTAACGAGCTGCCTTCCGCCTCAAAGTTTGGTGGGGAGCAAAATTATATCGACCACAATCAATATCAGGCCCATGGGAAGCTGCAGAGTCAGCGCTGCTGTTGCTGTAAGGTGGGGAAAACCCCCCACTGCACTTGCCTTCATTTTAAAGGCCTTCTTTCCACCCTTCATGGCGTTGTCCTCAAAAGAAAATTCATTCTCACGGATGATGGAGCGGCTGTCTTTATCCCCTGTGTAGGTTACCACATAGAAATTGGGTGCCCACATCTGAAATTCTCGTTCCCAGTTGATGATGGTAGACAGCGGAGCACTGACCAGGAAAGGCCCTTTGGTGTGGCCCTGGTGGAGGGGGGGAGAGAAAAGAGGAAGAGCATGAAATCACATGTGAACTAGAAGGAACTTTCCTGTCTGCAGCTCGGGAGGAGTCAAAAGAGGCCACCGGCAGCTCCCAGCCCTGACTCAGCCTGATGCAGCAATTCTCAGGCTCTTTGCTTTTGGCTCCCAGGGGCTCAGCTAGGCAAAGAGAAATCCATTCATAAAACGCTGGCTGCCAGAATGAGCAAGGTTCTCCTGTGGCTCTGCTGGGATCACTGACACGCAGCCAGTCACAGCAGCTGTTCATACAGAAGTAACAGCTGTTCACAGAAGGACCCTTTGCCTGGGGCTGATGCACTCCTCCCATCAGACATTCATTCAGCACCAACACTGTGCTAGGCGGTATACAGAACACGGAGACCTCATATGGTCAGTGCCCAAAAGACATACAATCTACATCACACAAGGCTGGCGATGGCTCCACATGTTATGAATGCAGTAGGAAGCACCAGCACAACACGGATGCTTCCAACATGGAACAGGTAATCAGGCAGATGTCACAGACAGATTTGCATGTATCTGGGAAATCTGGCCCCATCAGGTTTCCCAGATGCATTCACGCTCGTGTTCAGAGAAGCATATGCACATTGTGTGCTTCCCACGTCATCACCAACAAGGAAGCTGCCCTACAACAGAGATTAAATGTGCACCTTTTCTTTTGTGGAGGAGGGCCGCCTGCTGCCAGATATTTCTGTTATGGGGAAAAGAATCTGGGGCAATGTGACAGGATCCGCCCCACTCATGGTGCGGGATCAGCAGCTGCAGCAGACAGCAACTCAGCTGCTCGCTTAAGCAAAGGGCTTTCCCTTGCCTCACCACCTTTCAGAAAAGCCTGCGGCTCTAGTACTTCAGCAAGATGTCTTGGCAAAGCAGGCACTCATTGGGAGGCTGCCATGAGGAGGTCAAGACAGGAGGTGGTTGGGGCAGAGGAGGACAGCAGGGAGGGAGCACTTGAGGTCTAGCTCATGCTGACGGGTAGGATCCTGCAGAAATAGTTCAGCTCCAGAACACTCGAGAAGCTTGGGAGAGCAGGGAGGCCAAACTCCAAACAACAAACGAGGTTCGTCTCCCTTCAGAAACCCTGAAGGGAAACCCCAAATAAAACGAGAGCTAAGGCGGAGGTTTTGAGGGAAGTAACAAGTGGCAGGAAACTTGCTTTATGGCATCCAAAGCATATTGGAGGAGAATAGTCGGTGGCTTCAATCTGGTTGGAGAACAGTGGAAGTGAATGGATGGGCCTGAGGTAGGAAGCAAAGAGAATCTCTTCCATTCCATTTCAAAGGGGGAGAGGGGCTAGGCAAACAGGGAATGGGGGCTCAGGAGTAGTATGGGGGCACTTTTAGTTGTTTTGAAAGGTGGAACTGGGTAAACAAAGACAAAGTTGGCAAAAGCAACTTTATTGGCTTTCTTTCTTGGAAAGATGCAAGGGGTCTGGAGTAAGTGGGAGAGTTTCACTGGAAGGTTTATAACCCATTTCCCCCCTCTGTCCCATGTATACCCCTGTTCTCCTTCCTCTGCTTTTAGGACTGTGAGCTTTTAGGACAGGAAGCCAGCACTTTCTTTGTAACACTTGGGAAGGCGCATGATCAGAAAAGGAAGAGAACCAGTTCAGAAATCCTGGGTCACAGCATAAGGAAAGGGCCATGCAATGACATGTAAATGTTAGGTTTCCACAGGAGGCAGGGGCAGTGGCGGGGGGAAGGAGAGAGAGAGACTCACATACTTTGGACAATGGAAAAGAGAGCGAACATGCCCAGGCCACCACTCCTGGCTTACCTCCCTGTACAGCGAGTACAAGAAGACAATGGTCTGGATCGTCTTGCCTAGGCCCATCTCATCTGCCAGAATGGTGTCTGTGCTCTGGGCCCAGGAGAACCGCAGCCAGTTCAGGCCTTCCAGCTGATACATGTGCAGCGTGCCCCCTGTGGACGTGATGAAGCGTGGCTGGCTGTCATACTTCACCGTGGGCTGCAAGGATGTCCGGAGAGAGAGAAGCAGAGAGGTGAGAGCCATGCACACACACGGACAGAGGCTCGCTCCCTTCTGGACACCACCCCTGAAATGATCCCCATTTAAAACGTCTTGGGCCCATCAGCTGCACAGAGCTTTCCTCTTTGTCAGGCTGCACTCCCTTCCCAGCCTAGTGCTGCAGCATCAAGGGTGAGTGGCTGCACTGCTAGCCACCACCCCAGAGCTTACATCGTTGGTGGGGGAGTTGGGCGGGTCCTCTGACGTCAGCTCCTTCTTCTTCTTCTTGTACTTCCTGGGCTGGGCAGGGTCTTCACCCATTATCAGCTCTCTAGAGAGTGAGGGGGGGTGGATAGAGAGGAAGGCCCCATTGTGTCTCACTCAGGAATCTCAGGCATGGCCCACGGTGCATTGGGCCAGGCAGCTCAATCCTGCCCTGCTCAGTGCCTCCCTCCCCACTGCCACCCTCATAGTTTCCTCACCTGTGAAACCAATAGGCCTGCTTCTGGTACTCATAGTCGGGAATCGACATCTCATCCTCCTCCCACGTGGACTGGTCGTAGGAAAGGTCACGCCATTTCACCAGGTAGTGGTAGTTGCCCTTTTTGTCAATGCTGCACGCAGTAAATTCACAGCGCAAAGAGAAAAGAGAGAAAGAAGCAGAAAGAAAAGAACACACACAAACTGGGTTTGCTTACTCTGTTTCACCGAAAGGCATCTGATGGGATTAAGTCAACAAAGGCCACCATGGCTAAGCCGGTGAATATCATGAAGATATGGAAATCTTTTAGAAGGATTCTCTTGGTGAAACGCACAAAGGTCACGTTCAAATCCATTTTATTCTTCAGAACCTTGAGGATTAAATATTCTTTAAAGAAAGGTGGGGTTCCCAGGAGTGACCAGGCTGCCAACACCTATACCTCAATTACTCCCCGCTGGATGACCCCACTTATGCCCACCGCAAAGTATCCAACACACGCCTAGGTCTCATCAGGACTAACAGTGCATTGGCCGTGGACTATGGTACAAGCAGCTAAACCTTCCCGGGTCCAGGGACCACATTCAAAACTGACCGATGTCCGAGGGCTGCATGCATGCACACCACACACACACATGCTTGCCAGATATGCAGCATGCACAAACCAAACACATGCAGATCACACACACACATATGCTGGCACACACCACACTACGATGTATACATGGCACTCATCCCCATTGCAGTGCTGGGCTGAGAGGAAAGGAGAGAGGTTCAAGCCAGCATTGTGATGGGGAAGAAAGCCCCACTGGTTGACCTTACAAAGGTTCCTCCTTCCTGTGCTGTGCCGTTGGCAGGAGGTCTTAATGCTCAGGAAACAGGAAGGAGTATGCCTTCCTGTTTCCTGATCAGGAAGACCTTCCAGCAAAAGAGTTGCCTTGGCAGAGAAGAGGAGCTCAATTTTGTCAATGCCTGTCAAACACATGCAGTGGTTTAGTGGGCCAGATCTGACCCGAGGGCTGCAGGTCACCACCCTTGAGCCATGGCATCATTGTGATAGGGGATGAACTATGCGCACACAAGTGTGCACATGCACACACACACACAAGCTGACCTATGGTTTATAACACGATGGATGGTCATCCAGTCAGGCTTGATGCCATAGCGGTAGTATTTCTCCTCCATCTCGGCATAGAAAGGATCCTTGTTCTTCCTCTTCTCACTCTTCCCATCGTCATCACCAGAACCGTAGTCAAGCAGCGGGGGCTCATCCATGTCGTTCTTTCGTTGGTAATTCCTGTACATCACCAGGTGGAAAATCTCAAGCTGGGATTTGTGGGGGGGAGGGGGCAGAGAAAGGGAAGAAAAAAGAAAGGTGAGAAACTGAGTAGACGTGAATGAGAAAGATAAGGATTTGAATCAAATGCTGATACAGAAAACCCACTGCGGCCGCACCCCTGATCAGTGGCCATCTAACCTCTGCCATGATGGGTCAAGAGAAACAGCACACATGGTTCTGATGAAGCCAGTGACATGCCTAAAGGAGGCACACACACAGGGCACCCTGATGATGGTGATCTCTATGCTCAGCATCCAGTCATTAGAAGTAGTTGGGACATAGAGTAGTTGGGACTTCTGCTTATCATTGGCATTGACAGACATGTGTTGTTGTTGCTGCTACTGCTCTCCCATTCTAATATACCACCTTTCAAATGGACATGGTTTTTGCACAAACAGGCTGGCACCTTTCCTGGCTGCCCGTGCCCAGAGAGCAACAGCAGAACAACACTGCTGGAGCTGGAGTCCTGGGAGGTGCTGGGGAGAGGTGGCAGTCCTTGGGGGCAGAAGAGAAGGAATGAAGAAGTTCACCCCAGCCCACGGTTGTGCTGACACTGATTTAAGTTTATGCCGAAGGACGAAGGCAGGGCAAAGACCAGAAGCAAGCTGCCCAAGGACTGAATGATGCTATGTGGAGCGGTTCAAATGCCCAGACACTCCAAGCTCTTCCTATGTGCTGTTGACAGAACTGTCACCCCACCATTCATTTCCAGTTTTGGGGTCCCGCACTCTCTGATGAGGCATGGAGTTTTATCCAAAGGCATAGCTGCCTCAGCCCCAAGTTTAGTCAAAGTTGTACCTGCAATTCCTTTATCCAGGAGCAGTGCCAATAGGACAGCCCGACCCACTTGACAAAGAATTCGCGCTCGGAACGACCCTGCAGAGACTTGGGCGGTGGGTCGTCTGGGTTGGCATCGGGCGGCAGGGCGACAGCGACCGGTGTCGGAGGCTCCCCCCATCGCCAGTGCAGGATTTTTTGGACCCGTCCCTTTAGCATGGGACACTGGGGATGGGAAAGAGAAGGTGTCAGAGACACAGGGAGTCTGGCCACCCACCAAAGCCTCTTGTCCAGGAGGCAACCCTTTATGTAACCAGTGAGCCTTACTGACAAGTAAATGCATTGGCTGGTCTCTCTCTCTTACCCTCTTCTCACAGCACAGCCACTCCTCCCCCACCCCGAAATCCAGCATGATGCCCTCTCTCCCAGTGCCCTCACCGTGCAACGGGGACACAGCCATTCCCCATTAGGGATCTCAGGAAGCGGCGGGTTGAGGCAGTGGATATGGTAGGATGAGATGCAAGCATCACAACACAAGAGCTCGCCCCCGTCCTTACAGACGCGGCAGTATTCCATGTGATCGTCCTCCTCCTCCTTCTCAGCATCGTCCAGCTCCCCTTCGTACTCTTCTTCCTCCTCCTTTGGCTCCCACTGCACCCCTTCTTTTTCCTGCAGGCGAGGGACACGACACACCCAGAGAGAGAGAGCTGGATTATGATATAGGGGTCATGCAAGTAGGAGCACTTGGAGCTGCAAACAGCAGAAGCCAGAGCCTATCCAGCAACTACGGTTTTCTGATGAATTTCAGACTCATGGGTTTCTGTTTCTATACAGCCTGAATTCTCGGCAAAGGAAAATGAAGTATGTAGAAAACTCACAGCTTTAAAAGCCCAGAGTAACTCTCAAAAATTAATTTAGGTACTAGCTTCAACAGCACATGTGCTAAATATTTTTTTAAATATAATTTTTCAAAGAGATCCAGATCCTTGCAGCCAATAATAGCAGGATCTGGGTTCCTAGTGCAGCATCAGAAGAGCAAGTATCCCCACTTCAATTGCATTAGTCTTTGTGGTACGAGAATATGCCAGGGTTTTGAAACCACAAGGCATCTGAATGGACCAATCAGAGTCCTTCCACTGAACCCCAGTCCCTGCCTCCTTGTCCCTATGCACACAGCACCCCCCAAAGTCCCTCTTTTCCCACCATCCCTAACCCAAGCACTAATTTAAAACAAAGGGAGGGAAAGGACAGTTTTGCACTCAGAAGGTGAACTAGAAAGTGCAAGTTCATTGTTTTTTGCACAATCTATCCCAGCTACAGTATCTGAATTTTCAGAGCTTGATATTTTGGATTTTTAATATATATTTTTAGCACAGCATCCTGGACTCCTAAGCGGGAACGGCACCAGAGCAAGGGCTACAACAGGCAAGCTCCTTCCCTGGAAATGGGGGAGACACAGGGTGGGAGGTGCTAGTGTGCAGAGAACAAGGAAGAAAGGTGAGCAGCTTACACAGTGGGGGCAGCTCCATTTGCCCTCGGGGGCCTTGTCTAGCTCCGGATCCAGGCACACCAGGTGATAAGCTCTGGGACATGAATCGCAGAGGATGATCTCCCCGCCCTGCTGACACACCTCACAGTAGTCTTGGTGGTCTGTCTCGTAGCCGTCTGCCTCTTCTTCACCAGCAACTGCAGGGCCGGGAAGTGGGGAGAAACCAGAATATGGCATGAAGGCACCTGAGCTACGTACAACCTACTCCCTTACCTGGGCCAGGGCAGGTCTAGGATTGGGAGTTATCCATCTTCCTCCCTTAGAAACTGAGGGGTATTCAACAAATTGCATTTACCGCTCGTCCCCAAAAGGGGATGGAACTGAAAAGCAGCAACTGAAGGGAGAAGAGGCTGGATGATTAGCACAATGAAAGGTGGGTTGAATGCAAACTTCTCTCCAGGGCTATGGGGGCCTGTGAATGACACAAACCAGTGGGAAGGAGGCGTGGCTGAAACTTCCCAGAATTCCTTTGCCACACACAAACAGGAAACTTGGAAAATGGCCCTTCTGCCCTGGCAGCTGAGTGAGAAAGCAAGTCTGCCCCTTCTGTCGTTCTTTTTACAGGGAAATCTAGTAGGATTGTCTTTTTCTAACCCAAAAGAACTCAGGCTAGTGGCCCATCTTGTTCAGCATCCTGTTGTCGCAGTGGCCAGCCAGATGCCTGCAAGGAGGACATGAGTACAACAGCACTCTGCCCACCTGCAGTTTTCATCAACTGGTTTTCAGAAGTTTATTGCCTCTGACCATGGAAGCAGAACACAGCCATCAGGGTTAGGAGTGATTGATAGCTACATCTATCCTATAATCAGGAAATGAGTTTGTTTACCTAACTACCATGCTCTAACCTACAGCCCACGCTCACCTTTTTTCTTCTTCCGTCCAGGTCTGCCCCGCTTGAGTTTCTTCACCCGCCCTGAACTGTCAGAACGCACCGAGGAGCTGTGAACACTGGAGTTGTCAAGGTCAGATTCTTCCTCTGGCTCTCCCACCTCGTCACTCTGAAACAAATGCTGTACATAACCGGAGCAGCCCTCCATTAGGAAAGGCCCATACAGAAGCAGAAGTAAGGGGGAATGGGGAGAGAGGAAATGGTTTCTGGGAGGTGGGGGAGACGGGCTTGGCACCTGAGGTTAGTATCTGCCCCAAGGAGCAAGCAAGAAGAAAAAGGAGGTGGCTTGCCATCCAGCCCTCCTCGGTTATGGCCGGGGGGTGGAAGCAGGGAGTATACAGCACCACTTAATACAGTTATAAGGTAAAGGTGAGGGGGCAAGAAGGAAACAGAAGTGATATTATAAGCAAACAAGCATACCTCCAGTCATACCATGCAAACTCAGTCTAGCCTGGTTTCCTACCATAGCCCATAAGAAAAATCTTATGCCTGTGGTGGGGCAGGATGGCTTCAAAGGCAAGCTGAACATTATGCAGGCTATGGCAGCACCTGGTGAAATCTCAAAAGCCAGAAGGGCAGCAAAAAAGGTCAGTCCAAGAACCCTCCCCATGACTAGCACAAGCACAATAAGCAAGCAAAAGAGCCAAAGGGAAGCAAATGAGCTGCATTTGCATAACAAAAACAGGTCACAGAAATCCAATTTTGGCAGGTGGCTGTGATGTCTTCTTTTAAAACTGCACAGTTCTTCAGTCCGAAAGCGCCAAACAAATAGAAACAATGCCCATCCGCCCATCACTTTTCACCCAGTCTCCACATTCACACCCAGTGGACAAGGAGAGGGTCTTACTGAGCTGCTCTTTTTGCGCTTGCCCCCAATCATGCCCAGCTTGATCTTCAGAGGCGCCATCTTCTTCCCCTTCATCTTCCTCTTCATCTCTGGGATGCGAGGACTCTTGCTCCGCTTCTTGTGGCCTGGACCTTTTGTTGAAATAAACAAATAAATAAGCAAGCAAGCTGTCATATGAATGTGTTCAGTGCTCTCTGTCTCCCCCCCACCCCCTGCACACACATTTGAAGAGCAAATAGATAGGCGTTTGGGGTGAAGACGTTGGCTCCTGTGAAGCTACAAAGCAGCAAACAGATGGCGGAGCTTGGCAAGAGATTCCCCCTACCAGATGCTGAGAAGCCAAATGTCCTGGCTGCTGTCCTCTTCTACACCACTCCTCTCGGAAAGAATGGGGTGTTGGTCGCTTACCATGAAGGTCTATCCCGGCCAAGTGTGAAGGTGGAATCTTTATATGAATGGACTCCTACTTACTACCACCTAAAGCAGGCAGGATCAGATGACACCAAAATGAAACATTTTGCTGGCTCAGGAGGCTTAGCCTCAGTTCCAATTCCTTAACAAGCCAATCACATATTGTGTGCATTAAGAAACTGGAGGAAAAAGGAATATTAGGAAAACAGAAATAACAGAGTCTCCACATCTGGCACAGGTGGACAATTATAGCCAAAGCCCCCATGTGCCAGTTGGTACCCAACCACCTGAAGAAGAGCAGGGCTGGACGCCTCTGGTCATACTGGGCCAGGACGAGCATTCACAATAAGGGAGCAAGGTTCCATTCTGTGCCCACTGGGAGGCAGGCATCCCAATATGGATATCTAAGACAGCAGCAGTACATGTTGTAGCACACTCCTATCAAATGCTACCTCTGTCAAAGCACAGGCATGCATCCTACAATATGTAATGAAAAGTATCTGCTGAGGAGTAAGTCACACACCTTCATATCTTTAATATTGAAGCATTGGTAGAAAAGGCTGCAGTGATGCCAGGTTGCCCTGGTCGAATTCAACGTGATTTTAAACAGTGTAGGCAAGCTTTGTGCCTCAAGAACTAGCAATATACGTGCACTGATCCACCTAATCAGAGACGTCTTAGGCACGTTTTGGCCTAGGTTAGAGGGATTAAAGGAAATACAGAGGCAATCTGAGTGCCTGAAGGGCACAGTGCTTCTGAAATGGATTTTAGTGCCTTGCGCATGTCTAGCTTGTGCCAAGCCTTCTTCAGAGGGGTTAAGGTCAAAGAAAGGCAGGATTAGCTCCTGAGAGTGATGGGACAAGGAATTAACTTTAGGGATAAAGGATGAGTCTGGTCTTGAAATCACTCTGCCCTTTTCTATAATACACAAGAGGTGTATACACAGGAGCCTGTCATTCAGAGGCATACTGTGATAATGTGATCATCACATGGGAAAGCACCTTCAGAAGAGGAGCTTCAGACATAGAAACTCAAACAGCTCATGAGTGCCTGAAGAACATGATCTGGCCAGGACAGTACTGAGAACAGGGCTGCCACCTGTCAACGCAGGTGCTCGATGATCAGCTGTGGTTGGAGAATAAAAATATTGAGTCACACTAATGTCCCTCCTGGTCGGTAGGAGAGCCACCTACTCCTCTTTGATGACATTAGAAAAAGGGGAAGGAAACGGGTTTGCTTGACAGCAGGTTTGTGCTTAAAACAAAAAACAAAAGAACACTGCTGCCCTAGATATCTGCTGCACAGGTTCTGAGGTTGGGTCCTGCAATCTCAGAGCACTTTGGGAGTAAGTGCTTAGCAATGAAGGCAGACCACCCTCACTCCATTCTCCTTAATCTCTGGGACTTATAGAAGTTTCTCCGTTAGTCTACTTTCCTACAATCTTCTGAATAATGCCCCCCCCCCCAGCAGCTGGAGGCACCTTTCCTTTCCCTAAGTGTTTTCTGACAGCTTGCAAGGATCTGCAACCCCTAGCAATTTTACGGCCAGCAGATATCTGCCCAGCAGTGTGTGCTTGGGACCCTTAACTGCTGATTTGAGCTTGGAAGGAATGGAAGCCAAAGAAGAGTTGGAGGAGGGTTGCTGGTGAAGTGAGCAGTGGTGCCACAGCTCCCTCTCTCAAGCACTAGCTCAGGGTCCCTAGCTATTGTGTACATTCCTCAGCTACAGCCTGCTGTGTTAGATCCAGTGTAGATACTTGAACCAAGGAAGTACCACCAGAAGCTGCTACCGTAGTGGATGCAGTGCCATGCAGCGCAACCAGTGCAATCTTCACTGAGGAACTCTTGGATTGAGCAGCAGAGAAAAGCAGAAGCTGGAATCCTGTATGTTGTTTACCATTCATATAAGTGGAGCAGACCACTGGGTATTGCTGCTGCTATACCCCCCTCAGCAGCAAGATCAGAAAATGGCATTACTTGTTCCTCAAGGGAAAACGTTAGCATTCCAGCAGTCCTCCTGCATAAGGAGGCCCGCTCAAACCTCACTGTGCTGCCCCAAAGCAGATCTTTATCTCTGGAGACAGTCAGGAGACCAGAGTGGCAACAACAGCTGGTAACAGACAGCGGTTTCTGAGCTAGCAATACTGCTTTTTAATGCTCTGCTAGAAGGAGATTCAGGGCACTACCAGTAATGCTGTCTGCTTCCACTGACGACCCTCCTTGGGTATCCACTGTGGGGTGCCCTGCAGCAGCCACACAGGCAGTGAAAGAAACAGTGCTATTGGCAGCACTTTTTAACCTTCTCACCAATCTAACCAATCCTCCTTTATTTCTATTGATGTCCTTGCAAGATTGAGCTTTGCCTACTGGCGCTGTGACCAGGCAACAGAAAAACAAAGGGAAAAGAGGAAGCGATGAAAGATAAGGAGGCAACAGTTTTTGTAATTTTTTTATGTGTAAAGCCAGAGAGAAGAGCATGCGAGTATGAAAGCTGAGAAACCTGAGAAAAAATAGCAGAATGTCAAGGTAAAAAGCTGTGGTAAAAAACAATCACCATAGAAACAGAACAGCTGCTGTTAACCTGGGCAAGGTAGGAAAGGAGCTGAAGCGGAACATCCCTGAGTCAGCGAAGTCCTTCTGGTTTGGTGTCACATGACCTGCCTCTGCTGGGTAGCAGTAGGAGTCTGTTTGCTTGTGGATGCCTTCCTTCCACTGGACAGAGAAGTGAGGCTGTCATTGGGTGTGGGGAACTAGAGGGCTTAAAATTGGTACTTTGGGAGAAGAGTGGAGTCCTGGTGTGCTGGGGTATGGATTGCTGAGAGCCAAGATCTCTGGGTCCAGGGTGAAGAACCAGCCCCACAGCTCTAGGCACAAGATCTGACATCTTGGCTCTTTATGCTATTGGTGTGACAAACTCAAGGCCACTCGGTGGCAGACACGCACATTGTATCCCACTAGCCCACCACCACCACTCTCCAGAGCTCCAGTGTCAAAACATTGGAGAAGTCTGGCTTCCACAGCAAAGGGAAGTTGGACAGATCAAGCCAACAGCTTTGTCTAATGCGCTCATCACACACGGGTGCACACACATCCTTCTGCAAGGCCTGAGGTCTCCTGCTACTCACCTTTGCCTTCTTTGGTTTTGGCTTTGCGGATTGGAGGAGGCTGAGGAGGAGGCTGCAGCGGTAGTGGCGGTTGTGGCTCAGGTGAAGCAGTGACAGCCGACACTGCAGCCGACACCTGCTCAGCTACTGCGGCTGCAGCTGCGGCAGCTGCTGCAGCCACAGCTGCCGTCGACCCTTTGAAGGGGTTGTTGGCACTGAACTCCCGCCATTTAGCTCCCATGATAGTCATCATTTTAGACATCGGAATCTTGGGGTTCTTTTTGGCAATAAGAGGCCTAGGAAGAAGGGGAAACGAAGCAGCAATGTAAGTTCAAGCGTGCAAACCCTATATCATCCCTTTCAGAGAATATCAAAGAAACGCTAAAGAAGATTTGATGCTCTTGCACTCAGCACGCTTCTCCATACAAACTTGCTACTATTTTTGATGTCCCTGAGTTCTAGTCTCATGAAAGAGGGAGAAAAACACCTCCCTATACATCTTCTCCATACTATGCATGAATATGCACAATGGAGTTGTATTCAACCAATTTTTATTCAGCGTAGACTCTCCAAAATTATTGGCCATGACTAACTTAGGTCCGTTAATGCCAGTGGGTCTAACAGAAATAAAAGTTATCTGAACAGAACCCAGTACCACTATCATGTGTGTCGCCCACTTTACAAGCCATGTTTCTAAAGTAAAAAGTCCCAAATGTTGCAACCTTTCCTCATACAGAAGTTGCTCCAGCCTGCTGATCATTTTGTTTGTTTTTTTGTGTTTTTCCTGCTGATCATTTTGGCTGCCTTATCCCATTCGGAGCTAAAACATAAAGCCTGGAAATCCTCACACCAGTTAATGATTTTGAAACAGACATTTTTTAATTTATGTGAAATAAATCCTGAGATTAGAGAGAGGACTGAGAAGCTGTGCAGCACCTGGAGCACCTTATAGAATCCAGAAGCAATTAAACCTTCCCCGCTAATAAGGCCATCAACTGGGCCTTAATGAGTTTAGATTAGACTTCAGAAGGAACCCAGGTATCAGAAGTGTTAAAATTCTCAAATCACTTCCCTAGCGGAGGAAGAGCTGAAGATCTAACTCCTTTTAAGACAGAAATGGAAGTATTTGTGGTTTTATTCTGGTGTGTTGAGGTTTTTTACACCGAGGAGATGCTTAGAGGTGTGTGTGGTTCTGAGCAACAATCAACAATGAAATTCCCAAAATCAGCACATGAATGGAATATTTCAGAAGTGGCCTGATGTATTTGGGATCTAAGGCAAACAATAAAAGCAGCTTCTTCCAGGTCTGAAAGTTATTAACGTTCCACAAAACAAGTGAAACTAACCTGGAGGCATCCTGTTGGACTACAGGATCAGTCCAACATGGAAGCAGCCTATTCCATAGAGCAAACCAAAGCATTATACATAAATCACCCCAGCTTGCCCCTCCCCTGGGGCTAACCTCATAGCCCAGCAAGGCAAGGATTACAGTAGCTTGCTCCTTTTGGCTTTTATCTGTCTCAAGGGAAGACAAGAACAGCCAAACCGGAACAGGCCAGTGCTCTGTTTAATCCAACAGAGGCCAACACCACACTCACAGAAACAAAGCACCATGTTGCCGTACAGGGCTGGAGGCGATAGCTCTGACCTCCTCTCCTCCTTCATCCCTCTATCCCTGCAGCCAAGAACCCTGGAGCACAAGACATCCATCATCTGCAATAATCCTCGCTGCAGATGCTGCATCTTCTTGATCTCTCTGCCCCCAACCAGCCTCAGCACTTCATCTGCTGTCAACACAAAGCGCTCGTAACCAGCATGCCGACGTTTGAACCAACTGGGGCTCGAGTGTACAAGGACCTCTGGGATTTTGGCTGGCAGACATTCACAGCCCTTGTGCAATGGGCATAAATACAAGCTTTCATCCATCTGACAGGGAAAGCCACGCACAAGATTCTAAAGGGGTTAATTTCTAGCACAGCAAACCCTGGCCCATGATCGTGCTCAGGCCCCGAATTCTGTCAGGATCCCTGCTGCTTCTATCCATAGGCCAGGCCCTGGAGCCTAAAACACCTGAAATCATGCTCCATCCATAAGATTTCACATACATTCATGTCTAAGAATGCAGCCAGAAAGGCTAGACTTCTGAAAAGTGGAAATGGAGTTCTCAAAATACTGAAACCTGTACAAAATCCCAATTTCTTCACTTGCATGGTAAGATTACAGAAGGGCATTATTACATACATACACGCGCGCGCACACACACACACATACAAAGTGGGAGTAACAGAAGAAAGGCATAAAAACTCAAGTCTTCCTAGAATTCCTATTCCCTTAACCAATATGATTCTATGATTCTATATGTGGTTGCCAGTTTATTATTGTATCACACGTACCAGGACACAGCTCCAGATCAATTTATGCCCTGGGCTTTGTGTTATGTCACTCAACAGAAAAATTTCAGGTTTCAACTTGAGAGTAATGCTATATTCCTGGTGATGGGGTAGCCCAGCCATTTGCTACAAACACACATACTGTAACTGGGTTCCAGAGGAACAGCTGTCATTCACTCCCAGAAATGTAAGGCCTAAGAACCTCTTGAGCCAAGAGGTCATCTTGTTTCATCTTGGCTAACAACAGAAAAATCTCCCTAGCTTGCATCTGTTGAGGCCCTTTTTACCTGAAAGCTTTTTTTGTTCCCCTGTTCCAAGGGAAGGATGATCCAAGGAGGATGATCCTCATCTTTGTAGCTGCAGAGACAAGTCTAAAAAGCTCAGCGAGTCACTGGCAACTGATCAATTCCAACAATGCTCCAAGTCTCCTTTCTTCCACCCCTGCCACCCAATCCTTGCACACCATTTCCGTCCTTGACTTCCAGGTTGTTCAAGCCAGACCAACCACAACTTCAACCATCTATGCCTAGGGATAACCTTTAAACCATGATCTGAAGTGAGGCTACACACCAGTTTGAGGTTCATCCCTAACCATCGTTTGTCTGATTCAGGTGTCATGGCAAACTATGGTTAGAGCAACCTAGAAATGGAGGAGGGACTCAAGAGGAGAAGAAAGAGGTGGAGAAGAGAGCATGCAAGCCCATTTCATATTCCTCATCCTCCAAATCACGATTTGGAGGATTTTCTGAACTGAACCAATAAGAAGGCTGTTATGCAGAGCTGTGCTATGATCTCATTTTGACTTCTTAATTATTGATGGTCACCATGGCCCATAATGCACTGCAGACTATTAAGGGATGCTATTAAAGAAATATGAGCTCTTGCTTTGAAAAGGAGGAGGGAGAGGGGAGGAAAAAGTCTGAATTTATTTCATTTCAAAATGCTTTCCAGAAATAGGCGGGGCTCTAAGACAAAGACAGGCCCGCATAAAACAAAGCAGCAGCAGGCCTGCCTTGCCTTGCATGTGGCAAGAGACTGACAAAGAATGCAGTGGGGGAAATGGGGAGGCAGAGACAAGTACAACAGCAAGATAAACAAAAGGCCAGCAAATGTCACTCTTTCGGACTGTGATACTATATGGGAGCAATTCTACATCCAGTGAGAGACAGAGGTGGAATATTAAAAACAGATCAAGGAGCAGAGTGAGAAGGGGGTGGAGAGAGAGAGAGACAGACAGAGAGAGAGACAAAGAACACAATACAAAGATGGATGGATGCAACATGACAGACTCATATCACTGCAACGCTGGGAAAAACTACAGATTATATCTCATCCTTCCTCCTGCAGAGAAATTGGATTCTCCAGGGACAAAACCTGTTTAGAAGCAGCACCAATAATAGCCACCTGCGATAACACCTAAGTTTTCCAACTCTTCAGAATATTTGTGCTAAACTCATATTTCTCTTCCATTTCCGTGATCATGTCACTTTTTATTTTGATGGTTAAAGCGGCTTCCTTATCCCTCCATATCAGTCTCAAGCTTCAGTCCACACTTTGAAAGCTGTTCACTTCTCTCCATCCCTTTCTTAAGAGTTGTAAACCGTGATCTTGCCCCAGCCACAAAGCAGCCAAAGCAAAGGGCCTTCGTGAGAGTTTGCTCACTCTTCAACATCACTACCTATGAGATGCTATAGTTGACTGAGGGGAGGGGAGGATGGCGGCTTCAGAATACAGCAGGGTTAGCAGGCACCATTTGTACTGCAGCACCATTCTTGCCCCAGCGATGCTATAGAGAACAGATTGCTGGATTCAGATAAATGGGAGACCCAGCTTCAAATCCCTGGGGCTCTGCTATGAGAGTCACTGGATGGCCTCAGCAGATCTTCCACTCTAGGCCTGAATAACTTCACAGGGCTGCTGCCAAGGATAGAAACGTGCCAGGAACAATAAAGCACTTTGCACACTGAAGGATAGCACACCACCAGATACTACAGCATATGGCAGCTATGGAGACCTCTAGAAGTCCTGATTATACACTGCATTTCAGGAATACAGATGTCCCAAATGCACAGCAGATCTTTAAGCCCTCGGGGAGCCACGAGGAACATGTGAAAGGGCTCCAAAGGGCCTTTCCAGCAGGAGCTCCATCTTGTTGGTCTTGAGGGAGCTCTTGGCTGATCCCAGCAGCAGCAGGGGAAGGCGGCAAACTGCCTCAGGTACAGGCGAGTGCCAAACAATTTAAAGCTAATTAGAGCCAGGCTGAGAGCTTTACTCTCCGAAAGCCCCACTGGCAAGCCTGTCCCCTGAGCCCCTGGCACAAATCACTGACTTGATTAAACTGGCGAGGCCCAGGTGGCCTCAAGATCTCATGAATGTTGGTGCCGGATTGCTGCCATTGGTCACAGAGAGTTGTTGGCGGCAGAATGCACCTCTGCCCGCCAAGCCAAAGCAGGGAGATACGGGGGCCTGCCAAGGCCACTGGCAGCTTCCTTGTAGCTGACATGAACTCAGCTTTGCCTGGATTGAGTCACAGGCTCACAGCCAGATAAGCCCTGAGGTCTGTGGATGCAGATGCCGGGCTGTCTGGTGCTACAGTACCTGCATTTAACAAGACTGTTTGCTGAGAAAGGCTATCTACAGCACACTCACTGCAAAAACAGGGTCTTTTGCTTTCTCATCTCCTCCTCTTCCCCACTCATTGCCTTTTTGCCATTTCACTATTCCAACTAGTAAAGAGAGGCTACATTCATGCAAACTGTTGCTTCAGTTTAACAAACCATTCACATTCCTGCACAGTTCCCAGAGACAAGAATAAAGGCAAAGCAAGACTACTCAGAGACCTTCACTCCCAAGGCATTTGTTCATTTAGAAACATCATAAAGAAGGCTGATGGCCGAAGAATTGATGCTTTTGAATTATGGTGCTGGAGGAGACTCTTGAGAGTCCCATGGACTGCAAGAAGATCAAACCTATCCATTCTGAAGGAAATCAGCCCTGAGTGCTCACTGGAAGGACAGATCCTGAAGCTGAGGCTCCAATATTTTGGCCACCTCATAAGAAGAGAAGACTCCCTGGAAAAGACCCTGATGTTGGGAAAAATTGAGGACACAAGGAGAAGGGGACGACAGAGGACGAGAAGGTTGGACAGTGTTCTCAAAGCTACTAACATGAGTTTGACCAAACTGTGGGAGGCAGTGGAAGACAGGAGTGCCTGGCATGCTCTGGTCCATGGGGTCATGAAGAGTTGGACATGACTAAACGACTAAACAACAACAACAAAAGAACATTAGAAAAGCCCTGAAGCTGGATCAGACCGAAGGCTGATCTAGTCCAGCATGCTGCTCCTACAGCACCAGCCAGATGCCTCTCAGGAGCCCACAAGTAAGACATGAGAGCAACAGCACTCTCCTACTTGTAGTCCCCAACCTCTCATCCTGCAGGTAGACTACAGCCACCAGGACTAGTAGCCACTGACAACCTTATCTGATATGAATTTATTTAATCTCATTTTAAAGCCATCTAAGTCAGTGGCCAATGTCACTAGTGCTTAAAAAGGAGTGAAGAGAAGAAGTTGGGACATCCTTACCTGACAACACACTCTTCCTTGAGGGAAGAAGTGGGTAAAGGATTGAGGGGACTTATTCCTGTACATAAAGAGTGTGTACATGAAGCAAGAGTATGTGATCTGCACAAAAACAGGTTTTTTAAAAATTATTTGAAGACTGCTGTTTACATAGCTTACCCCACATCTCCAAACAACAATCAGTGTCTGATTTTCTTTAGTTTGTGAATTGGTGGACCTTGAAGCCCACCATTCCTCCTGGATTCCAGACACTCACCTCATAAACTGGCTGAAGGCTTTGTAATTTGTCAGGGTGTGATAATCCTCCTCGGAGAAGACATGATCCACATCTTCCAGCCCCCAGGTCATGAGCAGCTGAGCAGAGGATTTCTGCTCCACCTTGAAAGAAACATGAAAAGTTCAGTATATTTTGAGCTATTTAAGCAAAAATCTCCCAGCTGTGCTACTGTTGCCTTGCACCAGGGGAAGAGTGTTGGGACAAGAGACATGAAGGACTGGAAATGCAAATGGGTCTCTACATCAGCACAGTAGTGTGCCTTGAGAGGAGCTGAAGCGTGCCTTGACAAATTAAGCCACCATGCTGGATGCATCCACCACTCTGTGCCTGCTGGAGCATTAATCCCCTCACACTCTACCACTTTATGGACAGTGGCATCATCCCAAGGGACGGAGGAAAGGCCCACTGGGATTCTGCAACACATTCTGTGCTACAGCTGACAAATAAATATAGAGGAATCCCACAAGCATCCCAGTACACTCTATCCCTGAATGACACTGAAGGTGGGAAGGCAGAACACCAGGAGGCTGAACTTGCTAGGCAGTTGTAAGAACATGCCTGACCATTGTTCTGGCAGTTGATCAAGAAAAACAAACCTGTATTTGGTGTAGGGTCAAGGGTGACTCCGGGTTTAATCCAGAAAAATAAGCCCACCTGGTCTCAGTGGGCTTATTTTTCTGCTTTAAGAGCTCCCAGAAAGCAACCTGAGCAAAATATGAAATGTTGCCCTGTGGGGACCCTTTTGCTACTAACCCTGTTACGTGTCTCCACAGAATAATGTCAAAGAAAGGAGCAGCAGGCTCCAGCTTGGGAACAATGCTACCTTAAGGACTGCTCTCTCCCATACAAAACTGCCCAGTCATTAAGAGCTCAGACCCCTGTCTCTGGGTCTCTCCACCTACTGGAGCAAAGCATGTGGTATCCCATGACAGAGTTTCTTACATTACAGCACACCAGGTCTAGAAGACTCTCCCCCTTGGAGGCTTGTTTGGTACTGAGCTCAATGTCTTTTTGGAATGAATTGAAGAGGCCTATTTATTTGCCCAGGTATTTTAAGATGTGGAGCTCTATACTCTTTTTTTCTGGCATTCTGCTTTTCGTTTGCTACTGCTTTCCAATATACAGTGGACGCTCGGGTTGCAAACATGATCCATGCAGGAGGCACATTTGCAACCAGCAGCGTTCGCAACCCGCAGCACCACGTCTGTGCACACACAGGTTGTGATTATATGCTTCTGTGCACGCACAAAGTGCGGTTTAGCGCTTCTGCGCATGCGCAACCACCAAAACCCGGAAGTAAACCTTTCCGGTACTTCCGGGTTTCAGTGGGTCCGTAACCCGAAAAAATGCAACCTGAAGCATCTGTAACCCGAGGTATGATTGTATCTCTATGTATGGTTGTATTGTATTGTTTTTATATTTTTAAACCCTGAGACACTCTGAGATCATTTATCTACTGAATATGCATTCAATAAAAACCTAAAATAAAGAAGATCAAAGTCCCTGCCTTTCGCCACTGTAAATGCCCATGAAGAATAAACACAGGTGCTGGCAGAGGTTGTGTGAGGAGCCTGAAAACCTCTCTTCCAGGGCCCTGTGGAACTCTCTGCATTCTTTTGCTGTGTCTGTCTGCCTTCCTCACCCTGCTTTGTCTCGGAGGTGGAGTTCGATACATGGGCATCTGGAGCTGAGGCCATGCCATGCACCAGGGGGGCGGGGCGAGCTGCGGGGGGGGGGGCAGCATGATCCACGCATGATGGAGCGATCTGCCACACATGGCGGCAGTGGGGCCATCCGCTACGCATGGCTAGGGGCAGCGGGGCGAGCCCCCCACAGTGTACCTTTTTGTCACACACACCCCCTCATGGATGACACCCGGGGCAGACCACCCCCACCCCCCTTCCTACGCCCCTGCTTTGCCTATGGCTTTTTCAACAGGTGGCACTGAGAAAAATATCTGGGCATGTGGGATTATCCAGAAGCCAACACAGTGTGGAGAAAGTGTTTGGCGGGTTTATTGCTGCCTTGTAATTCTCCAGTCAGTGCTAGCACAGCCTTGCATGGTGGAAAAGTGTGGGGATTGTTGAAAAGTACAGGACTGCAGAAACACAGATGGGTCTAATTCTGGGTCTCGGCATGAATACAAAACCTATCATTCTGCCCCTCCCATCCCAACTGTTTTGTTTTCGTTCTTATTTTTATTATGTTATTTTGTGTTATCTTTTATTTTTACACTAAGATCTTCAGATGAAGGGCGGTATACAATTATTATTATAATTATTTTTAAACCAAGCTATTTGAGAACTGGGTGGTGGTGCTTCTAGTCTGGAGTCTGAGGTGCAAACTCCCTGAGTTATCCAGCAAGTTCCAAGGGCCCTCCCTCAGGAGGTTGCAGACTCTCCTTCCATGGAAGCTTTTAGCAGAGGCTGGATGACCATCTGTCATGGATGCTTTAGTTGGGATTCCTGCATTGCTTGGGGTTGGACTAGATGACCCTTGGAGTCCCTTCCAACTCTACAATTCTAGGATTCTACCTTTGGCTTTTGCACTCCATCTTCTTCCGTCTTTTTCCGTCGTTTTGTCTTTTTCTCCTTCTTCTCCCGATGCTTTCTCCGCTTTTTCTTCCCCACTCCTCCATAGTCGCTGCCGCCACTCTCCGACTTGGCCCGATACTCCTCTCGGTCAGATTCAAACTCATCCTCGCTGACCTGCCAAGGGGAAGACAGAGAGTGAGAGGGCACAACAAGTGAGATCATTAGCATTAATTAGCAACAACCTTCCTGCTGGGCAAAGGAGCCCGTGCCAGGACAAGGGCAACCCGTCCATTATGGTGAGATAAAGCGGCTTAGCAAAATAACCAGCCTGCAGTTACTGTCAACCCACAAAACAAACAGTAAACCTTGAAGAGATGATTCAGCAGCAGAATGCCTGAGGCAGAAAACCTTCCGTTACAAAGCGAGAGCCCCCAGGGAGGTGCAGCCCACTGACAGGGAGGCCCAAAAACTTATGTGACTGGTGCATGGGAAAACTAGGGATATTACGCAAACAACTCATTTTCATCCAAAATGAAGAGGGGAGATTAAAAAAAACAAACCTATGAGGAACCTCTCCCACCCAGTTAAATGTGTGCCTTTTGTGCCCCTCCATTAATCCACCATAGCCTTCAACAAATGCAGAATTCCATCTCTGCATACCAGGACTACATAAGCTGAAGAACCAATTAGCTAGCATAGCCGGGGGTGGGTGGCAGGGAATCCCAGTCCAAAATCAAACTTTGCTGTTTCTTTCCAGTGGACTCTTTAGCCTTAAAGGGGCCAGAATGGCCAAGGCATCAAGGAACCCTGCCCCCCATTGCAAATTGGTTCCCCACAGGCCCCAGTAAGACAGTCTTGCCACTATCACGACTGCCCCATCATACGTCCACCTCCTTCAAAAAGCAACAAGTCACTAATGCCATTAACACATATGCACACATGTGCAAAAGTGGAGAAAAGGAGGCAACTTACTAATTTCTTGCGCTTCCTGGGCTTCCCCGGCTTGTTCTCTTTCTGCTTTTTGGGCCCTCGTTTCTTCTTCTTGACAACAAGGGGGCTCTCCAAGTTGCGCAGCTCCTCCTCCTCTTCGTCTGAAAATAAAGGGGGTGGGAGGGAGGGAAATGAGACCAACGAAAAAAGACAGAAAGAGAAGGAAATCACTTGTGTGCTTTGCTACTTCTGGGCAGCCACTGCTCCAAGCTCACACACATGCTGAAACAATTATCCTCTCTCCATTCCTCACACTGTGCTCTCTGCCAGCAGGTCTCACCACTGCGCTGAAAGAGCCATGCTAGGGGAAGCTGGAAACCCTGGTGGAGTTCCTTCTCGTCCTCCTCACCCCTGTGGTCAACTTTATCCAGACAGGCTTGAACGATTCTATTTTTTACTATTATGACTGTTTTGCTTTCACTCTCCCACCCCACCCCCACCCTGCTTGGTCAGAAGAGCAGCCATCTGTTCCAACACTCTCAAGACGGTCACAGGGCACAGACGACAATCCCCCTAAGGGACTTCCACAAAAACCTTGGCTCATTTTGCTTCACAAAACACTTGAAGCCATGAAGAAGGGCAGTGGGTAAGGAGGGGAGGCAGCGGGTGACCCGCCTTTTGGCACAAAAGGCTGCAAGTGCATATGGCTCACCACAAAAAAAGCTTGTGGGTTGAAATTCAAGGCCAGGCAAAGAAAGGGCACTTCGGAGGCTACAGCCTCACCCACCCTCCCATTGCTGAATGGGGAAGGTTGATTTAGTTCTACATAAGTGCACCGAGCACACCCCTCCTCACAAGGGGATGGAGAAGGAGCAAATGCACCCTTGTACGTAACAAAGCATGCAAACAGGATGAAAGTAAGACACGTCTGTCTGAATGACCCTAAAGTTGGTCTCCTTTGTTCATTGGAGGGCTGCCTACAAGTTCATCTCCTCCCTTCTGTCCTGTTGCAAATGCCAAATGCCAATACTCTGCACCTGGCACGGCCAACTTTCCTACCCTCAAAAGAGATTATGCAACCCTTTATATGGTTGGGAGTTGCAGGTCACTCTCCCTCCTCCTGCTTCTTCCCCAGCCCGATGTTCCAAATTCTCTTAATTCCAGTCTGCGATGGCTAAGGACCCCCATGTCTTGGTGCCTTGCCAGCTCACCTCCAGCAGCTGCTGTCTGATGCTCCTCCCAAAGCACTACCACCCTTCCTTTACAGGCATCCTCAGTCCCAGCAGATGAATGGGAGACCTGGGACTGGTCACTGCTCAAGTGCTTCCTGGTAGCACTGCAAGGCACAGTGGAGCCAACTGGGTGGGCTAGGGATTTAAAGAAAATCCTCCAGGCAGGCTGGCTGAAGGCTGGTTGTCACCGACATAGACACTCTACTATGCAGCAGGTGTAGCAACGAGGCATAACTCCTTAATAGGAGTCACCCGGGCCAACTCCCCTCTCGTTCACACTTCTTGTAAATCAGAAGCGACTCCGCCGGCATCAACTGAAATTACTTCAGTATATTAAGACAGAGGAGGGACCATTAATCCTCTGCGTTTTCTCCGACAGCTTTTCAACCTCCTGCTCCCCTCGGTGCACAGAGGAAGGCTCTATCTACAGCGAGCCGCACACGGAGGCTACACACGCCGCCGACTCGTTAATATCACAGGACAGCCGGCTCAGTGGTAATTAGACGCTCCAGAGCCACTCTGCCCCCTTGAGCGATTTCTCTTGTCTTGCCAGACAAGGCGGGCGGGGAAGGAGACAGAAGAGCCTTGCTGCTAACCTGGCTGTGATTAATGTGGGACGTAACCCCACTAAGTGTCAGTGCTCAGAAAACCTTTCCCTAAACTAGAAGGACCAATACGTCAGGTTCTGTCACCGTTTGCCCAAATCCCTTCCAAGCCTGAGCAACGCAAGCCTTTGTGTTTCATCTGACACTGACCAACTCCGCTTCCCAAGAATTGGGTTGAAATCTAGGCTCAGGGCCCCTGAGATGGGAGAATCACAGACTCTGTTAGTGCTGCAGCTCCAGGCTTCTGAAATGAGTCTCCTACTGAAATTGAACAAACAAGTTCTTGTGGTTAGGAAGTGACTGAAGACATTTTTGAGAACCCTTTCCCTGAAGTACAACCCACAAAAATAAATCTACAAATAAACAAACAGGTGGAAGGAGACTGAAAGTCCACCAAGCCCAACCCTGGAAGTAAGAGGCAACATCTATCCATCCCAGATTCAAATCCTCACATATCCAGGAGGTTTAGTGGATGAATGACCTTGGACATGCCTCAGCCTAACCTACTTGGAGCCTGGTTGATGCATATATGAAATATGAACTGTAACGTATCTTGCACTCTGAAACGTCCTGTATAAGAAGTATCATTATGCAGGATTGCTCCTGAACCTATACTGCTCCTGCTCACACCTCAAGCAACTTCTCTCAATAGCCACTCCCGCAACCCTTGCTGCTATGCAGAGCATCACCACTCCAAAAGCCATGATACAGCGAACTGGCTTAGCTTTGGAAAACCTGTGTCCATTGCCTGGCCTCATTACAGGTCAAAGTCTCAGCCTCAGTTCCCCCACTGCAAGTCCAGGTAAAGGTCTAAAGGGAACACAGCTAGGTGCCCTGCTGAAAATAAGGTGGTGTGTCTGCCCAGAGCCTGGATTCAAGACTGCTGAGAAACCTCTGTGGACACTGCTCCAAGTCCCTTGGGGAGAAAAGGTGGACAATGTAACAAATGCATAAAAATCAATTTATCCTACAGCTGCCAACCCAGCTGTTCTTCCTTTTATCCTTCACAGTCTGGCCTAAGTTGTCTGCACACCAGGGACACATATTAAAATACTCTCAGACTCCCACCAGTATTTCCAGACGAGGAAAGGCAGGGCAGGGGAGAGGGAAACATAGGCAGACATGTCTTGCTGGGGGAGACCCCTGCCACACGCCTGCTCCCTTTCAACCAGCATTGAACTGACTACAAGCTTCATCTGATAAGAGTACTGTTGCTGCTGCTTACAAAAAGTGTATTCCCTTGCAACATGGGTTTGTTTTCCTAGAAACTCCAAGGAGGCTTGATGCTTCAGGGAGACACAAAAGGGCCAAGCAAGGCACAGTGCATCTGGGCATGAGATATGTGGTGAGAAGGTTCACCATATGATGACTGGTCGTGACAGCTGTAGAATTTTTTTTGTTGGAAGAGAACGAGAACTCAGACTGATCCAAATCAAGCTGCTGCTATTAGAGCGGAGAGATTGTTTTGTGTGAAGAAGAAATGTATCTACATGTGCCCAATACCTTATGGGCACCCGCGGGCATGACCTAATGGTCAATTCCAAATTAGAATTGTGCCCTTCCCAGGCCTGATCTAAAGCATTCTAAAGTTTCAGTTTCATATTCCCATTGCAGTTTTCTTTCCTGCTGCAGAAGGTAGAACCCGAACCAATGGCACCAAGTTACAAGAAAGGAGATTCCAACTAAACATCAAGAAGAACTTTCTGACAGTAAGAGCTGTTTGACAGTGGAACAGACTCCCTCTGAAGGTTGTGGACTTTCCTTCCTTGGAGGTTTTTAAGCAGAGGCTGGATGCCTCTCTGTCATGGATGCTTTAGTTGAGATTTCTGCATAGCAGGAGGTTAGACTAGATGACCCTTGGGGTCATTCCAACGCTACAAATTCTTTGATTCTATGATAACCTCTCATCAAGCCTAACTCTTTTAGTAGTATTTACTGTATTTTTCCATGTATAACCCCCTGCCGTGTATAAGATGCCCCCTGTTTTTTGGGACTCCAAATTAAGAAAATGGGGGGAGGTTGTCAAGAGTTGTAGAGTTGTTAAGCTTTTTTGGCAGGATTGCCCACAATTGTTGAGCTTTTTTTTGGTGGGGGGTTTGCCAAAAATCACTCAGCTGACTGACTGACGCTTAAAATCGCAAAAGCCACCAATCGCCCACCCAATTGCCGCAGGGGCAGCCGATCGACAACAGCCCTTGCTGCGGCCACCAATCAACCACCCAATAGCCACTGACAATCTCCTGCTCGCGGCTGCAACCCATCGCCCATTTATACACTATCTGTGTATAAAACGACCCCCAATTTTTAACATAATTTTTAAAGGAAAAAAACTCATCTTATACATGGAAAAATACGGGATCTATATCAATAATTCACTCCAGATAAATCTCTGAGAGCCTGGCAGATGAACTCCATTCATGCCCCTATTTACATAAGATAGGAATGGGTACCAAACCCCAAAAAGCTGTCTTCTTTGCTTATTCCAGCGGCACTCAGACAAGGTGAGATACCATACATGTGTATACCATCCTTGTAACATACAGCCTGACCTGGTCATCCAGTGCTGTGCCACCTCTATATGTGCAGCTGCCAATAATGAAGTCACCATTCACCAAGACCCCTCAAACACAGAGAGCAATGCCAACCAAAGATCTAGAACTACCTCTTGCTGGATAACATCAGATATGACCCCAAATACCTTTGGCCAAAGCTCCTGCACCAGAGGACAGTCCTACCAGAGATATAAAAAGAAAAGGGAAAGCGTCCAACAGCCTCTCCAGCATCATGGCAGTAGCTGCTTGTCTACATGCCTTGACCGCACTAATGTGAGGTAAGACCTGTGCACCTCAGCACAGAAGCTCTAATTCTCGCTGAGGTTGTACAGAGAAGTTTTCTAACCCACATTCTCCCCCACTTGTCTTCTGGAATTACAATATCCAAATCCATCTCTCACACTGATTTTTGGCTACCTGCAACTCAGATATTAGCAAACCGCAGGTCCTAGAAAAGGGGTAGCCAACATGGTGACTCAGATATTGTTGGACTACATCTCCCATCAGCCCCAGCCAGCACGGCAAATGCCCAGGGATTGTGAGAGTTGTAGCTTAACAACAATCTGGAAGACACCATGCTGGCTGGTTACCCCTATGCTAAAGATAGCACCCTTCAAGTCATTCTCCTTGCTCAGGCACATGCTTTCATATGCTGTCACAGACCTCAACTGCTCTCCAGATCACAGTAGCCTCTTTGTGAATGCCTTCACCTAATATAACTGAAACCCTTCCCCTTTGCATTCTTTCCATGATTAGTCTATGCTCTGTAAGCAGTTGGGCCAACTTAAACTAGATCTCTTTGCCCAGCTTTCTGGTACCCTCCAGATGTTGTAGGACTACAATTCTCAAAATGATGGCTGGAGCACCTGATGGGAACTGCAGTCCCAACAGCAACTAGAAGGCACCAGGCTGGCAAAGGCTGCCTTAGCTAATACATCCCTCCAGTCTTGTACTCTGAATAGTGACCATATTTGTCCTTGTGCCTACATCTCGGATAAGCCAATAATATAAATAAGCCACTGTATCAATAAAAAGATAAAGGGACCCCTGACCATTAGGTCCAGTCGTGACCGACTCTGGGGTTGCGGCGCTCATCTCGCTTTATTGGCCGAGGGAGCCGGCGTACAGCTTCCGGGTCATGTGGCCAGCATGACTAAGCCGCCTCTGGCAAACCAGAGCAGCGCACGGAAACGCCATTTACCTTCCCACCGGAGCGGTACCTATTTATCTACTTGCACTTTGATGTGTTTTCGAACTGCTAGGTTGGCAGGAGCAGGGACTGAGCAATGGGAGCTCACCCCGTCGCGGGGATTCGAACCGCCGACCTTCTGATCGGCAAGTTCTAGGCTCTGTGGTTTAACCCACAGCACCACCCGCATCCCCCACTGTATCAATAGTCATACTTAAAATAGGCACTTTATTTATTATTGGACCAGTTCCTTAAGATGTCGTTAGCAGGGGCTATCAGAAGATATAGATCTCTCTTTTCAGATAAGCTGGAGGCTAACATTATTTTCTACAATCCTACTTGCCCATTTTTACTGAGGAGAAAAAATTACTCAGTATATATAAATAGCACCAATATTGCGGTATTTTCCTTTCAACTGGCTAGCCAGTCTATAACAGAAGTTAAAGACAAGGCAGTTGTTTTAGACTGCAGGTGAGTGGTCATATATTGAATATTCCCATACATAAAAAACCAACAACCCCCAAACACACTTCCTTGAAACGTGGAAAATCAGTGCAGGGTCTGATGTGCTAATTTACAATCTGCATAGATAATTACATAGGAAAGTGTTCAGAACTATAATCGCCCACCTGTAGTCAAATGGTACAAGTCCAGAGTTCTAGCACCTCATTCTCCTAACTTGTAAAACAGCTCTAGGCCACCCAGAGAGCTTCACAACTAAACAGGTATCTGAAACAGTGTTTCTCATGTTCATCACATCATGTTGGCCCCTATTAACAATAGATTGTTGTGACGATCAATGACTTGAGGTCTATGAAGCAACGCACAGCCTAGAAGTATCACAGAGATTACAATACGTAGTACAGTAGCAGCTTTACATTTCACCTTCATATTTAGCATTAATTCCCCTCCAAGGGCTCTTGCAACAACTGTGGAACATCACAGGTTCTCTGCCCTTCCCCAACTACTGCTAATTATACATCTGCACAGGATTTGGCCCACCAAGGTAGCCTGGAACATTTGCTGATATTTTTAGAAACAGGGCGATGAATGAGTTCCAATCTAGACAGGGGAACATCATCAAGAGCACAGCCAGTACAGAGAGAGAGGCAGTAGCTTCCAACTTACGCCAGGGAGCCAGAAGTCACCGCCACCCAATGTCTCTTGGGTGACCTACAACACAATGCGTTGTCAGGCTCTGAAGTCCTGGCCCCTCTTTGCTCATTTCCTATCACCCCACCCTATGAGCCACAGGACACAAACTACTGTATAAATCACAGCTGGCACTAATTGGCTCACTGCGCCAGCAGCTCTGCTGAGAGGTCGCAGGCTAAACGGGGCTGCAGGAAGCTAAACTGCCCTCTTGTGCCCCCGCAGGGGGGTTCCTCCAGGTCAAAGATTAAACATACTGACTACAGAGAAAGTCAGCGTGTGCGTGGGAATAGCACAGCGTCCACCCTTTGTGGGTAAACAGAGAACCTGCGTTTTTCTCTTCAAACGTGGTGCAAATCCAAGCCCTTCCTCCCCACCCACCCAGCAACAGAATTTTATATCCACAATACAGGCCAGCCAGATCTTCCTTGCTCATGCCAACTCGGCCTCCATTTACAACAGTGCCAAACTCAAAATAGTCACGGGAGCTGCTCCGAGAGATAAATCAGGCCTGTGGGGGAAGCAATCACATACAAATGTTGGCATCATCAGCTCAATCCCACCTTCCCAGCTCAGATCTGCCCATCACCCTCTCAACCATCTGAGGTCGGCCAGCTCATACAATGCAGGCACATGCCTGCTAGATTTCAAAGACAATCCAGTGACTGGTTGAGTCTCTTTTCAAATTGCAGTCTAAAAATACCCATCTTCCCCAGTAGACCTCCTAATTTTAATGTCTCAGATTAAAACCAGGTGCAAAAGCAGATCTAGGTTTAACTAACCAAGAAGAGACTGATAATCCACTACAGGCAGAGGAAAGCAGGCACGGGACATACATTACTACATAATCATTGCCCACACTGAGTCAACCAAGCACTTTTGTGTTGTTTTTCAATCTTGCAAATAAAGCCGAAACCCCCACCGCTTCCAAACGCTTCCCCCACCCCACTTCAGTTAACAAATGCTGTTAAGATTAATGGATATTGGTGCAATAACCACCATTCAGGCGCCCCTCTTCCACCTCCTCCCATTCCTCCCTCCTTTTCTCTGCTTGCTATATTTTTGCATCTGGCACAATCCTAGCTCCTTCTGACAATACAACATTTATCTCTGAATCCTGCAAGCTGATTCACCTTGTTGCATTTCCCTCATACCACGCCGCCTTCCTTCTGCTTCTGATGGGATGGAATTGACAAATACGAGGGGGGGAAATACATCAGGGTAGGCTTATCAGACACCCCCTCCCCCGCAACTCTTGTCAATTTCTAATCTATCTATCAATCTTTTTTTCCTCCTACTTCTTCCACGCATTCTTCTCCCCCTCCACCCCCCCTTTCCTAATCATAATATTGGCACACATGCGCAGAAGATTCTTATATTTGGCAGGCAATCAACTAGAATTTTCCACACACGTGATATTTCTACTCCCTACCTTGAAAATATATATTATATAAGGCTAACAAAGGATCTGGAAAGGAAATGGGGAGGGGGGATAAGGAATGTAGATGTGTAGCCATAACTACAAATTACAGAAGACCAACCCTGCTTAGAATTGTCATCTCTTTCACGACAAACGGTATTTATGTATTTCAATTTAATACAAAAAAAATAAAAATGGATGGCCAATTTAGAAAAAAAAGAACAGCGCCTTTTATCTGTGTCAGTTAATGGAGGAGAATAACAGCCTTTTCCATTAGTGAGAAATCTTAATCATCAGGGTAAAAACAGTCATGCGGAGATGAGGGTGGCAAGGGGAAAATAGCATATTCAGTGAGATGGGGAAAGATTTACGGGCATGGCTCAATTCTACAATTTGTCCACCAAAAGCAATGCTGGATTAATAGTGAGGCAGGGTTTTCTAAACTGTGATTTCTCAAGAGTTGGGCATTGTAGGAAAGAAACAAGAATGAAGCCATCACATTTTCAAAAATAGCTTGACAACCAGCTGTAATCTTCAGCCAGTGGCTGAAAACAGGATGACTGTCTTCTAGCCAGTTACACCACTACAAATCTAGACTAGAAGGGCACCAACTGGCAAGAAGCATTGCTGGCACACACACAATTGACAGATATGTGCTCCAATGAAGTTGGGGGAGGTCAGAGCACCAAGGCTTCCTTCCAGATTTCCTAGGCCTTCTTACATTGCAAGGGGTGGATTACCTTGTTGGAGTGTGAAACAGGGTGAACCAGTTTAATAGCAAGAATTATCAAAATATGGAATGCTTGTGGATTAGAAGCCAGTGGTTCAAAAGTAGCCTGCAAGTGGAACCCCATGAAAATGAATGAGTTACCGGTATTTCATTATATTTCTTTTAATACTTTGGTATTGTCTCTCTGCTTTCCTCTAGCACCTCTCCTTGCATTGGTGGACTAGCCTGGTGCTTCCCAAACCCCTCTGTTCTTCAGGTTATATCCACCACCACCACCCTGTTGCCTTTGCACTGTGCTCTTGGTCAACACTCTCCTTTCTTCTGACCCCAGGTGCCCCAGGGTGTTATATTTCCTGGCTTTCTTCCCTGCAGAGTCCATTCCTGATTACAGCATGGTCTTCTTGACAACCATATGTCAGGAGTGCTCTGATGGTGTTTCCTGCTTGGCAGGGGGTTGGACTCGATGCCCCTTGTGGTCTCTTCCAACTCTATGATTCTATGATTCTTCATTCCCCCAAGCTCTACTCCTGAGCCCACTTCTGTACTCTCTGGGCCTTCCCTTCCCTTTGCTTTCCTGCATTCTCCCACCTTCCACTCTATCTTGTGCAACTGTACAAGCAACATTCATTTCCATGGAGCCAATACCTAGATTGCTGTCGTGTCAAAGCATTTCTTTAAAATCCACCTACATTCTTGGAGAATTAAAGCATTGTCAAGTACAACTTTTTTGCAAGTCAACTGGAATGAGATTCCACTATGGACCTGGTAACTGCTCTTACCATCCTTGGAACCACAAGCCCTTCCATTACTATGCCCAGTGCAGAGATTATGAAGTTTGATCTCCCTGTGAATTTGCAGAGTTGTGCAAAGTATAAACAACTATAAACAAAAAACCTCATCATAGATAAAGGCTGAAAAGTTTCCTCCTACAGGCAATAGGAGCAATATCCAGTTTGCAATATTCTAGTCCACATGCCTTTTTGTTGTGGTGTTCCATCATAGGAGGAAAATTACCCTCTAGATTTTGAGCCCAGGAGCTCACACAGATTCCTGATGAAATCACAGGCAACATCTGTCACACTGCTTCAAGCAGCACTGGCTTGTGATGAAATATCTACTGCCAAAAAAAAAGCTTCTGGCCAGCTGAGGGACCTCCAGCCTGATACAGTTTCCCATTACCAAAGTAGCTGTTCCACTGTCAAGATATATGCTGTACATTAGCCAACCACAGAATGGGGGGAGCTGGCCTTTCCCAAGAATACTCAGAAATGCAGTTGTTGTTTTCAATGAGAAATTATTTTACACCTAGGGTTATAGCTCTTTGTGTGGGCTTGAGACAGGTAAAGTTAATTCATAAAGTAGCAGGAACTGTTGCTGGAAGGTCCACAATCTAATTAAATCAAAGAAAGGTTGATAGGTAGCACCCTTTCTACAAGGATCAAATCGCCCATTTTTCTATCACTCTGGAAAGCCGGTACGTACAACTAGTTTTTCTTAGAAATGGCAAAACTGCAGGTGCTGCAAGGTCAATATGCTCAGCCACAGTCAGAGTGTGGAAAGGGTCCATCAACTTGTGAGATAACCATATCAAGTATTTAGGAACTTCTTGTGCACACTCATATCCAGCCTGTGCTTACACTGTTACCTGTTCCTGCAAGATACAGGGTAGCACTTTTTGAATTAACTATGCTCCATAAAACAAGTCACTGCCATTGTCTGTCAGTGTCAGCAGAAATGAACCCTAAAGAAGCATTTCCTGTGCAAGTTATCATAGCATAATAAATTGTAAACTTTGTATGACAGAAAGCCATTTTGTTTCTCACTTTGCTCATACTGCACTAATATTTAAACCAGAAGCAAGCGAGCCAGCAAGCAAACCTACCTTGTTTAAACACATGTACCAGTAATTTCATCATCTGTAAATTATCTGATATTCTTAACAATACCGAAAGAGAGGACCAGAGGGTCACCGATAATTAGAGGGGGCAGATAATCAGTTTAAGTAAGACATAGTGTTGTGATGGGACGTGGGGGTGGCGCTGTGGTCTAAACCACTGAGCCTAGGGCTTGCCGATCGGAAGGTCTGCGGTTCGAATCCCCGCGGCGGGGTGAGCTCCTGTTGCTTGGTCCCAGCTCCTGCCAACCTAGCAGTTCAAAAGCACGTCAAAGTGCAAGTAGATAAATAGGTACCAATCCGGCGGGAAGGTAAACGGCGTTTCCGTGTGCCAGAAGCGGCTTAGACATGCTGGCCACATGACCCGGAAATACTGTCTGTGGACAAACACCAGCTCCCTCAGCCAGTAAAGCGAGATGTGCGCCGCAACCCCAGAGTCATTCGCGGCTGGACTTAACTGACGGGGTCCTTTACCCTTTTAGTGTTGTGATAGTTTTTAATGTTTAAGTATCTCTTGCTAGCCACTACGTGGGCTATCTGAATGTGTCTTGGCAAGTCTGTCTAGGCCTTTAAAAATGCAAGAGGAATTACCCCCATATATACTGCCTTATATGAGCTAGACTCCTGACATCACCAATTTGGCCTCAAAGTTACCCAACTTGCATTTCGAAACGCAACCCTCAATGTCTAGACCTGCTTAATGGTCCAACCACCTTTCCTGTCACATGGATTGGGCCTTACTGTTCTCCTGTATGTGCTTCACCTTCCGTTTTTATTCATCTTTCTTAGAATGATCATCTGTGGTTTGGGCCTGTTTTTATTGATTTTTGTAATAATAATAAAAAACACATGCAGGGGCTGAATAACTATTATTATGACTGACTGTAAGATCAAAAGGCAACAATGGCTCCTGATCCACACACAGAATCCAGAGTCCCTTTCCCATGACCACCCAATTCCAATCAATGGGCCTGTAATACTATGAACAATAGGTCCCGATCAATGAAACATCGGCCTTGTTCCAATCGGGTTTCGCAGAAAGTGTTCTGCCCCTGCAGTTTCTAAATCTTCATCCCAAGTACCATAAGTCTGCCAAGCCCACTCCCTCAACGACAGAGGCCTCCTGTTCCAATCCTGACACTGGCCCCACTACATAGAGGCTCCTGCCTCTCATAATCCCCAAACACAGGCCTCTCCGCTCCCTTCAGTCCTGTTGCCCTGCTGTCAGGCAGCCCTCTCTGCTCCTGTCAAAACTGGCATATGGCCACCAAGTAGCCAGCTGCTCCCATCACCTCTAGGGCACGCTTTTCTGACATGTGCCTCACCTCACATTCCCTACCCCCAAATCACAAGGCGTCACCCCCAACCCCATTTACCCGAAAAGCACGGCCCTTTCAGCCACCTGTGCCAGGCTTATAACCCTTCCTGCCAACCGTAAGAATAAACACTCTCAGTGCATATGTACCCCCCCCCCCAAAAGTTGCATTTGCCACAACTTCTCGCTGCTCAGGCCCAAAGAGGACGAGGGAGTTTGGGGCTTATTCCCTCATGTGACACTGGCATGGTTCCCATTCTCCAGAGATGGGGTGCCCACCCACTAACCCCCCCTAAAAACAGGGGGATCAGGTTAAAAAAAGTGGGGGTCCTTTTCACAACAATTCATGGGAGCAGTATCTCTCTCTCTTATTTATTTGTATACATGAGGGTGTGCTTGCAGATAACCGCCCCCCCCCAAAAAAAACCAAGTCGAGGACGGGAAGAGGGTGAGGCTGTTTACAAAACAAACCACCCCTCCCCCCCCACACACACACCCTGAGGAAAGCCGAGACGGGGTGTCAAATAAGGGGGGCCAGGGCTCCCCAACAACTTTCAGAAAGCGTCGAATATTATTATTATGAAATAGGGGTGATTTGAAACAAGAGCCCCCTCCCCACACCTCAGCCCCGCTGGTCTCCCAAGCCCCACGCGCTCTCCTCAGCCTCCTTCGAGGCAGACTGGGACTCTCGGCGGCCGCTCGAGCCGTTTGGCCGGCGGCGGCGGCGGCGGCGGGGGGGGGGGAGGGGAGGCTGGCTCGGACGTGGACCCCCGACCCCACCCCCACCCCCGCCATCGGAAAGGTTCCCAAAGGCCGCCGGGCAAGGGGCAGTCGGCGCCGGGTGAGGCATTGCAGCGAAGGGCAACGGGCCGAGGGGAGGAGAGGCTAAAAAAGAAAGGGGGGTGGAACTCCGGGTCCCTCAACATTCCAAAGCCGTTGGGCAGCGCGCGCGCGGAACGGCGGTTCGCGGGAAGGGCAGTTGGCGCGAGGAGGGCGGCGGGTTGGAACTCCCGAGCCCTCGGCGTTCGAAAGCCGTTAGTTGTTTACAAACAAGCTGCCCTCCCCTCTTCCCCCCCCCACATCCACCGCCCTCCCGCCAGTTCCGAAGGCGGCGGGGCAGATTTCTAATTTTTTTGTGGTGGTTAATATAGCGCCGAATCTCCTGAGGGGTCAAATTAAAGGGGCGACCGGGAGGTTGGGGGGGGGGAGGGGTGTTGTTTACCTGGAGGCGCCTCTGTCCCTTCAGCTGCCGCCGGCGTGGATGCTGTCGGTGTCAGTGGAGCAGCCTCCTCAGCCTGAACAGCAGGCGGGAATATGTCGCCTGGGCTGTTGTCCCCTGCTCCTTCTTCCTCCTCCTCTTCCTCCTCTTCGTCTTCGTCCCCCTCCACCTCAGACACCACCATCTCCTCCTCCTCTTCCTCGTCCTCCCTCAGAGGGGAAGCCATGGTGGTGCTGGAGGAGGGGGGTGGGGGAAACACAAGAGAAAAGCAGAAGGGGGGGCAACCCCCCTTCCCTCTCTCCCTCTCTCACACACAAAAAGCTCTCCCCCACTTCAGATCACCTCAGTTTAAAAAAAATAAAAAAAGTCCCATGAATGAAAACAACTCTCCTTCTTTACAACTTTGTCCTTCCTGGAAATGTTTCCTCGACCCCCTTCTTTAAAAAAAAAAAATTAAAAAAAAACGAAGGGGGGAGTAAAGATATATTTAAATTCTGAGGGGGGAGTTCAGGATAATATTTTCCACAAGACCAAGAAACAAAAATGGCCGCCCTTAAATTATTTTTTAAACAGACCCCCCCAGGAGGTAAAAAATATATAGGGCCCCCCCTATATAAAAAACAAAAAACAAAATGGCTGGCTTAATTTTAACCCCCTCTTCCATAGGGTTAAAAAGATCTCCCCCCTTTCAAAAAAAAAATCAGCTCCAAATTTAAGAGGGGGAAAAAACATGCAAGAAAACGAAAATGATAATAAAGATAAAGGCTTTTTCTTCTTGCTGTTATATTTTCTTTTCAATCTCCAAGATCTGTGATCATGAACAATATTTAGACATTCCTGGCACTGGGGGGAAACTGACAAGATTTCTGCATAAAACAAAGATGGCTGCTCTAAATTATTTCTTTTTTTCTTATGCTCTCCCCCCCACCTCCCTCAATAAAAATATTTTTTACAGGGAGGGGGGAAGAGAGAGAGAGAAAAGGTTGGATTAATCAGTACTCATGCTCAGTTATGACATCAGCATAAAATTGTTAAAGGTTAACTAGTTCCATACTAGTAAGACCATGACTTTTGTGTGTGTCTGTGTCTGCTTTACTAGCACAAGAGAAGAAAAAAAAGAATAGGGGTGGTTTTTTCCTCCCCCCTTTCTTCTTCTTCTTCTTTTTCTAACTTTAAATACTTCAGAAGGGAGTGGTTTATTTCTCTCCTTTTCCTCTAGGGCAAGAAAGGAAGAAGAGAAGAAGAAAAACCCCACTGATTACTGCAATTCATTAAAATATTTTATCCATGCTCACATTAATGGATTTCACTGTTTTTCTAGATGAGTGCTGTTTTGTTTTTTAAAAGGTTTTTTCCCCCCTTCCTAACTTCTGTGTGGAAAATCTATCCTAATAAATATATTTTGCTCCCTTAAACGCCCCCCCCCCCCGAATTTACCCTATCGTGTTTGCCCCACTGGGGTAAATCAATTTAATATGAAAGTGTAGTTTTAGCAAATACCTTGATTACAAAGGTTTCCCCCCCCCCTTCTCTCACCAAAACGTTGGGGTTTTTGTTTTTTTTTAGCTGATTTTGAAAATAATTATGGCCACAATCCAACACTGAGTGTGGTACATTGAAGTCCCAAGAAAGTCGCTGGGCGTAAGGATGTATACCTCTCTTACGGATTGTGGCCCTTACTTTCTCTCCCTGTTTTATAAATGGGAAAAGAATGTACCACTAAAGGGAAATTAATAAGTAAAATGGAGAAGCATTTTATAATAATTAAGAATGGCCATCACATTTTATTTTTGAACAAGCCTCGTGCATCTAGATAATTCGAGTTTAAGACTTAAAATACAGTTTTGAAAAAGTTAGCTTTCCTTTTATTTGTGGCCTTTGATCTCAAACCCTCTAATAATGATGGAGGAACCAATAGGAAGTTTTAAAGGACTCAGTTCTTTATTTTTTCCCAAACCAGGTGGCTCTGATAATCTCTCATTTTAGTGTCTGTTATGTTGGAGCAAGTGAGACTCCTGCCTGCACAAATAAGGCTTCAAAACCTACCTGTCCATGAGCCATTCCATATAGCAAAATACCCCACAAAAAAAGATGGAGTTTGGAAGGGACATGATAGAAGTGGAGAAGTGAAGCTGCAATCACAAGTAAGTCCCAAGTGAAGTGCAAGTTTGCACATTACATAGATTCTAGTTCAGATTGCAGGTCATTCACTACCAAGCTAATACCCATGATAGGAAGTTACAGCTATTGAGGTATCTTCAGCCTACAATATCCTTGAACCCAACTAAACTGAATCCAAGCATGTGTCGGAGTACTGACCCTGCAAAGTGTAATGTTTGACTCACCTGAGTTGTCCTACCTGCATAAGGAAACTACAAATAAAAATCAACTCTGTTGTTGGGGACTACTGGATAACTGCTTCTGCCCATTGGATCTGACATGGGAATTTAAAAAAACCTAAAACATATTTTCCCCAACTTCAGTCTTACACTACACTAGCAATATACAAGTATAATGCTCGTATCACTTTAAAAATCCATTTCTAAAATAAACCACTGTTGGTTTCACACATCCCACATTTTTATGAGACACAAATCTGTGCTGATTTAGAAAAAAATATTATTTAACTGTCTTCATTAGATTTTCATTTTTACAAATGATTCTGGGAAATTTTGGACCCGACCCACCCACTTCCAGATATTTAAGATAAATTTTGAGGTTAAGATCCTGTTGCTGAATGAGGGCCTTGCCAAAAGATTGTGTACAAACACAATGCTTACAAACTATTCCAGAGGCATTTCTCTTATTCTTGCAGTACCCAAATACCCCAAAATACTTTAGTGGAGGCTTCTATGATGCTTGTTTCCAAAATACTTCAACTTTATTGACATTGAAATTGAATTGCAGGTGAATTCCCAGTAATTCTGAACTAAACCTGGTAGCAAAGTTGATCAGCCTTCTAATCAATTTTGAAGAGAACAAGTTTGTCAATTTTCTTCTCTCTGTATTTTGTTGGAAGTAAAAAAACAACAAAAACGCATGAAATGGCACCTGAAAGAAAGTTGCACTGACCTCACGGTGGGGCTTCTTTTCATGCAAGTGTGTTTGAAATCATGCAGCATCACATCTGAACCGCTCTCAGTGAAGGTAGTAGTATTGCGGTCAGTCGTACCCTTATTTTAAATTATTTGCAGGGCTAAACTTCAAGGGGGGGTGGAGAATTGGAGGGCAATCCCAGCTTTTAAAACATGGCCGCTCTCCAGTGAAAGTGTTCAACCTAAGCCTAAGCTTATTCCCCTGTAGACTAGTTACAAGCGTCCACAGAGGACTAACTGTGCCTGCAGGAGACACCGTTTGCCAAGCGAATGTTATCCCCCATGTGGCTTTTATATTTAACGGAACACCCTCTGAAGCCCTCCAGGAGCTTGGGCACGAATCCCATTCACTCATGTTGAAACATTCGCCTGGCAATGCTGGAAGCCAATGCTCCAGGAAGAGCTTTGGAGGTTTCATGCTATCAAAACCATTTTACATTAAAGTGGCCTTTTTTTTTATTTGTATACAGAGCATGTCTCTTCCTGGTGGGGATGAGAAGGGAGCAAGCGGTCCATCATCATCTGAATTTCAAACTTGGAATTTCACTACATTGGTGCATTATATTGCCTGCCGGTTAAAAATGAAGCAACGAGAACAAAGTACAAATTTCCAGAGAAGGGGGGGAAATCCCTTTTGAATCTTGACCTGAGTTGTTTGTGGCTTGGTCCTCCTTGCTCAAGGGAACAGCATGAAAAGAGGAAAACATCCTTTTCCTTCTGTCTCTTCTCTGCCTTTGATGTTTTTTCACAATGCAGTTAAGTGTCAGGAATCCTATCAAGGAACCTGCAGCATGATACTAATAGGGGAAATGTAGAATTTATTTCAACAGCTCACACACACAACTGCATCTTGTCTTTCAAGAGGGTCAAAGATGTGTTGCTCATTACCCCACAAGCCTGCTCTTCCCTCAAGGGAACTGCTGCTGTTTGGCTCGGGGGTGGGAAGAAATCTTTCAAGGCCTTTCCCCTGCTGATTACAATGTGACTGACGTAGACACACACACACACACACACACACACACACACACACACACACACACTCTTCTGTGAAAGCCTGTGGAAACACAGGAATTACACACTTTGATTCAGAAAATCAGAGTGCAGGTGGCATCTGTTGCAAATTCATCCCCCCTGACCTCAGGCGGTTTATTGACACCTTCCATCATTCAGAAACCAAGAGCAAGCACTCCCACCTCTTGGCAAAATCCTCAAATGTCTTAAGACTTCTGGCAAAATTATAACAGATTTTGGGGGAGATTTGTTTTTCCATAACCCGCATGTCTCTGCAACTGGTCCTAGGAATTTTGGCTCACTAGGAAATGAGAATCACTGGAGGATTTCCAGGTCAGAGGTCACATTCTCTAGTGTTTCCTTCAACCACAGCTGTATTGGTGTGTCTTTTCTTCCATCACAAGGCACTGGATTGTGGACAGCTTGAGCCATTTCCCCACCCCCCAATTTTACCAGATGAAAGGATAGCCAGTTTGAAATATGTTAAAAGTTCATAAGAACCCACAACTGATTGAATGTAAGCATTAGCCATCCTGTTCATTTATAGTCAAGGATTTAGAGTAGGCGCTACAGAGCAGGGAGGGAGCCAGGCATTGTACAGCAGGCCAGCCTACTATTGGTGACTGCTTTAGACCTCATGGAGCCAGTCATTTTATTTATTTTACTAAATCTACACCCTGTCTTTCCTCCAAGGAGCTAAAGGTTGGCCTAGAATGGTTATCCTCACAACAACCTGCCGGCACCCGCTCCGTCTTGGGAGACAATGGAAGAGTGAACCTTTGAGAGTGAAGTCAAGCCGTTAGTTACAGTACCTGCTGTGGCTGTGGCAACTGCTGTGGGAGAGACATGTTTTGTTGCAGCTGCGGCAGATGAAGATGTCCAGTTTCACTGTTAGAGATACACCATGGCATGTCTTCTCTCTGCACTCCTCCCAGTGTTAATTTCTCCTGAGGTTGTGTTTCTACAGCAGTGACCTGACTGATTGTCTCCAGGTGCTGTGGTCATCTGCAAGGGATTCCCACATTGTGGGGGTGATGTTGCCAGCCTTTACATGGTCTGCCGACAGGCCTGGTATCTGAAGCCAGCTCCCTATAGAGCACATCCTTTGGGATCCTAACATCTTCCACCACGAAGCCAGCATAGAAGTTGCTGAGACAGGAGCATGAACATACTGGGAATGTGGACTTGGGAGAGCACATCCTTCTTTGAGACTGTGTCCTGCCACGGGACACCCAAAATTCTCCCTGATGTAGCACATGTGGAAAGCATTGAGACGTCGCTCCTGGCAAGTGTAAGTTTCCCACGACTCACAACAACCATGTGTGGTAGGCTAGATTGAGAGGGTGGTGGCGAAAGGCTAAAGGACATCAAGCAAGCTTCATGGCTGAACAGAAATTTGAACCTGGTCTCTAACCAGTATATCACATAGCCTCATTCTCCACCTCATACCACAGAAGCTTAAACAGTGGCTGTCACTAAGCATTAACCATTAGATGGCTGGTTTCAGGCAACACTATAATAAGGAAATATGTCAAAGACAAAGTAGAGAATTCAACACCAGTGTCTAATCATGCAATGGTTTATGAGAGACAAGGGAGGAGAAAGTCATAGGGACAAGTTTGTTTTTTTGGGAATGAACATGTGGAAGGAGAGACCATGTGGTCACAAGCAATTCTCTCATTTTTAAGAATAAGCATATCCTGCCTTTGTCTTACAAAAATGCAACAGTGTAATAAATCTCAGTAAAAATATTACAAATATATTTTTTAAGTGCAACCCCTTGCATGTTTGCTCAGAAATAAGACCTTGACTCACTGCCCAGTTTTTTGCTTACAGAATTTTAATCCAGCTCTTCAGGCAAAAATAAGGGGGGGTTCTCAGTGTGTCTTATGGATCACTAAAAAGAAAAGAAAACCAAACTGTCCCTGCCACCAGGCTTGCAATATAAAAAGACACAACACAAAAAGGAAATAGATTGGGAGGGAGGAGGAAATAAGTCTAATGAGGTACACGGTCGTAATTACAAGTTATTTTAATGACCATATGGGATGCAAAAGTTCAAATAGAGCAGGGGCCAAAATGTGCTGGTCTCACAGCTGTGCCAATGGAATTAAAAATTAAATGAAAAAAATAAACTTAAAAATGAAAGGGGGGGGAAATGGCGAAACGAATGACCCTGCATCAGTTCCATGCTGGCTAAGGCTGATGGGAGCTGTAGTACAAAACATCTGGAGGGCACCAGGTTGACCAAGGCCGCAGTATAGGATTGCAGCATAAGGGTTGCCAGACAGCAGATGAAATCTACCAGGAAATTACTGCTCCACCAAACACTATGAGAAAGGCCATGCCTTTGCAGTGCAGCAGAAGTTCAGCAGTGACATAGCCAAACAGGCCTCTTTCGGCCAGGATTCCACAACTGGGGCCACAACCAGGTGGTAGTGCAGGGAGAGACAAAAGCACTGCAAGTGCAGAAGAAAAAAGAAAAAACCAGGCATCATTGGCCAAGAGCAGCTGTTCTTTCGAGGCAGAGTGGGCAGGGTTCCCTTTTCACAGACAGGACAGCGGTCGCAAGTCCATCTGTTCTCTATACAAGTCCAAGCCTCCCTGAGGTTATGGGACCTGCCAGCACCACACCACAAGAGAATGGTCAACCTTCAAGTCTCACTTCATAATCCCCACTTGCAGAGAGGGGTTATACTTTTTCCCTTCTGCTGCAGCTACCAGGGACAGCACCCTTCCAAGGGGGCAGGGAGAAAGGACAGCTGGCCTGATGTGACAGCCTGCGGCCTTGTTGGCATGGCATGGGAGTAGACAGATGTCCATTATCTCTGCCACAGCTGGGGGGGAGAGCTTAATGCCACCCCCCTAGAAGGGACAGAGGGAGGAATGCGAGGCATGTTCCCAATGCGGCGGCTGCAAATGTGGACAGAGAGCAGTTAGGAATGGAGGAAACTGCTTTATACAGAGGCAAGCCATTGGCCCACCTAGATTAGTATCATTTGCACCAGGGGCAGCTAACCTCTAGCTCTCCAGATGTTGCCTGAAGAGTTTTAGCATATGGCCCTGTGAATTGTGCAATGACAGAGCTTGTAATTTGCTGGCTCTTCCTTAATGTTAATTGTCCACTGGCAATTTGACGACTTGCCCTGGAGTCACATGAACTGGCCTGTTCCTTAGGCCTTGAGTACCAGTTCTAAAACAGGGTCTTAGCGGCACCTCTGAATAAAGCTTTTTAATAAAGTTACTCCTCATTCTCATTCTCGGTGTCTGTTGCTGGACTGAGAAATATTACAGACTGCAAGGCCCAACAGGAACACGACCACAGCCACATTACGGTGCTTGGCCACAGAATTCTGGATCGTTGTACTCTTTGGCATAGTAGCGTACCCTTGGGTTGCCAGGTCTCCAGCTCTGACATGATGTTTCCAGGTTTGCCTGGGCCACTCCAGATGGGCGAGAGCTCCTTTAATTAAATAAATATATATTAAGAAGACTGTGCATGCAGCTTGCAAACTTCAGTCCGGCTTCAAATTATAGCATATAGGCACTCTGGAGGTGTCTGCCCTCTGTTCCCCCTCTTCCAATTTACTTCCATCTCCAGGGCCCACCCTTGTGATATCTCTGGGGGCTGCCCTGTAATATAACTAGCGGTGTCTCTCCCTGACATCACTGGGGGCCACCCCTAGGTTTCAGGTTTGGCAATCTCAGGGTCTGGGATGCTTCTGACCAGGTGACCTATACACACACACAGCTTGCAAACCCTGCTTCACTTCCTCTCATATAAAGTGTGATAATCAGGAAGCAAGATGGATGCAGTAAAGCATCAGGAGAACTGTAGGTGGAGCCAATGTGACCAAGAGACAGTGCAAACCATCCCTCCCACCAAGGGTGCGAACTTGAATAAAATATTGGAGGGGGGGCAGGTAAGTCCCGACGTGCAAAACTGATCACAAGACACACCGTTTGAATGGCAATGCCCATCAACTTGGAGGGAGGGTGGCCCCCTCATATATTTTATTGGGGCTGAAGGGACCTTTGCCCCTAGGAGTTAGCTCCTATGTCTCCCACCCACCCTGACTTGGTACCTCTCTCAGCTCATACATTTGCTGTTACAGCTCCAGGAAGTTAGGTGTAAGAGCAACTGCAGCAGATACTTTCAGGCTTATTACCAGCAGGCCAGGTCTGCCTTGGGGGGCTGTATAGCTGAAGGAGTGTCTCCATCCCCATTGTTCAACCCAGACACTGAGGTCCAGCTCCAAGGGCCTTCTGGCAGGTCCCTCTCTGCGAGAAGCGAAGTTACAGGGAACCAGGCAGAGGGCCTTCTCGGTGGTGGCGCCTGCCCTGTGGAACGCCCTCCCATCAGATGTCAAAGAAATAGACAACTACGGTATATAACATTGAGAAGACATCTGAAGGCAGCCCTGTTTAGGGAAGTTTTTACTGACTGATATTTTAATGGTTTTTTGTTTGTTTTTTGAAGCAGCCCAGAGTGGCTGGGGAAACCCAGCCAGATGGGCAGGGTAGAAATAAATTATTATTATTATTATTATTATTATTATTATTATTATTATTATTGGTTCCTGGCCTGGGATGCACCCTTCCAGAACCATCACTTCACTCAACAGTGTTGCTGCTCCAAGCGTGCCAGCTTGTTTGTGTATATATAATGCTTTTTGTTTGTTTTCATTTTGGCACAGGCACCACATGCAGGTGCAGTTTTTGAAGACTGTGAGGAGCGAGACTGGATCACCAGTAACCATAAGGAGCAGTGGGAAAGTGGTGCAGGAAGATGCTCAGGCAGCTTAATGTGAGGAGCACGCAAGGTGCCTATTGGGAAAGACAGCTGGAGTCCTGAGGCCAGCTGGTGTAGCACTGTGCAAAATCCAAGGTTAGTTTCCTTCCTGTTATCCTTCCTCTAACCTCTCCTTTCTGACACCTGTCAGTCTTTGGTTCATCCTCCCTTGCAAACTGTGGTTTTCCTTTTAATACCCCCAACATATTCTAAATGATAAAATTAACTTCCCAAAGGAAACTCCAAAATGTGAAACTTCCCTCTGTATTCTGTGCCGTATTTGCGTCCAATGCTATTTTCTTACAGTAAGGGTGGGGTGGGGGCGGTTGCTCTGTTTTAATGCCCCCTCTGGGGTTGTATGTCATTGTATGTATATATCTAAAATATCTGTATGGATTTGCAAGTTCCTGTTTCCTGGTTTCTAAGTGAAATTTATTGTTGTGAACATCTTAGGATAGCAACAGGAGAAAGGCTTTTGAAAACACACTACAAGAAATTAATCAGTCTTCAGAGGGATGGAGATCCCAATCATAAATACATCATATGAAAGGAAGCTGCACTGATAGCAGCAGAACCTGCTTCTGCATAATGTATTTGGGGTTGGTGTGTTTAATGCTTATTTGGCTCAAAGTACACTTTAAATTATTCTGGCTCAGTATGCAAATTTCTAAGGAAACAGTCTTTTCGTTATTTCAAAAAAATCACACACCACTTGATTGTAAAAAACCTCAATGCGGTTTACAAAAAGAATAAAACAGTAAAATTATTGGTTAAAACCATCAAAAACAACCATTTAAAACATTTAAATCAGTGCTAAACTGAAAACATATCAAAATGCAATGTATCTGGGTAGGCCTTTCTAACAAAAAATGTTTTTAGCAGGAGAAAAAAAGAGTACAATAAATTGGCAGGAAGTTCCAAATTGTGGGTGCTGCCAACTAAAAGATCCATTTCTTACAGATGTGGAACAAATATTGTGTGGCACCTGTAACAGTGCCAGTTCTGCTGATCCAAGCAGTCGTGTGGACATAGAAGGTGATCTCACAGGTAAACTGTCTGGGGCTTTATATACTATTAGTAACACCTTGACCTAGGCCACGTAGCAAATTGGAAGCCGGTGAATTCCTTACATTTCTTTTGTGCTAAGCATAGGAATCATCTATGGTTCTTCCATTTCTGATAGGCCTCCAGCACTAAGCAAGCGTTCCCAAGTATCTGAGACTGGGTAGGCTGTGGCCTTTAGAAGCTAAGAGGCTGGGTTTGCTTTTTCAATAGCCTCCCCTGAGTTCTGTCATGCTCTTCTTCTAAAGCAAGATCTCCCAGCAACACACAGCACCACCATCACTTTGCCTACAGACACAGGTTAGCAAGCAGGGAGCCCAGCTGTTACTGTCTCTCCCACCAAAGCAATTATCACACAAGTGCACTCACTGGAGGGGTTATGGCTCACCACAGGCCTCCCTGATCCCCCGAGTCTAGCTTGACTCAGCTCTAAGCGCTTCCTTTTCTGCCGCACTGGATGTCCCCGCATGATCCACAGATGTTCCTACCCCCATATTCCAGGACTGCTGTTTGATATTTCCTTTTCTCTCTGTGTGTGTTCCATCCAGTTCTCAACAATTAGCTAAGAACTATTTTTTGATTAGCAACCTTGACGCAGCATGCTTGAACAGCGAAAGCACATAAAGGGAGAGAGGTGTCCAGAGTGGCTGCTTCCCAAAAAAAAGTCATCTCCTTCAGAGGTCTGACAAAGAGTACTTCAGAAGCAACATAACACCTTCTTGACTAGAAGAAGCACTTAGGGGATCTGGATGAGCTGGGAATTCTTTTAGCAATTACGTGCATTTTAAATTCTGTCTTTTCAAAGCTGAAGAACTGTCTTTTAAAAAGCAGTTAAATAACTTGAGGCTTCTTTTCCATATGAGAGAAAAGAAACACAAATTGTGTTGCTTGGTGGCAATTATGGAGGCGTCAGAAAGGGAGAAAAATCATACTCTCAGTTGAGAGAAGGGTCACTATCTTCCCAACTTCTATATATGAAAAAAGTGGACATTCTGGGAACAGAAATCATTTTTCCATTAGCACATGTGAATACAGATTTAGCTTCTCTACAAATACAGGTTTCTTTTGTATCAGCAGGATGACAAAGAAGATTTCTCCTGCAATCTTGAAGAGACTTTCTTCTGTGTAAACACATACGGGATTGTGCTGTCTGTGTATGACTTCTGAGCTCGAAAGTTTGTAACCATGTTTGGCTCTGATAACCCCAGGGTATTGATAATAGGTATTGGCTCCCTCAACGTATTAAATCATTTGACCCCAAACCACAGTGTTTCCAGATTTGTGGGAGAGGAGAATTTTTGCCATTTACCCCAACTAATGCGGCAGTAATTAGGTTCCTTTTTGTGCCATAATAAAGGTATCAACTCTACATTCGCATTGCCAACCTGGTACCCTCCAGATGTTTCGGACTACAATTCCCATCAGTCTTAGCTAACACATTCCAGCTGGGGCAGATGGAAGCTGCAGCCCAAAACATCTGGTTGGCAAAGACTACTGCAGAATCTGTGTTTTATTTATTACATTGTTATCATGCCTTCCTCCAGGGAGCTCAATGTGACTTTACATGGTTCTTCTCCTATAACCTTCACAACAACCCTGTGGTGTAGGTTAGGCTGAGATAAAACAATTGACCTAAGGTCACCCTGAGCTTCATGGCTGAGTGGGGATTTGAGCCCAGGACTCCCCAGAGTCTCAACAGCCAGAGGATGCTTACATGACCCAACAAGCCCTCCCCAACTCACAAATGCAAACAAACCCCACTGCAGACAACCACAGACAACCAACCACACCCTGCCCCCCAATACCTCTCACTACCAAGGAAATGCAATAGAAAAATAGAAAGAGAACCTACCCAATGGACGCTGGCCCAAAATGCCACACATACACTATACAAAAGAATATAAGCCTCGCCACCCCCATCCTTCCTCTCCCCCCCCTGCTTCCCCATCACTAATGTCTCACAACAAATGTAACTGATTTGTAAGGAAGACTGCACAACCTGGGAAAAAAGAGACAAGGCATGTATTTTTGTAAACCAAGAAAATCTTTAACAAAAACAAATTTAAAAAAAAACCAGCCAGAGGATGTTAGTAAGCTTAATAACAAAGTTTGAATTTCAAAAGGCTGTGGGGAAAGGCGAGTGGAGGTGCATGTGTCCTGCTCCAAATGAAAAGGGAAAAGCAGCAGCAGTGCTTCTCCCATTGGCTATGACCCTGCAGAATAATCAACCACTGAATGTGAGAGTCATTATTCTATATTTAAAACCATTTCAAGGGTTGCGGTACAGACCTCAAAATGGCTGCTTGATGCATCACTGCTGACATCTAGTGGATACATCCTAAACTGCTCCTAAGTCTAGGGTGGATGCAACCAAAGGTGGGTGAAATCCTTTTCCATTATTATTATTATATATTATTATATCGTTTTTTGGTACCTTCATTTCCAGCAAATATCACACTCCAGGCACATGGGACAATTGGCCCAAGAGTGCCCTTGTACAGGCCTCATACTGGATCAAGCCCATGTTGACTCTCATGTTCTCGTTTCTCCCTCAATATTAGCACTGTGTCTGCTTTGTACAAAAGGATTTAATTTTTCTGTGGCACCTCCTATCCAGAAAGTTTCCCTGAAATACAGAAGCTTCATCATCTCATGTCTAGAGTGAATTTTCACAAACGCCATTTTCCATCTCTGTTGCTGACTTCTGGGTAACCAGTTCCAAGGTGGGCCGAGAGGAAACGCCTTCCTGATCAATGGAGGAAAAGCAGGGTGTGCCCTCTTTGCAAACACAGAATCTGGAGGTGTTCTTCTGACTGAGAAACACATTTACTGAAGCTCTCACAGATTTTTTCAAAAGGTTTTTTAGCAGAGGAAGGGCAACAACCCTGCTGTCCCCAAATGTAGACTCCTTCCACCATTCACCCTCCTCCCAGGGTTCTTTCCTCAGTATTGTAGCAGGAACCCCCCCACCCCAATCATTCAGTTTGTACAAACTTCACACACTCACACTCACACACTACATATGCCACACTTCTGTTATAAATTCATAGAAAAATCAACCATACACTGGATTTGCACTGTTCCATTTTTATTTTATTCCATATGACAAGGACTATCAAAGGGGGGTGGCTTGGTTCTGGTCAGCCATAATCCCTTCACCATCCCAGCACATCCACCGGAGCCCTGCCCAGTTGTTATGCCAACCCTGATGGTCCTAGACAGAAGACCATCAAGATCACAAAGAACTTGCATATGGGAGTGGATTCAGCATGGACTGAAACAAAGGACAATGATCAGATCTTCCCTCTGGGGGCAGGAAACTGCCAACCCCCCTTTGTCTCCTGGAAGTGACTCATGGGCCGGGGGAAAGGAGGAACCAGCCAGGTGACAGGACACTCAGGTTACCACCACAACTCCTCCCTCAACCCCTCCTTTCTGTAATGTATGCATGATGTCAACCCCTCCTTTCTGTAATGTATGCATGATGTTTCTGGGGGTGGGCTTGACCTAGAGAATGGGAATTTCAAAAGTTTTTATAAGGTCTTGCACGCCATCTTTCTGGGTCTTTCCTCTCTCCTGCAAGTGAGGGGAACACCCTGTTGCAACAGTTCAATAAAGGCCAAGCCTACAGGCTGCTGTTTTGCTCCAAGTTATCCTGGTTGGTGTCTTTGTTTTTGTCCAAGGGAGCCCTCGGATTTTTCCGGTAACAGTATCCCAGTAAGTCTCCCATCTGAGTAACTAAGCAGCCTTAATGAGTTGGAAGGGAATGTGTGTGCTATGCAAAAATCACAATGTGGGAAAGTCTGTGAAGCCAGACAATGCTTCTCTCGATTCCTGCAACCTCTGCCGCATGCCGGGGACAGCGAATCACAAGAGCAGGCCCTGGCAAAAATCACAATGCAGGAAGAACGTGAAGCCAGCCAACACCTCTACGTAGCTGCATCTTTATTTTGCACATTGTGATATATCGCTATATCGAGATGTTTAGTTGGTGATATATTATTGTCAGGGAACTGACATCGGAGCTAGAGGCGGAGGGAAGGCTCTCAAATGATGCTGGAGAAGGGCCCAGCAGGGAGAGAGGCAGCTTAGCAGATGGGGAAGCAAATCAGCGCAACACCCGGGATAGAGAAGGGCAGATGGGGGAATCGGCGAGATGGCTCCAGGACTCTTCACCGGACACCAGCGGGGAGAGCACGGGTCCTCTGCTACCCCCGCCCTCCCTGCGCAGAAGACTTCCGCGCAGGGAGAGTAGGAGGAGACTTGGCGTCAAACAACTTTTATGTTGGAAAAGGTTTAAGAAACGCCCACTGACAGATTCTGCTAGCGACTGAGGCAGCCACGAAGTGAAGGGCTGTCCAGACAGAAAGGTTTAACCAGGCAACATAGCCAGGAGAGGCGGCAACTTACGCACGAGCAACCCATACTCATTACAATTATGATGCTGAAAATCAGATATTGCTCAACCCTAGCTGGGACCTGGGAGCCCAGGGTTCAAATCCCAACTCAATGAGGAAGTTCATAGAGTGACCTTGGTTCTTTCCTGCCGTTTAGTCTAACCTACCTGTGATGAGTATGAGTTACTCGTGTGTAAACTGGTGCCTCTCTAGGCTAATTTGCCTTGTTAAAACTTTCTGACTGCACAGCCCTTTCTAATTGTGACTGCCTCAGTCACTGGCAGAATCCGTCAGTGGGCGTTTCCTGAACCTCTTCCAACATAAAAGTTGTTTGACACCCAGTCTCCTCCTCCTCTCACTGCACGGGAGTCTTCTGCGCAGGGAGGGCGTGGGTAGCGGAGGACCTGTCCCCTCCTCACTGAGTTCCAGTGAAGAGTCCTGGAGCCCTCTCTCCGATTCCCCATCTGCCCACCTTTATCCCTGGTGTTGCGCTTAAATGCTTCCCCCTCCACTGAGCTGCTTCTCCCCCTGCTGCTGGGTCCTTCTCCAGCATCATCTAGGAGCCTCCCCTTCGCCTCTCGCTCCGATGTCAGTTCCCTGACACTACCTCACAAGGGTTATTGTGAGGATAAAATGGGGAGGGGAAAGCCATGCATGCTACCTTGAGCTCTGGAGGAAAGGTGAAGCATAAATCAGATAAATGAATATACAGGTGAAACTCGAAAAATTAGAATATTGTGGAAATGTTCCTTTATTTCCAAAATTCAACTTGAAAGGTGAAACTAATATATGAGATAGACTCGTGACATGCAAAGCAAGATATGTCAAGTCTTGATTTGTTATCATTGCGATGATCATGGCATTACAGCTTATGAAAACCCCAAATGTAACCATCTCAGAAAATTAGAATATTCAAGGAAATCAGCAAAACAAGGATTGCAAATCGAGCAAGATTGGACCTCCGAGAAGTAGAAGCATATCTCGCTTTGTATGTCATGAGTCGATCTCATATATTAGTTTCACCTTTGAAGTTGAATTCTTGAAATTTCTTGGGAAAAAAAATATTCTAATTTTTCGAGTTTCACCTGTATTTTGGAACTATCGAAATCAGGCAAGCACCTAAAATAGAACTGTAGAGTTGGAAGGGACCCCAAGGGTCATCTAGTCCAACCCCTGCCATCCAGGACTCTCAATTAAAGCATCCATGACAGATGGCCATCCAACTTCTGCTTTAAAAACCTCTAAGGAAGAAGAGACCACCACCTTCCGAGGGAGACCGTTCCACTGTCGAACGGCTCTTACTGTCAGAAAGTTCTTCCTGGTGTTGAGTTGGAATTTCGTTTTTTGCAACTTGAATCAATTGGTTCAAAGTTCTGTACTCTGGAGCAGGAGAAAACAAGCTTGCTTCATCTTCCATGTGACAGCCCCTTGAGAAGATGGAGGAAGCTTGTTTTCCCCTGCTGTTCTGGTTTAACCAAGCCTTCTTAGAGAACTAATTCGACTCAGTGTTGGTCATTTGTTCTGCATCTTATGATTTTAGAATTTTACAGCATTTGAAAGGTTTTATTGCACATGATGCATTTTTTAAAGGAGTTGGTGGTTTATAAATATTCTTATAAATAAGCACGCTAGATGAGGGGCTGCTGGGGTGGGGGGGCAGCGTGGCTGGAGATGGGACCAGTTCCTTCTCCATTTTGGGGTTACCTAGAGCTCAGTGAGGTCATCGTTGAAGTAGAGCAGGATGGCTGGGGTGAAGGCATCAGCGTCCATGTAGAGATTGTAGAATTCCTCGTCCTCATCCGGAATGTTGTTCTGCTGCAGGTTCTTATCCATGTCTAGGTTGACGCGTTCATATTTCCACGTATAGCTGGCCGCATGGGCGTTGTAGGGCAAGTACCGCCGAAGGATCTCCCACATGGATTCCTCTGCACAGACCTGCGGAAAGCACCATGTTACATCCATGGGTGGAATCACAGGAGGTCCAAATACACCTGAAAACCAAGTGGTTCCCTTCAGCCTCCACATCCTGGGGAGGCACAGACAAGCCGGGCAGAACCGAGGTCCACAACACTGTCCCATCAGAGGAACATTAGCAAAGGAAGAGGGACAATTGCCAATAATATCTTGGGTGTTTTTTCTTTCTTAAATCCTACCTTTGCAAAGGTGGGACAGGACTCACCTCAAGGGTATGTTCCTGAGAGGTCAGAGTGTTGATGATCCGTATGCGTCTGGTTTTGGCAGACAAGATGCCCACCTCGTAGCTGCCATCTCTCCACCAGGGCAAGCCAAAGTCATTGGCCCAGTCTGTACGAGGCAGAGGAGGTGGGATGTGCACAAAGCGACCTTGTGGGGTGTAGTACTTAAGGCATCCTGTTAGAGGGTTAATGTGTGTCTGTATCTGGAAGGAGGGAAATCAGGGCCTTTCTCAGTTAAGAGGGGAGTGGCTTCAAATAAGTCTTTCTTTCTTTGGTAAATTTCTATCCCACCATTGTTGCCAAACCCTGGGACAGCAAGTTGCAGCCATCCCATATACACCATAAACTCAGGAGCAGGCAAAAAGATCACTTAAAGCAACCAGTATAAATTTCATACTGAGAAACCTTTTTAAAATGTGGGCAGTTCCAGAATTTACATCATGTAAACGCCAGGGAAAACAGAAACATTTTAAGTTTGCACCAAAAGGAAAGTACAGTATGTTACTACATAATGTGCCATTCCTGGCTGCGGAACCCCAAGAGGCACCTCTCCGAAGGATCATTACAAATGGGACAGGTTGATACATGGAGATAAGAGGATTCAACATGCACGACAAACAGAATATGCCCCAAAATGGGATTCCAGAAACAATTATTTTGGCATTTGCAGTGATGGAAATGTTTGCTCCTTTTTACTCTGCCCTTCAGGACCTAACACAGAGTCTTTCAAATGTATTCTGTTTGGGACAGCAAGTCAAGGAAATTGTTAACAAACTAGTAATGATACAAATGAGTCCTTAAGAGAAAAGTCTGAAAGCAGCGAAATCAATTTTCTGAGCAAGGATGGCGGGACATTATGCAGGGGAAATAATAAAAGATGTAACAAATCACATCTGTGACTGTGAAGATGGGAATAAACTTACAAAGAACTGAGAAATATGTATGTAGGACACTGGTTAAATTGTGGAGTGGGCACATGTTTCTCCCTCACTGCGGTTTTAGCATCTTGTCCCTGGCAACATTTCCTTCTAATGCTGCAGCCTTTGCCAACATGGTGCCCATGATAAGTTTTGGCCAACAACTCCCCATCAAAGCACATGTAAGGCACCAGGTTAGCAAAGACTGTCATAGTGCAGCAGTGCACATCTGTACACATAGGCCAACAGAAGCAGGACATTGCGCAAGCTTTGCAAACAGCACAAAAATCTGCAAGAGCAAGAGCAGTCCAGAGAATGGGGTAGGCAGAGGCAAAGGAGTCAGCTGTGGAAGCCTGGGTTGAGAATTAAAATCCTATGCCCCTTTTAATGTGTTTGTGGGAAGGGAAGAGGGTATTGGTTTGTTCTTGCTTTTATCATGGAATTTATCATGTATTGTATTCTATAATTATATTGTATTGCATTATATTGTAATGTTTTATCACATATTTTTATATTACATTTTTAAGTTGTGAACTGCCCTGAGATCTGAGGATGAAGGGCAGTATACCAATTTTTAACAACAACAACAACAAATTACCAGCAACACTCTTATGGAAGAAAGAATCAAACAAACAAAAACAAAACTCTGATTTTCCAAGAGTTTTCCACTCCGACAAGATCTCTGCCCTAAGTTGCCCGGAGTGCCAAGAGCTGCAGGTACTCACGTCTTTGGTTTTGGGGTTGAACCAGTGGGTAATGTCTTTCCCCGCTGCTTCTAGAATAGGCTTCAATAAGAGATCACCTGGACAGGCAGAGAATATAGATAAGGTACATGTGAAACTTGCCCATCCTTGAGTCACACCAGTGCTCTAGCTAGCCCCATATTATCTTGTTTGACTGGTAGTCTTTCTTCACAGTCTCCAATAGAGAGGAGTCTATATCTGAAGGAGCGTCTCCACCTCCATCGTTCTACCTGGACACTGAGGTCCAGCGCCGAGGGCCTTCTGGCGGTTCCCTCACTGCAAGAAGCCCAGTTACAGGGAACCAGGCAGAGGGCCTTCTCGGTGATGGCGTCCTCCCTGTGGAACGCCCTCCCACCAGACGTCAAAGAGAACAACAACTACCAGACTTTTAGAAGACATCTGAAGGCAGCCCTGTTTAGGGAAGCTTTTAATGTTTGATGTATTACAGTATTTTAATATTTTTTGGGAAGCCACCCAGAGTGGCTGGGGAAGCCCAGCCAGATAGGTGGGGTATAAATTATTATTATTATTATTATTATTATTATTATTATTATTATTTCCCATCAGAAGCAAGGAACCATTTTTTTTAGCCAAAGGAGCACGCTCCCTTGTGGGAAACCTCAAGAGTGTCATAGGTCAGTGATGAATGGGGCTAGAGGCAAAAGTGAGTGGCATAATGCATGTGTACACATCCACCCACCCACACCCCTCTATCCAGGGAAGGAAGAGGCACAGCCATAGCTACGGGGAGGGGTGGGGCGCTAGCGCAGTTTTTTTGCCCTGGGTGAATCCTCCAGAGGGGCGCCAATGAGGCTCGCAGCCTGTATGTGTGCGTACACAAATGGGGGGGGGGAGATGCCAAACTGGGTTTTTGACCTGGGTGAAATAAAGCCTAGTTTTGCCCCTGGGAAGAGGCTTTGTTGGAGTTCAAGGACACGTTCCAGCCAGGCAAAAGCGCTCAAGGAGGTTGCGAAGAAAGGCCAGGGAGGGGCGTGGCCTGGGGAGAATTCCAAGGGCCAAATATAGAGGCCTTGAGGGCCACATTTGCCTCCCAAGGCCTCAGGTCACCCACCAGTGCTTTAAACAAAAACAAAAAAAGCTGGAGAGAACCTTGTAAAGAACGTGCTATTTTCCAAATTAGGGAAAAACAAAAAGGGACACATTTGGGATCTTGACACAGGAGGGAGGGAGGAAAAGCAGGACACAAGGCCTGCGAATGCAATGCAGTGGAAAAACAACTCGCACCATAAACGTGAGAGAAGAGGCCTCTTGCTGGATCAGGCCCCCTAGCCAAGCACCCTCTTTCCCAGCAGTGGCCCAAATGAGGCGCCCTCCTGGAAAAGGCAGTGGCCCCACTTCCCTTGTGAGGTTTGCATGGAGAAGGTAGACTGCCACTGAACATGGAGGCTCCCCTTTAGCCCTGGTGGCCGGCAGACCCTGGATTTGCCACCCCCGAGGGACGCCTTCTGTTGTGCATTCAGCATTCCCTCAGACCCACCCGCCCCCCCAATAATAATAATAATAATAATTTATTATTTATACCCCGCCCATCTGGCTGAGTTTCCCCAGCCACTCTGGGCGGCTTCCAATCAAGTGTTAAGAACAATACAGCATTAAATATTAAAAACTTCCCTAAACAGGGCTGCCTTCAGATGTCTTTTAAAGAGAAGATAGCTGCTTATTTCCTTCACATCTGAAGGGAGGGCGTTCCACAGGGCGGGCGCCACTACTGAGAAGGCTCCCTGTAACCTCACTTCTCGCAATGAGGGAACCGCCAGAAGGCCCTTGGTGCTGGATCTCAGTGTCCGGGCTGAACGATGGGGGTGGAGATGCTCCTTCAGGTATACAGGACCGAGGCCGTTTAGGGCTTTAAAGGTCAGCACCAACACTTTGAATTGTGCTCGGAAACGTACTGGGAGCCAATGCAGATCTCTTAGGACCGGTGTTATGTGGTCCAGGCAGCCGCTCCCAGTCCCCAGTCTAGCTGCCGCATTCTGGATTAATTGCAGTTTCCGGGTCACCTTCAAAGGTAGCCCCACGTAGAGCGCATGGCAGTAGTCCAAGCGGGAGATGACTAGAGCATGCACCACTCTGGCAAGACAATTTGCAGGCAGGGAGGGTCTCATCCTGCATACCAGATGGAGCTGGTAGACAGCTGCCCTGGACACAGAATTAACCTGCGCCTCCATGGACAGCTGTGAGTCCAAAATAACTCCTAGGCTGCGCACCTGGTCCTTCAGGGGCACAGTTGCCCCGTTCAGGACCAGGGAGTCCTCCACACCAGCCCGCCCCCTGTCCCCCAAGAACAGTACTCCTGCCTTGTCAGGATTCAACCTCAATCCGTTAGCCACCATCCATCCTCCAACCGCCTCCAGACACTCACACAGGACCTTCACTGCCTCTGATTTAAAAGAGAGGTAGAGCTGGGTGTCGGGACGCAGGTGGCACTGTGGGTTAAACCACAGAGCCTAGGACTTGCCGACCTTCGGCGGTTCAAATCCCCGTGACGGGGTGAGCTCCCGTTGCTCGGTCCTAGCTCCTGCCAACCTAGCAGTTTGAAAGCACGTCAAAGTGCAAGTAGATAAATAGGTACCACTCCGGCGGGAAGGTAAACGGCGTTTCCGTGCGCTGCTCTGGTTCGCCAGAAGCGGCTTAGTCCTGCTGGCCACATGACCCGGAAGCTGAACGCCGGCTCCCTCGGCCAGTAAAGCGAGATGAGCGCCGCAACCCCAGAGTCGGCCACGACTGGACCTAATGGTCAGGGGTCCCTTTACCTTTACCTAGAGTTGGGCATCATCCGCATACTGATGAACACCCAGCCCAAACCTGATGATCTCTCCCAGCGGCTTCATATAGATATTAAAAAGCATGGGGGAGAGGACGGGACCCTGAGGCACCCCACAAGTGAGAGCCCAGGGGTCTGAACACTCATCCCCCAACACCACTTTCTTGAGTGGGGAAATCTGCCGGCTGCCCTGGGGCCGCCATAGGGAAGTGCCAGAGGCTGCCTGCGTTACCCTTGTAGGCCTCGGCCAGGGGGCTGAGGTCATAGACCCGCCCCATGTAGGAGACCCAGAGGTCCCAGGGCCGGTTGTGCACCTCCACCTCCTTCGGGGTGTAATAGCGCGGCCGGTAAACGTCCATCGCCGGGAGGAGCCAGAGGAAGAGCGGTAGGCCGCGTCCGTCGCTGCCATGGCAACGAGAGAAGCCGCCGCAGCGCCTGACGGGAAACGTAGTCTGGGCCGAGAGGATGGGCGCAAGGCGGAGGGAGCGCGCGCAGAGCCTGCTGGGAGCCGAGGGGCGGGGAAGCCGAGCGGCCTGCTGGGAGCTGTAGTCCCTCTGCCGGCGGGAGGGTCAAGATGGCGGCCACTGCCCTTCCAGAGCCGTTGCAGCAGCAGAGGGGAGAGGAGAATGGCTGCGGAAACAGTCCCAGTTCTGGGGTGAGGAGCCCGGGGGGGGGGGAGCCCTACAGATATGAGAAAGGGGGAGGGCATAACGGGGTGGGGTGCTCAAGTAGGGGAGGAGAAGGAGGTACCCTGGGGATAGAGAGGGTAAGTACATTGGATGGGAAATGGGAGTAATTGGGAGTGGGGGCATAATAAGACACCCCCAAAAACAAATTTAGGCTGGAAGGGCCTAGTATGGTGTGGTGGTTAAGTGGTTTTATTGTGGGGGGGGCGGCCCTCACTAGTGGCCTTATTTATGTACAGTGATACCTCAGGTTACATACGCTTCAGGTTACAGACTCCGCTAACCCAGAAATAGAGCTTCAGGTTAAGAACTTTGCTTCAGGATGAGAACAGAAATCGTGCTCCGGCGGGGCGGCAGCAGCAGGAGGCCCTATTAGCTAAAGTGGTGCTTCAGGTTAAGAACAGTTTCAGGTTAAGAACAGATCTCCAGAACGAATTAAGTACTTAACCCGAGGTACCACTGTATGTATTTCATCGCAATTTTATGCCACATTTTCCTCCATGCAGCTCAAGGTCCACCTTGCAGGTCAGGTGCTGCCTCTCGGCTCGCCTTACCTCTCAAGGCTCTTGTGGGGATTAAATGAAGAGTGGGTCAGGCAGGAGCAGCAACATATGTGCCCCCTTTGGAGGAAAGGCAGGGTTAAAATTGTAACAAACAAATAAAAAGTAAGGGGGGGGAGGCTTACCTACAAGGTGGTTCGGGGTGGAAGGATAATATGTATTTATTATGAGTGGCTCTTGTGCTCGAATCTTGCTTCCTGATTTCCCTCTGGGGCACCTGGTTGAGAACAGGATGCTGGACTAGATGGGCCACTGGCCTGATCCAGCATTTTCTCCTTATGCTCTTATGAATGTGGGTAGCCTTTGTTGGCTTGAACATTGGCCCTCCCGGCTGCTCACACAGAGTTTTCCTGTTCTGGAGTGAACCCTTTTTTGGTTTTCATCAGTACCCTCTCAACTGTTTTGTAAATCTTTTATGGTTGGATTTGGAGAAGATGCCCTCTTTTCTACTCTGTAACAAATCTTATCGACTGTGAATAGTGAAAGGAACTTATAATAAAATATTATTGGTTGGCAACTAATCCACGAAAGAACCATCTCCATCAACACTAGATAGAGGGTGAGCGAACAGGTTAAGGCTCTACATAAATTGCTGTGTGTGTGTTTTGTAGGGTGTTGGCATATAAAATAAGCAAATTGTGTGTTGTTCACAGGAGTGAGCATGACACCTGTTTCATGAAAATTCTAACACCTCCTCTATCACTTCTCAGCTGAGTTACCATTCTAGGTAATTGGGAAAATATGAACACACTTGACTGTCAGTGATGTAAGGGGAGAAGAAGGAAATGGTAATGTAATAATCATCATCATCATCATCATCATCATCCAGCTTTCTCTCCCAGACCTGGACTCAAGGAAGCTTACAAAAATTAAGACCACAAGGATAAAATATGAAAAGCTAGAAACAACGACAGTATTTTAAAAGTAATTAAACAATAATAGAATCAAGACAATATTTTAAAAGTTCATTAAAATTTCAGATAGTAAAAACAGCACAGCACTATTAAAAGCTCTTTACTTAAAAACAGTTCCCAAAAAGCCTTTTGGAATAAAACGATCTTCACGTAGCGAAGAGGGAGCTGGTCCAGCCTCTCTAGGAAGGGCGCTCCAAAATTTGGAAGCAGCCACTGAGAAGGCCCTCTTATAGCAAATTTAAAAGCCCTGTGTAAATGAACCCCCACCACAGGGCATGAACAGATCCTGAGATATTAAAAACCCACCACCACAAATTTGCATTCTAGAGCCTACCCAAGAGAGACTTCCCCAAGCATTGCCCATATGCCACCATGAGGACTAGAGGCTTGGTCTCTCTCTGGAAAGCGAAAAAGCAGGACCTGGGAGTGGGAGGGAAAGATACCCTAATGCATTTCTTCCTACAAAGTATTATGGAAAGATCCCTCTGGCCTGCGAAGACTAACCCTTTGAACGTTTCTGCCAGGACTCTGGTGAGGAAAAAGCTGACACGCCATACCTGCAGGCCCGCCGGAAGCTTGAGAACCTCCTCAACAAGAGCATGCGCATCCGAATGACGGATGGGCGGACCCTGGTGGGCTGCTTCCTGTGCACCGACCGAGACTGCAACGTGATCCTTGGCTCCGCCCAGGAGTACCTCAAGCCCACAGGTTAGTTCTCACCTGGGGTCTCCACCATCGTTCCACCAGCTTTCTTTCTTTATTCATTTCCTGTTTAATGCTTTCCACGTGTTTTTGCTTGTAAGCCGATTGTGGCTATTGAGGAAAAACTTATGCAATAGCGGAGTGAAACAGAGAAAAAGATTTAAGTACTAATAGCGAAGAATTAGGTTGGGGGGCAGGAGAGGGTTGTGGGGCTTAGCAGCTCTCCTGGCAAGACAGAATTTCAAGGGGGCTTCTTGAAGAGGGATAAATAGGTACCGCTCCGGCGGGAAGGTAAACGGCGTTTCTGTGCGCTGCTCTGGTTCGCCAGAAGCGGCTTAGTCCTGCTGGCCACATGACCCGGAAGCTGTACGCCGGGTCCCTTGGCCAATAAAGCGAGATGAGCACCGCAGCCCCAGAGTCGGCCACGACGACCTAACGGTCAGGGGTACCTTTACCTTTACCTCTCTTGAAGAGGAGAGGGGCATGTGCCTGGGGGACGGAAGCCCCTGTGTTCTTTGGAGGGAGCCTTTAAGTGCCCGGGAGATGAGGACAGCCTTTGCCAACCTGGGGCCCTCCAGGCGCTTGGAACTACAACTCCCATCGGTGCCAGCCAGCACCCTGCGAGCTGTAGCCCCAAGCCTCTGGAAGGCCCAAGGCTGGATTAGGAGCAGATGGGACCCTCCTTCTCACCCTCTCCCTCCTTTGCTCTGCAGACTCCTTCTCCGCCGGAGAGCCCAGAGTCTTGGGTCTGGCCATGGTTCCAGGACATCACATTGTCTCCATCGAGGTGGAGCTGGAGAGCCTGGCCTCCTTGCAGTACCTCTGATGCACCGCCAGAGGGCAGCAGGCCTCCACCGTTTGACCGAACTTTGGGGGGGGGGGGAGGAAATGCGGGGAAGGGACACAGGTCCCAGTTTGCTGCAGGGCAAGAGACGTTTCTCCTCCCTTCCCAGGTTTTCACCGTTGCCAGGGAATGAAGCTTTCCTGGCAAAGCTGGACTGGACCAGTGCATGCACTGTGAAACAGGACACCCCCCCATCTCCAGGACTTGAAAAGGGGGTGGACTTAATGTTTGTGTTTGTCAAATGTTTGTTCAATCTGGAAAAGAATCCCATTGCTGTTCTGAATTATTGTGGGTTTGTTTTCTTGTAACGCTTGGACCTCGTGTGGGCCATGGACAGACCTTGGGCTGCTACCTTTGTGGCCTGCTGAATCCTGGGGAGTTCTGTTTGGTCATCCCCACTGATGAAGATGATGGTGGATTTATTTATTACCCTCCCCCTAAGGTCCCCGGTATCAGCTGGCTGGCAAGTTCAGATGCTTTAGTTGAGATTCCTGCATTGCAGAGGGTCTCTTCCAACTCTACCGTTCTCTGATTTGCAGTGTGGGAGCAGGGGGAGAGAGCTAAACAGCACAGGAACAGATACCCATCACATATTTCCATCTCCATATGGAGAACTAGCAGAGGCTCCAATGAGATTTCAAAATACAGCTAAAAACAGCAGCTTACATTCAGTGCCTCTGCAGCTGGCTAGATCTGGGGTTTCACCACTACCATTTTCCCTTTGAAAGCAAAAGCACAGAACTCACCAGTGTAGTGAACAGCGGGGGCAAAGCCCACCCCTAAATGGCAATAAATATAACATTAAATTTTACAAAGAACTCCCTAGGAAAAATGCATTTCAGTTGCTATAAGCTCATTTTCAAGAGGGCTGTAGAATAATAGCAGCTCCGCTTATTTCTTTGTTGTTGTTGGCTTTAAAAACACCACCTGAACAAGAAAAAAATACCTTTTGTAACTTGCATGACTTATTTGCAAGATTCTGCCTTTGTTAGATGAAGACGCCAGGGCAGTAGAGCACTGAATCCACTAGCCCTTGGCAACTGAACTCCGCCATCAGCTTCTGAAAATTTCTCTTATGTATTCCCCACACGCCGCCAATATTCTTTCAAACCACAAGGGCTGGAAACAGGAATGGCGCCGTCGCTGCAGGTAGAGTCCAGTCCTCGAGACTGCCTTCGTTTGTGGGGTGCACTGCAGAACCCATTCTGCTGCCCTGCTGGCAACAAGGGCGTTTAATTTACCAGCTGGATCTGGAAAGGTGCCATCAGCGGCTGACATTTTTTAATAGGGAAAGCCTTTGCCACCAGTTCCCTGGGAAGAAGCAGCAGGATTTGCTCCCAAGCTGACCCGTGCGGCTGTTCCATCAGCTGCAAAGCAGTGCAGGAAACGGTATCTATAGATAGACCGGGGTCTTGTCTTCTTTGGCTCCTCTTTGCTCCCACATCACAATGGGGAGCTTGTACACGCCAGCAGCCGCGTTATCTTATCCAAGGTTCCTTCCTCCCCAGAACGCAGAGTTTCCATAAGAGACTGTTGGCGCCCAGGGCTGACTCCACTCTTCCTTATCCTGTTCTGGAACAGGATATTCCCCTCTCCAGCCCCATGGCAAGAGTGATAGCCTTTTCACAGGTTGTCTATGTCCCTCTGGTAGCTGCACAACAGGCCGAAGTTCAGCCAGGGCAGTTTCCCCTCCCTGCCAGGGAAAGCTTCACTTGTTGGATTTTCTGTCTCGTGGCACAGGTGCTTCGGCAGAGAATAAGGTGTTTGTGGCCAAGGTTACGCTGTCCTAGGGGTGTGCCTGTGTTCCTGCAGCCGCTGCAGTTCAGCCTTTTCAGCGAGCAAACACTTTTTGCAGCCATTATCCATCAATAAGTTGCAATTAATGTCATTTCATGGAGGCTGGGGGGGAAACAATTGTCCCAGAGGTACCATCTCAGCTGAACCCAGGTTACCATAATTCAAAGTCCACCACCCTGGTCTCAACTCCACGGAATGGATGCTCGTGGGTTCAAACAGGCATGAGTGGGAAAGCCCAATTTCAACCTTCATTCTAGACGGAAGGAAGCTAGGGATCGTGTGAGGACTGCAACACCCATCCTTCCTGACTGTTGGCCTTGCTGGCTCGAAGTGTATGGAGTCTCAATGACATCGGAGTGCCACCGGTTATTCCATCCCTGCTGAAATGGCCTAGGTGACCTGATGCAAATGTAAACATTGGCACCCGTCTGCCTTGATAGGGAATGGAGTGCGCCACCAGGGGTGACACCAAACTGCTTCACCAGCAGCACTGAAAGGACTTCCTTGGGCGCAAGGCAGCATCCAGCTGCCATCCCACAGGCAGCATAGGTTTAGGATCAGAGTTTTCCTCCTCCTAGATGAGCCCCATCTGCTCCTCACTTCCCTCTACAGCAGGCGCAGAAGCCCCCAGAGCCTGCCTTCACATGCAGAGGAAGTCCATAGCTCCCCGAGGGTTTGAGACCCATTGGTTCCCTTCATCTGGTTTAGCCGGCCAGTGGAAGCCGTTCACAGGGTGTGGCCACTGTCACACGCTGACAGCTGCTAGGAGCCACAGGTAAGAGCTGAGTGCAGGGTGGGGACCAGAGGTGGACAGACCACCCCAGAAGGAGCAAGGCGTCCCCCGCCAGAGGTACTCCTCCCCTAACACCTCCTCCCCTAAATGCAATAAATAAAGCAGAAATGGGAACCAGGTCTTGCTGGACTCCAAAATCCCCTCAGGCCAAGCCTGCCTGGCCAGCCGTCAGGGTTGATGATGGGAACAGGAGCCCTACAACAGACACGTCTTACGGATATTAGCAGTGGTGGAGGAAAAGGGTGGGTAGATTTCAGGCTTGCAGGATTTACCTTTAGGGAGGTGGGGTTGTTGTCACCAAAGCTCACCGTTCAAAGCTAGGTGCAGAGTGGTGTCTTTTGATGGAGTCTGCTTTCTCCCGACTGAAGTGCAGAGTGTTTGAGGGCCGGGACATTCGGAGGGAAACCAAAATGCTTGTTTACAAAGCTATTGTACTACCAACCTTGGACCACTTATAAACGCCATCTCCCAACTCCTCGAATTATTCCATCAACGGTGCCTCCGAAAAAATTTACACATCACTTGGGAAGACTGGCGAACTAATATCAGTGTACTGGAAGAAGCAAAGGTCACCAGTGTTGAAGCAACGATTTTTCAACATCAACTTCGTTGGACTGGTCATGTTGTGCGGATGCCTGATTATTGTCTTCCAAAGGAGCTACAGTGGTACTTCGGGTTACAGACGCTTCAGGTTACAGACTCCACTAACCCAGAAATAGTACCTTGGGTTAAGAACTTTGCTTTAGGATGAGAACAGAAATTGTGTGGCGGTGGCAGCAGGAGGCCCCATTAGCTAAAGTGGTGCTTCAGGTTAAGAACGGATCTCCGGAACGAATTAAGTTCTTAACCTGAGGTACCACTGTACTCTATTCCGAACTTAAAAATGGAAAGCGTAATGTAGGTGGTCAACAAAAAAGGTTTAAAGACTTGTCTCAAGGCAAATCTTTAAAAATGTAGTATAAACACTGACAACTGGAAAACACTGGCCTGCGAGGGCTCCAGTTGGAGAACAGCCTTTACCAAAGGTGTCGCGGGCTTTGAAGACACTCAAACTCAGGACGCAAGGGAGAAACGTGCTAAGAGGAAGGCACGCTTGGCAAATCCACACCGTGATCAGCTCCCACCCAGAAACCAATGTCCCCACTGTGGAAGGACGTGTGGGTCCAGAATTGGTTTCCACAGTCACTTACGAACTCATTGTTAAAACTGTGTTTATAGAAGACAATCTTACTTGGCTACGAGGGATCGCCAAAGAAGAAGACATGGGGCAGTGTAAGAATTTGCCCAATCCTCTTTCAAAGCCATCTAGGGTGGGGGTGGGGGGAAATCTTTTCTTTAAACTAAAAAGTCCCCCAAGATGCCTGCGTTCTCTCATTTCAATTCGCAATTTGCCAGGAGGAAAAAGTGGGCAAGCAGGGGAACAGGGCTGATGTTTCTCTCCTGCTCTGTTGGTGAGGAGGGGGATCCCTGAGCAAAATGGCGCTTGGCTAAGCCTGTGACTTAAGGCACTGCAAATGCAAGTGTGATGCAAAGGTCCGTTTCTGCCATGATACAGTTCAAGTGCCTCTTCTACACCTTGTGTACTGGGTGTGACTTCCCCGAAAGAAAAACGGCTCATGCAAACTGCTCGTCCTTTCCAGTACCGTATTTTTCGCTCTATAGGACGCACTTTTTCCCCTCCAAAAATTAAGGGGAAATGTGTGTGCGGCTTATGGAGCGAATGCAGGCTCCTTGGCTTCAGCGATAGCAACGCGAAGCCTCCAAAGCACAGAGGGAGCGCTCCCTCTGCGCTCCAGAGGCTACGCGTTGCTTTTGCTGAAGCCTGGAGAGCGAGAGGGCTCTGAAGGCTTCGGGTTGCTTTTGCTGAAGCCGGGAGAGCAAGACTCTTGATTTTTCTTGATTCCCCCCCCCCCTAAAAACTAGGTGCACCTTATGGTCCAGTGCGCCTTATGGAGCAAAAGATACTGTAATTGACAACCCCATGTCTGAAAGCACGAATGTAGATTTAGCCATCAAGGAAGTTCAGGTGCAAATAATATCCTTACGGTACTTAAATCTACATCATGAACCTGGTTAGATGGGGGGGGGGAATATGACCATATCCCGAGCTCCTTCAGAACAAGTCATTTTCTACGAGTTGACTACCCCCTCCACACAGTGAATTTGTCCCCAGCCCCACCCACCATCCAAGTTCAAGGAAAATTGGAGCCCACCCCAGCCATAAGAAGAAACGCAACCACTCAAAGCTTCGTGTCAAAGTTGTAGTCTGCATATTGACAAAACCGTACAAAAGAGTTTCGTCCGAATAATTCCCGCCCGCGATAAATGTGTCGCTTGAACAGCGTGCTTATATGTAACTTGGCAAGAGCTCAAGGTGGCTGCGGCTTAGTGTGCGTGCGAGGAAGAGGGCAGTAGGACCCCTAACCTTTCTGGAACTCGTATCCTGATACTGCTGCAGAAATTATCCCCGGGGACAAATACAGGCTTCCATCATCACCCATTTGTCCAACCACAGAAATCCAAAGGCAAACATGTCCCAGGTAGCAGAGAGTTCCATGGGTTAAAGAAACTACTTGCTAGAGCTATTCTTGCCTCTTCCCACCCACCCCTTTGTGTAGGAGAACCCTTTCATACATAGAAAGGGCTAATTCCTTACTTTTTTTAATGCAAAGTTTTGCTTGTGGAGCAATTCCCGCTCTGTAGGAAACTCTGTAATGGGTCTTCAACTCTCCAGCAGCCTTGTTTGTGTGAACTGAAGGGCAGCTGAGGGGAGAAGCGAGACTGAGGACCCCCACTCCGCCCTAGCACACCGTCGCAAAGTCCTTCACCTCCAGGGTGAATTGTCAGTTTTTCCTCGTCAGCAGCTGGAGAGATTACAAATTCTCTGCGGGTGTGTTTAGGGCTTTTAATACTGGAAGCCGCTGGGAAATGAGGGTCTGCGTCCATCTTTCCTTATGAGCCAAAGTTTTTCTGTGCAGGGTCGTTTCCGTTCTTTGGAGGCAAGCGGGGAGACGGCTGCCGTTGGGCTCACCTCCTGCTTCCTGGCTTCTCACTGGCATCTGGGTGGCCGCTGTGAGAACGAGATGGACTTCCTTGGGCCTGATCCACCTACAGAGGTCTGCTTATGTTCTGATGAAGGCTAGACACTGGGACTGATGCTGAAATTGGCCGTCTCCCTTTCCTTAGAATCACAGAACCACAGAGTTGAAAAGGGACCCGCAAGGGTCCCCTACATCCCGCTGCAATTCAGGAACGACAGCCTTGCCTCTGATGGGATTTTCCGCCTCTCCCTTTGCAACAGTCCGGTGCTCTGTGAGAGCCTGACGCCCCATTGCACATCTCACTGCGGCGACGTATCCCACTCTTGCTGCCGGTCTGAGACAAGTGCGTTCCCTCAAGTTTGCGCGTCCAGATCTTGCCGCTGGTGTTCTGTGCCCTCCCCACCCACCCCACCCCACCCCACCCCACCCACTCCCGGTCCCAAACCGCCCCCCCCCCTCCTCAAACCCAGACTTTCTCCACTGGCTCGAAATCCTGGCTGCAGCAGCACCCGGAACTGTGGTAATGGGACGCGGGCAGGTTCTTGTAGACAGCCTTGCTGTAGGGGACGAGGCAGTAGCCCAGCTGGAGCCTGCGGGCTAGGCGGCAGTAGGCAGCCAGCGCCAAGACCAGGAGGGGCACCAGGAGGGTGAAGCCCACCACCAGGAGCGCCACGGAGGAGGCGTCGTTCAGGTGGGCCGTGCAGTAGGGCTCCTGGGTGTGTAAGAACTGCAGGGAGAGAGGGAGAGAAAGCCATGTTAGGTGTCAGAGGCCATCAGAAGAAGCTTGCTGAATCAGGCCTCCGGCCCATCTGGTCAGCACATAGCTGTCAACCGTCCCTTATTTGGCAGGAAACTCCCTTATCCCAGCGCCATGTCGCGCTGCTGTCCCTTATTGATGATGTCCCTTAAATTTCCCGGGTTTCATGCTCGCCTGGCTCAGGAGGGAAGCAGCGGCTCGGGATCCTCCTCCACACGCACGAGAGCGCGCACTGGCGCCGTTGTCCTGGCGCAAGGAGTTCCATCAGCCCTTCCCCGCCCGGGGGGGGGAGGGGGAGAGACTCTTGCCCACGCCGCCCGCGAGCCTGGAGGTGGCAGCGGTGGTGGCAGCTGAGGAGGCAGCCTGAGGGAGGAGGAAGAGGAGGGGATGGGGAGGGACGCAGAAGGGCGGAGCTTCAGCGGCCGCGGCGGCGCCGAAACCACCTCATGCCGGATTGACAGCATCTGTCAATCCTACCAATGCATGTAACTCTTTACAATAGTAAAATCCCTTATTTTAGCTGCTGATCCCTTATTTTCGAGGCTGCTGGTCCCATATTTTCAAATCTGTAAGTTGACAGCTATGGGTCAGCAGCCTGTTCTCACAGCGGCTGACCGGATGCTTGTGGCAAAACTTCGACAGGACCTGAAAACAAGAGCATTCTCTCCGTCCTGCGGTCCAGCGTGTGGACATGCTTGATGAAGGCGGTTCCTTCATGGTCACAAAGCTCCGTAACGCAGATCAGTTGCCAACCAAGGGTGCTGTGGCGCAAGTAAAAGGGGGCATCTCTTCCCAATCTGGCCGTAAAAGCCAGATAAGGCTGGAGGAAAGGGGTGAAAGGGGCGTCATAAAACGAAGACCTTGTGCAGCAAGAATACTTATTGCAAAGTATTGGAAGACACAAGATCTACCCACTCTGGAAGAATGGCAGATGAAGGTGATGGACTATATGGAACTGGCAGAAATGACTGGCAGAATCCGAGACCAGGGAGAAGAGTCGGTGGAAGAAGATTGGAAGAAATTTAAAGACTATTTACAGAAATACTGCAAAATTAATGAATGCTAGAATGATGTTGGATTGAAGTTAAGTGGTTTTTAGTTGTAATGGTATAAAAGAATATGAAAAAATGGATTTTTAACAGGTAAAAATTTAATGCTATAATATATTAAGATTAAAGATCAGGATAAAACAAAGAGGGAAAGGATTTGCTGAACTAATAAATTGAACTGGAATACAAAAAAGGGAGGTATGAGGAGGTCCGGGAAACAAGTAAATGAAAGATAAGTGATGGAAAGATTGAATTGTTTTTAACTATTTTTATTTTGTATTTTTTCTTTTTTTTTCTTTTTCATTTTGTAATATTGTGAAAACCCTAATAAATATCTTTTTAAAAAAAACAAAAAATGAAGACCTTGCATGAACAAGCTGGGCGGGCCACTGTTCACGCCAACCCACGCTGCCCACGTTTGCAGGATCAGGCCAAAGGCCCGTCTCGTCCAGCGTCCTGATCTCACAGTGGCCAACCAGATCCCCCCAAGAAGCCTGGAGAAGGGTGGCGAGGGGGCAGAGACGAGGGAAAGGGAGCTGGCTTCTTTCTGAACAACCAGCTCCTCCCCAAATTTCAGGGTGGGCACCAGAGACCCACACATCCATGCCTGGAATGTGCATCTCGTCCCCCACAAGGTTATCAAAGGCCCTGACCCTGGCATCTGGTTTTTGTCATGGCAAACAGAGTGGGAAGTCTGGACCCAGAGCCCCACTGAATCCTCTCCTCCCTCCCTATTGATCACTTCTTTCATTTTGGGGTGTGTTTGTGTGATTGCTGAGCTCACCTCCATTGCCCATGTTTACAAGCTGCTGTACCTGAAATATCGCACCAGCTGGAGGGTTAGACTGCTTCCTGGTCACACTCAGCTCCCTGTGTGGGCCAGTTTAGCCATGCAAGCACCTCCCGGCCGAGGCGGGCAGCAGAGCGAGGTGGTAGAGTCCCGAGGTGGCAGTGGTTGGGCTGTACCACCTCAGGGGGCAAGCGAAGTAATCGAATTTATAAAAACGCTTTCCAAGCCGAAAACGAGCTAAGCATGGCTGGCTGAGATCCTTTTTACACCGAGGTGCTAGATGTTTTTAATGGGGGGGGGGAGTTTTAATTGAGTTTCCTCTCTCCCCCCACCCCCCATGAAGGAACTTTTAAGCCAGGGGTCAGCAAACTTTTTCAGCAGGGGGCCGGTCCACTGTCCCTCAGACCTTGTGGGGAGCCGGACTATATTTTGGGAAAAAATCATAATGAACGAATTCCTATGCCCCACAAATAACCCAGAGATGCATTTTAAATAAAAGCACACATTCTACTCATGTAAAAACACTCTGATTCCCAGACCGTCCGCGGGCCAGATTGAGAAGGTGATTGGGCCAGATCCGGCCCCCGGGCCTTAGTTTACCTACCCATGTTTTAGGCTGGCACATGCCCCCCCTTGCCAGCTCAAGTGGTACAGTCCCACTCTGCTACCACCTCCTTTTGCTGAATGTGAATTACAAAAGTCTGGGAGCAGGAAGCCAGCATCCTCTGCGGTGGTCACCCTGAGATGGTTGTTGTGCCGGTGTTGTAGGCACTCGAGAACCAGCGCAGCCCCCGCCCGCCCGCCTGCTCAGGTTTAACTTGGGCAGGCCACCCTATTTGAGGTAGGCCTGGCTCTGCCATTTGGAGGGGGGGGCAAGGCAAGCGCTTCGGGCAACTGGGTTATCACGCTACCAACACACTCTTAGCACGCTGTCCCCATCCAAATAATCCTGGGAACTGTACTTTACCTCTCACAGAACTTCGATTCCCAGCACCCTTAGCAAACTAGAGTTCCCAGGAACCGTGTGTGTGTGTGTTGGATTGTTTGGTTTTGTTGCCAGTCCCTTTGGGTTGCAAGATAAAGCGACAAAGCAAATTTAATAAATGATAGCAATGTGTTCTAAATGTGTGTGCACACAGCAAATGGTGAAGTTTTTTAATTTACGATTTCCCCCAAGGGAGAAGTCTTTGTTGGACCTTCTGCCTCAAAGGAGCTAAGGCGGCTTTGGGGACTACGAAACACCTTGATGTGTGTGTGTGTGTGTGTGTGTGTGTGTGTGTGTTGTGAGCGAGGAGCGTTCGTTGCTGCATCTCAGATGTGCCACACATATCTTGGGCAAAAAGGCCGTTTCTCCAGGGCAAAACTAAAAAAAATCCTGCAGCGCTGGAAGTGAGCAGAGGCACATGACACGTTCCAGGAGACTGGAAAGAGGATATCCCTCTGCAATCTCCCAAAGCCCACCACGAGAGGCTTAATCCGAAAGCATTCCAGTGTTGCTCCCCCCGCCTTAAATGCTCCCTTAGGGAAGACCACCCCAGAGCTCCTGTATCTGCCAGGCCAGTCCTGGGGCAGATGAAGGAAGCCTGGTCCCTGCCTCTGGAAAGGCAGCCCAAATTCCAGGCCTTCCCCCCCCCTTCCTGAAATCTAGAAAAGATGCCAGCAAAGACCTTACAAATGTAAAAATATGGACATCCAGCAGGGATGGTTGGAAGTGGAAGAGGGAATCTCTGCCCCATAAGAGACCGGTTCCTAAATTCAGCTTGGCCACTCTGGCCCACTGACTTCCATGGAGAAGGTTGTGCCTGTGACTGCTGGCAAGTCACCTCTCTCCCCAAGCCTCAGTATTCCCGATCTGTAAAATGGGTCCCTGCGGCAACACAAAATCTAGAGTAAGGAAGGAAGTTTACCAACAGACTTTGGGCCAGTGGCAAGCTGGGGAAGAGAACTGAAGCAAAATGGGGAGAAGAGTTGACTGCCAACTCTGGAAGTAGGCAGAGCAGAAGTGGGGGGACCGGGAGCCCCCCAGACTGCTGGGCTCCACCTCCCATCAGCTCCAGCCAGCGAGGACAGTGGGCAGTGGGTCTATCAGCGTTTGGATGGAGCCTTTCTTGAAAAATAATTCTTAGCCAGGATAAAGAAGGTCAAGCCCCTGTTCAGTTTTAGCACAATTCCTACTGCAGGGAGGAGGGAAGAAAAGAGTATTCAGGATGCGGCAAACCCGCTTTGGAGATGCAAAAAGTGTTGCTTTTTCCGCCCGAGGTCACGCCGAGAACATTTTGCCAGGATTTCACAAGCCCAGGAGCTGGAAACACGGCGGAAAACTACAAACCTTTGCAATTAAGCCCATGCTCCAAAACTTTTAAGTTTGGGGTGGAATTACGAACAAATTGGCCAAAAGATTACATATCTGGCCTGGAAGTCTCTCTCCCCTAGGGCTGGTTGGGGGTTGTTTTGGATGTGTGCGAGGAAGAGTACCTCTGAGCTTGTGCAGAGTGCATAAGTCCTGCCCCCCCGCCCAATGCTCCACGGCTGGGCTTGCCCATTGAAAAATATGCTCTGGAATAAACTACAACCCAAATTGAGCCCTGAGAAAGGCATATCTGTCCACACTGGCCTTCACCCCAACCCTGGCAAAAAAAAAAGCCCCCACATCTACTACGCAACGCCTCATTCTCTCACCCCCAAAGCATCAAAAGGTCAGGCTATTATTTCAAAGAGCATTTGGGAGGGTTTACATAGTTTACACCCCAGTTCAGTCCTGCCAACGTCCTCATTTCTGACCCACAGCTCCCCGCTCATCTGCCTGGTCCTGATTCTGTGAGATATCGGTGGGAGGGAGGGGTGCTGTAGTAAAACGAGGACCACCTACCTTGGAATGGCACAGGAACCCGAACCCCAGCAGCACCCCCGCCGGGAGCAGGATCAGCCCAAATATGACCCCCACGAAGAGGACGTTGAGGCCCCCGACGAGCAAGTTCTGGACTGTGACCAGCACGGCACACGCCCAACAGTCCAGAGACCCTCGCAGCTCCAGGGCCCCTTCCCCGCCGCCGTAGGGAGGGGGCGGCAGCGGGGAGACCCCCGCCCCACTCTCGTGTTCCAGGGACCCCGACACGGCTTTCTGCGAGCGAGTGTCCAGGCCCATCATCTCAGGCTGCCGGTCCCCAACTCTTGCAACAACGCTGTTCCGAGCAGAGACGCTCCTGCCTCGCTGCTTGGCTCAACAAATTATCTCGCATCCTTTATAGGCTTCCCCATCCATCTCCACCCCCTTTCAGCTGCCGGGGCTGGCCTCCACCTCTCCTGGATAATGTAGGAATGCAGACACACACACACACACACACACACACACACACACACACACACACACACACGCGCAAGTGCCCATCAAACACACCACCTCCCAAACTGGTCCAACCAAGAGGTGCTTGGCTTGTTGTACCATTCCCAGAGGGTGGGGGGGAAGGGTCTCCCTGGGCTCAAATTCCTGGGATGTTTCTCTTTCCAGAGACCCACCCACCCCCATATATGCCTCCCCCTTCGTGGTCCATGCCTGCTAAGTCCCAGACCATGCTTGTAAAAGGGGGGAAAAGATTTGGTGCACGTAAACACACCGGAGACAGTGGTACCACGAGGCTGCACTAGGGTGCCAAGAAAAGGCGCATTTGACCCAGGGATGGGAGGTCCATCTCCTGCACAAGCACCTTCAAAACAAGCAGGCGCTGTGCAAGAGCTGTGGCCTTCCTGTTTGTCTCAAGAGGGGCTTTTGCAGGAGGAGGTTCATTGGGATGCTGGTTCGTGGTACCTTGGTGCTCAGAGCGAGGGGGCATCATTGGTTTGCCGCAGGAGCCGTATTGGGAAAAAACAATGTCCACCAATTGAGGATGCAGAGTGTAGCCATAACGGCCAGTAGCCATCGATAGCCCTCTCCTCCGCCAATTTGTCCAATTAGCTTTTAAATCCCTCCGAGTCTGTGGCCGTCATTGCTTCCCACGGAAGCGAGTTCCCGCAGCTTAACTGGGACAAGAATGATGGCTTTATATCGCGTACCTTTCCTAGTAAAAAAACATTCCGCCCTTCCCCAAACAATGAGGGGGGGAAAAAGAGAGAGGCTTGTTTTAATGACTGGGCAAGAGATTTGATGTATTGAGCACACCAGATGCGAGCTTTTCGTATATCCAGGTTGGAGAAATGAAGGAAGACAAAAGGCGGCTGGTTTCTTTTTTATCTCTGTGAGTTAATTTAATTATTTATTTATTTTACATTTACAAAATAAGATTTGCTTTCTCCTTGTCCCCCTACAGTACGATAAGAATCAATTTATGTGAGAGTGAGTTTTCTCAGAGAAGCGAGATTGTTCATCTGCTTTTTTTCAGTGTGTGAGTGATTGGTGAGGGTGGGGTGAAATCTGGAACTAAAAAAAGTGCAGGTTTTTTTTCAGAGGGAAGGAAGAGGTTTCCTTCCTTCTGTAGGGTGGGGTGAGATTCTTCCATTTAAAAAAAAAAAGGGAAGGGGAATCAACAGATGAACCAGGATCAGGCTTTTGTTTCCCCAATCCAAACCCCACCCCCCCACCCCACCCCCATGAGAAAACAGAGCACCATGTCAAGGAAAAAACATCGACAGAAAAAATATATCTGAAAGAACATGTTAAGTAATTCAATAAAAAATTCCAGAGAGGAGCCAAACAAAAAAAACCTGGAACAACAAAAGGAGACACTTTTTTTTCTTTTTTAAAAAAGAAACAGGTACAACAACATTGTAAAAAGTTAAAAATAAAAAAAGAGGCTGGATCAAACCCCAAAAGAGGACCAATAAATAGAGAGATCATTACCAAAAAAAAAAAAAAAAAGGAGAGACGTATAAATTAAAAAAGAGAGAAAGAGAAAGAACATTTACAAACTGCAAAACAATTTTTTGAGGCATGGAGGTACAATTATTATTTTTTTTAAAAAAAAAGAAAGAAAAATGACCCCAAATCTGAGACGTTTCTGTCTTCTTCTTTTTCAGATGGATCTGGGAGTTGTAACTGTAGAGTCAAAAGGGCAGAGAATTGGAGGAGGAAGAGGAAGGGGGGGAAATGAATTCAGCCAAGGAATATATATATATATTTATATATCTTGAGTTAAGGTTAAACGGATTTTATCAGCTGAAGAGGAGGCGTTAAGGGTCAGAGTTAAGGGTCAGCCATAGCTAGGCAGGCAGAGGGCAGAGTTAAGGGGTCCTTGTTAGATTGCCAACCGCACCCCACCCCCTGCCCCCCACAAAAATGGCATAGGGAATTGGGGGCTGGGGCAATGGCAACTCCCCCCCTCCCCTTTCGTGAAAAAGGAAAAAAAAATCTCCCATCTACCCGTGTGTCTGATTTGGGGCAAGCACCACTCCCTCCGCACGGGGTTATTGTTTCCACCATATCCCAATCTCCTTTCGCACGAGGACCTCCTCCGTCCCGCTTGCTCCTCGCGCAAAAAAACTCGTATATTTTTTATTTTATTTTTTTTTGTCTCGTTTTCTGTATTTTGTTTTTTAAAAGCAGTTTCTAATACAAACCAGGAATTTTTCCCCCCCTTCTTATATTTATATATATATATATAATATATATAAAAGGATGTAAGAAATCAAAATGTCCATCAGAATAATTAAAAACCACACGCGGAAAAAACACTCCCCCCCCTCCAATATATATAAATCAATGTACACTCTCCCCCCCCCCCCCGTCCCGCCATATCCCGATGAGAAGTTCACCCAGAGAGAACTGAACCCATAAAAGTTCTGTGTTAAGAAACCCGTATTAATTTTTCTTTTTCATTTTTTTTTTGCTTGCTTCCGTTTCCCAAACTCTCTTTTTTTTCCCCTTTAAATTTCTGCCAAGAAAAACGTAATCGAAAGGAAAGGAAAAAACAAAACAAAACAAAACCAGGCACCCCCAAATTTAGACAGCAGTCTCTCTTTCTCTCTCTCATTTTCCGCTCGCTGGCATTCCACCCCGGCGAGAGAGACGGAAATTAATGCTCTTGAGAAGAAGGGAACGCTTTCACACACCCCTCTCAATCTGTTCATAGAAGCTCCCCGAAACCACCGCACCCCAATTCTTGTCCATGCAGGACGAATCCAGAGGCACAGTGGAATTTCGCCATGTTCGCCGTCGATTTCGCTGCTCCATTCCGTTTGCTCTTTGAATTTTTTTGAATTTTTTTTTAAAGTTCAGGGTTTTCCCCCTGCTTTTTTAATACAAAATCAGCACCACCCAGGGAAAAAAAAACCAAAAACGAGAAAAGGTTCGTTCTGAAGAATAAATTAAAAAAAGGGGTCCGTCAGGAGAACGCCCCAGGTCACGACGCTTCTGCTACCTGCCCCCCCGGCTCAGGGCAGGTTTGAGTTGAGAAGGGCGGGTGGAGATCAGAGGCTCAGCTGCTATTGGAGGGAGAGGGCGGAGGGCAGACCATAGCAACCCCCCCACCCCACGCGAGCGGGGGGGGGCGAGCTAGCGTGGAGAGACGGCCCAGACATCCGTGTCCAGGCGTGGTATGGCTCATCTGGAACTGGGCGGCGCAGACTGCAGGCGAAAAGGGGAGAGAGAAGAAACCTACAATTAGCAGCCTGCCTTCCAAATCGTAGCACCGTAAAGTTGGAAGGAACCCTTGGGGTCATCTAGTCCAACCCCCTGCAGCAACGCAGGAATCCGTCCTCCATGTGACAGCCCTTCCGATATGGCTATCATATCTCCCGTTTCCCAGGCTTAACATGCCCCACCCTCTCAAAAGGCTTGGTTTCCAGACCAGTCTTGGACGCCGTTTCCTCTGCACACCTTCCAGCTTGTCAATATCCTTTTTAAACCGGGGTGCCCGGAATCAGACACAGTTTTCCAGGTGGGGTCTGACCAAGGCAGAATAGAGTGGGACTATGGCTTCCCTTGAAGCCGCTGGGAGAGATCATCAGGGGGTTTGGGCTGGGTTTCCATCAATATGCAGATGGTACACAGCTCTACCTCTCTTTTAAATCGGAACCAGTGAAGGCAGTGAAGGTCCTGTTTGAGTGTCTGGAGGCAGTTGGAGGATGGATGGCAGTTAATGGATTGAGGTTGAATCCTGACAAGACAGAAGTACTCTTCTTGGGGGACAGAGGGTGGGCAGGTGTGGAGGACTCCCTGGTCCTGAATGGGGCAACTGTGCCCCCGAAGGACCAGGTGCGCAGCCTGGGAGTCATTTTGGACTCACAGCTGTCCATGGAGGCGCAGGTCAATTCTGTGTCCAGGGCAGCTGTCTACCAGCTCCATCTGGTACTCAGGATGAGACCCTCCCTGTCCGCAGACTGTCTGGCCAGAGTGGCGCATGCTCTGGTTATCTCCCGCTTGGACTACTGCAATGCGCTCTTTGTGGGGCTACCTTTGAACGTGACCCGGAAACTACAACTAATTCAGAATGCAGCCGCTAGGCTGGTGACTGGGAGTGGCCGCCAGGACCATATAACACCAGTCCTGAAAGACCTACATTGGCTCCCAGTACGTTTCCGAGCACAATTCAAAGTGCTGACCTTTAAAGCCCTAAACAGCCTCAAAGGCCCAGTATACCTGAAGGAGTGTCTCCACCCCCATCATTCTGCCCAGACACTGAGGTCCAGCGCCAAGGGCCTTCTGGCGGTTCCCTCACTGCGAGAAGTGAGGTTACAGGGAACCAGGCAGAGGGCCTTCTCAGTAGTGGCGCCCTCCCTGTGGAATGCCCTCCCTTCAGATGTCAAAGAGATAAACAACTACCTGACATTTAGAAGACATCTGAAGGGAAGTTTTTAATGTGTGACATTTTAATGTATTTTTAATCTTTGTTGGAAGCTGCCCAGAGTGGCTGGGGAAACCCAGCCAGATGGGCGGGGTACAAATAACAAATTATTATTATTATTATTATTATTATTATTATTATTATTCCCTTGACCTGTTAATGCAGCCCAGAATCCCATGAGCTGCTTTTGCTGCTGCTGAGTCGTGTTAAAACTGTGGTAAGCTCATACGCCTATATACTTTTCACAAAAGCGCTGCTGTCACGCCAGGTGTCCCTCACATCCACCCTAAGTTTGTGCATCTGGTTATTCCTGCCTAACTGAGGAACCTGACATTTGTCCCTGTCGACAGGCATTTTGCTAGTTTGGGTCCAGGTCTCCAATCTGTTACAGTCACCTAGAATCCTGATTCTTTCTCCTGCTAACAGAAACTGGGTTTTTGTGTTTTATCCAGTTTTCATCTTACAGATCTGTTAAATAGAATTCATAATAACAACCAATAATCCTCAGAGAGCCACTTTGGGAGGACACTAGAGTTGATTGAACAGCTCTGAAGTGCCTTGAAGAGCCTTGGTGACGTTTCCCTTGTCTGCCACTAGGCGGCACCCTCCTCTCTGCTTTACCAAATCTGCGATCCCGTGGGGCCTGCCTCTCCTACTTCCCCAGACATATACTCACCAGGGTGAAGCTGTCATAGATGTGTATCAGTTCTTCCGTCTTGTATTGCTCAAGCACCACCACGCCGTGGAGAGAGGAGCTCCTCTTGCGGGCGCAGGCCTCACAGTGCACCAGGTACGTGTTTTTGCCCCCGTTTTCGCTCGTCACGAAAAGGATGTTGAAGACCTCCACCTGTGGGGAGCACACGGGGAATCAGCGACTGTGGCAACGGGACGTGGCCTTTGTCTCTACCCTCCTTGTCAACCTGTGCTGGGTAAGGGTACACTGGGAGGAAAGCAAGTTAAAGGCTTTCCTTCCCACCTCTGCCTCTAATCGCAGCTGTAAGCAGATTAGCCCCCTGAGGCTCCAAGAGGCCTAGTTGCTCAGCCCCACCTAAAACCCCTCCAAATTTCACCCAGGTCTGCTCCCCACGCCCTCAGCTACTAGATCCCTTTTAATTGCATGGCAGATCACCTCCTCCTATATCCCAAAATCCAAACCAATAAGTTCTGCTCTTCCTTTAAATACCTCCCTGACATAATCAATGCACCTTTTTTGGGAAAAGAGTTTTCCAAGCCTGCCTTCCACTTTTGTTAGCAGTTAACAACGGCCGCCCCTCCAAAAAATTAAAATAAAATAAAGCATAAATGCCAGCCTGCCATGGTTTCTAGCGTTTAATAAGCAGGGATCTCTCCCAGCCGCCCCACTCAGCACTGCAGTCACACTCGAGGCAAACGACAGTATGGGGGAGCACCGAGAAGGGCAAGCCTTTTGTGTTTACTGGTTAAAACCCTTCCGGAAAGGGCGGGAGGAAGGGGTTGCCCAAGCGCATGCCCTCCACTGGCAGAGAACGTCAGCCGTGGCTCAAGGCGGGCAAAAGGAGCTGCTGCGGCGAAAGAAGAGAGCAAAACACAAAGCTTGCGGCCGCTTTCTTCTGCCACGGGGTGAGGCTTTCTGGCTGGGAAGAGGGGCAGAAGTGTGGGACCCAAAGAAGCACGACGCCGACACAGAACCAAGGGGGAAGGAGTTTTATTTCTTCTCCACCAACATAAATAAAAAAAAACCGAGCTCTGCGCACTTGGCTGACGCGTCACATGCCTGAAACGCAACCTATTGCTGAGTGTCCTTCTCCAGTGAATCTTGCAGCGGGTTGCTCTGGAAGAGAAGGCGTTGATCCAGCCTCGCCTGAGCGACAGGGAGGGATCCCCAAATCTTGGCATCTTCAAGGGATGCTTTTCCCTGCATCACCCGCCAGGACTCCAGGAAAGGTGCCCTTGTGATGGAGCAAAGGAGGTCCACCACAGGATTCTGTCTTGAGATGGGTGCGACTCTGGAAACAGAGGCTTCCTTCCTGCATCTCAGGCGTTTCTTGACACAAGCCCTTGCTTGGCTGACTTCCCCTTTCCCTGTGAGGCTCGGCCGACAACAAGCCCTGCTTCCTTTCCACTTCCAGGGGGTCAGACTAGATGACCGTGTGGGTCCCCTCCAACTCTACCGTTCTGTGATTCTGTGGCTTCTTTTATCCCAAGTCACTGCAGCTGAGTCCTGGCTCCATGGCTGAGGAGAAACTGCAGGGGCTGCAGTCTCCTCCACCCAAATTCACGGCACCTTCCTGGCTTCAGCCGGATTGGCACCTCACTTTTGACCCTGCCTTAAGGAGACTGCACAGCAGACATTCCCTCAGACTACCCCGAGACCTCAGGACGAGGTCCTTCAAAAACATCAGTGGAGCTTTGCGACTGGATCAGGCCCATTTAGCCTAGCATCCTATCCCTCCCTGCAATTCCCGGCAGCTAGGAGCCACGTTCCCTCAGACAATAGAGATAAGAGCACAGCCATCGAGGTGAGTAGCCGCTGAGAGCCTCATCTCCCACGAATTTGTCTCATCCTCTTCCGGAGACTTCCAGCAGGGAGTTCCACAGGATGCCCTTAAAGCATGTTCTTTCTTCTATCCATCCCGAATCTTCCAAAGATCAACTTCACTCTCTGGTCCCTAAGCTGCACCAGGCATCGTTTTATACACCTATTTAACCTTTTTGGTAAGCTAAGAAGCCCCATAGGGGAAATGCTCCAGTCCCTTAAATCGTTTTGGTCGCCGTTTCCCAAACCTTTCCTATCTCTGCACGATGACACTTAATGAGGTGCAGCCACCAGAACTCTGCTTAGGGTCCAGCTTCCTCCATCGGGGTCTTCCTTTCAGAGAGGGCAGATATAAAATTATATTTTCCTCCCGTTTTCATCATGGTGATCTACTGCTTGGGCGAGGCTTCTTCGTTTGAGACTCTTGAGGTGAAGTTTTGGAGAGCCGCGAGGTCCGACTTCACAATACGCTGCTGATCCTTCCGGAGGCTTCTGTTTCACCACAGCTTTTTTTAAGACACGCGTTTCATACTCACTGTTTCGACCTTCCTAATCCCCTTTATGGCTTCTCGGGGGCCGTCAGGAATGAAGGAGGCACGGGAGCCTCAAACTGGAGTTGGGTACAGGAGGTATTTTAAAGACAAGCAGGCCTCATCAAACACTGTTCACACCACAAAGGCCTAGGAAACCCTGCCAGGCCCTTTCAGTGGAAGGGGGAAAGGACTGTTTTCCAAAAAATAAAAAGTCTGTGGCGGGGGGAACGGAGTCTGTCACAGGCTAGGAGGACCTGCCGGCCGCTCTCTGCCCAAGAGCTCGGAGCAAATGGATCGCCGAGGACGGAAAGATGGCCACTTCCGTGGGGGTCAACTTTCAGAGAGCGTGAATGTGGAAGGCAAACCTCGTCCCCACAGTCAGAACTGCAGAGAGGGCCGGACATGGAAGCCCCAGTCAACTGGGGTTTATTCTGGGGGGTGGGTGCACCAGGACTGGCGCTGTCTCGGAGCAGGGAGCGCCACCTGCGTTGCTGGCGCTGTGGCGGACCTGTGGAGAAGGGGCAGCGCCCTGGAGGAAAGCGAGGTTGAGAGAGGGACGGAGCCTCACCCCCGTGGAGTTGCCACTGTGGCGGGAAAGAGAAAAGCGAGAGGAGCCGGAAAGCTTACGTCGCATTCGTTGCAGTAGTAGGCCGGCTCGTCCTTCACGCGGCCCTGGTAGGCGATCTTCTTGCCGGACCGGACGAGGCTCTCTCTCTGCACCTGGCAGTGCTTGATCGACTGCATCAGACAGTGCCTGCAAGCGGGAGAAGAGGGCAGGGGTCAGGATGCGGCCGGATGCACCTCTCCACGGGGACGGATGAAGCAGCCAACGCATCGATGTGGGGCGGGCAAAACCCCCCTAAGGGATTCTGTTAATTTAATTGCATCTCGCATTGCCCCCCGAAGGTCAATGTGTGTTAAGGCGGCACATATTAGAAACTACACGGTTTTGGTGCTTTTACCTGCGCAGTAAACATCGCATCTGTATTTAAACAGTAGCCACGGAAGAAACAAGAGGGACGGAAAATGACACATCCGGGCAGGGACTCAGGCCATTTGGGGGTGCGGGGCTGAGCTCTGTCACTAGCCCAAAACTACTGGAAGCTCAAAAAATTGAAGAGCCTTTTTCTTAGCTTAAAGGAAGGAAGGACAGAAAGAGCTCAGGGTGGGAAGAGCCTCAAGCCTTGATTCCCCCCCCCAAAAAAATAACCCCCTCAAATTCATGTTTCTTTTTCCTTGTTTCTATCATGTATTTTGTGTTTTAATATTGTATCTGTATGTTGTGAGCAGCACTGAGATTTGTGGGTGAAGGGTGGTATACAAATTTAATAAATAAATACAATTTTTTAAAAAGTTTTTTTAAAAAAAGAAACAGCACACAAACTCTACATCCTATCGATTCACATTACGTAAACATTTTGTCAAAGGGAACCTTTCCCTGCCTAAATGCAAGTGTAAAATATCATTTGTTGACTGTGAATTGCCTTTCCCATAAATGTTTTTTGTGGGGGAGGCAGGCCTTCCTCGCTGAGCTGGAACATAATTTGGGCAGCCCAGGACGTCCACACACGGTTACACACTAGCCAGGCTGGTGCCCCGGGGAGATCACTTTGGTGCTGCTACTAACACAGCGGTTTGGACTTCACCCCCGGAAGCGCACTCCATTGTCTGTTGAGACAGACGGTTATGCCAACACCATCATCAGCTGCTATTGCAAAATCCGTGTTTGTTTTCCCAGACAAACTTCGACTCCTTTTCCAGTGCAGGGGATAAAATGCCTAAGACTGCTTCTCTTATTTATAATGCAACATTTCTAGCATATGTTAATTAAAAAATATATATCTTTGGAACATACGGTAACGTATTGCCTGTTTATCTGTTCTATAGATTACACACACACACTTCCTGCGTTTTTCACAGCTGTTGAAACGGGGCAGGGGGAGGGAGACGGGACCCCTGGCCCACCCAGGTATTGCTGAGCCAACATCCAACAACATCTGGAGGGTGAAATGTCCCCCACATCTGTGCTAAGGGCACAAGAGGCCTGCAGATCACGCACCCACCAAATGATGGAGACCCCACTTGCAACCAAAATGAGGCTGGGGTCCTCATCATTTCAGCAGAGGCCCCTCTGTGCCTTCCCACTGAGGGCCCCTTCTATCCGGTCCCCAACCAAGAGACTTTTGTGCACTTGAGGAAGTGCAAGGAACTGCCCAAGGAACAAGATGCAAAAGCAGGAGGGACACGGCCAGGAAAGGTTGGAGGTGTTGCGGGGGCGGGGGGGGGGAGAACCAAAAGCCCTCCTCACTTGATCATTTTGTACAAGTCGGGGTCACTGATCTTGACGGTGCGGGCCACGTTCCAGGAGACGTGGATCATGGGCACAATGGACTTGACGTTCTTCACCTCGTTCCATTCGTAGCGCTCAAGGGCCAGCTGGTACTGGTAAGCTGCAAGGGAAAAGGAAGAGGTCAGGGGGGCAGGAAGAGGACGCCCCTCCAGGCAAGGAGAGGATCGCGTCATGGAACCTCCCGCGGCCGGCGCCCTCCCACCGTTTGGATTCCATTCTTAGACCGAGGTAAAGTTCGCAAACCAGGACACTACTTCCGCTTTTGCAGAGTTTGTAAACGGAATCAGGACTGTTCTGAAACCGAGGTACCACTGTAATAGAATCTTGGAAGCAGGACATGACCCTGCCCTTTATAGAGTGTGGGGCACTGGTGGGGCTCCGGGATCCCCTTTTCAACTCCTCCTCCTCCCGCCCCGCTTTTAGGGACCTCGGCCATCCGGCTAAGTTACCTGTCAGGGGGCCGACGTTCCAGGCGATGTTATTACACCACCCGGTGGCCTGAACCCAATGCACCGTGCCGGCGTTGATCCACACGAGGTCCCCGGGGCGCTGGATGAAGCGGTAGACGGGGATGTTGGACTGGTAAAGGTCCTCGAGGATGGGCCACCACGAGCCGGTCAGGTAGTCGACACCGTGCCTGCGGGAAAGCGGGCGTTGGGGTGACGAGGCAAGGGGGAAACCACCCGGAAAGACTTCATACGTTCTCCTAAGGTGGCCCCACGGAAGTGGGCAAAGCGATGCAGTAGCACCTCTCGTGCCCCCGATCCCAGGAACCGACCCCCCAAATCATCCCCTTAGGGCAGGGGTCCACAAACCTGGCACCCATGGGTGCAACAGCATCCTCAAGGTATTCTCCTGGGACCCACAAAGCCTCTGGCCACCCACCCACACTGACTCTTGGGTCATGAGATGGCAAGAGGGGTAATAATAATAATAATAATAATAATAATAATAATAATAATTTATTTATACCCCGCCCATCTGGCTGGGTTTCCCCAGCCACTTCCAACAAAACACTTAAATACAATAACCTATTAAACATTAAAAGCTTCCCTAAACAGGGCTGCCTTTAGATGTCTTCTAAAAGTTTGGTAGTTGTTTTTCTCTTTGACATCTGGTGGGAGGGCATTCCACAGGGCAGGCGCCACCACCGAGGAGGCCCCCTGCCTGGTTCCCTGTAACTTGGCTTCTTGCAGCGAGGGAACCGCCAGAAGGCCCTCTGCGCTGGACCTCAGTGTCCGGGCAGAACGATGGGGGTGGAGACGCTCCTTCAGGTATACTGGACCGAGGCCGTTTAGGGCTTTAAAGGTCAGCACCAACACTTTGAATTGTGCTCGGAAACGTACTGGGAGCCAATGTAGGTCTTTCAAGACCGGTGTTATATGGTCTCAGCAGCCGCTCCCAGTCACCAGTCTGGCTGCCGCATTTTGGATTAGTTGTAGTTTCCGGGTCGCCTTCAAAGGTAGCCCCACATAGAGCGCATTGCAGTAGTCCAAGCGAGAGATAACCAGAGCATGTACCACTCTGGCGAGACAGACAGCGGGCAGGGAGGGTCTCATCCTGCGTACCAGATGGAGCTGATAAACAGCTGCCCTGGACACAGGTTACCTTTTTCTCCCCTGAACACACCATAGAGTTGAAGAAGGAAGTTGCAAGAACGGCTTCCTTTCCCACTTCCTCTTCAAGTTTTCAGCTTAATTTTACTGGATCTGACTTCTGTTCAGTTCCCAAAAGCAAAGTGTGCCTGTTTTTTTGTTTTGTGTTTGTTTGTTTTTGTGTGTGTGCTTTCCCTCTGTGTGCCTCTTGAGGTGGTAGGGGTTATCTGGGGAAGATAAGTGACCGGGGGGGTGGGGCACACCAATGGCGCTTGCTCAAAAACCGACCAGGAAACCCTGGTACCAGCGAGCTCTCCATCTTGCATACGCATATGTGACATTTATACAGCAGCAGGGACATGACCCTCACCTGTCACAGAAGGCGCTGATGTCCTGCCAGTAATGCTCGTGGACAGCAAACCACTCGCAATCTCCCGGCCCGATGTTGATGTTCACGGAACAGAAGTTGTTGTTCTCCTGGTGCCCTGGAAGTTGGGAGGGGGGGGACAGGACACAAGTTATAGCAGAGGTTCTCAAAGGGTCTGGCATTAGAGGATGGCAAGTGCGGCAGGAAGATTTGAGGACAATCCTAAACATTTCAGTGTCAAAACAAAACTATTTTTGCTTATTTGCAAATTATGGATATACCGTATTTTTTGCTCTATAAGACGCACCAGACCACAAGACGCACCTAGTTTTTGGAGGAAGAAAACAAGAAAAAAAATATTCTGAATCTCAGAAGCCAGAACAGCAAGAGGGATCGCTGCACAGTGAAAGCAGCAATCCCTCTTGCTGTTCTGGCTTCTGGGATAGCTGCGCAGCCTGCATTCGCTCCATAAGACGCACACACATTTCCCCTTACTTTTTAGGAGGGAAAAAGTGAGTCTTATAAAGCAAAAAATACGGTATTTTCAAAATGAGAGCAAGAAATAGATACCGAGGACAATATTGTTGTGGTTTTCAAGTATGAAAGATCGGAAAAGAGAAAGGCATCTTTTTGTTGATGAGCAGATAAGAGTTTGTTTGTCCCAAATTGGACCTAATATAAATGAGATTACCTGGCAAAAGCAAGCTAATGCCTCTCACTGTATGCGTTCATAATTATCTGGGGGCAGGCATGCTGTCAGATTGCCTCTGCTGGAGAGGTGGGAAGCAGAAAACTTGCTCGCACCCCTGAACTAGGGTAGAAGCTGACCGTTCAGAAACTGGACCTATTGGTTTTCCTCTTTCCTCCCCATCCCTTTCCTCCTGTGTGTTGTGTGCCCCCCACCCCCGATCGTAAGCCTGCAGGCAGCGGCTGCCTTGTTCCCTACTGCCTTGGGCTATATGTTAGGTGCTCTGCAGACCTTTTCCGGCTGAAGAAGGGGGGGGGGTAGAGATACTCTAAATAAAACCACTCAATCAATCAAACAACCCAGCCAGCGGCTATCGCCGCAGCTTGTGGCCTTACCTGGTGTGCGGCTTCCAGGCACTTTCATGTACAGCTGCACCGTGTTCATGCCCAGGATGGTGTGCCCCACGTGACTCAGCATGTTGCCCGTCGACGTGACCCGCATGAAAGCTGGCAACTTGAGAAGCTCCTGCAACTGCGGTTTCCACCTGCGATGCATATTAGGGGAGAGCGGTCAGCTAGCGATTCCTGCATCGCAGGGGGATGAAATAGGTGGCCCTTCCACAATTCAACAGCTATTAAGATTAGTTTTTGGGAAACTACTTTCTAAATATTTATCATAACACTGATATGTATTCGTTTACTGATTTTTTGCATTTATTCGCTGCCCTCCATCTCCCTTTTAAAACGAAAACACATCTTGCACGTCTTGTTGTCCACTTGGGGGCAGCACTGAGAAGCAATCAGGTTTCCTTCTAGTGACAAAAACCAAATAATAATAATAATAATGGGGTTGGGGTGGAGACTGGGGGGTGTGGTAGAGAGCTTCACCTGCAGTGACCAGTTATGACCACTGGATGGAAAGCAAAGAGCTCTGTCAAGGTGAGAAGGTGGCATACAATGCAATGGCAAAATACAGCCACGGGGAGGCAGCATGGAGCATCACAATAGAGGGGGGAAATAATTCCAGGGCATGGCTACAGAGGGGAAGCACTGAGAAATATTAAGTCTCCTGCCTGCAATGACAAAACATGCCACAGAGGGGCAGCAACGAGCAATGTTAAGTCTCCAGCTTGTAATGACAAATTATGGCCCCAGAGGGGCAGCAACGAGCAATGTTAAGTCTCCTGGCTGCAATGGAAAATTATGGCCACAGAGGGGCAGCAAAGAGCAGTGCTCTCATGTCTGCAATGACAAATTATGGCCACAGTGGGGCAGCAACGAGCAATATTAAGTCTCCTGCCTGCAATGACAAATTATGGCCACAGAGGGGCAAGCAAAGAGCAATGGTCTAATGTCTGCAATGACCAATTATAGCCACAGAGGGGCAGCAACAAGCAAGGCTCTCATGTCTGCAATGACAAATTATGGCCAGAGGGGCAGCAATGAGCAATATTAAGTCTCCTGCCTGCAATGACAAATTATGGCCACAGAAGGGCAGCAACGAGCAATATTAAGTCTCCTGTCTGCAATGACAAATTATGGCCACAGAGGGGCAAGCAAAGAGCAATGGTCTAATGTCTGCAATGACCAATTATAGCCACAGAGGGGCAGCAACAAGCAAGGCTCTCATGTCTGCAATGACAAATTATGGCCAGAGGGGCAGCAATGAGCAATATTAAGTCTCCTGCCTGCAATGACAAATTATGGCCACAGAGGGGCAGCAACAAGCCACAAAAAAACAAAAAAACAAGGTCACTGAGAGAGCACAAGACTTTTAATCTCAGACTTGTGAGTTTGAGCCCCACGTTGGGCCCAAAGAATCTATGGTTCCACAATTCCATAAAATCACAACCCTCATTTTCTTGCAATCAAAAGACACAAGGAAAAACAACCCTGGCCTTTCACAGTGAAAAGGCGGGGGTGGAGTTGGAGGCAGTTAAAGAGCAAAGCAGCAATTCTCACCGTTTGGCATCCGAGAGGTCAATGTTGGTCCCAAACTTGATAATCTGGTGCGGTTTCTGGTCTGGGTTGCTGCAAAAGGCAGAAAGGAAGAGTTATGATGCAGGAGGTGCAGAGAAGAGAGATGGGGGAGAATTGCCCTCCATCCGGGCCCAAAGAAATAATAATAATTTACCTACGAACTGCCCCTTCCCAAAAGTGTAAAACCCCCTCTCTGCCTTCTGTACCGCTCAGTCTTCAAAATTCACTCATAAAGCATTGCAGGGCTCTGGATGACGTGACCCGATTAAATCATTTTGGGGGTGCAGCTGCCTGGCAGACCCCACCCCGCAACTCACACCCTCTTTTATTTGCATTCAGTTTTAAACTGTTGCAAAGCCGTTCCTCCAGCAGAAATCCGACCCCCGCTCCCGGAAATGAACAAAAACAGCAAATACCACTGGAAACGCAAAGCAAGGTAAGGAAGGATGAGGCCTCCTACCTTGGGGGCGCCTCAGTGGTGCTGTCAGGCTCATCTGCTTCCTCGTCGTCCGTCTCCTTGTCTTCCTGCCTCAACAGACAGAAAGGTCAGATTGGGAATCCTTGCCGCCACCCCCAAAAAACCCCACCCCACCCAGGAAGAGGCATTCAAGCTCAGTCACCCAGTGAGAAGTAAAAGACCTTCACCCGCCAACCTTAATACTGCAGGAATGTGGAGAACCCTCCCCAGCCCAAAGGGTGGCTTGCGCTATCTCCCTAAGGAGAGGGCCGGCCCACCCTTTAGCCTCTGGGGCTTCCCTGGGCCGCCACCGGTCGCCTCGGGTAGCAGCAGCAAGGGGGCAGACACTCCTTTCCGCTTTGCCTCAAGCGGCAAAATGCCTTGGGCCGGCCCTGGCATTAGGGGTGTGGATAACGGCTCCGAGAGATGGCCCCACCTGCCGCCTTCTCACCTGAAGGGACTCCTGGAAGGAGGCCGCTTGGTACTGAGCGTATTTGGCGATGGTGGTGTGCGAGCGGCTGCTCTCGCAAGGCCACACCTGCTTCGTCCCGGAGAGGTCCCAGTTTTCGTCTGAGGGCTGCTGGACCTGCGTGCGGACCTCGACGGCGTGCTCCCCGCTCGCGTCCACCAACGTCTTTGTGCTGAACAGGCCTAGGTCTGGGGGGGGGGGAGCAGGTGTCATGGCGGAGCTTCGAGAGAATTCTGCCCCTCTGCCCCTCCTGTTTGCTGGCATGTTTATGGAGCGAAGCCCACCCCTCTCCAGGCTTCCCCAGCCTGGTGCTTCCAGGTGTTTTTGGCTGGGAGTCGGAGGCAAAAACACCTGGGAGGTGCCCGGTTTGGGGCTGCCTAACCCAAGGCAAGACCTCTGGGAATCGTGACCTCTTTTTCTTTTCGCTGCCCCCCACAAGGAAAAAGCCCCCTGCTCCTGAACAACCAGATTGCAAGGGCTCACCAAGATACTCACTGCCTCACCAAGATCACACATTCCATTTTGTGGACGTCTTTTCATTAGAAGTACAGTCGTACCTTGGTTTTCGAACAGCTTAGATCTTGAACGTTTTGGCTCCTGAACGCTGCAAACCCGGAAGCGACTGTTCCGGTTTGAGAACTAATTTTGGAACCCGAACACCCGACGAGGCTTCCGATTGGCTGCAGGAGTTTCCCGCAGCCAATCAGAAGCCGTGCTTGGGTTTCCGAATGTTTTGGAAGTCGAACGGACTTCCGGAACGGATTCTGTTCGACTTTCGAGGTACGAATGTACACACTACCTGCTAAAAAATCTGTCTGACCCCAAAGCCTCTGATTTCAAATACAGTACGGTCACATCCTGCATGGGGGTTCAGTCCTGAGACTTCCATGGATACACATAAACCCTGCATACCCTGTTCTGTGGCTGGTGGGGCAGGCAGGCCCAGAAAGCAAGGTGGAGAGCTGAAGACTTCTCTCCTCACCAGGTCCTCCCGCTTTAAGCAGTGCAGAAAGAGCTTTTAAGCTCCCTGACTTAGAATCATATGAGTGGGAAGAGTCCAACCCTCTGCAAATGCTTGCATTCACCTTGCGGAATTTCAACCAGCCAGCCTCCAAGAACGCGTGGTTGAAATTGTGCAAGTTAAATGCATGTATAGTGCGATTGAACCTACACAACGCTGCAGAAGCAAACACACGCTTCTCCATTGGGAGAGCACAAGACTCGTGACCCCTCAATACGATACAATAATCTTTATTGTCAGTCTCACACAGAACAACGAAATTGAAAAAATCTACATCAGACATTCAAAAACCAACAAGCCTGCTATCCCAGCTATCCCAGCCTGGTTAACCCCCTAAAACCTCGGATACCCCATAATTAAATACAATATACTCCCACAGAGACTACCTTAAAGGTAAAGGTAAAGGGACCCCTGACCATTAGGTCCAGTCGTGGCCGACTCTGGGGTTGCGGCACTCATATCGCTTTACAGGCCAAGGGAGCCGGTATTTGTCTGCTTCCGCAGACAGTTTTTCCGGGTCAAGTGGCCAGCATGACTAAGCCGCTTCTGGCAAAACCAGAGCAGCGCACAGAAACGCTGTTTACCTTCCTGCCAGAGCGGTACCTCTTTATCTACTTGCACTTTGAGGTGCTTTCGAACTGCTAGGTTGGCAGGAGCAGGGACCGAGCAACGAGAGCTCACCCCATCGCAGGGATTCGAACCGCCGACCTTCTGATCGGCAAGCACTGCGTTCAAAACCAAAATCGCATTTGGATAAAAACTGGCAGCTAGTCCTAGTCTTTATAACCCTGTCCCTTCTTCCAGAAGGCAGAAGCTGAAAGAGATCATTTCTGGGGTGCGCACTATCCTGCGCTATCTCTGCAGCTTTCTTATGGCACCTGGAAGCATAGATTTGATCCAAGGTGGGAAGAGTGCACCCAGTTATTCTCTCCGCAGTCTTTACAACCCTGGACAGTATTGGTTTTCCCCTGACCGTGCAGCTCCCAACACACAGACCATAAGTTAATACACTCTCCACAGTACAATGGTAGAATGCCTTGTTGAGCAAACGAGTCCTGCATTGCAGGGGGTTGGACTAGATGACCCTTGGGGTCCCTTCCGACGCTACGATTCTTTGTGCATCCTTCCTTCTCCCAGGCCCAGAAGCCTCCACTTCCAACTCCGGCTCCCCTCCGCAGAGCCTCAGCCTCTGACCCAGGCGCTCTTGGGCCCCCACCCCCAAACCCACAGAGGGCGGGATACTCACTGAGGCGGAGGGATCCGGCCAGGCCCCGGATGACGGTGATGGGGTTCTTGGGATCAGTGCAGAACTGCAGGAGGACCGGAGAGAAAGCGTCCCGCTTGCTCTCCAACTGAAGAGGAAAGAGGAGGCCCGTTAGAGGCCAAGATGCCAGTTTGGGCCCCCCCCCAAAAGCAAAAGCCTAAGGCACCCCCAGAAACAGCGACAGCAGAACAACAACAACAACACGGCAGCCTCTCCTAGTTTGGACCAGAGGTCCACTCAGATAAACCCACTGCTAAGGATCAACAGAACAGCCTAGTCCAGGCCACTGGGCCTAAGTCTCCACAGTTCCCCGCCCCCAGGTTAGACTAATGTTGCTCCAGCATCCCCCATCTTCAACCAGAAACTCCCCCCGCCCTTAGATCCAGTGGTGGGTGCTCTTTCATTGGTCAACGGTGGTCTCCACTGAGCACTTTTGGAGTCATTTGCAAGACGGGTTATTGCACAGCGGCTTGGCTCTGCCTCCACAGTTGGAAGCAGTGATGGTTTTGGATAGCAGTTCCTGGAAACCGCAGGAGGGGAGACTTGTTCTTGTGTCTGAGTTCTGCTTGAGGGTTTCCGATTGAGGCATCTGGCGGGCCACTGTGAGAACAGGATCCAGGACTATTGATGGGCCACCCGACTGACCCATCAAGCTTTCCTTACGTCCTCCAGGTCATTTAAGAATGAGCAGGAAGGACACAGGGGGCAGAAAGTTTGCGGAGTTCAGAGTCTCCTTTTAGATATAATTTTTTTTCTCCCCTCCACTGTGGAGTTCCCAGCAGACCAGAGAAGAATCCCCAGAGAACAGAGGAAGCCGTCTTATCTGTGCAGCTGCGGGAGGAATCCGGGATGATAAAAAGAGCTGGTTGCAGTTCCGTGTGGGAAACAGTCGAGCAAAAAAGCTGCAGGGTGCAGCCCATCACTCCAAAGCAGCCAGGGGGAAGACTTTTACTCTGCTTTCCATAAAATCAAGACAAGTAGCCAAACAGCGCCCCTTAGGATGAAGAAATGGGAGGCAGGGAAGTCTTGCTCCAAAGAATGTCAGGAGATGGTTCTGGGGGGCCGTTTTGCAGTCTGGAGACAGTGTGGGGAGGAAGGAGGTGCTGGAGGTGGGGAAAACCTCGAGGAGAACAGCCACCCCCCCCAAATGTCTTCTTTGGAGGAGACACGTCCTGGGGCGGAAGGCGAGCAAGGAGCTCCACCGGTCCAAGCTGGGCATCCATATTGCCTTGGCTTTCCAGGCAGATTCCAGGTCCAGGGTTTCAAAAATCTCATCTTCTGGGATGCTGAGCTAAGCTAAGAGCAGTCAGAAGGCCGTTAAACTAATGGTGCAACTTGTTGAGGGAGGGGAGGGGGGAGGGAGGAAGGGACAGAGACTTTTGGGGAATGGCCCCCAATTCCCAAACACAACCAAAATGGAAGATCGAGGGAGGAATTAAAAAGACAGTGGAACCATGAGTTGGAGAAAGATCAAGGTGGAGGGAAAGAAAAGACCTCTTTCAATGCCTCTTTCCACGCAGGAGGGCCGGAACCACACAGGGGATGTGCAAGAGAATCTAATTGGTGAACGGGAACTGGATTAAACCCTGTCTAAGCAGAAACTGCAGCTCTCTGCAATGTCACCTCAAAGCACAGCAGAACGGGATTGGGGACACCAGCAGAACTTTGTCCTAAGAGATAAAGCCCCACCAAGAAAGGACGAATGTGGACTGACTCAAAATGGACTGACTCCCAGCCCAGAAGCTTCATTTTGGACCAAGAAATCTGGGCGCCAGGAAGTTTGGCATTGGGGAGGGGTGCATGTGCCCCAAGTGGGGCTGAGGACATTCCCCGAGTAACGAGGGGGCAGCATGGATGATCTTCGCGACCTCGAGACGCAGGAAGCAGCGGAAGGGCAGGCTGGGTCAGGCAATGGAAAACTTGACTCTGAACCACGGTACCCAAGAGAGAATTGGGCCACGGTTTGGACTGCCTGATTCAGTCATCCCAGAACCCTGTAGCTTTTTGCTACGGAATAAATCAGGAGGAGTTGGGCATAAATTGAGAGGCACATTAAAAAGGGGACGGGCGCTCTAAAAGGAACACACAGAAAACGAAGGGAGTTTTGCTCCAAAACAGCCAGGAGAGCCAAGGACAAAGCATCCAAGGGAAACAGCGGGGAAGGATAAGTAACAGTGTTTTGGTGTGGGAACGCGGATTTTCAAATAATAAAATCGACGATCGTCATAATAGGTGTCTGGCTGGATGCGCTTGCATTCCAGAGGGCCAGAGGAACGAGATAAGGAAAGGCCGGCTGAAGGTTGAAAGGAGGTGAAAGGTACATTGCGCTGGGAGACAGAACCTGATTAACCCAAGGATGGAGCCCAAGAGATAAGGGGAGAGGCCTGGGAGGAAGAGCAGGCAGAGGGCCAAGAGATGGAGGAGGCCTCGCAAGACGACCCTTACCTCCCCTCCTTTCTCGATCCAGGAAATCCAGCGCTGAGAGCAGCCCTCTGACTCGCCAGGTGCTGCTGAACTACATCTCCCACCATCGCTAGCCATCGGCCATGCCTGCTGGTGGAGGGAGGCTGATGGGAGTTGTAGTTCGGAATCAACCCGGAGGGCTGAAGCTTCCCAGCACAGGGCTTACAGCCCCCTTGCAATGGGGGGCTGTCTGGTCCCCCAAGCCAGGGGGAAGCCCACCCGCTAGGGCTGGGCGATATCAGCTTCCCAACACTGCGGTGTATCGCCAGCCCAACATCGCGGTTTGGCGATATACCACGACGTTGAAAAAACGACACATCCGCCTCTGCCCGCGAGGCGCCGGGCGAAACTGCCCCAGCTCTCACCTCCAGAGCCGAGGCGGTTTCAACCCGCTCAGCTGGGTGGGAAGGAAGGTTGAGCCGTTTCATGGAGCCCCCACCCTGCAGCTGGCTTGTGGGAGCCAGCGCCGGGCTGGGGGCTCCTTTCACTGCTTGGCTGAGGCGAAGGCAGCTGCACACTCCTCCGTTGAGCAGTTTAAAGATGCAGAGGGAGGAACAAGCTGTTTCGGCGCCTCGCCAGCGCAGTTTGTTTCTTCCTCTGCGTCGTACGAGGGCAGAGCGGAACGGTAGCTTCACTCAGTGGTATATGGCTGGTGAAGCGGGCGCTGCTCCCGAGTCCCTCTGCTAGCACCACCCTTTTTGCGATACAATGCAATAATCTTTATTGTCATTGTCCCATACAGAACAACAAAACTGAAAAATCTACTAAGACATTCAAAAACCAACAAGCCTGCTATCCCAGCCTGGTTAACCCCCTAAAAACTCTGATACCCCATTTTTAAATAGAATATTTAAACATCCAGTGGATGTTGCTAGCAGAGGGACTCAGGAGCGGCAGCGGTTTCCCCAGCGATATACAGTGGACCCTCTGGATACGAACTTAATTCATCCCAGGGGTCCGTACTTACCCCGAATCCTATCGCGCCGCTTATGCACGTGGTGCGATAGAGAGCTTCTGCGCATGCGCAAAGAGTGCTTCTCCGCATACGTGCACGACAAAACCCGGAAGTATACACTTTCGGGTTTGCCTTGTTCGCAACCCGAAATTACGTTACCCAAGATACCACTGTACTGCTGAGTGAAGCCGATGTCGCAGTCTGCTCCTCATACACTCTAAGCAAAATCCCACCTGCACGAAGCAGGACCAGCTCAAGACATTTTGCTGCCTGAGGCAGCTTCATCCCCCGGACAAACAATAGGGCCGGGATAGAGGGCTGAAGGCACCGAGGTTTCAATTAGCCAACGGTGAGAGGAAAGGCATTGCAGTGGATGTGTGTGGCTGCTTCCAGCCAAGGGTCAAGGCCAGGCAAGGGAAAATAAGCCAGGCGCCTTATCTCCCTCCCTATCTAGGGACAAGAAGGAACAAGAAGCCACTGAACCAGGAGGTGGATCCCACTGGCAGAACGAGAGAGGGCAGAGGACAAGGTTTCCCAAAGGGACTGCAACACCCCCTAGGCCTTAGGGGATTAAAGGGAGAGAAAGGGTGCAATATTTCCCCTCTGGACACAGACTCTGGGATGCAGGCAACTTAATGGGCAGGCAGAACAACTGATTGATCTATCGATCGACAAATAGATAGGCAGGCACTAGGAAGGAGCTCGCAGAACGGCCTTAAAATTTAAATTTAAAAGGCTAGTCCTCTTTGGGGTACACACTGCTATGGTCAAAGGGCCATCCTAAAAGAGAAAGATCAGAGCTGTTTAGAAAGAGGGGGGAATGGTGTTTTCTAAAGGTGGATGCTGTCGTAGCAAGATTAAGAATATGGCTCACTTGTTTATTAAGTAAACAAATGCATTTATTTAATGGCCTAACAAAGAAGTTGGTGATGAGCTCATTATGTGGGGAAGGGCGATATCTATCTATTTCTAACGGCCAACAGCTGCCTTTGACGTGGAGAAAGTAACCTTGGAAGCATTGCGAAAAGGAGGAGAAAGAATAATCAAGAGTACAGTGGTCCCTTGGTTCTCAAACGCCTTGGTACTCAAACAACTTAGAACCCAAACACTGCAAACCCGGAAGTAAGTGTTCCAGTTTGCGAACTTTTTTCGGAAGCCGAACGTGCTCCGTTTTGAGTGCCACACTTCTGTTTTGAGTGTTACACTGAGGTCTGTCTGTCTTTCTTATTTATTTTACACTTTTGTTTTTGCGGCTCTTTTTTTGTGACCGTGTGGAACCCAGTTCAGCTACTGATTGACTGAGTGTCTGCAGTACTGTTTATTGCTTTCATTTTATGGATCAACGGCCTCATTAGATAGCAAAATTCATGTTAACTTGCTGCTTTAGGGGTTGTTTTTAAAAGTCTGGAACGGATTGATCCGTTTTGCATTACTTTCTATGGGAAAGCGTGCCTTGGTTTCGGAACGCGCTTTGGTTTTGGAACGGACTTCCGGAACGGATTAAGCTTGAGAACCAAGGTACCATTGCACAGTAATAATAATAAAAAAAACCAAGTCAAAAACAGGAGGTGGTTAAGGAGTGTGGGATGGGAGTAGAATGAGCACGTCTGTTTGGGGGGAAATTGGGGAGGGGGGGGACACAGATCAACAAGCATAGCCCCTCCTTCGCGGCCGAGATCCCCAGTCCTCCCCAGACTCTATTCAGCCCCACTCCCTGGGCTGGGTGACCCAGCCACTCTGGAAGCACCCATCGATCACCCCTAGGTCGGTGGGGGGTGTCAGTGGATACAGGGGGCATCACCCCCATGCACTTCAGGGAATCGCACCACGGGAGGGGCGGATTCTGCAGCTGGAATTGCAGCAAGTCGCTCCTTGCTGCTCCAGTGCAGCTTCTGCCAGCCGTAGGAAAGCCATGCCCGGCTCCCTCTGACCTCCTGGAATTTTACGAGGTTAACTCCCCTCTGAAGCCATGAGGGATAGGACCTTGTGATGTTGCTTGTACGTCGTGATGAATTCGAACCCAGTGCTGGTGCAGCACCATTTATCGACGCCCCTTCCCCAGTTCATCCATCTCAGACAGGCCCAACAAAATTCTCCCTTTGCCCTCTCCCCGTCACCCCGCAAAACTGGGACTCACGTATATGCTGGGGGTCGGGGGGTTGAGCTTTTCCCGTGGGAGCTTTTCGTCCACGTTGATCTGAGGTTTGACCGAGTGGCTGGGCAGCAAGTAAGACTCCTTGAACTTCCCTTTCACCTTGGCGTGCCTGGAAGAAGGATGAGGGAAGCAGGAGCGTCAGCGGTGGATAATAATAATAATAATAATAATAATAATAATAATAAATAGTTTATTATTTATACCCCACCCATCTGGCTGGGTTTTCCCAGCCACTCTGGGTGGCTCCCAACAGAATATTTTGATACAACATCAAACATTAAAAACTTCCCTAAACTTAGACGCCTTCTAAAAGCCAGATAGTTGTTTATTTCCTTCACATCTGGCGGGAGGGCGTTCCACAGGGAGGGCGCCACCACCAAGAAGGCCCTCTGCCTGGTTCCCTGTAACTTCACTCCGCCAGAAGGCCCTCAGAGCTGGACTTCAGGGTCTGGGCTGGACGATGGGGGTGGAGACGCTCCTTCAGGTCTACTGGGCCTTTGAGGCCGTTTAGGGCTTTAAAGGTCAGCACCAACACTTTGAATTGTGCTCGGAAACGTACTGGGAGCCAATGCAGATCTCTCAGGACCGGTGTTATGTGGTCCCGGCGGCCAGTCCCAGACACCAGTCTAGCTGCCGCATTCTGGATTAATTGTAGTTTCCGGGTCACCTTCAAAGGTAGCCCCACGTAGAGCACATTGCAGTAGTCCAAGCGGGAGATAACCAGAGCATGCACCACTCTGGTGAGACAGTCTGCAGGCAGATAGGGTCTCATCCTGCGTACTAGATGGAGCTGGTAGACAGCTGCCCGGACACAGAATTGACCTGCGCCTCCATGGACAGCGGTGAGTCCAAAATGACTCCCAGGCTGCGCACCTGGTCCTTCCAGGGCACAGTTGCCCCATTCAGGACCAGGGAGTCCTCCACACCTGCCCGCCCCCTGTCCCCCCAAAACAGTACTTCTGTCTTGTCAGGATTCAACCTCAATCTGTTAGCTGCCATCCATCCTCCAGCCGCCTCCAGGCACTCACACAGGACCTTCACCGCCTTCACTGGTTCTGATTTGAAAGAGAGGTAGAGCTGGGTATCATCCGCATTTTGATGAACAGCCAGCCCAAACCCCCAAACTCCCCAGAGAAAAGGGGCAGTGGAGAGTCTGTGGGCAGCCTCAAGGGGCAACAGCTCCTTCCGTCTGCCTTTCAAATTCCAAAAATGAGGGGTGCAAAAAAGTTGCCACGTGACTTGGGAATTCAAAAGATATATCGGTTAATATGATTTAGTTTTGCTTGGCCAGTAAAATTACAGAAAAATAAATAAAAATGATCGCCAAGTACTTACAATTATTATTATTATTATTAGGCATTTTTAGAAGGTAAAATTAAAATTCTTCAGTTTCCCAAAAGGACTTTACGTACTTCTTCATCAAACGTACACTTAACAAGCTAAATGTTGCCTAGCCCCAGAAATAATAGTAAGTTTAAAATCCTCAGACTCCAAAAAGACCCCTCACTGAAGAAATTTCCAAAAAACTCCCCTCTAAAATCCACCGCCTTACTGGTGGATCAGCCCTTTCCCCGTGAACCATCCCAGGAGGCCTCGTGAATTCAAGCAGTTGGCAAGCCCATCATATTTATCTATTCTATTTTATAAAAAATACTGATGCTAGCAGTATAATTGTAAATATACATGCGTGTACCAAAGAAGAGTTCGCACCACTGGAAACATAAAACTCTGCCACAAAACCTGTTGCCTCCACTCCAGACCTATCTACCTGCCCCCCAAAAAACTCTAGTGCCCTGCCCTCACTGGAGTGCATCCTGTGCATCCACCACTGGGCCTGTGGCCCTCAGAAGGCCTCCCGGAATGGAATATGGCCCCTTGAGCCTGGGAAAGGTTCCCTGGAAAAACCTGATACTCTGACGCTGCGGTTTCTTTTAACAGCCTCGGGCGATTCTATTCCCGCTCCATGCTCCCTGCAGAGACCCCACAAATTAGTCAAGGCCGGTTGGTGGCACCCCTTGACGAGAAAGGTGCCTTAGACCATGTGCAAAGTGACGGCCTCAAACCAGAGGACCCCCCCTGCAGCCACGTTGGGCTTAAGAGGGCACAATATTGCGTTTACCTGTCTGGCAAAGTTTCGCCTCCTGGACGGGATGTGGGAAGGGGCAACCCATGCCCACTGGGGCAGGGGAGGGATGGCTTTTGGCCCCCGTTCTGTGGGGCCCTGCGTCCCACTCAGAGCCGTCCCTTTCCTCCGCTTCAAACCCCAAGGCCTCCTTGCCTCCCTCCGGCTGCCAAGGCCCTTATCTGGGCTGACCCTTGCCCCCAAGCCTGCCCCGGGAGTTTGCAAAGAGGAGCAGAGATACTTTTCCGGGGGGGAAAGAAGCAGAGACAGACCAAACCGTCCGGGAGCAGAACTTTTCGGGGAAGCCGTCCGGCACGCAACAAGCTCCGACACCCTCCATTCCGCACAGCTGCCTCCGTTATCAGGTCTGCCTTACTCCTCCTCCTCCCTCCTCCTCCAGTCTCCCATAGGGCTCCCTCTGCCCCAGAGAGACAATATACCCCTCCCATTCGTGATGCAGATATCTGCAACCGGGATATCTGCAGCCACCTTCGCTCCAAACCAACCACGCTGCTGAGAGTTTTGAAAGAGGTGAGTACACGGCCAAAAGGGCTTCCGAGCTCTCGAGCCATGCTGCAAATTGGTTTGCTCATTCAGTCTGCACCCGGCCCTTTCTCCAAAGACCCCCACCCCCGGCAATTGAGCCCAGCGTGGGGGAAGCGGAGGGGTGCGGGAGACAGAGGGAGGAGGCAGGAGTGGGGACACTGAGCGCCGCTCTCCTCTCTGCTGCACACCAGGTGTGCTCTTAAAAACTGCCCGTGGCGCACCCTGATTTGCAAGTGCTCTGGGGCAGGCCCAGGTTTAAAGGAACAGGTCTTCCAGGTGTCTTAGGGACAGGGTCGCAACCCCGTTGGCAGAGCGTCTGCCTTGCAGGCGGAAAATTCCAGGTGCAATCATGGCCCGGCTGCTGAGTTTCCGGGCCCAATTCAAAGTGCTGGTGTCGTAAAGCCTGACATGGCTCAGGACTGCAATACTGCAAGGACCCATACGGACCGACCCGGACCCTGAGATCATCACGCAAGCCCCTTCTTTGTGTGCCCCCTGCACGAGAGGTCCAGAGGGTGGCAACAGGAGAACGGGGCCTTTTCTGCGGTGGCTCCTCGGCCCAGAAAGGCTCACCTGGCACAGGCATTACAGTCATATCTTGGGTTGCAAACGTGATCCGTGCGGGAGGCACGTTCGCAACCCACAGCGTTCTCAGCCTGAAGCGCTGTGTCTGCGCATGCACGTGAGGTCATTTTGCGCTTCTGTGCATGCGCTGAAACCCAGAAGTAACCCATTCCGGTACTTCTGGGTTCAGCGCGGTCCGCAACCTGAAAACGCGCAACCCGCAGCGTTCGTAACCCGAGGTAGGACTGTACAGTGGTACCTCGGGTTACATACGCTTCAGGTTACAGACTCCGCTAACCCAGAAATAGTAAAGGTAAAGGTAAAGGGGCCCCTGACCATTAGGTCCAGTCATGGCCGACTCTGGGGTTGTGGCGCTCATCTCGCTTTACTGGCCGAGGGAGCCGGCGTACAGCTTCCGGGTCATGTGGCCAGCATGACTAAGCCGCTTCTGGCGAACCAGAGCAGCGCACGGAATCGCCGTTTACCTTCCTGCCGCAGTGGTACTTATTTATCTACTTGCACTTTGACGTGCTTTCAAACTGCTAGGTTGGCAGGAGCAGGGACCGAGCAACGGGAGCTCACCCCGTCGTGGGGATTCGAACCGCCGACCTTCTGATCGGCAAGTCCTAGGCTCTGTGGTTTAACCCACAGCGCCACCCGCGTCCCTTAGCCAGAAATAGTACCTCAGGTTAAGAACTTTGCTTCAGGATGAGAACAGAAATCGTGCTCTGGCGGTGCGGCAGCAGTGGGAGGCCCCATTAGCTAAAGTGGTGCTTCAGGTTAAGAACAGTTTCAGGTTAAGAACGGACCTCCAGAACGAATTAAGTACTTAACCCGAGGTACCACTGTACAGGGCTTTAGGCACCAGACAAAAACGTTCCCCTTCACCCAGGCCTTCAGCCATTAAATCTACGGCCTGTTCAATGTGGGAGGGGCGCTGTTACTATGATTATTTTATTAACATGCTGTGTGTTGTGTTTTTGTTATTACACTGCATGAATTATGTTCCTGCTGTTGCGCACTGCCCTGGGATCTTTGGATAAAGGTGGTATATAAATGGGGGGCCACTGTCCCTCAGACCTTGTGGGGGGCCGGACTATATTTGGGGGGGAATAAACGAATTCCTGTGCCCCACAAATAACCCAGAGATGCATTTTAAATAGAAGGACACATTCTACTCATGTAAAAACACACTGATTACCGGACCGTCCACAGGCCGGATTTAGAAGGCAATTGGGCCGGATCCGGCTCCCAGGGCCTTAGTTTGCCTACCCATGCTTTAGGACAGCCTTTCTCAACCTGTGGGTCCCCAGATGTTGTTGAACTACAACTCCCATCACCCCTAGCTAGCAAGGCCAGAGCTCAGGGATGATGGGAGTTGTAGTCCTACAACATTCCCACAGGTTGAGAACCGCTGCTTTAGGAAGACGCTCCCTGTGTACCTCTATGCCATGCCTGGCTTGACCCACACCCACCCAAACCCATTCCTTGGCTGAATGCCCCCTGCCACTCAACCCTGCCACGCAACCCACTTCCCAAACCCCACTGGGCATCTTTTCCCCGGCCACAGGGTCCTGGAGTTGGCCACACAACCTTGGCAAGTTTGAGGATGAAACCGCAAGAGGCCATTCCCAAAAGGAAGGGGGCAAAGCACACCAGAGGCGGCCCACCCACAAGAGGAAGGCCTTTTCCCAACATCAAAATGTGCTACCACGTCGCAGGAGAAACGGCAAGGGGGGGAAAAGAGTCAGGCGCATCTTGCAACCAAGGTGCTTCGCTTTTAAATAAGGGACAAGCTTCTAGCCCTCATTCGTGCTAAGCATGTGGGCCCTGCCTAAAATAATTTTGGAAGCTAGCAAGCGGCAGCTATGTAAGGTTCCAAACAATGGGGATGGGGAATCAGTGCAGTTCAGCCAGAATTCTGCCCAAAAATTTATTTATTTTTTAAAAAAATGCAGGATAGAATAAGAGAGATTCCAGGCCATACGGGACTCAGAAAATCCAGCCCCTCCTGGTTGCCCAAGTAAAAAACAGTAAAGGTAAAGGACCCCTGGACCATTAAGTCCAGTCAAAGGCGACTATGGGGTTGTGGCGCTCATCTCGGTTTCAGGCCGAGGGAGCCGGCGTGTGTCCACAGACAGCTTTCCGGTTCATGTGGCCAGCATATCTAAACCGCTTCTGGCGCAACAGGACACCGTGATAGAAACCAGAGCGCACAGAAACGCTGTTTACCTTCCCGCCGGAGTGGTACCTATTTATCTACTTGCACTGGTCTGCTTTCGAACTGCTAGGTTGGCAGGAGCTGGGATGGAGCAATGAGAGCTCACCCTGTTGTGGGGATTTGAACCGCCGACCTTCTGATCGGCCAGCCCAAGAGGCTCAGTGGTTTAGACCACAGCGTTATCCAAATGTGCTCATTCAAGCTGGGTGGCTAGGAACTTGCAGCCTTCCGGGTGACACCAGACAACAGCTCCCATCATTCCCTTCTGGCTGCTGGGAGTTGTAGTTCAAAACAAGCTCTTTTTGTGCCAGATTCGGTTGGGTCATCTGGCAGGAAAAGAGCTTCCAAGCTCTCCGCCTCGGTTTGGAGGCAAGGCGCTCTCAGCACACAGGAAGCCTAGGGAGCTCACAAGCGAGAGATTTCGGAAAAGCCTGCAAGACACACCCCAGAGCAGTGCGCTGATGCACTGTGCTTTGATACCAGGAGCAGAACGGAAAGAGGGAGCAGGGATTATTGGTTTGTTGTTCACAGTGATCCATGCGACGGTCACCTCCAGGCTTGACTACTGCAATTCGCTCTACGCGGGGCTGCCCTTGAAGCTGTCCCAGAAACTCCAGCGGGTGCAGAATGCTGCAGCGAGGCTCCTCACGGGGTCTCTGCCATGGGAGCATGTTCACCCAGTGCTTTACCAGTTGCACTGGCTCCCGGTGGAGTACAGGGTCAGATTTAAGGTGCTGGTTTTGACCTTTAAAGCCCTTCACGGCCTAGGGCCCTCGTACCTATGGGACCACCTCTCCCGGTATGCCCCACGGAGAGCCTCAAGGTCCATAAATAGCAACACCCTAGAGATCCCGGGCCCTAAGGAAGTTAGATTAGCTTCAACCAGAGCCAGGGCCTTTTCAACTCTGGCCCCGGCCTGGTGGAACGCTCTGCCTCATGAGACCAGGGCCCTGCAGGATCTGATTTCTTTCCGCAGGGCCTGTAAGACAGAGTTGTTCAGCCTGGCCTTTGGCTTGGAGCCAATTTGATTCCCTCCCCCTCTTTCTTTTTTCTTTTCTTTTCTCCTCCTGCGATGAGGCTACATTTTAATATTTTCATGTTTCAATATTTTAATGTTGTATTTTAATTTTGTTTTTAAGTTGTATTCATTCAACTTGTTCTTACTATTGCTTGTTGGCCGCCCTGAGCCTGGCCTTGGCTGGGGAGGGCGGTGTATAAATAAAAATTATTATTACTATCTTTCTGCTATACATTTTGTGGTTTTTACATTGCGATTTTACGTTGTGAACTGCCCCAAGATCTACGGGTGGAGAGCGGCATGCAGATTTAATAAATAAAATTAAAAAACAAGGCAGCCACTCACTTGCTGGCCCGCACCACTTCGGCCGCCGAATGGTTGATGGTGAGCTCGCCCAGGGGGATCCTGCGCTCCTCCACCTCGGAGGCGATGAACGTCTCCTTGTCTCCGCTCTCCACCTTGATCAGCCGGATCTTCAGCTCCTTGGGCGGCCCTTCCGTGAACGAGCGCAGCTTCAGCAGGTCGGCCGAGCACACCACCGTGGAGCCCGTGCCGACAGCCCCTTCCTCCTTCTTGACGGGGGGCGGCCGGCGCTCGGGCTGTGGGGCTGCCGGGGGAGGCGGGGGCGGCTTGGCGCCGTTCTCCCGCGCCTGGCTCTCCGAGCTCTGCACGTCGAGGCTGCCCAGTATCTGACGGTTCTTCTCTTTGTGGGCCTTGCCTTCCCGGTGCCGCCGCGAGCCGTCCTTGCTGGAACGGCGGTGCCTCCGGTGCTCCCGGTCCCGCTTCCGGGACTCGTCCTTGGGGCGCTGGGCGGGAGCCGGAGGAGGGGGTGGCGGGGGCGGCAGCGTTGCGGGAGAGGAAAGGGGAGCGGGAGGAGGCGGGATGGGGGGCGGCATGGCCGGAGAAGCAGGGCTCTTTTCCCTCTCCGCTCGCTCCACCAAGGTCTCGCAGGCCCGGCTGATTTCCTCCAGCACCTCTGACTCCGTCTTGATGGGCCGGGGGACGGGTGGAGGGGGTGGAGAGCTGGCCGCCTGCTCCCCCATCGCTCCCGCGGCCCAGCCTTGGCTTGAGGTAGAGAAGTGGGGCGCGGCCCCCGGGCTGGCGCCGGCCGGGGAAGCGATCTTAGCACCTGGGGGTGTCAGCGGCTTGGGTCGGTAGGAGTGCTTCTGCCCCTCCAGCATGTTGGCCAACGACTTCAGCAGGGAGGCCGTGCTGTGGTGGGGGAATTTGCCCGCCCCGCCGGCGGTGGCGGCAGCTGCCTGGGGCCGCTCTTCTGGGTCCCGCTTGCCGTAGCGGTACAGGCAGGGCGGCTCCGGCGGGTCCTGCCCCGGCGGCTTGGGATAGTCGAAGGAGGCATTGGACGGGGCGGGGGGCTTTGGTCTGGCCAAAGGCGGGGGGCTGGGGAGCAGCGGGGCAGGCGGCGGGGGCGGCGGAAAGCTCTCCTCACGCTCCTCCTCCCCTCGCAGGATCGATTCGTCCAGCATCTTCATGATATTCGCCAGGCCATCTGGCAGGATCTTGGAGAACTCGGGGGGCTCCTCGAACTGGTCCTCCAGCTGGGGGCTGGCGAAGCCAAAGAGCCTTTCGTGCGCGGGCTCCGCCGCGGGGGGCGCTGCCGATGGCTCCGGCGTCTTTGGATAGGAGGCCCGGGGCAGTGGCGGGGGCGGCGGGGGCAGCGTTGGCGGCTGAGGGGGGCTCTCCGGGGACCCGAAGGTTCCTGAGGTAATCGTGGGGCTCTCCGGGGCCGAGGCCCTGGCGCCGCCGGAGTCCTCCTCCTGGGTGCTCTCTGGCATCCAGTAGTCAGCGGCTGCCGGGGTGGGTTCGGGGCTGGCTGATCTTTGGGGGCTGGCCTTCTCCTCAGCCCCTTCTCCAGGGAGTGAGAAGGGCCCTTTCTGGCTGCTGGCGTTGGAATCCTGGAAGCTGCGCCCCGAGTCGCAGGCCCCGAGAGGGGAAGCGTCCCCCCGCGGCGGCGGCTCCCCGCACCCAAACAGAATATCCCCCAGGGGGTCACTGCTGGCTTTTGCTTCTCCTCCTTTGCTGCCGAACGCCGGGCCCTTCAGCCAGGGCAAGGGGGGTGCTGGCGGAGGAGGCGGGGGTGGGGGCAGAGGGGGCGGGGGTGGTGGGCACTGCGGAGCTGTGGGTGCCCGTGCAACTGCTGGTGGAGGCCCCCTGGCGATGGGCGGAGGAGGAGGCATGCGAGAGCAGGGCAGGTTGCGAGGGGCAAGGCAAGGAGCTGGCCGGGGCGGCGGTGGAGGCTGCTGCTGCGACTGCTGCAAGGGGGCTTTGCGGCCCCCGTTCTCCTGGGCGGGACTGGATGGTTCCAATGCCGGCGTTTGGTAATGGTCGGAACCCTGCGGGATGGACAGAAAGAAGAGCCAATCAGAAGGGATCGTCCTCCCCACCTCCCAGGCCTACGGCTCCCTCCTTCACCCCACGAGAGAGCAGGCTTGTTCACACACTGTCCGCCCGTCAACGGACTCAGGCTCCTGCCGTTCTGCTCAGGTAGGCTTCGTGCCCTAGACTCTTCCTCAGCGACCCCTACCCTATAGAAAGCATTATTCAGAACAGCTGTTGGCGCAACTCACTCGGATAATAGCACAATAAAATGGTGCAGCCCCCTCTCTGTGGGGCTGCCCTTGATCCGGAAGCTGCAGCACAACTGCTGACAGGAGGGAGGCCTCGTCAGCATCTGTCACCCGTGATCAGGGATCTGCGCCCGTTGCCAATTTGCTGCCGGGCAAAGTTCAAGGTGTTACTATCAGTATATACAACCCTTAACAACGGGCGACCGGTTTTCCTATGAAACTGCCTTTCCCCACTTTGCCGCTTCGATCGGCAGAACTGTTGCCACGTAATCCTCGTTCCGCGTTTATAAGAACCTGGTTGTTTAGCGCAGCAGCACCTATGAAACTTCGGAACTCCCTGCCTATTGATAGCAAGCAGGCACCTTGTCCCTGTTTAGACAAGCCTGCCTGGGTGCTTAGAAAGCTGAGGCGATTTTAATCTGTTCTAGCATTTTAACTTTTTTATGTCTCAGAATCACAGAACCAGAAGGGACGATGATGGTCTACTGGTCCAAATCCCAAATTTTTTGCCCAATGTGGGATTCGAACGCATGACCCCAAGAGCCTCACGCTCTGCCCACTGAGTTATTACTAGTGTCATGATTTTCCTTCCCTCACTTTATCTTTTTTGTAAACCACCTTGAGGGGTTTCTTTCCTTATGACAGAGCGGTGCCTGAATTTTATGAAACAAATAAAATCCAAAACGGCAACAACCAATTGCACATTTACAGTGGTGCCCCGCAAGACGAATGCCTCGCAAGACGAAAAACTCGCTAGACGAAAGAGTTTTCCGTTTTTTGAGTCGTTCCGCAAGACGAATTTCCCTATGGGCTTGCTTCGCAAGACGAAACGTCTTGCGAGTTTGTTTCCTTTTTCTTAAAGCCGCTAAGCCGTTAATAGCCGCTAAGAGCCGCTAAGCCGCTAATAGCCGTGCTTCGCAAGACGAAAAAACCGCAAGACGAAGAGACTCGCGGAACGGATTAATTTCGTCTTGCGAGGCACCACTGTATTCAAAATGCAATTGGGGCTGTTTTAATTGATGCGACAAAAGTGGACGAAACTGGTCTAGCGCTGCCGGTTCCGGAAGCCGGTGCCCGAGGCCTTCTGACACTTGCTCTGACTCCCGGACCCCCGCGAGAGCCCCCCTCACCCCCACTCACAAGGCAGTCAGGGTTCGGTGGCCCCCGCGAGGTGGTCTTGCTGGTGGTGGTGGTTCCTCCTCCGGGGTTTGGGCGCGGGACGTAAGGCACGCAGGCGGCGGTTGCTGCTGGTGTGGCAGTGGAGTCTGACCGCACCCGGGGGGCTCTGCCGTCTCTAAGGTCACTTCCGTTGGGCCGGGCCAGGCAGCCATGGCTGTCGAGAGGGGGCCGGTGTGCTGGAGGGGTGCGGGGGCTGGGGGCCATGGCCGGCAGGCGGTGAGGGGGCGGGTGGGAGCCGTAGGCGGGGCAGGGGTAGGGGAAGGGGTGGGCCGCAGAGTTCCTCTGCTCCTAAAGAGAACAGGGGAAAGACAAGGAAAGTCAGGAGAGGGGCCCCAAAACCGGGGAGAAAAACACCCAACTCTGTGAAACGCAGGTGTTCTTCACATAATGCATAAATCAGCCTTTCCCAACATGGTGCCCTTTAGGTTGAGCCCCAGCCAGTAACCCCCTGGGGCTGATGGGAACTGTAGTCCAAATGGTCATACTGGCTGAGGACTGATGGGAATTGTAGTCCAAATGGTCATACTGGCTGAGGACCAATAGGAATTGTAGTCCAAATGGTCAAACTGGCTGAGGACTGATGGGAATTGTAGTCCAAATGGTCATGCTGGCTGAGGACTGATGGGAATTGTAGTCCAAATGGTCATACTGGCTGAGGACCAATAGGAATTGTAGTCCAAATGGTCAAACTGGCTGAGGACTGATGGGAATTGTAGTCCAAAACAGCCATACTGGCTGAGGACTGATGGGAATTGTAGTCCAAATGGTCATGCTGGCTGAGGACTGATGGGAATTGTAGTCAAAATGGCTGTACTGGCTGAGAGCTGATGGGAATTATAGTTCCAAACAGCCACACTGGCTAGGGACTGATAGGTGGCACCAGTCTGGGAACGGCCAATTTTCCCTTCCGATACGTAACCATTTGGACTCTTGCGTTTCCGCATGAACTGGAGGCAGAGTTGAGGGCACATCTCTGAGGTGGGTGGGAACAGTTAAGGTGATACGCTACCCCACCCGCTTCCCAGGACCCCCCACCCCCATGCAACCCAAACCCAGACGGATCTGAATTCGAGAGCGCTGCAAGGGGGAATGGAGCAGGCACAGCAAAGTGTTGAAGCCCCCCTCAAGCAAGCAAGCAAGCCAGCCAGCCAGCCTACCCTCCCTTCCCTCTGCAAGGGAAAGCCAGGAGAGCTAGAAACTTGTGGGGGTTTTTTAATTTAAAGGCAGCCGATTCTAGGATATGGAAATGCCCAAAATATTGACAGCGCCCATGAATACAAAAGCAAGGATGGCAAAAGAGAGGCGGGGAGGGGAAGGGTCAATTGCCCCTCTAATGGACGCCACCAGTTATCTGATAAGAACTAAATGACATTAATTATTGCAAACATACGAGGGTAGCCAGATTTTTGACCAGGGGGAGGGCGTTTCCGCCTGCCCGGTGGTGAAAGAGACCAGGCCGATGTCCATGGGCAGGGGGTGGATGCAGGGATGGAGGGGGGCAGCCTTACTTGTCTCTCTGGGGCAGCGACGTTCTTGCGCTCCTGCCCCCATGAGTCTCCGTGGAGGGGGTTCCATAATCCCGGCTTGGGCAGCTGGTAGTGGGGGTTGCCAGGGACACCTGGCGGGTGCTGGCACACCCCGTTACCATTCTGCGTGCACCAGGAGTGGAGATTTGCAGGGGGAGACAGGAAGGGGGGAGACAGCGAGACAGAAAAAGCAGAGGGGGAAGGAGAGAGAAATGGAGGGAGATGGTCACAGCGCCCAACAGCGAGAGGCAAACCCCTTCCCCAAATCCCACCTTCGTAGGGCAAAATAAACCTGAGCGGCCAACCAAAATGGGTCAGGGAAGTGTCCCCCCGCCGCCCCAGGAAATTTCAAAGAGGCCCCCCCCAATGGCTCATGCAACGAACGGCAACATCTTCCTGCAATTAAATCACTACACACCCCCCCCAAGAGCAAAGCGTCAAGCGGCGAGGCCTGCGAGTGGCGCCAGGGCGTCTCGCAAGAGCTGGGGCAGCGAAGCGAAGGCAGCCAGGCCAGTGCCAAGCGAGAGAGCGTGCGTGGGGCAGGATCTGGGCTGGCCCCACGGCGCAAGCAAGCAAAGCGGTGTGAGCGTGGCAGTGGGTCTGGTTTGCGGCGGTCCCTTTTGCACCCAGGGCTCCCACCCCCACCCGCTGTACCTGGTCAGGACTGGTGCTCCTTCGCCTCTTCATGGGGGCTGGCATGTCCTCCCCGTGCCCCGGGTGTGGCGGGTGCTGGACCGGGGCGATTGGCTGGACCACAGGGGGCTCCATGGGGGGCCCAGGCCTCTTCAGCTGGGGGTTGCGCTTGGCAGAGAAGTTCCTCTTCTGGAAATTTGGGGAGAATCGGGGAGGAAAGAGGGATTTGCGACGGGTTATTTTCGTTAAACGCGAAGGCCGCAGCATGGGCAGCTCAGCCGGTAAAGCAGGAGAGCCTTAAATAAATCTCCAGGTTGTGGGTTCGAGCAAAAGATTCCTGTATTGCAAGGGGTTGGACTAGATGTCCCTTGGGGTCCCTTCCAACTCATGATTCTATTTTAAAGAGGCAGGAGGTGATCCACAGCCACTGAAGGGTTGGCAATGTCTTCAACATAACTCCCCACCAGCTCCCCCTTGCTCTGGCGAGTACAGGAAGCGATAACGAGGCTTCCAAGTTGTTCCCCAAAAATTAGCTCAACGATGGTTAAATGGGGAACGAGAGAACGGTGGAGCTGTTGATTTGTTCTTAGCTTATTGCTTATTTCATCATCTAAAGTTTTCAAATAGTTGGTTTTTTTCTGCTTTTACTGAAAATTTTATTTTCTTGTTAAACCACCTTGAAGTTTTTCTCTTTTTTTTACAATTATGTGATAAAAATAAGCAGGTTCCAAGTTGTTTGTGACAGATTACCTCAGATTATTCAAAAGATGTGCGAGAGGGGAAAGTGACCCAATCCACACTCTGTTATCTTATCTATGCTAATGAATTATAACAGCCTATCAGCCTGAATCCACATCCCCCAACATTTTGAGGTTTCTACAGAAAGCAAACAGCGTAAGTGACGCTTCATGTATTTCACCTTATATAAAGATTGTTTATTTCTTTTAATGTGTGTGTGGGGGGGGCGGAATACCATAATCTGTAAAATCCGAAAAGGAGAAAGAAATCTTGAACGGTGCAGAATGAATCACACAACTTTAGTTGCCCAGTGAAAACGTTCCTATTCAGTCAGGTCTTTTGGGCTGATTTAACATTTGATAACCATTAAAATGTGTTGTGGGAGATGGGGTTATCCGCTTGTTCTTGTTTTTATCATGCATTTCGTGCTTTTTACCTTATATTTTTATACTGTGCACGGCCCTGAGTTCTACGGATGAAGGGCAGTATAATAATAATAATAATAATAATAATAATAATTAAAATAGCCACATCAACCAGGCTGATGTATGTGGTTGCATAAGCAGAACCTCTGAGGCAGATCTCAATGCCAGGGGCAGGTTTGCACGGGGGCAAGACAGCCCCTTCATATAACTTGGGCCCAGCCCATTTTAAGGCTTTTGAAGTTATAATAATAATAATAATAATAATAAATTTTATTTATACCCCCACCCTCCCCAGCTGAGGCCGGGCTCAGGGTGGCTAACAACCAATAATAAAAACAAGTTGATTGAAATACAACTTAAAAAACAAGGTTAAATACAATATTAAAGCATTAAAATGCAGCATGAAGTTATTACTCTTGCTGCAACAGAATAATAATAATAATAATAATAATAATAATAATTTTTTATTTATACCCCGCCTTCCCCAGCCAAGGCCGGGCTCAGAGCAGCTTACAAGCAATAATAAAAACAAGATGAATGATTACAACTTAAAAACAAAAATAAAATACAACATTAAAATAATGGAACATTAAAATATTAAAATAATAATAATAATATTTAAAGAAGAGACACACACTGTTAAATTCAGAACGTCGAATGGTGCAACTGACAGGAGTCGCCGTCCACCGACATCCAGAGCATCACAGGTTTTCCCTCGAGATGCTAAGGAGAGGCAGAGGGGATTTTTTTTTGGGGGGGGGGGGAAGGTGAGAGTCCCTCATTGGCCACCACTCACCTCAAGGTGCAGGAGGTTCCAGACTTGTTGCAAGGGAGGCAATGCTTTCGGTCGGTGGTGAGACGACCCCGAGTGATAGTTCCACAGCTGAGCCTGGGAAAAGTCACGGGGAGAGCAGAAAAGGACGAAACGTACGGTTATAAAGCAAATAAAACCAGTTAAAGCAAGGGATGTGTGCAAGGAATCATACAGGAAACAATCAAAATTAATTTCAAGTGTTAATAATAATAATAATAATAATAATAATAATAATAATTTATTATTTATACCCTGCCCATCTGGCTGGGTTTCCCCAGCCACTCTGGGCAGCAAACAACAAAACACTAAAATACAATAACCTATTAAACATTAAAAGCCTCCCTAAACAGGGCTGCCTTTAGATGTCTTCTGAAAGTTTGGTAGTTATTTTTCTCTTTGACATCTGATGGGAGGGTGCCACTACCGAGAAGGCCCTCTGCCTGGTTCCCTGTAACTTGGCTTCTCGCAGCGAGGGAACCGCCAGAAGGCCCAATCCCCACATAAAGTGCTTGTAACGAATGAAATGTTAGTGGTTAGGGTGTCACACTAACCCCCCAGAAGAGAGGCCAGGGTTCAAATCCTCGCTCGGCCAAGAAAAGCCCCCTGGGGTGAACTTGGGGGTCGGTCACTGACTGTCAGCCTAACCTACCTCACAGGGGATTAATGGAGAGAGGAAGAAGAATGGGAATGCCCACCTTGAGCTCCTTGGTTAAAAAAAAAAAGGGTGAGACATGAATGCAATAAAATAAATACTAATGCCCCACGGAGGACCTTAAGGTCCATAAATAGCATCACCCTAGAGGTCCCAGGCCCTAAGGAAGTCAGATTAGCCTCAACCAGAGCCAGGGCCTTCTCAGTGATGGCTCTGGCCTGGTGGAACGCTCTGCCTCATGAGACGAGGGCCCTGCAGGATCTGATTTCTTTCCGCAGGGCCTGCAAGACAGAGTTGTTCCGCCTGGCCTTTGGCTTGGAGCCAATTTGATTCCCTCCCCCTCTTTTTTCCCCCCTTTCTCCTCCTGTGATGAGGCTACATTTTAATATTTTAATGTTTCAATATTGTATTTTAACCTTGTTTTTTAAGTTGTACAGTGGTACCTCAGGTTACATACGCTTCAGATTACAGACTCCGCTAACCCAGAAATAGTGCTTCAGGTTAAGAACTTTGCTTCAGGATGAGAACAGAAATCGTGCTCCGGCGGCACGGAGGCAGCAGGAGGCCCCATTAGCTAAAGTGGTGCTTCAGGTTAAGAACAGTTTCAGGTTAAGAACGAACCTCCAGAACGAATTAAGTACTTAACCCGAAGTACCACTGTATTTCAATCAACTTGTTTTTACTGTTGGTTGTTAGCCGCCCTGAGCCCGGTCTTGGCTGGGGAGGGCGGGGTATAAATAAAATTTATTATTATTATTATTATATTAAATATTACAGATTCAGAATACGATAGAGAAATACCAAAGATTTGCACCAGGGAATCAGTTACGCTAGTGCATTTTGTAATTTCGTAAGCTAGGAGACTCAGTTGCCCAGTTCAACCTTCTACTGATTGCGGTACTTTCATGTACGGTGACTCTCCTGTTAATTTTACGGAATATTTCCTACCAATGATTCACTTGGAGTGAATTTCCGCTCCGTCTGCTGATAATTTGCTAATTTTATTGCGCAATGTTATAAACAGACTATTGAATAACCTAGTACTTTAATTTGACGCAAGCTGTTTATTAAAGGTAAAGGTAAAGGGACCCCTGACCATTAGGTCCAGTCGTGGCCGACTCTGGGGTTGCGGCGCTCATCTTGCTTTATTGGCCGAGGGAGCCGGCGTACAGCTTCCGGGTCATGTGGTCAGCATGACTAAGCCGCTTCTGGCGAACCAGAGCAGTGCACGGAAACACCGTTTACCTTCCCGCCGGAGTGGTACCTATTTATCTACTTGCACTTTGACATGCTTTCGAACTGCTAGGTTGGCAGGAGCAGGGACCGAGCAATGGGAGCTCACCCCATCGCGGGGATTCGAACCGCCGACCTTCTGATCGGCAAGTCCTAGGCTCTGTGGTTTAACCCACAGCGCCACCCGTGTCCCTAAGCTGTTTATTAATTACCAAGTCATTATTATTATTATTATTTTCTCGTGGCTTATTTGCATTGTTCTAGGGCATGTGAGCTTTGTGGCACACATTTTGGTCGACAACTGGGAAACACTGGCCTGCGAGCGCTCCAGTTGAGAACAGCCTTGACCAAAGGTATCCTGGGCTTTGAAGACACTCGAACTCAGGACGCAAGGGAGAAACGTGCTAAGAGGAAGGCACGCTTGGCAAATCCACACCGTGATCAACTCCTGCCTGGAAACCGATGTCCCCACTGTGGAAGGATGTGTGGGTCCAGAATTGGCCTCCACAGTCACTTACGGACTCACTGTTAAGACCGTGTTCATGGGAGACAAGGCTACGAGGGATCGCCAAAGAAGGAGAAGATATTTTGTCGCTTCAACGGCTTGCAAACTGCCTTGCGTGCCACAACATAGAAAGGTGGTGTGCAAATTAAATACGAAATTAATTGGGCTGCCTCAGCCCTGTCATTCCTCCCTGCAAGAAGGCCGATGGGGGCTGAAATTGAATATTATATGTATTCCCCTACCTGCTGCAGTCGTCCGATCCGAGCATGCATCTCTCCGTAGCTCCCGTAATCGTAGTCTCGCGGGTACCGGGTGGCATTCTGGTAGCAGCGCACGGCCTCCTCGCAATCCTGCTCCGACTCGTAGATCTCGCCCAGCTGCTCCCAGAGCTGAGGCTGCCCTGGATCCCGGAGCAGGGCTTGGACGCAGCCGTGGATGGCCTCCAGCTTCCCGTGCAGGGGCCGCGGGGCCAGGTTCCTGGGGAAGGGGAGAGGCGTCAGCGATGGGGAGAGGCAGTAAGGAACGCTGGGCATAGCTGTCAACTTACAGATTTGAAAATAAGGTACCAGCAGCCTCAAAAATAAGGGATCAGCAGCCTCAAAAATAAGGGATCAGCAGCCAAAATAAGGGATTTTAGTCAACCAGCTGCCAAACGAAGCCTCAAGCGGTGGTTCCCACAGCGCAGCAACCCGGCAAAGGGGATGGAGCAAGGAAAACCACCGTCCCCTCTCCGCTGGGAAGCGCTGAGCAAAGGCGAGTCCCCAGGCAACGCGGCCGATTTGATCGGCACAAGGCATGCAAGCTCCACCCCCCAGTCATTCTTAGACTCCTTATTGGGTGAGCAACGCAGCCAAGCAACCCAGTTGGAGCCTCCCTCCTCCCTGGCCGGCAGGGAGGGAGGGAGAGGAGCTGCTTCCTTTGAAACCCAGGAAATTTAAGGGACATCATCAATAAGGGACAGCAGCGGGACACGGTGCTGGGATAAGGGACTTTCCCGCCAAATAAGGGACGGTTGACAGCTATGACGTTGGTGCCCCTGGTAAGGTCTTTCCTAGCCTGGGGCCCTCCAGATCCTTTGGACTCCAGCTCCCATCAGCCCCAGCCAGCAGAGGGTTGGTGGTGGTAATAATAATAATAATAATAATAATAATAATAATTCATTTATACCCCGCCCATCTGGCTGGATTTCCCCAGCCACTCTGGGCAGCTCCCAACAGAATATTAAAAACATGATAAAACATCCAACATTAAAAACTTCCCTAAACAGTACAGTGGAACCTTGGTAGCCGAACTTAATCCGTTCCAGGAGTCCGTTCAACTCCCGAAACCGTTCAAGAACCAAGGTGAGGCTTCCGATTGGCTGCAGGAGCTTCCTCCAGCCAATCAGAAGCCACGTCGGACGTTCGGCTTCCGAAAAATGTCTGGAAACCAGAACACTTACTTCCGGGTTTTCGGAGTACGGGAGCCAAAACGTCTGAGGACCACGGTGCTTGAGAACCAAGGTAAGACTGTGCTCTGAAACATCTAGATACCAGCAGGCTGGGGACCCCAGTCCTGGGGGCCGGGGTTTAGAGAGGGGGATTCTGGGAAAACTGACTTCTTGGTGCTATGCAATGGGAGTGAAGTTCACAGCAGCAAAGCACCAGCAACCAAGACTCTCGAGGAATAGGGGGAAAGCTTGGGGAAATGGCTTTGGGGTAGCCTGAGGCCCTGTGCCCAGAAAGTACGGTGTTCAGGGTTTTGAAACCCCCCCCCCGTTCAACCTCTCCCCCCCAACCACAATGTACAGGATTGGGGGTTGGGAGCTGGAAGTCTGTGCCACCACAATCCCTCCCGTAGCTGCTGATGTTGGCAAAATGCCCTCTGGGAGCACTTACCCCGGGGGAAAGTAGCCCTTGTTGTGTTGCCCCATGTTAGAGCCATGGTTGGGCGGCAGGTGCGGGGGCAGCTGAGGCTGGCCGACACTGGCAGAGCACCTGGGCAGAGGCAGGAGGGGAGAGAAATGTCAGAATGTTGGAAGGGACCCCAAGAGTCATCTAGTCCTACCCCCTGTAATGCAGGAATCTCAACTTATGTTGTGAACAGCCCTGAGATCTATGGGTATAGGGGGGTATACTACTACTAGTAGTAGTGATAAAGTATCCTTGACAGTTGGCCATCCAACCTCTGCTGAAAAACCTCCATGGTCTCATTTGTCTCTATACTAATGCACAGAGTATGGGAAACAAGCAAGACGAATTGGTCATTAGTCCTACTCCCGCAATGCCAGAATCACAGCTAAATCAAGTAAGGGGACAAGGGCTGGTGTAGTGGCTGAGCGGGAGAACAGCTGCTTTCCATGCAGGAGGGCCCGGGTTCAATTTCAACCCCCCCATGGCATACCCAGGGAGGACTGGGCATGTCCCCTTCCTGAAACCCTGAAGTGCCGCTGCTGCCAGCCAGTGTAGGCATTACTGAGCTACATGAAGTAATGGCCTGGTTTTGTATAAAGGACCTTTCTAGGTGTGTAAAAGAGAGGTCAGCCACGACACAAGCCAGGCTTGTCAATGCTCAAGGACAGGCCTGGGAGCCAAAGTCTCCTTGAGTGTCATTATTTACTTATTTGGTGAAATTTCCGAACCACCTGGTTGTAAAGCAGTTCACGAAGAGAACAGATCAATAAAACGACCACTAAAAAAAGTTAGTGTGTTCAAAAAAAGGAAAAACTAAAAAGCAGATTCAAATTCGTGTCCGCCTCCTAAACACCTGGGACGTATTTTCAGCAGATGCCACAAAGAGCACAGGGATGGAATCTGCCTGGTGTCAACAGGCAGGGAGTTCCAGAGGGCAGGTGGGGCATCTAAACTATTGGAAAGATGGGGGGTGGGGGTGGGAAGTCAGATGCAGGGCCCCTTGCCTTCCTGCTTTGCAGAGGAAGCTGTGGAAGCCAAAACACAGGGGGCTGAAGTGAGGGGGGTGCAGGAGAGAGGGAGAGGCGAAACCTCTCTCAGAGCATTCAGAACTATGTCTAAACTCCAACTGACATCAAAGCAACGTCAGTTTCTTGACTTCCCCGCCTGACAAAGGTGCGGTTTTTTCGCTCGGGGAGGCGAATGCAATTCATCGCCCACGATTCTTTGCACAGCTGTGGGTGTGTTTGCTTTGCAGGTGTGTACACATGGATTTTATATATATTTGTGTATGTACCGTGTGTGTGTGTGTGTGTGTGTGTGTGTGCATATATCACTGCGGGAGGCAGTGAAAGACAGGAGTGCCTGGCGTGCTCTGGCCTATGGGGTCACGAAGAGTCGGACACGACTAAACAACTAAACAACAACAACATATATATATATATGGACGCGGGTGGTGCTGTGGGTTAAACCACAGAGCCTAGGGCTTGCCGATCAGAAGGTTGGCGGTTCGAATCCCCGCAACGGGGTGAGCTCCCGTTGCTCAGTCTCTGCTCCTGCCAACCTAGCAGTTCGGAAGCACGTCAAAGTGCAAGTAGATAAATAGGTACCGCTCTGGTGGGAAGGTAAATGACATTTCCGTGCGCTGCTCTGGTTCGCCAGAAGTGGCTTAGTCCTGCTGGCCACATGACCCGGAAGCTGCACGCCGGCTCTCTCAGCCAATAAAGCGAGATGAGCGCCGCAACCCCAGAGTCAGTCACAACTGGACCTAATGGTCAGGGGTCCCTTTGCCATATATATACACACACACATATATATATACACATACACATACACATACACACACACACACTTACGCACAAGTCAGGTGTGGAAAAGCCTTCGCCAAGCCTGGTGCTTCCTGGACTACAACTCCCATCTGCCCCGGCCAGCGCCGCCCCTTTGGACTACGATTCCCAGCAGCTCCCACCTCCCCAGCCATAAGCCACTCACCTGCCGCCCTGGAGCCATGGTCGGGAATGGCAGGAGCTCCAGGCGTTGCCGCTGCAGCCCAGGTTGCCGAGAGAAAAGGGGTCCCGTCCAGCACGGCCCCCCAACTGCTCCACTGTGCGATGCATCCAGCCTGTGATGGGGGGAGATGTGGGGTTCAGGCACCAAGCAGGGAGCTGCTTCCCACCTTCATAGAGGCCAATTCCCCCTCCTCCTCCCCTCTGGCAAACCCATCACCCATCTCCTCCTAAGGCCCACCCCTTCCAGCTGCTGGCTCCTCCCACAATCTCAGCCCCACCCCACCCCAAAAAACCACAATATGGAGCTTATTCCAGCTTCCTGGACCCTCAAGTCCAGCATCCTGTTTTCCCTGTCCAAGGCCCGCTCCCGTCCATCCTGCCAGCTGCTCCTCATAGGAACATGGGATGCTAGCTTGTGTCAGATCAGACCACTGGCATCTATCTAGCTCTGGCTATCTAGCACTGGCTGGCAGCAGCAGCTATCCAGGGTTTCTGGGAAGACAGTTTCTCCCAGCCCTCCTTCCCCGTCTAGCAACTTCCCTTTCAAATGACTGCCCCACCCTAACCACTAGGCAGCCTTCTATGTGTGCCCCCTCTGCACCTCACAGCACTTCATTTAGAACTTTCTTTTCATATTCATACGCCCAGATAATTAGTTGCTGCTGCCGCTGCTGCAAGATTTCACTTTTGCGACAATTGCCAAAATGTGCGTTTCGGAATTTATAAATTTGGTTAAGCCATTTGGGGGCTTAAGTTTAAAAAAAAAAATGGAAAGAAGGGGTGCAGATTCTTTGAAATAAACATAGAAATATGTACTGTATTTTTCGCTCTATAAGACTCACTTTTTCCCCTCCTAAAAAGTAAGGGGAAATGTGTGTTATATGCAGGCTGCGCAGCTATCCCAGAAGCCAGAACAGGAAGAGGGATTGCTGCTTTCACTGCACAGCGATCCCTCTTGCTGTTCTGGCTTCTGAGATTCAGAATATTTTTTTTCTTGTTTTCCTCCTCCAAAAACTAGGTGCGTCTTATGGTCTGGTGCGTCTTACAGAGCGAAAAATACGGTAAATAGATATCTTGCAGCCCCAGTCCCAACTAAGTTCACGGCCCCCCACTTTGCTATTCCACCCCAACAACAACAAATGAGCACATTATTCATTTCCTCAAGTAATTATTATTATTATTATTTTTACCTCTCCTGCTGTGGTGGATGCGCCTTGGTACCCCACCCTCCACCCCCCCGGATCTGAGCGACGGGTGCCCCCACCCAGTCGCGGCTTGCTGCAGTTTCCTCTGGTTTATTCCCCTTCTCCAGTCACAGCCACATAAAATGCTGAGGGGGAGAGAAAAAAGAGAGCACACGAATTACTTGCAATTCACAAATATGTTTGCTTCAATTGCCCACCTTGGGTCTAGATTCCCAGGGAGGACAAGCAAAATGCAGAGGCCTCCCCATATTCCTGGACTACAACTCCCATCATCCCAGATCACTGGCTGTGGTGGCTGAGGGGAGTTGTAGTCCAACAACATCTGAAAGGCACCCAGTTTCCTCACCGGTCTGCCTTGGCCAACCTGGCGCCCTCTCGCTTTGACTACACCTACCATCAGCCTGATGATAATGGGAGTTGTAGTCAAACGCACCAGGTGGGCACCAGGCTTGGGAAAAAGATGATCTGGATTAAGCCCAGCCAGGGATAGCATAAACAATAATGCTGGAAGCCTTGACGCTTGTTGCTCAAATGTCCAATTAAATGTCCACCCCAAATCTTGGCATTAAGTCATTCGGGTGCATGATCTCCGTTTTAGATTAAATCAATATGAACATGGCCTGAACTGGAAATCACAAATTCAAATTATACAAAGGTCTATAAGCTATTTATAGCAAACACAACGTAGTTCTGTTTCTTTTACTGCTGAAAGCAACAAAAGGTGTATGCAAAACAACATTCAAACGAATGTGAACTCCTAAAATTTTATATAAGTAAACACAAACACATGTTGCAGTGGTTTTATATCAGTTTCCTCGGTTCTGCCTTATTAGTGGGCTGGACGCAATTAATTTAGTAGCAGAAACTCATTCCCTTCTCCACCCATCTCTGTGGATATAGAGTTAAGCAGCAGGAAAGAAAGAGTTAACAGAGCCATGTGTTCCTCTCATCCAATCAACACAGGGCCTCCTTTGCCCTCCCTCCAATGGAATTCCTTCCTGTGGGGAAGGGAGGCGGGGCTTCTGCTCCTGCCAGCCCCAAGGTTAACCCTTGCCCTACCACACCCGCCCCTTCTGCCTCTCCAGATGGAAATCGCACCCTGCACACACCTACTGTGCTGGAGAAGCTCTGAGTTGCTCTCTCTGTCTCTTTCTCTCTCTTTCTCTCCTAGAAGACGGCCAATCACACGAAGTCCTCCGCGAGGCCGCCAATCATCTTTCACCTCCGTCTCCTAATGAGGTCTGGAAATCGTAGAGATAGAAAAAGAGAGAATGGCTTGGGTTAGTCTTTCGAGGAGGCTGCTTCGGAACTCTGCACAAGGCGTCTGTGTTCTGCAAAGGAGAAGCGCTTTTGCTGGGCAGGGGCAGCTTGTGGGGGGTGGCTGGGGTCAGGAAGACCTTTGCCCCCCACCTGAGACGTGCTGCATGTGGGATCTCCTCTACTGGAAACTGCCCCAGACCCTTGACCTGCATTGCCTTTTTACCATTATCTAAATCTGCCAGGTGTTTTGTCTCTTGTTGCTGTAATTCCTTATAATTCCTAATTCCTAATACCTAATAGCGTGGTGTTGCTTTTTAGCAAAAGCAGCTAGAAGAAGTAAACCAGCAGGACCTTAAGAGACGACATTATTATTATTATTATTATTATTATTATTGTTATTATTATTATTATTATCATTATTGGTGGTGGCATAAAATTGCACCTGATAACCCTTGTTGTCAACTACCTCATTATCACGGTGCTTCTCTGCATTTTATTCCCCCTGACTTCACTATTAATTATTTGCTGCATTCATATCCTTCCTCCTCTTCCAAGGAGCCCAGCGTGGCAGATGCGGTTCACCTTCCCCTCGTTTAATCCCAACACCAACCCTATAAGGTAGGACGCGGGTGGCGCTGTGGTCTAAACCACGGAGCCTCTTGGGCTTGCTGATCAGAAGGTCGGCGGTTCGAAACCCCCTGACGGCGTGAGCTCCCATTGCTCCGTCCCAGCTCCTGCCAACCTAGCAGTTCGAAAGCACACCAGTGCAAGTAGATAACTAGGTACCGCTGCGGCGGGAAGGTAAACGGAGTTTTCGTGCGCTCTGGTTTCCGTCACAGTGTTTCATTGCGCCAGAAGCAGTTTAGTCATGCTGGCCACATGACCCGGAAAAACTGTCTGCAGACAAACACCAGCTCCATCAGCCTGTAAAGCGAGATGAGCGCCGCAACCCCAGAGTCGTCTGTGACTGGACTTAAATGTCAGGGGTCCTTTGGGTTTTTTTGGCTGAGAGCTAGTGACTGGTCCAAGGTCATCCCCCAGTGGACTTCATGTGCCTGAGTGTGGGTTTTGAACCCTGCTCTCCCAGTTCCTAGTCTGACACTCGTAATTGCTACAACCAACACCGGCTACTGAGCATCTCCCCTCAAAAAGCACACTCAACACCCTCAGGGCAACACTTCCTGCATAGGATGAAGCTGTCTGTAAGTCCGCAGAAACCTGCACCATAGCAAATGCGTTAGCCTTTAAGGCGCCACAAAACATATGCGCTGATCCTGACTTGTTAGTTGTGTTATTAAATCGCACAACTGCTACATATAACTAATAATTACTGTTTCCCTTGTCGTTTCAAACTGCAGGAATGAGAGGGGTGGTCTTCTTGTTGCAATGCAGACATGATCTGCATGCAGAGGTTATGCGCGCTGGTTTTCAACACGGCTATCGCAATGATTTCGGGCGATTTGCACACACTGGGGCGGAGCAGGTTCATATCTTTACCAATTCTAAGCAGAGGCCGGCAGCAAAGGTTTCTCGGTTGAAAACCCCAGAGAGCCACTGCCAGTCAGATCAGCTTTCCAAAATATGGTGCCCACCTTGGCTTGGACTACAACTCCCATCAGCCCCAACAATAACAAAGATTTGTTTTTTGTACCCCACCCATCTGACCAGGCTGCCCAAGCCATTCTGGGCCGCTTCCAGCAGATATTGCCTCTTGTTTGTCTGGGCAGAGAGGGGTGCGTGTGTTTGCAGAAACCTCCGATCTTTGCGCGTATCCACAACGTAGTGCACTTTGCAAAGGTAAAAGCCAAACCCATTGCCCCAACCAGTCCTGCCCATGGCTCCGCCTACCTGTGGCATTCCCCGCCCCCAGCCCCCCCATGAGGAAATGTGGCAAGCAAGCTGGAAAAGACTGCAATTCATGGTCCTCCACAACACACACACACATGTGGATGTGTGCGCTGAGCAGCCCACAAAACGGAGATAATCGCACTGGCCTACATTGCAAGGTTGTCGTATGCTTCAGTATCTCTCTCTTAACCTTTTAAAATGTGTGTACGTGTGTGAAAATAATATTTTGCCATTTCATTTCTCCCTTCCCAGTGCAACTAAGAAGCACTGGCAGGGTGAGCGGTTAAAATTAAAAAAACTGAAATTCACACCACCCGCCATGTCCCAAGTTTTTTAAAAAACCCTCAAATTTTGCTTCTGCTTGGTAGATGAGAGAGTAAGGCCGGTGTGTGTGTGTGTCCAATTTCTGCTCCAACAAAATTTCTGCTCCAACCTGTGAGCAGGTATCTTTGTCAGGCCTCTAACTTTTAACAACACACACACACCAGGAAATCTGGGTTGCAGACAAAAGATCTGTCAGTGATATTTTCTGGCTCAGTGTGCGCAGAGACTCTGTGATCATTTTCTTAGCGGGTTGTGCCCACGTCACTGTCCTGAAAAGCCCTATTGCTGGGTGCGAGTCCTGGTGACTGAATGTCAAGGGAAAAGCACTCTGCGCATGCCCATTCCTGCATTGCGGGGGGCAGGGGTTGAGCTGGATGACCCTCAGGGGCCCTTCCATCTCTACGATTCTATAATTCGACTACTGCTTCCCTGTGCTGGTGGGCGAGGGTGGCAGCTGGAACAAGGTCCCGGGATCATCCAGCCTTATGCATAAGGCTTGTGAGGTATTGCCGGGATTTATTCCTTCTCTCCCCCCTACGCCTCCCGCCTCCCATCCCAAAATAACCTGCCTTAACCACTGCAAGTGGGGGGGGGGAGTTTGCAGGCCTGGGGTTTGGCGGAAACAAACCGGAGGCAACTTTTTCCCCACGCTGCCCCACGACTACGGCAAGGAAAAGGAAAGAAGAAGGGGCTCGCTAGTCACCGCCTGTGACTCACGGCTCACACAGTCTTTTCGCCTCAAACTGCCCCCCCCAAGCATGTCTGGGTCTACGTCCTGCCATAAGCCGGGGCCAAACACACCAGCCGCCACCCCCCCTCCGCCAGCAGCACCGGTGTGGTCAGCCTACCGTGGGCGTGAGCCAGACAGTGTCTCGTGAGTCCACCCACGGATACTGGAGGGGTGGTGGGAGAGGCAGCTGGGGGGGGTCTGACTGCCCCAAACATGGCTGCACTTAGGAAACCCCCAAACACACACACACACGCAAGCTGGGGGGGGGGGTATTAGCAGGGCCCTCCTCCCAACCTTTAACTCAGAATAGGGAGAGCCGGGGCATGAATTTACGTCCAGACCAAATAGCAACCCTGAAGCCAAAGACCACGGCTATTTCTGGAAGAGCAGAGAGCTAAGTTTGGCTCAGGGCGGGACGGGGCAGCGGCGGCTGCGTTGGAGCAAGTAAGGCCGGGGGGGGGGCAAATGTCGTAAGACCTCCTGTGCATACTCCTGCCTTGTGAAATGTGGCGAGGGGGGCAGAGAGGAGGCGTCCCTGGGGAAATTGGTCTCTCCGCCATAGAGGGCGTGAGAGAAAGTCGAGCCTCCGTTCCGAATGCGCCAACCGCACGCCAGCGACAGAGCATGGGACACGCCAAGGGTGCCCGACGCTTGAGCTGAACACACAGGCAAATCACGGCAACGAGGCTGCTGGGGACATAGCACAAAACCTCCGGAGGCATGCACGACAAATTGGACGTGGAGAGGACGCACACTAGTAATATGCCCGAAAAACAGGCGGTTCCGACACAGGTAAGCTCAGGGAAAGTTACAACGCCTGCGGAGTGTGTTTGCATCACCCAGAATGCACTCCATGCTGAAATTATTCCCTAGGTGTACTGCCGTCTACAGCCAACGGCCGATTTACGCACGTCCAATTAACGCACAACGGCGCATGCGCATAGCACCGCGACCTGGAAGTGGCTGGGAAAAGGCTCTCCGCCGTCATGGGGTCAGGAACGTTACCCCAGCACAGAATGGTTGTTGCCTATATAACTAGGGCTGGGCCATATCTGGTTTTCAACATTGCAATGTATCACCGGCTAAACATTATTGATATACCGATACATCGCGATGTCTGAAATAAGGATGGAGCAATGTCGACAGCCACTGGCTAGCTTCATGTTTCTTCCCACATTGTGATTTTTGCACAGCACACACACACACACATCGTGATTCGCAATGTATCGCCAGGTCAAAATTATGAAAATTATGATATGGACTTGTAACCGTTTTTGGGTGATATTACAGCTCTACTGTATACAAATATGATTATATGCTACATAGAGAAATTCAGAAGCATTTCTGCTTCCAGATGTGGAGGCTGAGCACAGACACCACACCGACCGAAAGTTGAGATCCCAGCCGAAAAGGCACAGGGGTCTAAAGCCCTTCACTTGCCCTGCGCAGACAAGCCACACACTAACTTTGCAGATTCATTCCGAATTGGGGAATCTGTGCTACCTGCCTCGAGAGTTCACCGATAGAATACTTCCACACTCCTTGCACGCTCACACTCGTGCGAGATCCATATCACCAGCAAAGACATACGCGCTGCATTTTCTCACCCTCGTGAGCTCAGCTCCGGCACAGGACACCAGCACCCCGGCCCCCAACATACGCCTTTCTGCTCCCCCCTCAGGTTGAACCGCAAGTCTGTAAGGCCAGGCATACACACCTTCCAATACTGAGATCCAGGTTCTGGGCCGCTTTGCCCCCCAGGGCACCCTTGTCTTCACCATCTCGACTGGCTGACCACCCCCAAGGTGAAAAAGTAGCTGCAACAGCAAAGGAATCCCAGAGGACTCTGTTTGTTGACAATTCCAAATTCCAGTTCTGTTAGCTCGTGTTAGGATGACTCTTGGGCTGCTTCTAGTTTATTTGTGTTTTCGGTTGCGTAGATTATTTTGGGGCATTGTGTGTGTGTGTGTGTGTGTGTGTGTGGTGTCATAATGCTGTTAAGACATGTTTTTTCTTTCTTTCAGACAGCAGAGAATGTGGAACATGCATTCCTAAATAAAATAAAATGAACAAGGAAGGATTCAACAGGCACGCAAATCTGTACACACACACACACACCCCAGGGCCAAATGACATGTGTTTGTGCGTGTTCAGAAACCCGTGACCCCCCACACGTGTGGCTACACACGCCCGTTTCCAAACATGTGCAGCCCATGTTGCTGGCACACACGCAATCTCCATGTGTGCCCAAACACCCGGGAGCTTTCCACATGATCTCGCCATGCCCCCGGGCCGTACGAAAACTTTGTGCACCTGCGTGCTTGCATTCTGGTGTGAACCAGCCGGTGACGCCAACCACACACTCGGTCTCTTGCTCACACCACTGTGACACACTGCCCCACATCTCCTCACGCCCAGCGACATCCATGCGCCCTGCTGATTTGCACACAAACGAGCATGCTCCTCTCTGTCCCACTACTGCCAACCCTCACAAACTCCACGCTGCTGCTTCTGTGGGGATTTCGGGGCTGAGCTGTGACGCAACTGTGAGCGAGCCAAGAGGAAGCGATGGGGGCAAGTCCTGGCAGTGCAGCTGGCGTAGGAGGGTGAGGCTGGCCCGTCTGGGGACTCACCCAGCCTCCAGCTACTACACCCTCCCTCGGACAGCAGAAGCGTCCAGTTCCCGCCCAGTCTGGCCAGGGTGCCAACGTGCACACCCCTCGCCGCTCCAAGGCCTGTGCATGTGTGGGTGTTAACGACAGCTACTAGGCTGAAGATTTCTCCCAGCGAGGAGGCCAAGGCAGCTGCAACTTCAGAGAAGCATTATATCGCCCCTCCCGCCCCCCGCAAAACCATTCCTCGCTCTAAAAGCCCGCGTTGCATTATGGGGAAAATCGACAGGGATGTCACTGGGGACCGTCCACCAAGGGAGGAAGTGAGGCAGCTCGTGTGAGTGGAGGAAGTAGGGGGAGGGACAGGAAATGCACCCCAACACACACACACACACACACACACACACACGGGTCTAGCGAACCATTTCCTGTGCAAGCAGCTGTCGATGCACAGCCCAAAGAAGAAGGCGTGGCCAAAGCCAGCAGACACAAAAGACACCTACTTGATGCTAGAAATCTAAAATAACGAAAGCAGGGCACACAAAGACACACACCCACATGTGTGGTTGCGCTCTTTTGCTCCTACACTCGCACACCTAGAGCCATCAGCTCTGTCACATCGCAGCGTTGCGCCGTCGCCCGACATACTCCCACAACCTCTCTCGCGCTCAGCACCCACCCATCCCGCCACACGCACTGAGTTCTGGGTGAGGAGGTGAGGTGACCCTCCTTCCCTGGGCATGCGCGTCAGCGGCCCCCGCACGGCGCACCGAACATGATGCGCAGGGGATCTCCAACACTCCCACGCCTCCAGGAAGGCGCGGAGACAAGGGTCCCGGGGGCGGCTGCCCGGAACCCAGTGGGGCAGAAAGGGCACCGCCAGATTGGCCCCAAAGGGCATGGAACAAAATGGAAAAAGTGCCCCCTCTGCCCACTGCCATGGGGCAGAAAATCAAGCGGATCAATGTTCGCCCAGCAGATTTAGAAATTTCCCCCGGTATCAATGGTGGGGTGAAACATCCCCCCCCCCCGAGCTGTGTTGTTTTGGGGAAAGGTTTTTTCAGTTTCCCCTCCGCATTCGTTTTCTCCGAAACAGAGATTGCTCGCTGCTTACGGGACAAATTTACAAGAAAAGGGAAGGAGACGATGGCAAGTCGCCCCAACCGCAGAGGAAGCAGCGAGTCACGGGAGACTGTGCGCATCACGGGTAAGTGTGCCTGAGCATGGAGGGCACCGACACAAGGCGTGAATGAGGAGAAGGGAGTGACCGGCCGAAAGTGAGAGTGAATGGGGGCCCAAGAGGGTGAAGGACACAAAGGCGGGCGTGGGAGGTGGCGCAACGGTCAGAAAGGAATGATAACCAAGAGGGAGCCAGTCTAGTGTCTCTTGGTCGGGAATTCCACAACCCGGGAGCCACCACCGAAAAGGCTCTCTCTCTCTCTGATGTAGGCGAGAGATAAGGTGCTCACCTAGGGAGCTGAGCTAACATCACTCCAGGTGGAGCCAGGCCGCAAAAGAAACCTTGCAGTCCTAATTCATTCCTGCTTAAGGAACCAGGCCCCCACCTCGCAAGGAGACGCAGGCAAATGGCAGGGCGTTACAGCAGGGTCTGCGTTGGCTCGGGAGGGCAAATCGGGCTCTGGGCTGGTGCCAACCGTGGGTGTCTGTCTGGGTCAATAAAGATGCCCAGAGATACAGAATGTGTCACCTGCACCCACCCCAAAGATGTACCCAAACAGACACACAGGTGGGGATGTATGCACAGACGCAGCGCGCACTTGTAAGGTGTGCAAATGCACGCAAAACACCGCAAATACGTAGACACAGGCCTCATTTGGGCAGGGAGCAAGTCACAAATGTAAGGAACGAACACGGATTCAGGGCAACGGGGACTCAAAGGCACTTGTATGTCTGCATCGAGACCACTTCTCCCTTGGCTTCCACCCAGTTTCCGTTAGAACATAAGCCATCGGTGGTTCTCTCCTCCTCTGTGAATCTGTGCAATCCTATTAAATCGGTGGCCTGTGGCAGGGAGTTCCGCACGTTAACTGTGCACTCCATGAAGACTGGCTTCCTGTCATCTGTCCTGGTAGCGACCGGCGTCCTAACAAGGAGACCCCCATCCCAACCCCAGTCCAGGGGGAGATGCACAGGATCTTTTCTCCGGGTTCTGGCAGACGCCAGAGCCATAGTCCTCCCCCCAGGGAGCATGGAGAGGGAGCACTCAAAGAGCAAAGCGTGGGAAGACCCCGTAGGTCAGGAGAACCTGGAGCAACCGGCGGCTTTCTGGGATGTGGGTTTAGGAACCTGTTTGCAAGGGATCAGCGGCTCTTGTGTGTGTGTGTGTGTGTGTGTGTGTGTGATTCATTAGGCACAATGAACAGGTCTCCCACACATTCGCACACAGGAGGGTGAGAACAGCTGTGTCAGCGCTGAGTCAACACCAGAAAGGCTGCCATTTCTCTCTCCCCAAACCCCTATGTCCTGGAAACCACTGAGAGAGAACTGGGAGGAGAGGAGGGCGAGAGTTAATTCGGTTCATATCCTTAATGCACGCACACCAAGAGGGAGGCACAAAACACACCCCTCACAGTGACACACACACAGAGAGAGAAGCCCACACGCCTTCCCCTCAAAATGCAAGGCATCCACACACATCGATCTATAAATGCAAGTCAGGATAAAACATACACGCTCACACACAGAGAGAGATACACGAAGCGGCCCAGTTCTGCCCACACACAGCAATCCGGAAAACACACCCCCCCACACAGGGCAGTGCGACAGACAAACCCACGCGCAACAGTGCGCGGTGAAGCAACACCCCCGCGTGCGCCACTTTCGCAGCACGGTGGGCTGACGGCGTGACGGCAGGAGCCCACGACTTCCTTGAACCCAGCGCCAGCAAGCCAAACAATGAGCGCTATTCGCAGCAGCCAACGCACCGAGGGCGCATGGTCAGAGGACCACACAGCCAGGGGCAGGCTGACGTAAGCAGGTCCCCTCACAACTGCCACCCTCAAGATGCCGCCACAGCGGCGCACTAGCCAACTCACTAGGGGAAATATACACATCGCAAGCAGCGCCCAGGGGTGCGCAGAGCCCATGCGCGAGGGACCCACGCAGTGCGTCTGAGTTGTCCAATGGAGTGGGCGTGTGGTGATCTGCCATGACTCCTCCGACTCCTCCTCCTTCGCCCACGAGGGCCAATCGCACAAATAGATCATTCACAAGAAGTGCAGGCGTATTTTTCTGTTTTGCATGACTTTTCTGCTTAGGTCTGAGGGGTGGGAGGGGAGGGCAGATCAACACACACCGCTAAGCCTTCCCCAGCAGGGCGTTCAGCTAACTTGCGCCCGAGGAAAACCCCTCGGCATTTCAGGGGTTAACAGATCACAACAGGGCTGGGAATCCCCCCCCTTTTTTTCCCCCTTGGGTTACGCAGCTGGGGAATCCCAGACAGATTTCTCAAGATTCTGACCTGGGTTCCCAATAACCCACATTTCCAGATTTGCATCTACCTGCCTCAAAAGAGAGAGAGCAGGAAACACCCAGAAATCAAAAGGGGCCTTCCACATTGTTGTTGTTGTTTTGGGGGGGGTTATTGTGGGGGGGGAAAATGTGTGTGCGCGCGCATCAAATGCCCCTAAGGAACACACAGATACACACCAACACAAAGGGCACACACAGATGAAAAAATTCAGGTGTGTAACACCTTCTATAGAGACACATCAGCTCCCCCAACTTTAGGTTTTCTGGACTGTAGTTCTCATCAGCCCCACGGGCATTTTTCAGGCACCACTGTATAACTGCATCACATCTGTAAGGACTTGGCCATCTAATGTGACTCTTTGGAACTCCCTGCTGAATGATTTATCAGGCAGGCGGTTTCACTGTACTCTCTTCGGAGCCTGCTGAAAACCTTCTTGTTTAATAATAGCAGTAGTGATAATGATAACATATTACTTATTGTATAAGCGGGTTATAAAATGAGTGCCACATCCACTCTGGCCAAGCCCGCCTAGATGTTCCGAAAGTTTGCGGGGGTTTGAATTTGCCCTAGTCTATTCTATTGCACTGTTAACTTTCTGTACATTTTAAATTACGGCTGTAAACTTCTTAGAGATAATTTCGCCACGTCATCTTCGCCGTAAACCGCTTTGAGGGTTTTCTTCCACGAACAAGCAATATATAAGTTTTACGAAATAAATAAATAGTAAAACAACAACAACCGCCCTTCAGGGCTGAGGGCAGCAGTTCTGGGAAGGCTGTTTTAGACACAGAAACGTCCAGACGTACGGACGTATCTGAATTTGCACGCACATATACAAACATTGCCCCATATCCGTATTGTTTCACGAAATGCGCAGAGCGAAGGACCCAGGCAGACAGGCGCTAAGAAGGGGGGGGCGCACGGGGTTTTTACAAAAGTGGCCTTGAAGCTTGGCGGGGCAGGAGAGGGATTGCACACAGACAAAACACAAGAGTTTGAGCACAAACAGGGTCCTTGCACAAGATTACAACACTGGGGCAGAAGTGAGTCAACTCGTCCCGAAAGTCTTGCAACCTTTGCCGAGCGAGAGACAAAAACTTTATAGAGTGACCCCTTTGCGTCCCCCCCCCCGCCCAGAAGAAGCCCAGGCGCACGTCGCCGTTGGCACAGTGGGGGCAAGCGCCACCAGAGCCACACACCCTGTGGGAATCAACTCCCCCTGCCCCAAATACACACACACACACACAACATACAATTTCGCTTGAGAATGCTGCAACAGCAATGCCCACGGCAAATAAACACACACCTTGAGTTGGAAGGGACCCAAAGGGTCATGTAGGACCCAAACACACGCACACACACACCCTCGATGTGAAGGAATCCCAGCTCAGGGAGTTGTTTGAGACTGAGCCGGCGAGAGTTGAGCGCGCGCGACATGTGCCAGGAGAAAAACCGGCACGGAAACTCTCTCTCTGCCACTCGCAGAATCCTTCCCTTCCCCTCACAAACGCACACAAAGGAGGCAGACGCACAGAGAGAGACCCACGCACACCCACGCCCACACCCACGGCCTGGGCTTACCTCGTGGCCCGAGAGAGGCATGGCGCGCTTCAAAGCGTTGCTGTCCCCCAGGGGTACACAAAGGAGCACTGACTGCCTCACACACAGCGCACAGCCAAGGGAATCGTGCGTGTGTGTTAACTTCTGTGCTTCCTCCCCTTGCCTGCCGGCGTGTCCTGCCCTCCCCCCCTTACACACACACACACACACGCCGTGTGGGGTTCGGGGTCCCTGCCAAGTCAGCAGAGCACATGCGGGGGGTGAATTCCGGCCACAAGTGACTCAGCCCCCCCCTCGTTCCCTCCACCCCCGGGAAACTTGTCCTGGTTTAAAGGGCTGGGGTGACATCATCGTCAACTCCCCCCCCCCAGCTCCCTCCTCCACTCAGCTCCCCACATCGTTGCCCCGCCTGGGAATCCCAGACGCGGAGGAGGCCTCCCCCTCGCCCAGCCCCGAACTGCCGGCCTTCCGTTCTGAGGAAACCAAGAAATGCCTAACAGGGAAAACACACACACACACACACACACACACACACACACACACAGAGCAAACCCCAACACAGTCATACCGGCCAGGAGCGCATAACAGACATGGGCGGCGCATGAAACTTTGCAAATGTGTAAACGCTTAGACGTACACACACACCGTGTATCTAGCTATGTATTTCCCTGCAATGCACGCGCGCGCACGCACGCAGAGCTCCCCTTCATCTGAGGGCGGGCTGTTCGATCCCACGCGCCAGAGGAGTAGAGGCGCAACGGCAAGACCTGCGGCCGCACACGCGCCGGAGGACATGAGTGCGCAGAGACCAGAGAGGGGAAAGCAGAACAAAACAAGGCGCAAAGGAAGGGAAAGTTGTGGCGTCACAAAAGGGCAGCTCCCTGCGCCCACACCTCCACAGGCGGGCCCATGCGCCCTGCAAGCGCACAACGGCTGAAGAGACCGCTGTTCCCCACCGCCAGAGGTCTGCCACGTTGTGAGGAGAGAGGGCCCTGACCCCTGCCTCATCTCAGTCACCCCATCCGGGCCCACAAGCCTCAGTGGGCTGACTCAGGCTAGAGGAGGCGTGAGTGCGCAGCCCGGGCACCTTTTCCCTCACGGTGGGACCCTCTTTCTTTCTGATAGCGGACCGCTTCCAGAGCAACCGGGAGACAATTGAGAAACAAGAAAGGCCACGGAAAAATGAGCAAGCAGCAAGATTCCCCACTAGTTCCTGTGTTGTGTCATCAGGAGGAAGCCTCAAGCTTTTAAGGCAGTTTCTGAGGGAATTCTGAGGTGGCGGAAAAGGAGGCTGGGCATAGGCACAGGAGCTCACTGTTTTATGTTTGTGCGCATGAAGAAGGCCCTTGCCGGCAGCTCGGCATCGCACAAGGTGAACAGGCCAAGCGCGCCATCAATCCCACAATGCTCTGTGGCGCCTAGGACCCTGGCCCAGCGCCGCAAGGCCCATCGTGAGGCGGGGCATGCGCCAGACAGAGGGGCGCTCCCCCTCACATCCAGGGCGGCCATGTTGCGGCCGTACGAAAACATTTCCACGTTTTGGGTGGTGTGGCAGAAGCCACGCACAAACCAAACTCGCCTCCCTCTGTGACGCAAGTGGGGGAAAGTGCAGATAAAGCAAACCGCTGTCTCACACAAACTCATAACAATAGTCATAACGCCACTGGGAGCCTTTGTTCCTTCTGTAAAACCCAGAAGCCACTGAGGGGGGGAAGAGACTATGGGGAGGGTAGCAAAAAAATGGAGGCGGGTGGGGGGCAGGCTGTGTCCGTGGGCCTGGCCCCCGAGAAGCAGCCAGCGTGGGGTTAAGCGTTCACTCCGACAAGGAGCCTTTTAAGGTCACAGCTGTGGCTGGGCGTTTGGAGGAGGCGCATGTGAGTCTCTCTTTCTCTCTCTCTCCCTGTCTCTGCCTCCTTGTGGTTGCGTAGAGAGAGAGAACCTCCCTCCATGTCCCGCCTCCCTTGCGCTCTCTGTCTCCACCCCCTCGCAACATGCCCAGCTGCTACACTGGCAGCTTGCCAAAGATGCGCGGGGGGGGGAGGAATTGTGCCAAGGTCCAAGCCTGGTCTGTCAGGCCCCCTCACAGGCTGGAAGGAAGGAAGGAAGGGCAGAGCGAGAGAGGCAGAGCTAATCGGCTTTTGCGTATGTGCGCCTGTGTGTCTTTGCAACGCGCGGGCGCCCAGCTATTGTCCCCAGCTGTGGAGAAATAAAAATAAAAGTGCAACGTGCACAACTGTGCGCAAAGAGGCTCGCCTTTCCGTATTCCTAGAGAGAGGCAATGTGCGCTCGTTTCACGGCCTCGCAACGCAGGAATGTGCATCAAGGGGGAGATTTCCTCCACAGCACTGTCTGACACAAACACGCACACACAAAGCCATGTTTTCTGATATGCCAAACTGTATCCTTCTCAATTGTCTGTGGCAGAGGCGAGAAATCTCAGGCCTAAGGAGTCCAGTGTGGCCCCTCCAGGCCACCTCTTCAGGCCCCCAGAACATTCCACACGCCACACCCCTCACCAGCTCAACTTTGCACCCCAAAGATTTTTGCCCAGCTGGAATGTGAACCCTTGAGAAGGCCTCTTGCTTGTCTGGATGCGCAAGCATGCGCGGAAGGCAAAAGTCACATTTATAACCTGAACACCTTTGCCTCTGGCCACGCCCTCTGTGGCCCCTGAAAGGCTGCTCAGAAGGGACCGTGGCCGTCGCTTGGGAAAAGGTCCCCTATTATTGCTCCATTATTGCGCAGTATGCGCCAGAACTGCAAACCTCCTCCCCAAAACTCAGCAAAACCACCCCCAAATACAGTCCCCCCCACTGCCGACTGAAAAAACAATACAAAACACAGAAATCCCAAAAATCGCTGAAAAGGGCAAAACCGGAAAGTGCAAAAAAATAATGCATAAAAATTTCATTCATGGGAGGACATTGAAAACCAGCCCACTCACCAAAGGAAGGGGGGGTCCCGTCGCTGCTTTCTCATTGGCTGACTCCCCCCACACGCCGGGCCCATGCGAGACACGGCTGGTGTGGGGGGGAGGGTCTGACTACGCTCCAGCCATGGTGTGGGACCCAATCCTGCAGGGAAGGAAGGAAGGAGGAGTTAGAGAGGACGAAGGAGGCTTTGATTGAAGAGTCAGAAATTCCCCCCCCCCACACACACACACTGCGAATTTTCAGGGAATCATCAAATTCCACAGAGTGACGCCACCTATTCACCTCAAATCCCACTCGCCCACCTGAAGAGAGCATCCAGCTCCCCAAACACACACACACACACACACACACACACACACACACACAATGTTCTTGCATAGCTCTGCAGACATGCCCCACTCCAGAAATGGTCGCAATTCCCCTATGCGCCAAACTGCCTCTGCCCCAGAGATAGCGCAGGCCCCCCTCCAGTGCACTCCCACGGGAGGGGGGGATGTGCAAACCGAGCGAAACTTGCACCTCCTTGCGCTTTGAAGTAAACGCCTTCGCCATAATTGCCGGGACACCTTTGGGAGGTGCAAGGGAAAGAGAGCTTTTGCTGAACTCCAGGAAACTCCGAAGCGGATATGTTCTTTTTGCAAGAGGACGCAGGAAAAGCCCGCCTAGCCTTTGAGGGTCAAACCTTGGATCTTCTGCCCGCGAGCAAGGGCCCTTCTTCCCCCAAACCTCCCTGCACTCTTTTCCTCCAGAGGAACCCTTGCAGGATTTGCACCCGGCTCACCTCGGCAGCTGGCCGCCCCAAGCGAAAGCTGCAAGGCCTCTGCCTTTATCAGCAGCTCCAAGGAGACAACAGCTGCAACTTATCAGAAGCCCAGAGGCTGCAGCCCAGGACATGCACGCTTGATATTTCAGTTGCGCATTCCTCCCGAGGGGGGAGTCGTGGGAAGCCGGGTGTCCCTAAAGGTGCCATTGTAGGGGAACCCCAAAATCCACACACACCTGCCCGCTCCTTGTTGGAACCGCTGAGCCAGAGTCTCGCGAGGAAGCAGGCTGGGCACTTCCTGCAAAAAAGCAAACCTGACCCAACTTATCCGGCGATATTCCCTCCAGGGCTGAGCCAAAAACAAAACCACAGCCCCAGTGAACCTGCCCTGCCTTCTGCTGAAGCAGCTTAGTCACCAAAGTGTCAAAACTCTCTTTCAAAACGGGGGAAACCCAGAGAGGAGGTTGAAGGGGAAAGTTGGAACCGGGCACCTGCAGGCGAGAGAGTGAGAGACAGAGCTGGCATTCCGGTCTCACCTCTGTGACGCAAAAGTTGCTTCACAGCTGAGAGCAACCCTTCGGATGTCCTTTTAGCGTGCATTGATGATGAATTGTGCTCCTGGTGCTATCAGGGCGGCTGCACGTTTTCAAGACTTCCTGCGCTTGCAAGAGTTTGAAGGCAGACGTACTGCTTCATTTCCACTATTTTTTTATTATACATTTTTATTTTTTAACATATTAATTCCAACATTCATACAAAGTAACTTCTCATCTTATACAATATTTTTAGACTTCCGTCAACACCTCTGATGATTTTCCGTTCTTTTATCTCTTGTTGTGCGCTTCTTAATTTCCTATTGCCTTTAATTACACTTAACTAATAATTCTCCTCATTGCCTTTCTTGCAATATTTCAAATAATTCACCTTACAAAACTTCTTGCAAACCTACTAGCGTAATCTGTTCACCACAGTTGCTTTTCAAATAGCGTACTGCTTCATTTCCAATCAGTGCATGCCCCATAATTTCCTCCTGAGACCCAGTAACTCCTCACACCGCCCATGTCCCGCCACGGCGCAAGGGTATCCCTCAAGAAGTCAGTACCGCGGCTGCACTGCAGAAGAACCCGCAAAGCGCAATGAATGTGTGCATGGTTCAGTATGATTTCGCCACGAATGCACAGTTGTTGTATCAATGTCATGTTGCAGAACACACAGCAGCAGCAGCCAAGGCAAGCCCTCAGTTCATCTGTAAAATGGGAACAAGCCAGGCTGCAGAAGAATGGCGCATTAAAAAGGCATTAACAGGGATGCTCTCGTAAATGACATAATGGCCGTTAACTGGGGAGAGTCTGCAGAAATGGTGCGTCGAGGACTGCGTATCAGCCTTGGCAGAGATAAAGGCCCCAGTGTGTCGAGACAATGGACATTCAGAAGGGTCTACTCCAGCCAGCACAAGGGGGCCCTTCAGAGACGCCCACGAGCGCTGGGGGGATCCCTTTCCGGAGGGTGGAGCAGCTGGAGATGGTGCCAAGGTCTCTTCGGCAACCCGGGCTGAGGATCGAGCCCACACCCCGTGCTTCCCCCTTCCCGCCACACCCCCAGAATGCACCCCACTACAGTAGCCTTTTAAATACATGATTAAACTGAAACAACAGCTTCCTCTGTTATTTCCTCTCTGTCAAATTTCAGACTGTAAGCTCCTTGGGGGCAGGGACTTTTTCCTCTCGCCCTCTGCAAAACACCCTATTTGCACCATCTGAGTAAATTCCAAAGAACAAATCAGCAGCAAGCTGGGATTCAACTCTGGCTGGATCTTCTCAGAAGCCAAACTTTTTGCTCCCATGTCAGCCCTGAGGACATGTGGAGCAACAAAGCGGCGTACCTCTGACCGCATGCAGAATGCACTGCTCTCCACAGGCCGGGCTTTAGGCCCAAATTCCACCAGATTGCTGCACCCCTTCCAGGGAACCCAGAAACATGACCCAGACCTCGTTCCAGGTGTTCACTACTGCTCATTCCTGCATTTATATCCCACCTTTCCTCCAAGAGAGCCAGTGTGGTGTAGTGGTTAAGAGCGGTAGTCTCGTAATCTGGGGAACCGGGTTCGATTCCCTGCTCCTCCACCTGCAGCTGCTGGGTGACCTTGGGCTAGTCACGCTTCTCTGAAGTCTCTCAGCCCCACTCACCTCACAGAGTGTTTGTTGTGGGGGAGGAAGGGAAAGGAGAATGTTAGCCGCTTTGAGACTCCTTTGGGTAGTGATAAAGCGGGATATCAAATCCAAACTCTTCCTCTTCTTCTTCTTCAAGATGCTCAACGCAGTGTGCATCGTTCTCTCACTTCCACTTCACCCCCACCAACAACCCTGTGAGTAGGTTAGGCTGAAAGACTGTGGCTGGGTGTAAGGTGGCCCAGTGAGCTTCAAGTGAGAATTTGAACCCCGGTTTCCCAGGTCCTGGCCCGACACTGTTAATCTCTGCACCACACTGGCTGCTAAACTAATAAAGAACGGGCATCCGTTGAGACATTGCGACCAAATACCCCAGGCACAAGCGGAAAACCACTTTATTTTTATTCCAAACAGTCCACGACAAACCGCCACGTTCCGCCTGTCTCTGGTTCTGTATTCGCAACCACCAAAGCGAGCGGTTGTACACGTGTAAGCATGCGCACAAAAAGTGGGAAATAAGTACGGCAACCAGTTAAGAATCAAGCAACTGGCGCCATTTAAAAAAAAAAATATTGATGAACACTCTTGCCCTGCTTTCCTCACCCAGCAAATTAGCTCCTCCCTGCGGTGGGACTTTTAATCTTGCTCACAGCACGCCATTCGTTCCCAACGTGATCACTGGGGTTTCATGCGCTTCAATGCGCAACGTTTCGCCGTTTGCCGTACGGAAGGGTAGGCTCCCCATCTCCCGCTCCCCATTCATTTGGAAATGCCCTTTCCCACAAAAAATAAAACAAAAAAACGCCCGCTTTGGGGCCTGCGAGGCCTGAGAAGAGGTCCCACGAGTCCTTCAACACCCACATGCAAACATCCTTGGGACACCCAGATTTTTAAAAAATGCTTCCAGGACAGTTCTATTTTCATTCTGTGTCAGATGAATGGCGGGGGGCGGCCTTCTGGCAATGTACAATTAGGCTGGGGGGTGGGGGAGAGAGAGAGAAGCAGCAGAGCCAAGAGGTTGGGGATTTGGCCTCGCTGGGAAGCTGAGAGCGCGAAACCGGCCCCACGTGTGCTTCCACGGCGCAGCAGCTGGTGTCCTGCCCTGATGATGCAAGAGACCGCAATCCGCAGCGCCTGATGATGTAACGCCACCCTGGTGTGGCGCAGGCAGCTGGGCCCGCTGGCGCAGGAGGACCCTTGCGGGTATTTTTGGCCCACAACAAGCACCCCCTGGGAAAGGGGAGGAGCCCGGAATCAGGCTTTGCTTTATTTTATTTTATCTCTTTTTGCCGAGCGAAGTTTGGGTTGCGTTTTGCAAATGCAGCAGGCAACACATTCTACACCAGCCCAAACTGGCCCAAAAAGGAGATTTTCATTTTTTTTGCCTACCTCAGGACCTGACACGATAACTGTTCTCTACCCTAGTAGAGGGTAGTAGAGGGTAGGACATAACATATTCGGGTTGGATCGGGCTAGCAGCCCACTTTTAGTCCAGCTTTCCGGCCTCACGGCGCATTTGCGATTTCCCAGCGCGCTGCCTCCGACAGAGGAGGGAAAGCGCAGAGGTAAGGGCAGGAGGAGCTGGCAAGACGGGGCAGACAACTGCAGCCATGCGCCACCTTCTGCCTTCTCCACGCGCACAGATGCTCCCTTCCGGCACCTCCGCCTCGAGGACCCCTATGCAGGGGTGGTTTTTCTCGTTTCTGTGCACCCCCCCCAGGCAAGGGCAGCCCCTGGGGTCCTTATCTCTCCTTCTCTGCACCCTGGAACAAGATCTGCACTAGCAGATATGAGTATAGGTAATTCTCTTCCTGCCGGCTCATGTCAGCCGCCACAGTCACTCACTAAAAAATAATAAAAATAATGAATAGAAACCCAAACCTTTCGCCCAAGCTACTTTGAGGGTCTTCTCTCAACATGGGTGACCTGCCTCTCTCAGGGTTGTTGTGCGGGATTAAGTGTAGGCCAGCCATTTATGCCACCTTGTGGTCCTCCTTAACAGGAAAAATTGTGGGGTATAAATGCAGCAAGTAAATCAATATTGGAAGGTTTTTGTGACAGGAAAACGGGACTCAAGGGTTGAGATTCCCCACCCCCAATTCCGTAGCCCTAAAGCTTCACTGGTGCTTCACTAACCTGGGACCGCCCCACCAGATGTTTTGGACTACAACTCCCATCAGCCCCTGGGAGTCCAAAACATTAGTTGGCCATGCCTGTGATACACCAGGAGCAGGGCTGTAAGCTACGCTTTGGCTAACATGCGCCGAAACTTTACACACTCACACAGACCCTTGTTCTCTCCCCAAAGCAAGACAAAAAACAACAGCCAATTTATTTCAACCTAAATCCCAGTTTGGGGGTTCCCCCCTTCTATTTTTAACGCAAGGCCGCAATTTCACTATGCATTTAAAGCCGTTGTCGTGCCAGTCCAGTCCCAAAGAATCCTGGGAAATCTTGTATTGGTTCAGAGTGGCAAGTCATTCAGGGACCCCTATTCCTCTCCCAGAATTTCAGTCCTCAGTGGTCTAACAGTCCCGAAAAACACTGGGGACTGTAGCTCTGGGAAGGGGGAATAGGCATCTCCCGGCGACTCTCCCCACCCTTAGCAAACTACAGTTCCCAGGAGTTGTTGAATGGAGGGGAAGCCGTGGCTATATAAAGCTGTGTTTTTAAAAAGCCCCACGTTGGGCAAAAAGTTTCCTGCCTTGCAGGGGGTTGGACTAGATGACCCTTGGGTCCCTTTCAACCCTACAATTCTGTAATCCTATAATATTGCTTTAAATCTACAGTGGTACCTCAGGTTAAGTACTTAATTCGTTCCGGAGGTCCGTTCTTAACCTGAAACTGTTCTTAACCTGAAGCACCACTTTAGCTAATGGGGCCTCCTGCTGCCGCTGAAGCCCGATTTCTGTTCTTATCCTGAAGCAAAGTTCTTAACCCAAGGTACGATTTCTGGGTTATTACATCTCTGTGTAGGAGAGAGGGCAGGATCCCACAAGTCCCTAGCCCTGAGTAACCAGCAACCAGGTATAGCTAACACACTTTCCTTCCTCACAAGGAGCACCTTGTGTGAAATTTCCACGCCTTCCCCTGCACGGAAGTGGTTTTCCAAACAGGGGGGAGGGAAAGAAAAGCATAAGGAAACACCAGATGTATATAATATATTATCAACACAGGTGTAAACACACGCACACAAAATCCAATGAATAAAAGAAATTTGGGGTTTCAATTCTAAACAGCAACGACTTCAGCTAACTTTCTGCCTCCCAGAAAGAAGCAAAAAAAAATTGGGGGGCTAAGTAGAAAGTGGGTGTATGTTCAACCTCCTGACACCCCAATTCCCTGGAATCAGACCCCCCCCCATCTTAATTCCCCACCAGAGAAAACAAGCAGGGGGGAAACAGCAGGCTGATATAATAATAAAAAATGAGGGGGGGAGTTTAAACTGTTCTATGGGGGCCTATCATTTTTGGGTGGGGTGGGGAGTCCTAATCTCTGGGGCCGAGGGAGGTCAGAGGACTTTAAACATATATTTTTTAACGGGGATATCTGGAGATTCCTATGCAGTGAAGGAGTATTTTAGGGGAGAGTTTTTACGCTAAGGTTTTTTTGGGGGGTCTCATATGTGAAACACTTTGAGGTTTTATGGGTAGGGGTTACAATCAAGCAGTATATACATTTTATGAAATAAGTGGCGTGGGGGGGGGAGAAGGGGAGCACGGGCTGGGATTTGGTGTGGGGAGGGGTTAACCAAGAGCCCACACCCCAAATTGTCCTTTTTAAAACAAGGACTGAGGGAAGGGGGCAGATGCCGGGTGGGGGCTGTTCATTAAAACCCCCCAGAGGCACAATTGTGGGGGCGGCATAGGGCTTGGCCCAGATCACAGGCACACTTCCAGGCCCCCACAAACTTTTTTCCCGCCCCGGTTTTTTCTCTTTTTCTCTCTCTCCTCAGGAAAAACACGCCAGGAAGTGGGAAGGACCCACGAGGTTCGTTCTGGCTCCCAGGCACCTCCTTTGGCCGAAACCTCAAATATTCCACTCCCAGGGAACCCAGGAGTTCTGGCGTTTGTCTCTATAAAATCTCTTCCCCCCCCTCCACTTTGGTGTTCAGGAGGACAGAAGCACCCGAACCTACCCGGCAACCCAAAACCTTCCCTCCAAAATCTCATTTCGGCAAGCCCACATAAATCCCTTTTCCTGGAGCTGAGCAAGGATAGAACCCAGGTGTCCGGGCTCCCAGCAGCCCTTGCTGCTTTGAGCCAACCCACAAGGAGAGACCATGTGACACGGTTTCGGGGAAAGTGAGAGTGTGAGGCAGGCCGGGCAGTGGGGGTGTGGGGGAAGAGGTGGAGAGGTCCCCATTCGTACCCAGGGAGGGCATCGTCGTCACCCACCTAGGACCCCCACCCCCAAAGCCAATGCCCTCGGACAACACATCTGGATGGACACACACAATGACCCCTGGGCACAAAAGTGTGGCCAGGGCGACCGGCCGACCCCAGCAGGGCCGCCACACCAGCCAGCTCCCCCTAAAAACCAGGGGCCAGTGCCAAGCATTCACAAGTCGGGGTTTTCTCAGCCGGAGAAGATTGCCCAACTGTGAGACGGAGCCAGAGCTTCCCTTTATGTCTCGCTCAAACGCACCTAAAACGAAAAGCATTTCTTCTAATAAGTACACACACAATCACACACACACCTGCCCTATTCAGCGCAGTGAAGAGGCAGCAAACATCAAAAGATATAGATTTGCAGGGGGCAAAAAATCAGCACTGTGTGGCCTCACCTGGGCTCCCTTTCTGCGCTAGGAGAAAGCTGCCGCCTTGCTTGACTCGTTTGTCAGCCAGTAGGTGCCACCCTCATCACAGCGCACCTGTCCTGCTTCACCTGGGCACTCTTAAAGGGCCAGGCGCACACTTAAGCACCTGGAGCTGCAGGTAAGCATTGGAACATGCTCCCCTTTCACATTATTCCTAGCACCCCCAACCCACACCAATGCGTAGCTCTGTACAACTATCTCCCTCCTCCACCACCACCCCAGCCCCAAAGCCCCAGCTGCGAGCGCTCAGTGGCAGCCGGAAGACACTCTGTACGCTCTCAGAGGCACTCTTTCTCTCCACTTTGCACCCTGCTCACTTCCTGGCAGACAAGCCTCAGCAAAGGCTAAGAGGCTTGCCATGCTATCAGCTCCTTGGAGGAAACAGATGCAGATTATCTAAGCTGCTTGCTTCGCCACTATCCTCGATTCAACTTTCTGTCTCCCCACCCCCCTGTAAAAAAAGAGAGCCCCCCCCAAGCAAACCGAGTCTTGTATGGACTTTGTTTCAAAACTCTTAACCTTGGAACACACTCCCCCCCCCACAAAAAAAAACCATTAAGGGCAAGGGGGCTGGAGTTTGCAAGTCATACCCCACCCCCCATGAACGTCTATTGCAAACTGATTGCAGCCCCACACACTCAACTAAAGTCACAGTTGCTGGATCCAACCTCCTCACCACCACTTACTATTCTCAAAACTTTCTGCACTTGCTCTTTCCCACCAGTTTCAAGAAAAATGAATCCACCGAGGGTGTCTGCCCCCCCTTGACAAACACCTCTGTGCCACCCTTGGCACCCCCAAAATGCACATTCCGGTCAAACCCCCAAACAGGAGGGCGCCCCCATATGATTTGCGGCCTTTCCCACCCCACAGATCGCAACTCAATCCTGACTTCCCCCGGCAGTTGGGAACACACTTGTCTCAAATCAGTTCCACTCGCAGCCCCCTCTGAATATTCACAGGCGGAAAGGGGTCTCTCTGCCTGTTATAGAGACACAACAACCCCCTTACACTTGCTTTGGAAACAAGAAAGCCACACAAGAGCCCAGCAATTCTGGGGCCTTGCCCCACAGAGGACGGAAAAGTGCTGCTTTTCAAACTGGCACAGGGGGTCAGATCCTGCCCAGTCTGGAGGAACCAGGATCTGGGCGCAGCAAGACCGTGGGGTGGGGGTTGGGGAGAGTTTGTGCAAAGTTGCACAGTTAAAAGGCAGGCCACACCAGCTGTGCCTGAGCTCCCCAACCCGCAAGCCTGTTCCCAGCAGCTCCAAGAGCCAGGGGTATTCTCTCTGCTCTGCCACAACTCCCCCAAAGACATCTCTGCGCCATCACCCCAAAAAGGGACACATTAAGAGACCGGACGTCCTCACATCAGGGTCTGGGCCTCTGACTCCCAACCGCGATTCGGCCCAAGCCGTAAAAAAACAGGCAAGATCAGCAACATAACAGCCAAGCTGATCTCCACACTCACCGGAAGGGGATTTTGGGTGTCCCGACCTCCAAGAAAGTGGGCACCCCCCCAAAAAAACACAAAGTCCTACTTCCATGCCGCAATGTGTGCAGGTCAACGGAGGCGCCCTGAGCGGAGGTCCGTCATCCCACCAAGCCGGGGCACCCCCACCCCCCCAATTTGCTCCAGCTGCAGAAACCGCCGGAGGGACTTTGGGGGTTCTGTTGTACCTCCTCTACCACCACATCGCCTGGGGCCCAGCAGGTTGTAGCCACGGGCTCCTTTCTGATCTACCGGTCGGGCAGGGGTGGCACGGCCAGGCCACAGAAGCTGCGTTCAGGGTGAAGCCGCGACCCAGCGAAACTCCATCGGGTTCCTGCCCCGGCTGTGGCGTGGGTCCGTCCTCCGGTTCGGCCAGAAGGGTCTGGCCAACTCCAGTCCATTTGCGCCCTACTCCGCCAAGGGAGGCCGGCTCTGTAGGCTACCCATCCGGAGCTGGGCAAGTCCAGGGGTGCGCACGGGTGCTGCTGCAGGAAGCTCACTCCAAAAGTGTGCCGTCCGTCCGTCTGTCTGCCGAACCCTGGTCTGACGCCTGTTCCTTTAAAGGTGGCATGCAAGGTGAGCGCAGGAGTCGGCCAGGCCTGTGGCAGACTGGGCTCCCCCCACCCTGTCGTCCTCCTCCGCCAGTCTTCCCTTCCCTTCCTCCTCGCTTGTCTTCTCTCTTCCAGGCAAGATAACAAAGCCAGCAGTAGCAGCCAGGAAAAGACCTTACACACAACGCAGCTCCCCTCCAACCAGACACACACACACACACACAGGCTGCAACACCCCCCCCAGCACACACACACACACACACACACACACACACCAGCGCACACACGTTTACAGCGAGATCCCCGAAAACTGGCAGAAGGAGGGGAGAAAAGAGAGAGAGGGAGGGGAGGGGGAACCAGACACAAGACAGCAAATGGGGGGTTTGGGGGTGCGGATCCAACGTTACCTGCAGGAAGGGGACTGTTAAGGTTGCGAGGGTGGGGAGGGAGGAGGGCTTTGTTCCTCGGGATCTCCCCTCGCCCGGCCAGGAGGAAGGATGGAAAAACCAAAAAATAAAAATAAAACCCAAAAAATTGAAGAAGAAGAAAATGTACAATATTGGCGAATTTTCCCAAAAAAACACCAAAAAAAAAAAATCAGCACCCCACGGGGGAGAGGAAGGGGTGAAAAAAAAAATCGAAATTGGGGGGTGGGAGGGGAGGAGAGAGAGGGGAAAAAAGAAAAGAAAAGAAAAAATGGCCAATCTTGCTTCTTTGGGGAGCAGACTTTAGTGCCAACTGGGATCAATCCACAGGGTTTCGGGCGCTCAGAGCTCTCTGTACTAAAACTCCCGTGCACACTCGATGGCTGGGCTTTGCTTGCCTCGGCTCGCTCCAGCGCCCCCCCTCCCCTCCCTCGGTCTCTACTCAAACAAAGAAATGAGGGTTGTGTTCATTGCCCAACCCCCTCGCAGGCCCCCCTCCCTTCCCCGAGCCCAGACATCCCTCCGCCTCCGCCTCCTCCTGCCGCCCCCCTCCCTTTCCGGCAAAAAGGCCGCCTCACTTCCATGTTCCCAGCCTCGCTCACATGCTCCCATGCGCCGGAGAGGCCGCTGGTGGAAGCGCACCGGGAGCGCCAGGGAAGGAAGGAAGGAAGCGAGCGAGCGAAGAGGAGAGGCGCGCAAGAGCCAAGAAGGCAGGGCGCCGGGGGTGGATTTTCGCAAGCAGCGAATTGTTGTTGTTATTATTATTATTATTATTCCTGGAGGGGGGGAAGGGTGGAGTGGTGGGGGGGAAAGACGGGCAGGTGCGCGGAGCGGGATGCAGGGCGCAAATGGCTCGGGAAGGTGGAGAGTGCGTTATGGAACCGGGAGATTTGGAGAGGGGCGCAGCGCAGGAGGGCGCACGGGCGGCTGGGCGCACGGAGGCCGCTGCAGGAGAGGAGCGGGCGGGCACGGAGGGAGGGGTGATGGAGGATTTAAGCACGTAGGAAAATTGGCCGGGGTTTGCGCCTTTCCAAGCGGGTCTCCAGCCGGCGGGTGGGCGCGCAAGGTGGACGGACCGGAGTGGCCGCGAACAGCAGCCACGCGCTCTGCGCCCGGCTGGGTTACCTGCGCGTTGATGGCGCGGACGGGAAAGTCTGGCGCCTGGCTGCACAATCCTCACGGCTGCAAGGTGAACTTTCAGGTGGGGTGGGTGGGGTCCCCTAGCTTTCAACATCTCCCTTTTACTCTAGGAAATGCCCGTCCCGAAATCTCCGACTTTCCAAACATCCCTTTTGAAACGCACAACAGTTTCTCAGCCACCCCTTAACTTCATTTTGTTTTTGTAGCCAGATACGTCTGCCTTGCCTTCTAAACATTTTGCCCTCCTCTTTGTCTTGCTCCAGACCTTGGACACAGCAGGTATGTATCAGCATCCCGGCCAGGGCAAATTTCCCAACACTACCCCCCCCCCCCCACGGAACATAAATTCAGAATTTCAGACGCTGGCAGCAGGATGGAGGCTTGCTACAATCTGTGACTTGCATAATCTGTTCTGCTTGCAATATCTGGCAATCTGGCGCGTACTATGCGCTCTCCTCGTGCTGGCAACGTCAAGGGCACATGGAAGGGGTTTCCAGCATGGGGCGGGTTGTGGGGGGAGAAAAAGTAAGTGGGATCCAATGAGCTGCCCCTCTCTTCCCTGAGTTGCCGCCTCCAGAATCTGGCAGGAACCCCATGTGTTTCAATGGCCAGTTGGCTGGTAGGGACACTATGCCTCTGGGCATGCACAGAAAGGCACTTTCCTCATTGTCACCACAACCACAACCAAACATCTGCACAAGTTTGGACCTCACCTTCCCACATCCCAGCACCTATTTACCAAGTGACAAGAGTTTAATACAGTGGACGCTCAGGTTGCGAACGTGATCCATGCGGGATGCACGTTCGCAATCCGCAGCACACGTGCAGGTTGCGATTTGGCGCTTCTGCGCATGTGCAAAGTGTGGTTTAGCGCTTCTGCGCATGCGCGAAACCCAGAAGCAACCCATTCTGGTACTCCCAGGTTTCGGCGGGTCCGTAGCCCGAAAAAACGCAACCTGAAACGTCTGTAACCTGAGGTATGACTGTACAAAGAAAGCGCCACGATTCACAGCGAGAACCTCAGAGCAACCTTATCATAGAATTGTAGGCTTGGAAGGGACACCGAGGGTCATCTAGTCGGACCCACTGCAACGCAGGAATCTTTTTGCTCGATACGGGACTCGAACCCACAACCCTGAGATTAAGAGTCTCACGCTGTACCGGTTGAGCTTTTCAGAATCCCTCAGTTCTGTCCTGGGATGCAGAAACAGGGGGAGAAAGAGAGCCCCACACAACTTTTCCGTACCACCAAAAATCCCACAGAGCACATTTCACCATCCTGAAAACACAGATGGGAGGCAGATGTCTACACTAAGACACACACACACGGCAACCGCCTCTGAATCAGTGCAGGGGGAGGAGGACGGTCCAGGTTGGAAGACCGTGTGCAAGAGAGACGCTGAGGACACACACACTCTCTGGCTGCAGGAAACACAGCATTTGACCTGCAGTCAAGATCGCGTAGCCATGTGCAAACTCAAAAGCGGCCACATGGATTCTGAGCGGTGCGCTGCCATGCGCCCCCCCTCCACTGTTCGAGAAGCCTGTGGGCATGTGCATAAGCCAAACAGCACCTCAAAGCATCCAGGAACGTGTGCACCGGGGAAACACGGGTGCAGCAATCAAGAAGTCCAGAAGAGCCTGGTCGGTTGCCGGATCAGGCCAGAGAGGGCCCCATCTAGGCCAGCCTTCTGTTCTCAAAGCAGCCGACCAGATGCCTCCATAGGAAACCTGCAAGCAGGACCCGAGCGTGAGAGACTCTCCTCACCATGGTGGAAATTCTGCCAGGTCTGTGTGCCACTGCCCAGGTCACACATTTCCATTTGCTCGGGACATGTGCCTCAAAGCCTTCTTGAAATGGGGCGTCCCCAGAAAGCAGTGGGCACACAGGGAAGCAAAGGGGAAGCATGTCTTGTTGCTTTGGTTTCAATATTTGTGTTTTTACCTTGTATTTTTATCTTGTGAATTGCCCTGAGTTCTTTTGAGGAAGGGCGGTATAGAAACCTAATAAATCATCACCATCATCTCAGCGTCCTTATAGAATCATGGAACTTGTTGTGTTGCAAAGACCCTGAGGGGTCATTTATTCCAAGTCCCTGCAATGCAGGAATCACAACGGATCTCAACCTATGCTGTGGGTGACCATATGCATTTAATAATAATAATAATAATAATAATAATAATAATAATAATAATAATAATTTATTTATACCCCGCCCATCTGGCTGAGTTTCCCCAGCCACTCTGGGCAGCTTCCAATCGAGTGTTAAAAACAATACAGCATTAAATATTAAAAACTTCCCTAAACAGGGCTGCCTTCAGATGTCTTTTAAAGAGAAGATAGCTGCTTATTTCCTTCACATCTGAAGGGAAGGCGTTCCACAGGGCGGGCGCCACCACCGAGAAGGCCCTCTGCCTGGTTCCCTGTAACCTCACTTCTTGCAATGAGGGAACCACCCGAAGGCCCTCGGCGCTGGATCTCAGTGCTGGGCTGAAAGATGTGGGTGGAGACGCTCCTTCAGGTATACTGGGCCTTTGAGGCCGTTTACTGATTTTTTAAGGCTAGCTTCCTCACCCTGCTGCCCACCCCCTCCAGGAAGACACCCCTCAACCCAGCAGGAATCAAAGTTTTGCTGCCCCACCATCCCAGGAAAAGGGCAAGGGGTCTCTGCAAGGATGTTTCCGACTGCCAGAAACCACAGCAGGGAAGAGGGCTTTCGCGCTCGGATCCTGCTGGGGGGGGGGGGTTCCCACAAAGGGCACCCGGGCGGCCGCTGTGAGAACAGGATGGGGCCAGTGGCCTGATCCAGCTGGCTTTCCTCACGTTCTTAAGTTCCCCCACTCCACAGCAAACAGGCTTGACAGCTGCGGAGCAAGATTCCTGGGTCCCAACCTCAGAGGCTGGTGGGCAGAGGGAGGGTAGTGGGGCCTAGTGGGTGGGGACAAGCCTTTGTGGGCGACTCGGGGAAGGGAGTCTTGTTGGGAGGGTGCTGAGCGTGCCCCTTGTGTAAGAAGGCCTGTCTTCCCCGGACGGAGATGAACACACAGCCTCTGCCCCCCCCTTTGCAATTGAGCAAGACAGGTCCCAGGGGGGACCTGGAGAATATTTATAGCTCCGGCGTGAATGGAGAGCGGAGCAAGTGTGGGGGGGTCCTCCTGCGTTACCCGGCAACTGCCGGAGGGCACGTGTGGAGGCAGCGTAATCTCCAGCGACCTTTCACCCCGACCTCTGACCTCGCGGCACAAGGGAGAGAGGAACAGCTGCACCAGAGGCTTCTGGGTGGAGCGAAAACCCCACCGCTGCCTTTGCTCTGTTGCCTTCCTGCACCCCCAATCTACACACACCAGACAGGACACCCCTACTCACATTTCTGCAGTGCTCCCCCCGCCCGGCACAATTCCAGACCGCCGCACACCAAAAAACCGCCCAAACCCCTGTTTTGCAAAACGGCACGTCTGCTTCTATTTCCACACCAGAGAGAGCTGCAATTCTTGCTTCTCTGGGGGTGTGGGTAGGATGGGGGCTTGCTTTTCCAGGCTTCGCATTGGTGCCGTTCCCCTGCACCTCACTTTGGGCCGCTCCCCCACCCTAGGGACACCGAAAAGAAGGGGGCAAAGGTGGATCTCCCCCCACACACACCCAGCTCTTTCGGTCCACGTTTGCAATATGGCTCACAAATTCAGCCCACTCCAGAAGTGACCTCAGGCCAGGGGGCCGGGCAAAGAGGATTGACAGAGGTCACTGTGGCCTTGCGTTGCGGGGGCTGGCTCCAAATTTGCAAACTATCCTCTCTCTCACACACAGAGAGCAAATAAATGTGCTTTTTCAAGACCATGTAGGGAGGCGAGGGGGCCGGGAGGTTAGGAAAGGTGTTGAGAAACTGGGAAAACGAAAACTGGAGCAGTAGAACCTTGACCCACATACCCAGATTTCCTTTCTTTGCAGCGGATGTTTCTTTTTTATCTCTCTCTCCCTCCCTCCCTCCTTCCCACCCCCTCCCCACAGCGTGATCCACAAAGCTGCCACAACCACCCCCTCATCTCCCCACCCCCCCATTGAGAACAGAGAGAGAGACAGTTCAGATGAGGACAAGTTAAGAGCAGCAGCCGTTATATAAGCTTACTTGTAAAGGCAAGGTGGAGAGAATAGCTCTCTCCCAGCGAGGGCTGCACCTGGTGACTAAGGCCCTCCCGAGGCCCTGGTCTCTCTCCCAGAGGACCCAGGCATCCGGGGACCCAGCACCCTGACTCTCCGGCCACAAGCTGCTTAGCAGAGACCCTCGCATGGATTCCTGAGCCATCAAGCTCGCCCACAAACTCGAATTATATTTTCTCATTCCTACACCTCTCCAAAGTCCCCTTTCCCCTGTAATTCCCGGGGGGGGGGGGAGAGAGAGAGATGCCAAAAGCTCCCTCCCCTGGCTTGAAAGCAGAGAGGAGAGAAGCCCCCCCCAAAAAATTACGTGCAGCAGAGCAGAAGTGTCACACGAAGCAGGGGGGGCGCTCCACCCCTCCACAGCTGTGCCACTGTGGGCTGACCCCCTGGCAGCCTGTCATGTTGGCAATGGGCAGCCAATCAGGGCAGGGGGGGGGGGACCCAACCCTGCTAGCCAATGGGAGCGCTTCCAGGAGCAGAACAGGTTCAAAACTGGGTTTTCCCTACCTCTCTGAGACTCCCCACCCCTCAAATTCTCTCTCGAAAACTGATAAAAAAATAATTTGCAGCTTCTGCAGAGAGGCATCGCTGGGAATCTTTCGGCAACAGCCGGGAGGGTTTCAAGAGGTTTCCCTGTAATGGGCTCAGTCCTCCAGGTCTGTGAAATGGGAGCAAGAAAAGGTGGTGGTGGGGATATTATGAAGGAGGGAAGAAGATACCACCACCCACCCCTTGGATCACAGGGAAACCATAGAGGCAAATAAGAATTGCACTTGCTGTATTTGGGGAGATTGGCAGGGGCTGCTGGTTCCAAGGGGTCAGAGGTCTTGGGGGTGAGGGCTGACAGGACCGGTGAGGGACCCCTGCTCTGCAAAAAAGGGGGGGGGTTGTTAGCATTGGTGCACAGCCCAGTGAGCCAGCCCACCTTTGCTTATAGAACACACTGTGAGGGTTGGCGTGACTCCCAGAATCCTTTGCTCTGCTTAAGTTTCTGTGGCGCATATACACCTGCCGTTTCACTCCCCGTCCCAATTTTCCAGAAAACTCACAACCAAGCCAGGAAACCCTGCCTGTGTTTTTTCCAGGCCCTGGAATTTCGGCTCTGGTAGCAATTAGCCTGAGCTTTGGAAAGGAGGCAATGGGGGGGGGGATATTTAGACCCCTTTCATTTCAGAATTTCAGGCTTCTGCCAAGCTGGCACTACAGAGATGGGCGACAGACCTGGAAAACAGAGGCAAGGCTCAGATCCAAAAGCTGGCCTCAGTTTTCTCCACCTGTGAAATGGGAATACTTGTGCCGTGCCGCAGAAAGTAGGGCAGAAAGTTCCCATTGCTGGTGCTTCATAGAACAGAAATTCAGGGCTGCACCTATTGCTAGTCCAACTCAGAGTAGGCCTATTGGAATGAGTGGAGCAAAGTCCTGCTCACTGATTCCAAAGGGCCAACTAGCACGGGACACAGGCTTCAGCAAGGAAGATCCACCCATCCCTGCCCCACAAACCTGCCCCCTAACCACAAAGGGGCCCAGAGGAAGTCAAAGGATAACTCGCCAGCCCTATAAATATACCAGCGGCATTTTTAGGGTGGGCATGTGGTGAGGGGGCGGGAGGAGGAAGCACGCCCCCCAACCTCCCCTTCTGGGGGGGGGGGGGCAGATCCGAATTTCAAAAAGTGTGGCAAACTATGTTTCCTGTCTTTGCCGCTGCACATAGCTATCAGCTGTCAAACACACCAACCCAACGGACATACGCCGCCCGAAACTTTTATCTATAGATAGATGAGGAGAGGCAACACGGAGGAACAGGAAACACAGCACTCTAGGCAACTGTTGCTCTAAGGCGCTGCGCTGTGGCAGTAGAATACCCCAAACCAAAGTAGGCTCTCACCAGGTAAGATGGTGAGACCTTGCCAACAGGAACTTGGGAGGGAAAGCAAGCAAGCACTGAGCCCTTCTGAACAAAGAAGAAGAAGAAATGAGATGTTTTCTATGCCCTCTCTCCAAAATTGTAAGCAGGGGGGAAATAATGGTTTTGTTTTGTTTGCTTTTGAAAGGCCTCAAAATCAGCAAAATGTGTGGGTGGTGCGCCTTGCTCAGAGATGGGAGGAATAGTTCTGCAGAAAATATCTGGAAAGGAATTAGAAGCCTGCTTGTTTTTGTTGTTTTAATTGTCGTTCTTTTGCAGAAAACCTATTGGGTGTCCAGGGAAGGCGTCTTCGCCCGACAGCACTCGAACCCAGACCATGCAGTGCACCGCTTCAGAAGGAAATCGCTACAAGCACCTAACTCTGGGGGATTGGGGTAGCTCAGTCGGTAGAACCCAAGGCTCTGGATCTCAGGGCCGTGGGTTCGAGCCCCACATCGGGCGAAACGGTCCTGTGGTTGCAGCGGGTTGGACTAGATGACCCTGGAGGTCCCGCCCAAGGCGGCGGTTCTATGGAATGACACGCAGATGCACACTCGGAAGAGAGAGCGAAAGCCAGGGGCGAACGACCGCAAGTGAAAACGGCTGGTAGTTCAGGAGACCAACCCCCTGCCCGCAAAGGGATTGGGGGGGGGGAGCAGGTTGCCTTGATGTTGAGGAAACAGATGGGCCACCTGAAATGAGAGATGTTTCTCAAAACCACCACCCAGAGGAGAGGAACCACCTGCAGGTGTGTCTGCGTGAAACACAGCCGCACGCCCCTCTCTGGGCTCCCCTCGCTCCCAAACGCATCTCAGTCGCCCCTGCCATCACAAGGGAGGCAGCTACTCTGGATTAATTAACCCAGAGTGCAAAAGGTTCAGACTTTCCGATGTGGGAGGGACCCCTCAAGGTCATCCAGCCCAACCCCAGGAATCACAGCTCAAGGATCCCCCACAGATGGCCGTCCAACCTCTGCTGAGGAACCTCAAAGAAAGGAGAGTCCACCACCTTTCGACGGAGTCCGTCCTGCGTTGCTCTGACCCTCAAAAAGCTATTCCCAATGTGTAGTTGGAATCTCCAAGCTGCTGGTTCGAGTCCTACGATCCGCAGCAGGAGAAAACACGCTTGCTCCATCGTCCTTTAGATCAGGGGTCAGCAAACATTTTCATCAGGGGGCCAGTCCACTGTCCCGCAGACCTTGTTGGGGGGGATGGACTATATTTTGAAAAATATAAATACCCTGCAAGCCGGTCCCGCAGCTGCCTCCAGACCTGGAGGAGGAACGCACTCTGCACGTGCTCAGGAGTGCGTCTCGGTGCTGCCTGCTCACTGGCGTTGTTGATGAGTGGCAGCCACTCCATCAGCCCGTCCCCACGGAGCTCCCATGCAGCGTGCACCATGCACTGTGGCCCGTCGTCCGAGGCCAGGTCAGCGGGTAGGCCGCACAAGTGGAGCGTGGGGCAGGCGGTGCACAGCTCGCGCTCCATTGCGGCCGCCAAGCGCGCCACCAGCAGAAGCACCGAGCCAGGCGCCAGGCGCAGGGCCAGCAGACACACCAAGCTCCGGCTGAAGCCCCTCAACGTGCCCATCACAGTGCCCATGACGCGGCCCAGACCCACTGCCCGCCCACCCGCCGGCCTCTCTGTCCATGGTCGCGCTGGGTTTATCTCAGCGCGCGGGCAGCGAGACTTCGGATTGGCTGCAGGAACTTCCTGGTTGGCCACATCTGGCCCCTGGGCCGTAGTCTGCCGACCCCTGCTTTAGATATCTGAAGACTGCTATCGTATCTCCTCTGTGTCTCCAGGCTAAACATATCCAGCTCCTTCAAACGTTCCTCATCAGGCCTTGTTTCCGGACCCATCATCACCTTGGCTGCCCCCCTCTGCACATCTTCCAGCTGGTCAACATCCTTCTTAAATTGAGGTAGCCAGCGTGGCACTCATTCTCCACACGTGGTTGGACTTCCCAGCTGGCTCTCGAGCGTCACTGTGGTGTAGTGGTTAGAGCACAGGACACAGACTTGGGAAAGACCAGGGTTCAAATCCCCAGTCGGTCACACAGATCTCACTGGGTGCGAACTTGCAGGCTGGTAAATGCTCGTTCTTAGCCTAAACCTACCTCACAGGGTTGATGTGAGCTCTTTGGAGGAAAGGCAGTGACATTGTCTTTTACAGGGATGTGGGTGGTGCTGTGGGTTAAACCACAGAGCCTAGGACTTGCCGATCAGAAGGTCAGTGGTTTGAATCCCCGCAATGACGGGGTGAGCTCCCGTTGCTCGGTCCCTGCTCCTGCCAACCTAGCAGTTCGAAAGCACAAAGTGCAAGTAGATAAATAGGTACCACTCCGGCAGGAAGGTAAACGTCATTTCCGTGCGCTGCTCTGGTTCGCCAGAAGTGACTTAGTCCTGCTGGCCACATGACCCGGAAGCTGTACGCCGGCTCCCTCGGCCAGTAAAGCGAGATGAGCGCCGCAACCCCAGAGTCGGTCACAACTAGACCTAATGGTCAGGGGTCCCTTTACCCTTTACCTTTTTACCTCACAGGGTTGTCGTGAGCTCTTGGGGGGAAAGGCAGTGACATTGTCTTTCACAGGGTTTCTAATCCACTTTTGCAATAAGGTCCAACGGAGAATTAAAACAATATAAATAGAAGTTATTAGAAATCACTTAAGCCAGTTTACAATGGGAAGAATTAGTTGAACCCTAAGTCACGCACACGCAAGACACCCAGTGGTTAGAGAATGGGAAGGCAAACTAAGGCCCGGGCCGGATTTAGAAGACGATTGGGCCAGATCCGGCCCGCGGACGGTCCAGGAATCAGCGTGTTTTTACATGAGTAGGATGTGTCCTTTTATTTAAAACGCATCTCTGGGTTATTTGTGGGGCATAGGAATTAGTTCATATTTTTTTCCAAAATACAGTCCGGCCCCCCACAAGGTCTGAGGGACAGTGGACTGGCCCACTGCTGAAAAAGTTTGCTGAGCCCTGGGTTAGAGCAATGGGAGAGACCACGGTTAAATGCCCCCCTCAAGTCGTGACCTTGGGCCAAGCCGCTGCCTCTCTCAGCCCTTCCTACCTCACAGGGTTGTTGTGGAGAAAAATGGGGGCTACTTACGTAGCAAACAAATACAGTGATACCTTGGTTTACAACCACAATCCGTTCCGGAGGTCCGGTTGGAAACCAAAACAGGTTGTAACCCAAGACACGCTTTCGCCAATGGGGCCTGCAAACAAAAATGGTTTGTAATCCAAGAAACCCTGAAGCCTTTCAGATATTTGGAGGGGGGCGTTCTTCTTTTGTTTTGTTTCTGTTCCTTGTTTTTATTATGCATTTTGTGTTTTTATCTTGCCTTTCAAAGCTGCCAACCGCTCCGAGATCAACAAACGAAGGGCGGCGTACAAATTTAATCAATAAAATAATGAAAATATTTGGATCGCTCAAGTGGCCTGGCCTGGGAAGCTCTATAGGGAGAGACTTCCCTCAGCCGCTGCTGCCAGCCAGTGCAGCCAAGCTAGGCTCGATGGGGCCCTGATGGACTGACACGGCAGGAGGCAGCTTCCCATGTTCCCATGCGCCCCGCACAGGAACCGTAGGCCTGGCGCGCAAAGAGTTAACAGGGACCATGCGCTCGGCGCATGTTTGCCATGCGCGCACATCGCAGCTCCCCTCCCCCTCCCCGGCCATGCGGGCTAGCGTGTGCAGGCGTGTTCCATGCGTGAGGGAGCGTGTCCGGGCGTGCCCTGTGGGATGTGTGTGCGCACACGTGCAATCTCCTGGCAGCTGTTCCAGGCCTGCCCTCCCCATCGCCCCGGCAACCAAGCCCCGCTGCAGAGCCGCCATTGGCCTCCGCGCCCGGTGATGTCAGCATCCCTGTAAAGTTAATAGGGCGGCTGGGGATGAGCGCAAACATTCCTGCCGCTGTTCCCATAGCAACAGGGCAAGCACCCCAGCTGAGCGGCCATGTGTGTGCGGGTGCGCGGGGGGGGGCAGATTGCTCCCTCGCCCCCCCCCCCAGCCCAATCTCCTGCAGCCGACTTGGCAAGGCACAGACGGGGAGAGCAGGGGTGCGACCCCCACCGCTTCCCCCTTCCGCAAATAAGAGGCGCTGGGGCTCAAGCCTCAATGCATGACCGGAGGTTGGGGGCTGGGAGGGAGCAGAGCACTCTGCACGCACTCAGAGACTGACAGGAGGGAGCGATGCACTCTGCACGCACTCAGAGGGTGACGGGAGGGAGGGAGCGATGCACTCTGCACGCACTCAGAGGCTAACGTGGAGGGGATGATGCACTCTGCGCACACTTAGAGGCTAATGGGGAAGGAGCGATGCACTCTGCACCTGCTCAGAGGCTGACAGGGGAAGGAGGGATGCACTTTGTGCGCACCCAGAGGCTGAATGGGGGAGGGAGTGATAGACTCTGCACGCACTCAGAGTCTAACAGGGAAGGAGTGATGCACTCAGTGCACACTCAAAGGCTAACCAGGAGGGAGTGATGCACTCTGCGCGCACTCAGAGGCTGACAGGGGGAAGGAGCAATGCACTCTGCACATGCTTCAGGGCTAGCACTGAAATTTAAGTTTCAGGGCCGAGTCTTAGGTCCAAGGGATTCAGCACAGCGTGAATGATGCTCAGCACTTTCTTCCCACTTCCTCCCCCAGGGTAGAAAACTAGATGCAAAGGCAGACTACCTTCCTCCACTGGGGAACAGATGCTAAATTGGTATCATAGAGTTAGGGGGGACCCCAATGGTCATCTAGTCCAACCCTCTGTAATGCAGGAATCTCAACTAGATCACAAATGACAGGTGGCCATCCAATCTCGGCTTAAAAACCTCCATGGAGGAGAGTCCATCTTTTGAGGGAGTCAGTAAAGCATTAGCAAAGCATTAAATATCCCACACAGACACTTTCCACAGCAGCTAATCTATTTTTTTTTTAATTTATTAAATTTACTTATATAAATTATAAATATAAATTAAATTTATATTTATTAAAGTTTCAAAAGAAGGATACATAAATAAGAAAAAGAAAAATAGAAAAAAGAAAAATACAAAATACAAAAAAAGAACAATTAAAAACAATTCCATCTTTTCATCACTTCACTTTCATTTACTTGTTTCCCGGACCTCCTCATACCTCCCTTTTTTGTATTCCAGTTCAATTCCACAGCAGCTAATCTACCACACAGCAGCAAGATGTGCAAACCTGTAGCCGGCTCTTGCCAGCTACAAAGCGAGTGAACTGCCAAACACGCACACAAACCACACAGGCTGAGGAAAGGGGTCCCACTAGGCTGCACTACCCAGAGCTGCAGGTTCCAGCTTCAGCTCGTACTGCTGCCAGATTCAGACCTTATCTTTTGCCCGGGCGGTTGACCCGATCCAGTTCAGTCTTGCTCTCCACCCCTGCCCCGCAAGCCGTGCGCGCCATTGCTCAACACAAGAGCAAGGTTTCTTTGCAGAGGGAGACGCTAGCCTGCGGAACTTCTTGCCACAGGCTGCCCTGACGGTTTCTGTTCGTGACTCGCTGGATGATGGGTGGCATCCAGGGTTAGAAATGCTCAGCGTGGATCCATTAAAATTAACGAGCATGACTCAGGCTGCCCCTGGATTTACACATTTAAAGCAGTAAATGTCGCAATCCTGGGAACTGTAGTTTGCTGAGAGTTCTTAGGGAGCCCTCTTCCCCGCAGGGAGCTATAGTTCCCAGAGCGGTTTTACAGCCAAACCTTCCTCCCAGGGAGCTCTGGGAAACTGTAGCTCTGTGATGAGTCTCCCAACAACCTTAACAAACTACAGTTCCCTTAAGAAACTACAATTCCCAGGATTCTTGGGTGGGGGGAAGCTGTCAGAGTGGTATGATAATGCTTTAAAAGTATGGCAAAGGTGTGATCTAAGGGAGGACTTTCAGCTTCGGTGGGACTCCTATGAGCAAAACGCAGCTGGATTTAAAGAGTCGTAAAACCGTAGACCTGTCAAGGGGCCCCCAGAGGCCATCTAGCCCAACCCCGGGCAGTGATGGAATGACAGCTAAAGAATTTCTGACACAAAGCCATCTGTTTTAAAACCTCCAATGAAGGAGAGCCCACCGCCTTCTGAGGTTGAGTCGCTCTTACCCTCAGAAATATTTTTTCCTTCCTTGCCACCGCCATTTATTTGTCCAGGAAAGTGTTGCCGGGAGGCAGTGTGGTGTAATGGTTAGGGTGCTGGTCTGTGACCGCGGTTTGAATCCCCACCCGGTCATGTTTTTAATATTCAATGCTGTATTGTTTTTAACATTTGATTGGGAGCCGCCCAGAGTGGCTGGGGAAACTCAGCCAGATGGGCGGGGTATAAATAAATTATTATTATTATTATTATTCACACTGGATGATCACCGCCTCTCTCAGCCTAAGGATAAAATGGGGTGCCATGTTCACCACCTTGAGCTCCTCAGAGGGAAAGGCAGCATGCAAAGGTTATTAATAATAATAATAAATTGCCTATTTTGCTTATATTTTGTAATAATTATGTTAAATAAATTTAATTTAATAATAATAATAAATTGCCTATTTTGCTTATATTTTGTAAAAATTATGTTAAATAAATTTAATAATAACAATAATAATAAATTGCCTATTTTGCTTATATTTTGTAATAGTAATGTTAAATAAATTAAATTTAATAATAATAATAAATTGCCTATTTTGCTTATATTGTGTAATAGTAATGTTAAATAAATTAAATTTAATAATAATAATAATAATAATAATAATAATAATAATAATAAATTGCCAACCTGCAGCGGCTACAGGCAGGGGGCTTGTGGCGTAACATAGTTCAGCCGGCGAGGCTCTTAATCTCAGGCTTGTGGGTTCAAATCCTGAACTGCAAGGGGTTGAACTAGATGGCCTTCGGGGAACCCCTTCCAACGCTATGATTCGCAGATCCCCAGGCAGGGAACAGAGGCAAGGTGCACCTGCGTGGGCCAGCTCTGTTGCAACACGAAAACTCCCCGCGCCTCACCCTTCCTCGTGAGTTCCCAACATCTGGGGTGCGGGAACCCACAAATTGCTGAGCAATAAGCTTTCCTGCTCCACAAATTCTCCCATGCAAGCAAGTTGCAGGACTGGGCAAGGATGTGGGTGCGAGATTTGCACACACACACACACACAGAGATGCACAAACTCACATCCGCCTGGGGAAAAGGGAGCGTCAGACAGATGGAGACAAAGGGTGGTGTGGGGTTTGTGGGGGGGGGAAGAGAAGGAGAATCACCTGCGCCTCCATTTCCAGGTGAGGGCAAAGGTGCTCCGCGGTTGATGATTAACCTGCCAGCAGCCGGTTGGAGCCAGGAGGCAGGCCGGAGGGCAAACGGCAAGACGACGAACCGGTTTATGGTGGCGGGAGATTTCGTCGACCGGCGGCGCCTGTTTCGTCGGATGCATTAGAAAGCCTGCCCCCCCAAAACGAATATCGTATTTTTTGCTCTATAAAACTCACTTTTTCCCTCCTAAAAAGGGGAAATGTGTGTGCGTCTTATGGAGCGAATGCAGGCTGCGCAGCTATCCCAGAAGCCAGAACAGGAAGAGGGATCACTGCTTTCACTGTGCAGCGATCCCTCTTGCTGTTCTGGCTTCTGAGATTCAGAATATTTTTTTTCTTGCTTTCCTCCTCCAAAAACTAGGTGTGTCTTGTGGTCTGGTGCGTCTTATAGAGCGAAATATACGGTATCCGCATCAGCCGAGGCTGGAACATTTTGTGCGTCTCAAGAAGCAGGCTCAGAAGGTGGCGAACGTGCTAAAAGCTTTTTAAATAGGGGGCTGGGTGGCCGTCTGCCAGGGAATCTTGAGCTGTGATTCCGGGTTGGGCTAGATGACCGCTGGGGGATCCCATTCAACTCTACAGTTCTACCTTTCTATGACCTCAGAAGACAGAGGACTGACCTTAGCTGGAGGTTTTTAAACAGAGGTTGGGTGGCTACCTGCCAGGGATTCTTGAGCACCATGGAACCGCAGAATTTCAGGGGTCCCCAGAGGTCCACTAGTCTAACCTTCTGCGATGCAGGAATCCCAGGTGAAGAATCGCTGGCAGCCTCTATTTTAAAATAGGAGAGGCTGCCACCCTCCAAGGCAGTCTGTTCCACTGTCGAATGACCCTTTCCGAAGGTTCCTATAAATTAGTAAAGGTAAAGGGACCCCTGACCATTAGGTCCAGTCGTGGCCGACTCTGGGGTTGCGGCGCTCATCTCGCTTTATTGGCCGAGGGAGCCGGCGTACAGCTTCCGGGTCATGTGGCCAGCAGGACTAAGCCGCTTCTGGCGAACCAGAGCAGCACACGGAAAAGCCGTTTACCTTCCCGCCGGAGTGGTACCTATTTATCTACTTGCCCTTTGACGTGCTTTCGAACTGCTAGGTTGGCAGGAGCAGGGACTGAGCAACGGGAGCTCACCCCGTCGCAGGGATTTGAACCACTGACCTTCCGATCGGCAAGTCCTAGGCTCTGTGGTTTAACCCACAGCGCCACCCGTGTCCCGGTTCCTATAAATTAAGCAGGTAAAAAAAACACCGGGAAAGCCAAACGCCACTTAAGGGAAGGGTGCGAGATGTTTTCCCTGAAGCTTCAATTTGTTTCATTCCGGATTGTCTTATTTGACGTTTAGTGTGTTGCAAACCGCTTTGAGATTTTTCTTTAAACTATACAGTACAGTGGTACCTCAGGTTAAGTACTTAATTCGTTCCGGAGGTCCGTTCTTAACCTGAAACTGTTCTTAACCTGAAGCACCACTTTAGCTAATGGGGCCTCCTGCTGCTGCCGCGCCGCCGGAGCACGATTTCTGTTCTCATCCTGAAGCAAAGTTCTTAACCTGAGGTACTATTTCTGGGTTAGCGGAGTCTGTAACCTGAAGTGTCTGTAACCCGAGGTACCATTGTACCGAGGTATGGAAATGAAAGGAATAAAAATAACAAAATAACAAATACCGTATTTTTCGCTCCATAAGACGCACTTTTCCCCTCCTAAAAAGTAAGGGGAAATGTGTGTGCGTCTTATGGAGCGAATGCAGGGGGGAGGCAAGCAGGAAAAGCCCCCAAGATGACCGGGTGCTCTTTGGGGCTGAGGGGGGGAATAAGATTTTTTTTCTTGATTTCCCCCTCTAAAAACTAGGTGCGCCTTATGGTCCGGTGCGCCTTATGGAGCGAAAAATACAGTACCACTAGGGAGAAATGACAAGGTGCCTAGACCATGGGTAGGCAAACCAAGGCCCGGGGGCCAGATCCAGCCCAATCCCCTTCTCAATCCAGCCCACGGACAGTCCGGGAATCAGCGTGTTCTTACATGAGCAGAATGTGTCCTTTTATTTAAAATCCATCTCTGGGTTATTTGTGGGGCATAGGAATTTGTTCATTTTCCTCAAAAAAATATAGTCCGGCCCCCCACAAGGTCCGAGGGACGGTGGACCGGCCCCCTGCTGAAAAAGTTTGCTGACTCCTGGCCTAGATATTCCATCGCTGCGACCCAGGTTTAAAGCGCCATTTAGCGATTCGCTTACATCTCTTGAGTTTCTAAGCCTGGAGGTTTGGGGCCCGGTCGTTCCTACCCACCTTTTGGGTTTTTTTTCGGGTGGGGGGGCAGGGCTTCCTGTTTTGTGCACTGAGAGCAGGAAGCCGACGTCTCCTTGCACCCACATCAAAAAGGAGGGGTGCGAGAGAGACCTCCCACGCAGGACGGGGGGTTCGCAACGAACAAAACACGCTCGATTCCGGAGAAATTCGCATTCAGGTCTCACACCCCGATGTACAACGAACCTTAGAGGATGCCTCCTCCCCACAATATCAGGCCTATAAGTCCCCCACCCCACCTCCGGAGACCCCAAAGACGAAATTTGTGGGGTGAGGACCCTAAGAATCTAGTCCTACAGCTTTTTCCTCCATGGGTTTGTCTCGCCTTCTTTCGAAGCCACCCAAATGAATGGCCGCCGCAGGGTCTTGTGGCAGGGAGTTCCACAGTTCGTCTGCGTGCTGCGCGGAGGAGATCAATGCAGAGTCTGAGATTGCATCGCAAAATATGGACAGGACATCTGTTTGGATGAGTGATCTATCCTCACGGACACTAACAACCCCCCTCCTTTGTGAGGTAATAAAAACCTTGAAAGTGGTGCCGGAAGGGAATAAAAATTGCGTTTCATTTTTATTTGCCGTTGCATTTCTAGCCCATCTTTCATCTCAAGGCGGCATACAATTTTTATTTTTATTTTTAATTCCTTTATATCCCTCCTTTCTCCCCATGCAGGACCCAATCCAAATGGAAACAAATGCAACAGAAAACACACATTTTAAAAACCAGTTAAATAAGTAAGCACCCAGCCTGGAATACACTTAGAACGGTCATCTAGTCCAGCCCCCTGAAGCGCAGGAATCTTTTGCCTCACGCGGGACTTGAACCCACGGCCCTGAGATCACGAGCCTCGTGCTCTACCGACTTAGCAATCCAGCCTCAACTCTTAAAACCACTCATGCTTCCCCCCTCACCTGTTTCCCCCTCACAACCCTGCAAAGTAGGTTAGGCCGAGAGACAGAGAACGGCTCAAGGCCACCGGGGATTTTCGTGCCCAGGTTGCGAGTTCCGGTCCTGCCAACGAGGCCGAAAAGGCCGATCCGTAGTTCAATGGCAGGACGCACACACTTTTCCCGGAGCCGGTCCCGTTTTCGAATCCTGCCGCCTCCCGATTATGGGGGGAAAGGCCGTTTTTCTGGAATCAGAGAGCCTTGCTCTGCCAGCTGGGACACAGGTGAAGCCTTGGCCTCCTCCCTCCCTGGTGGGGATCCGGTTGCTCGCCTCACCGGGCCGGGCCCAGGCCTCTGCTCACGACAGGTGGCCCGCCACTCAAATAACAAGCCAGACACACCACACAGGGGACCTCCATCGCCTCCCTAGAGGGTTAAAAAGGTGTGGCAAGGCGGATTTGCACGGCTGTGCTGCCTAGCGGTTAGATTGGGTTGCACCACAGGGAGGGAACCATAGAGCGTTAATTGTACTGAGAAGCAAGGGCCTGCTTCCCCTCAGCCTGGCCCCCTCCAGATCTTTTGGACATGCATCAGTTTCGAAGTTTATGCAGCCGGAAATAATAATAATAATAATAATAATTATTATTATTATTATTATTATTTATACCCTGCCCATCTGGCTGGGTTTCCAACAGAACACTAAAATACAATAACCTACTAAACATTAAAGGCTTCCCTAAACAGGGCTGCCTTCAGATGTCTTCTGAAAGTTTGGTAGTTGTTTTTCTCTTTGACATCTGAAGGGAGGGTGTTCCATAGGGCGGGCGCCACTACCGAGAAGGCCCTCTGCCTGGTTCCCTGTAACTTTGCTTCTTGCAGTGAGGGAACCGCCAGAAGGCCCTCGGAGCTGGACCTCAGTGTCCGGGCAGAACGATGGGGGTGGAGACGCTCCTTCAGGTATAAAAAGCTTGGGGCACCCATTTTCTGCCTCCCGCAGCTGCTCACGAGGCAGAAAGCACTCCCTGGTGAATTTCTGCCTGCCTGGCAGGCAGCCATGCTCCCTCTTCCGTCACAAAGCCATTGTTCAGGGCCTACAAATCCAGCGCCAATTCTCCCCACTTTGTCAGCCAGGGGTTGAAGGCGGAAAAATATTTAGGGGGAGAGAAAAGGCTCCCCCTGTACAAAACGTGACCTTGGCTTGCTCTTTCCTAGGGTAAATGAAATAAATTTGATTTTTTGTGTGGTGGGGGGGCTTCACCCAACCAAACATAAGGAAGACAGGCGATCCAACTTCTCTCTTCTGCACGCCCCCCCCCAGCTCAGATGATGGCTTCTGCATCTGGTTCGCCAGAAACCGCAGCGCCAGGGGACCGCGATTCACAGACGCATTAACAAGAGCCTAGTCCCTAAGAGATGAGATTTGAGACCGGGGCGTTTGCCAAACATCTTCTCAACACCTGCTCATTAAACCCAACGCCTCCGCCTTACGGTTCCCCTCGCAAGAGCATATGGGGCTGGAACTGGGAGGGGAGGGAGGCGCCCGGCTAAATTGGCTGAAAACTATAATTAGTAGCAGAATTACCCCAGCCTCCCCTGGAGAAATAAAAGGATCGAGGCTGAAGGTTTGCCCAAACACCCCGGCATTGTGTCGCGGCGGCAAAATAGCGGCTTGCAAGCTCACCTCTCGCGGCTGAGAAGGAAAAACCAAACGGAAAGAACCTCTGCTATGGGGCAGCCCACTGCATCCCTCCTGAGGTTTCCGCCTGCCCGGCCAGCTGCCCCCAATTGCCCCCTAAGCCAGCTTTTGCAACCTCCCGGATATTTTGCACAGTGATTCTCATCACCCCAGCCAAAGTAGCTTTCCGTTGGCAAAGGGTGCCCTGAGCATGCACAGAGAGCCAGTGTTGTGCAGCGCTTTAGAGTGCTGGTCTAAGACCTGGGAGGGACCTGGGTTCAAATCCCCACTCGGCCACGAAGGTCGCCGGACGACCTCGAAAGCCAGCCGCCGTCTCCCAGGCTGAGCCTACCTCAAAGGGCTGTTATGGAGAGCTAGAGAACTGGTTGTGACTGGTTTGGCTGGTTGTGATGGGGGGAGGAAAGAACCACATTTATAGATGCTCAACAGCATTTATCTTTTATCCTACCTGCATTTCTCAGCTAGAAATGCACTCTGCACATGCTTACGAGCCTGCGTTGTTCTCATACGTTTGCTGCAAACCTCAGGAGGGGAAAAATCTGGACATAAGAACACAAAAAGAGCCTGATCCAGCATTGAGTTGTGCAGGCAGAAGATGAGACATCAGGGCTAGCTAGCAGCCACCTAGTTTGGCGGCCGTCCCTGCTTCCTGCAGCAGCGAGTTCCATAGTTCAACAATGTGCTGTGCAAAAGAAGTGCTCCCTTTAATCTGTCCTGAATCTCCCAGTCCCAGCACTAAGCTCCACGATGGCTCAGATTAAGAGTTTTACAGCCTCTAATCCCCCAGCAGGGAACTGGAGCCTGTGCATTTGGGGTTAAAGGGGGCGGGAATTATCTCGCCTCCTTCCGTGGTCTTGGCTCTCCCTCTTGTGGACATCGGCTGAAAGTGCAGCTGGTTCCAGCCTCCCAGGCCAAAGAACGCTATTTGCAGCGACTGCAGTGAAGATCATTGTTTTTCCTTTTTTTTAAAAAGGCGCTTTCGCATTCTTATGAATGGATCCACAAGCCTCGATCCAAAAATGGAATTGTGCAGAGATCAGATCGGCTGCCATGGCAGCCGGCCTTGATCTGCAGGGAGCGCAGCCAAGCTGCAAAAACAGCAGCAGGATATTCATTCCTGGGAGGCCGGATCTGCTGCCCCTGGTGATCTTGCCGCCTGAGGCCGCCTCACCTTGCCTCATGGCTGAGCCGGCCCTGATCTTCATGGCCTGCTCATCCTTCGAGAGTCAGGACTCCTGGGCTGAAGGCTAAAGAGTGAGACCCACATTGGACTGGACACACCATCCCACCCGGAGGTGGCTGGTCATTGCTCAGCTCAGAGGCAAAGGCATTCTGCACATGCTCCAGAGCCACTCACTCCTTCCTGCCCACGTTCCAGGGCTGAGCCACGTCACAGGGGATTTGCTTACAAGAGTCAACAGACATTTGATCCTAAGCCTGGTGGCACTTGGGAAAATGCCTGCAGGTGCTCAGCAAACACGCTGCAGGCAAAATGAGAGGACACCCCATAATAACCAGACCAACTTCAGCAAGCTTGGGACATGCAAGCAAGCTACTGAGTGACACTGCATTCTTTTCACCTATCCGAAGAACAGTTCTGTGGAACTCAAAAGCTCACACAGGACACGCGCCACCCCGAGAATGGCACCCTCTTCTCACAGCGGCCCAGTGGCGTAGCGTGGGGGGTGCAGGGGGGGCCGGCCGCACCGGGCGCAACATCTGGGGGGGGGCGCTCGCACTCGCAGCTCTCTGCCCCTACCTGGCTCACTCACTCTCTCTCACTGCAGTGCTGGCTGTGCGAATCCGATCCGAGCCGCTGGGTCGCCACCCACTGTGGAGGGGGTGGGTGCCAGGCGTGCGGTGCGGAGAGAGAGTGAGGGACTATCTGGGGGAGGACAGTGCAGCGGCTGCCCAGTGCAGTGCTGAGCGTGGGAGAGAACCACACCAGACCAGGCAGCAGCAAGAAGAAGCTGGCAGCGGCGGCAGGTTAGGGGTTAGGGGGCGCAAATTACTTGCCTTGCCCCGGGTGCTGACAACCCACGCTACGCCGCTGCAGCGGCCAACCAGGCGTCTGTGGGAAAACTCGCACGCAGGACCCGAGCAGAAGAAGGCTTTCCTCTCCTGCCCTTTCCAGCAACTGGTGTTCAGAAGCATGCCTGCCTTAAAACCAGAGCCACAATCTCAGGCTGCTATCGCATTTATGAGCTGCAGGAAGCTACGCTAGAGGATGCCTTCTATAACCCCTCCCCTTGGGTTTTGAATTTTATTGCGATAGTGGGTCATGCAAAGGGCTATTTTGAACCATGCCTTTTATAGGGTAGGGGGCACTGGGGTTGGGTTGATGGTTTGGGAGCCACTGGTTTAGCCTCAATTAAATATCTGGATAGAAATACCACTGTGGTAGCTCCCACTGTATACCCCCATGTCCCCCTATTATACTGTACTTCCTCCCCAGAGAATGCAGGGATCTTGGCTGCCTGCCACCCGCATCGCATTTCACCTCTGCCTAGAACCAGATTCCCATGCACATCCTAACTGGAACCCAGAACCCAGGCGACCGGGCACTCCACCATCAAGCCCTCTCAAGGCTCCCTTACCAGCTGGAGCAGGTGGTGGGACTGGGAGAAGAAACTAGCCTTTTTTTAAAAAGGGGGGGCCCCCAAAGGCCATCCAGTCCACCCCTTGCCCCATGCTTGGTGGCATTCTGCGTATGGCAGGAGGGATGGTATAGGGTCAAGCAGGGATGTGTGGCACGGAGATGGAGGCAATTTCAAGGGGAAGGAGGAATAATCCCCTCTTTAAAGGAAGCAGGCATGAAAACACAGGGATAGCACTAACCCCCTCCCCAGGTGCTAACCTTTGACCCGTGCAGGGCTGGGAGGGGAAGAGGAGGGGAAGTGCTCAGAGTGGCGGGGGAGAGAAATATAAGCCATCCCATAAGTGGTTCCAAAACACAAGCACACACATCCCTCTATGCCCAACGATCAGGGGACTCCCATTTCAGATCAGCTTTTAAAGGGAAAGGGAGCCTTTTCCCCCCATAAGAGGTAGTGGCTCAGTGGTTAGAGCATCTTCCTTGCATGCATAAGATCCCAAATTCAATCTGCAGGCTGGGCTAGATTACTCAAGGGTTCCCACCAGCCCTACAATTCTATGGATCCCGGCTAAAACCCTGACATGCTTCCTGCTGCCAGCCAGTGTAAGGCAAGACTGAGCGTGATGATGGACCAAAGGTCTCAGTCAGTAGAACACAGCTTCGCGTATATACGTGTTCCATGTTCTATCCGTTGCAGTTATTAAAAACAAGCAAGTTGGCCACCTCCCCATACCCTTCAGTTCTGTCTCTTCCCCCCCCCCACTCCGCCCTTGCACCGTCCGCCTCTTGCTCATCTTTTTGCACGGCTTCCCGCCAGCCCCGCCCTGTTCCCAAGGAAGAAAAAGGGAAATTGCCAAAGGCGCAGCCTGCCTTCGCCATCATCGCGGGGTCGGTGAAAGCGAAAGCCCTGCGCGCCCCTTGTTGGGGGACCCCTGGGAGAGACCCGGTTTCAGATCGCCCACTTTGCCCGGGCTGTGGGCGTCGTCGGGCCACACTCGCGCCCCGTCTCTCCTACCTCGCAGGGTTGCTGGGAGGATCAAACGGAGGAGAGCTCCGCGCGCCCCCGTGAGGTCCTGCAAAGAAGGCGGGCTTGCAAACGCAGCCGATAAATACGCAAACAAACTTGCAAGTGGAAAACGAGGCGCCCTCGTGCTGCGGACAGGGGCAACACCCCCTGCGCCCTCTTACCTGGGGGTGGGCTGGCTGGCGTGCGCGCCCGCGGAGGCTGGAGACCCCTCTGCGCGCTCCCCGCGCGTCCCTTGGCCAAGCTGCTGTGCCCCCCGGGCGCCGGGACGAGCATCCTCCGTCCGCCCCCCTCCGCGGGCCGGCGGGAACTTTGCAGCGGGCCGGGGAAGGAGGGAGGGACGGAATCCGGGGCGGCTGCGCGCCCGCCGGCAGGAAAAGCGGGGGCTCCGCGCCTGGAAAAGTCCGCTCTCCGGTTGCGCAGTTCCATTTCCCCAACGCAAACACGCGCTCGGCGCCTCCGCCTGCCCCGCCCTCGCTCGTGTCAATTCTGTTCCCTGGGCAGGATCCGAGCGTCCCTCCGCCCTGCGCCCGCCCCTCTCCCTCTCCCGCCGCTCCTCCTCCCCCGGAGCCCGGGCCAGCCTCGCTCCCCGCGCGGAGAAGCGGCGAGAGGCGCCGCCGAGGCTCCCCGCCAGCGCGTAAAAGCGCACGAGGGGCTCCTGCTGGAAACGCAGCCGAGGGAAAGTTTCGCGGCCTGCAAGGGGAGGGGGAATTCAAGGCCAAAGTCCAACCCGGCTCGCCCTCTTCTCCAGGGGAGGAGGAGGAGGAGGCCGCCTCGTGCACGGAATGATCGGAAGGGACCCAGGGGTCATCCAGACCCACCCCGGACGAAGGAAAACCTGCCCCTTCCAGGAGGAGCAAGGTTCTCTCCTCCAGCATATACCCTCCCCAGAGACCCCCGCACAAAGTGCTGCCCCCATCATCGCTGTAGTTGCCCCACTGCCGCCCTCCCTCCCAGGGCTGTCCCTGATCTTCCTTCTCAACTGGCCATTGCTCCCCAGTTGCTACTGGGATGCCCCCCCCCCGTGCCTGCCAATGGAAAGGACATTTGGCTCCTCTCTGCCAGCCGTGTGTCACCAGAAAGGTATTTCCTTCTCTCTAGGCCTGCTTGGCTCTTGGCACCACGGAGCGGCCCTTTCTCAGGAGCCCCACATCCATCTCACAAACTGGGGCGGGCTCCAGTGAACTTGGCCCCCGCAGCGCCACAACCTCGAGGGCCCCAAAGAGCAGCTCTTCTGCCCCATCGCTGGTGCTTCCACACCGTACATTTGAAAGACATCCCCTCCCCTCCAAGAATCCTGCTGGGAGTTGCATCTCTGCAAGGCGTGTACTACAGTTCCCAGAAGCGGGCAGGCCACATAGAATGTGCTTTCAATGTGGAGGCAGCCTAAAGTTCTGTCTGCCCCAGAAGGTGATCTAATCCCAGCCCTGAGATGGGGATTTCCCGTGTCGAGTAGAGGACAGACACAAAGGAGACTGTAAACAAAATAGCTTTATTTTAATTTTACCTAAAACTGGGGGTGGGGGGAGTCAGAGAAGCAAGGTTCCTTTGGAGAAAGGGGTGCATATATGGGGGGTGTCTTCAAGTATCCAAACTCATCAGCAAGGCTGTGCCTCTTTTGATCCAGTGGTCAGAGGGCATCGTTCCAGACCGCAGGTCAATGCCAATGACAAAGGAAGGCCGCCCGGCAGTGCCAGCCCGGTTGGGGTAGTAGTAGCAAGGGCAGGCGTACATCCCTAGAGACATTTATATATTTAGTCATTAGATTTATGCCCAGCTCACAGGGTGGCAAGCATCTCCATACAAATGCAATTACAAAGGTTTGAAACAACCTTCTAAAAACCAGTTAAAAGCCTACTCTAAACTTCTAAGTTCAGGACTTGTTTTAATTTATTTATTTAATGTGTATACTGCCCTTCATTCAAAGATCTCAGGGCAGTTGACAACATAAAAATGCAAGATAAAAACACAAAATACATAATAATAACATGAAGAAAAACAACACAAACCAGTAACACCCCCTCCCAAAGACACATATAGGATGTTAGTCAGCCAAAGGCCTGGTTAAAGAGGGACGTTTTTGCCTGGCACATAAAGGTGTATAATAAGGGCACCAGGTGAGAGTCCTTGGGGGAGAGCATCCCACAACGGGGAGCCACTGCAGAAAAGGCCCTATTCTCATGTAGATGGAACTTTCTTAAGAACATAAGGAGAGTCCGGCTGCTGGATCAAGCCAAAAGAGGCCCATGTAGGCCAGCATCATGTTCCCACAGTGGCCAAAGGGAGGTCTGCAGGCAAGACCTGAGCACAGGAGCACTCTCTCCTCTGGTTTCAGAAACATGGCTGCCTCCTCCATCAAACTCTGGATAAACAGGTCTGCTTTGACATTTCTCCTGAGTGTTAATATTGGGGGAGAGTGGGGCACCTCACGAGGGAGGGCATTCGGCAAATGGGAGGTTGCCATGGGTCCCCACCAACGGTGGCAACACCACCAACAGGTGCTAAAAGGCTCAGTAGCCAGGGATGGAGCTGGCCCTGGAGAGACAAACACTGCCAACTTTGGCCTCCGACCTGGTGCCATCCAGCTAGCTGCCTTGGAGGACAAAGTTGTGGTCTTGAAAGAGCCGGAGGGCGCCAGCTTGGCAGAGGCTGGAGTAGGCAGTAACAGGAGGGCAAGGTGGGCAAGGAGTCTGAGGCAGCCTAAGGCAGCTTCCTCGTGCCCACGGGTCACCGCTGGCCCTCCCTCCGCAAGACCCACCTTTGCCGCTCTTCTTCTTGTTCTCCACGGGCTTGAAGTGGATGGTAGGGATGGGGCAGACCAGCTGCATGGGCTCCGCATCCATCAGGCAGGAGTTCTTCTTGTCCCAGCCAGCGCCCTCCAGGTAGAGACCTCGCACCCACACCCCTTCCTAAAAGAGGAGAGGGAGACCACACAGGGCTGGCTTAGGGGGTCCTAGGCTCCTGAACTCCCCCACCCCACCCCTGGCAACGTATGCCCTGGGAGAGCCACATACCTTGGGCGGGTAGACAAGGTTGTTGTCATCCACAGTGGAGACAATGAACTCCCAGGAGAGCGTGTCCACGGAGATCTGAAAGGGATTGGGACGAGGAGGGAGCCACGTGAGATGGTTCTGCAGCCCAGGGGTCTCTCCCCCTAAGCCAGCCTTTCTCCATCTTAAGTCCCCGGCTGTTGTTGTACTACAACCCCCATCATCCCTAGCTGGCAGGACCAGCGGTCAGGGATGATGGGAGTTGTAGTCCATCAACAAATGGGGACTTAAGATGGAGGAAGGCTGGCTTAGGGGGAGAGACCCCTGGCTCTCAAGCCACAGAGACCCACTTCCCCTCCCAGAGAACACCCTCCCTGCAGAGCAGTCCTCGCTGCCAGGCCCTCGCTTCTCCTTCCAGGCCCGGTCTCCCCATCCCTTTCAGGCAACGTCCAAGACACACACAGGCCCTTCCAGCCCTCCTGCTGGGTCCAAATATATCTCTCCCCCCCCCCAGCCACCACCCTCTCGTCACCCACCACCTACATTGTTCAGGCGTGCAGCGGCTTGCAAGACGGCCGTCAGGAACCCCGTCGGGAAGGTGAAACCCGAGAGCCAGAAAAGCACGGGAGGGTGGGCGGTGGTGGCCCAGCGGGTAAACTGCTCCACGCGCTGGCCCAGGTCCCGGGTCCAGGCGGCCAGCGGCTTCTGAGATGGGTAGGCCTGCAGGAGGAGGAAGAAGGCCAGGAGCTGGGAGGCAAAGCGGGACACGCCAGCCAGTCCCCCTCCCAAAAAAAGAGCCCCCACCTTGGGAAAGAGGTGCTGCTGGCCTCAACCAACAAAAAGGGGCATGTGTGTATCCCTCTTTGCTCTCCGGCAACTTGGGAAGGAGAAACCGGTATATTGGCTGGGGAATCTTTTACTTTGGAAGAAGCCGTTTTTGAAATATTTTCGTTCAGAAGAGGCTTCTGAATTATGCATTTCTCCCTAGTGGGAAATCTCTGCTTCAGATGTAGGGTGAAGGCAGGAGAGATGATACAATTGGGGGAGAGAAACCTGGTGGGTCCCACAAGGAATTCCAGAAACACCTCTCTCCTGAAATCTCTGTTACCCCTGGGTAAAATAGGTTCAAAATATGTTCACAAGCAAAACAACAGGTGTTTCTACCTGCAAGGCGCCAGGGTGCTCTCTCCTCGAGGGAGACGAGCAGCTTGGAGCCTCCGGATCACACCCTCTTTCCTGCTCCTTCAGGGACACCGGGTCCCCCACCTTCACAGAAAGGGGGGGGAGCACCAGGAACTGCCCCCTTTCCCCAAGTGCCTTACCCTCTCCCACATGGGGGGGACGCGGGCGTCAAAGATGCAGTTGAAGATCTCCTCTAGGTCCGTAGACATGACCACCAGGCCCTGAATGCCCTTCTCCAGCTCCACCAAGGAGGAACTAGAGCAGAGAACAAGAAAAGCCGAGCTGAGCACCAGAAAGGGACTGGGGGCTGCTGAGGCCTGGCCTGCCCTGTCCCCCCCCCCCCGGGCACTCACTTGATGACCTGCAGCAAGGAGTTGTACCGCTGAATCTCCTGCAGCAAGACCACGTTGAGCGGGGAGGGGTCCCCAGACAGCACCTTGCAGGTGCCTTCGTAGTCGATCTCCTCCGGGATCTTGCTGCGCACGTCTGCTGAAAGCTCCAGCACCTGGAGAGGGGGAGAAGGGACAGAGAGAAGAGGTACCGTATTTTTCGCTCTATAGGACGCACTTTTTCCCCTCCAAAAATGAAGGGGAAATGTGTGTGCGTCCTATGGAGTGAATGCAGGCTTTCGCTGAAGCCTGGAGAGCGAGAGGGGTCAGTGCGCACCGACCCCTCTCGCTCTCCAGGCTTCAGGAAGCTATCCGCAAGCCTTCAGAGCGCGGCGGGAGTCCCAAGGCTTGCAGATAGCAGCCTGCATCCTGAAGCCCGGGGAGCGCTGCGCAGATATCCGCAAGCCTTCGGAGCCTGCAGGAGTTCCTGCCGGGCCCAGAAGGCTTGTGGATAGCAGCAAGCTCCGGGAGTGAAGGCGAGGTTGCGCGCAACCTCGCCCCCGCTCCCGGACCCATTCTGGGGTCGGGGGAAGCTCGGGCTTCCCCCGCCCCAGCCCTCCGGCTAAAAAGGAACCAAGACAGCCAGCGGGATCCATCCTGCTCGCTGTCTTGGCTTCTGCCAAAGCCATGCACAGCCTCTCCTGGCTGGAGAAGTTGTGCGTGGCTAAAGAGGAAGCCAAGACAGCCAGCGGGATGGATCCCGCTGGCTGTCTTGGCTTCTTTGCTCTTTGGGGCTGGGGGCGGAAATATTTTTTTTCCCTTTATTCCCCCCCCCAAAAAAAACTAGGTGTGCCCTATGGTCCGGTGCGCCCTATAGAGCGAAAAATACGGTATGCAGGGCACCGGCAGGGAGGTGGCTGGTGGTTTTCCAGGAACCACCACCTGCTCCCCGAGACTGCT